ATGGAACTTCAATTCAGTTTATTAAGTCAGCTTAACCCAATTTGCAGCTTTCCTCCTAGGTAACTTTTCCATCCTTCACAATTCCCTCTAGCATTTGCTATGAACACAATCTTTTTTAGAAAACAAGCCCTTAGAAAAAAGGTTGACAAAAACTATACATTCCAACAAATAGTCATACAGCGAGAATACTCAGTCAAGACGTTTAAAAGTTTGTCTTAACAGCACCCAACACTATATGAAAGATCCATCAATAAGTTGTCAAAAGATCCACGAACAAATATTGCAAATGTTTGCACTTCCAAGAGCTAAGGATATACTGAGTCCCCCTGTTCAACATGGTATCAAAATTTAACTTCAGAAGTTTTGGCCCTCAGCATAGCTTGGAAACCAATTTGCTTGACAAATAACTTTAAAGAACAATTCATTTCAATTCCCAGCTTGTCACAACATAGTTCTACTTATTAATCAATAAGATTTGGCCTCTTTTGAGTGTTTTATACAGGTTCTGTAAATTCATATCGTTTCATCAAACACATCTTTGTTTCCTTGCCTGGTAGCTAACTTTTCTTGTGAAAGAACTGTTCCTATCATGAAGATTCTTTGTCAAGTTGATTTTTGCTGCAAATGACATGATACAGGCACCGTAGAGGGCTTGAAAAAAGTGGGGGATCTAAAGAGGTTGTGGAGGTAAAACCAAATTAAAAGAGTCTTGACAGGTGATTCATTGGTATTTTTTTACATTTTTGGCAAAAACAGTCTAGTAAAATACAGTCATTCCAGTCTTTCCAGTTTAGTAAAATACAGTCATTCCAGTTTAGTAAAACACAAATTTATAAGCAAAAAAACAAACAAAATTTCATTAAATATCTAAGCTAGTTACCAATTGTTCTAATTAATAATTGATATTTCTTGGCATTCTTTCCATAAAATTCTGATATGTTTCAGGGTATCATTCTCATTGAGAATAATTGACCTAAAGAAGCTGTCTTGGCACAAACTCCTTGGAAATTATTTCTGAGAAAAAACCCTCAAGTGTTTTAATCAACCCTTTATGGTAGATGCGTTGAACATAGCAACAAAATTTTTTACCCCCACACTGTTTCATGTCAAAACATCAATTTATCACAATGGAAAAATTAAAGAGCAAAATACATTGCCAAAATTGAAATCAATTTTGATGCCAAAACCTTGCATCATCCACTTAACACTGCCAAAAAATTCCTGAAAACTTAAGCTTGCCAGTTTTGAAAATGCTAACATACAGCCAGAATATCAAGCCATTGAGAATATTCAGGGCTAAAAATATTTATGTGATTTTTCTCAATTTATGTTTTCTTTCTTTAGAAATCAGGTAGAATGCTTGCTTACCAAAAGTCTTGGTACACTATACTTAACATTTTGAATATTCTGTACCCCTTCTCCCTAGTTAATCTTCTCAAAACGACACTAAAGCAATTGTGTGTTACAAGGAATTTTGGCAGGGGTTATAGCTTCAGCCATAAACAAAAAGGGTTTTCTCCATAAGCCACCTCCTATTAAGCAAAGATTTATACCTCTTTTTGTTATTTGATAACCAAAACTATACTACCTTTTAACATTATTTTTAAGGACAGAAACTACATCTAGTGTCAAATAACTCAGTCAGCATTCAACAATATGCAGGGCTGTAGAAGAAGGGGGCTTAGGGGGACTCAGCGCTCCTTCTATTTTTCGAAAGGGGCTGCACCCCCTTCTTCTTTTTATGGGTAATTCTAAAATACCATGACTAATTTCTGCCAAGATCAAATCTTTGATTGAACTGATATTACTTTTTGACATTCGCATTTATGTGTGACCTCAATAGCTCTCCTGATAACTGAAAATTTTGCTATTTTAAATTCTTTATTTTTAAGATTTTTCTACTCAAGTAACAATTAGACATTAGAAGATGGAAAGGTAGATAATGGATATTGAGGAGCTGTGCAAACGAGAACAACTGAAATGTTCATTTTGCATACAATATAGAGAAAGCTCTATTCCCCCCTCTACATTTTTTGGCTCTGCACTACTGATTATCTTGCAATTAATCTCTGCACGCATGAATGGAATATAAAACACTAGAGCATGGATGTATCTAAATGTTTCACCGATTGATCTTGTTCTAAAGCTGAGACAGAAATCAGTGGGTTTATTTGGTTTTCTCTTAGATGACGCATTTCTTATTTGTGGTATCGTATTACACACAATTGAATCTCGAGGACACGTCAGTACATGTTGTACTTCTCTAGTTTGCTCTCGAGTCAAGCGATCACTAAAACTTCTTCATATAACGATTAAACCATAAAATCCAATTAATTTTACTTTAGGATGTTGACAAGACTGAAAGCTTGCGTACAATGAACTTCTTACATAGGTACTCAAACTATTTTGGACACTGCGGTAAAACAAAAAAGCTAGGGCCTAACTGGTATACCTGGGATCGTTTGAAGAATATCGCATTAACTGTTAATGATGCCCGAGTTAAAAGTTCTAATGCACTAAGTATCTATGAAATTTACTTACAAACTTTTTGTAAACTTCCTAGTTTTCCAAGCTTAATGTTATACCCAGGAGAAACTTAGATCAAATGAAAAATGTAACCAGAGCTGCGCATGAAAACATAACTGTCTACAACGTACCTTTTAGCTATCCAGTTCTTCTCAACTTTTACCAAACCAAAAGCTAAAAGACCAACTTGAGCTCATAAAACAAACCAGATAAATGAAAACCTGGACTAACTTTAAGTTAACGCCTGCAAATGAATCCTGATCCTCACCGCAGAACTGGGCTTTCATTTGTTTTTTATATAGCAATGGAAACCAAATGCTCCTTCGCATCGTCACCTTGCGACAGTAACAGTTCGTTGCTAACATGAGTTGATAGGAAACCGACGACAATGGTGTTGATGTAATAATGATAATATTAACAATAATTGAATGTAGTCAACTGAACGGGACATATAGTCGAATGCAAGCATGTAGAAGCTGCACGAAGGATTGAAAAAATGGCGAAAAGAAGCGGGAAATTTAAAAGTTTTTTATTTAAATTTACAGCAACTAGCAGATGGCAGAACCATCCTTTCTAAACAAACATCCCCCAACGTCTACGACCATATCTGTCTACATTGTTGCTCACGTCCTGTCTTTTTTAAAAGCAGGAGAAATAAATGTTGAAAATATCAGGCATATCTTGTGTTCAAAGCAAAGGCTAACAGAAAGTTGGAATATCAGTAAAGAGTCACCAAAAACCAATTACCTGCGAGCAGCGGATAAATCTATACATCCAGGTACCTCGAGACATGTACGTACAGATTCACAAACATGTACGTACAAATTCGTTAAGATACTCTTCCAGTGCACACCCTTTCCAAGTCTCTTCGCCAAATTCACGAACTCTTTCCTACAACTCATCCTTCCTCCCAGATCTTGTCAAGATAGGTAATCAGTTTCTACACTTAGACTCGTATTAAAACGGAGGAATGAAAAATGTTTCGAGATTGAAGTTGTTCGAGATAGCGGATGTTGGAGATCCCAGATGTTTGAGATATTCAACAGTTTTGCATCGGTCCTCGTTGTGTTTACGGTACAGTTCATTACGATATATTTTCATCGTAATACCATCCAGGTAGCAGGCTATTCGCAGTGGAAACTTAAGAAAACAACATCCAGTGCATCATCCACACATAACTTTGTGAATTTAAAAAATTCTTACAGGACCAGCTTACAACCTTTAATTAGCAAACAAAACTCCAACCATACTATGTGAAGATGAATTTCAATCCTTTTGAAGTGGCATATAATTCATACCTTACTCTTCCTCCGTTATTGCGAGAGTCAATGTTAAAGGTGCCCCATAAACATGGTAATTCGTTCGAATACTTGATGATAGAAAGAGGAAAAGATGAGGGTAACAAATATGGTCTGTCTGCCATTAGAGGCTTGGGATAGACGTGTAAGAGAAAATACTCAAAAATGTAAAAAACCAAAAAGGAGTTTAGCAACGAGCCTTTTAAAAACAAATGTGAAGCCTGGTTTACTTTCATTTAGTAGCCAACAAAATTTTACCTGTCCACGGGAAATTTTGTTTGATATATAAAAGCTTAAGAAATTAAAATGGCTTTGAAAACAGCAAAAAAATTTAGCTTTTTCGTCCGACACTACTCAAGAGTATAAAACGTCAGAATAAGGTTCCGAAAGAACAAGATAGGAAACAATTTCCCAGTTGTGGATTGAAATAGGCCAATTAGAAATAAATTTAAAAAAACCAGACATTACTCTTTTACAACATTACAGAACTTTTTTATCACGGTTCCAAGTCATAAATACTTCGTATTTATCTTACGCGGTCTTATGAGAACTCGTCACAACTGAGAACCCGTCACAACTTTTCAAACCAGATCTTTGAATTTTATAGTAGAAAGTCATTGAGGGTCCAATAAACATTTAGGGCACAGCTGTTGTTAGTCACTACTGTGAGCCTCCTGTAAATATTCAAGCAATAGTTTACAAAATTCGCAGCCTTTCGCATAACAAGATCGTTTGCTATGTTCTAACAGTTTGCTATGTTCTATGCTAACACTGTCGCTGTGAGCGTTGCCATACTGCGAGTAACCCAAAGTATTTATTACGCTTATTCACCTCTAGAGAACACTCGCCACTTGTGAATTTAAATATCTTTCTGCTACATAGAATTTTTCTTTGGTAGCCTGCTGAAAGAGAATTATGTTATTACAAGAATGTTGCATAATCAGAAGCATTCGTCGAATTTCATATCAATATTCCTATATCCTTATGTTTGTTTACGGTTCTTTCAGCTTGCACAAAGTCTTTGATTGCTTGTTATCTTTCAAACGCAATAATTCAAATATTAGGTGACCAGGCTCTTTACACTTTTTCTTTGCCGTGTGACTTATTGAGCCAATTTAACAGTGACTAGGCTGCATTTTATAAAAAAATGAGTTGAACATTGTAGCGAAGAAAAGATTTCAACAAACATCATGATATTGACAAACTCCTTTACTCCCAACGAATTTTCTAAGCTAAAAGGTCTTTTAAGATGTCTAGTTCAAAACATGTTCTTATGTTGGAATTGGCCGTGCTACAAAGTCATCAAGCCTATGTATGCCATCCTTGTCGATGCACCTCACCATGAATGATGGCATAGATATCATGAATCGCTTCTGAACCTGCGGGAAAAACATGCTTCAGAGTTAGGCTGGTTCAAAGTTGCACGAAATCAATAAGTTTGATTATTTACAACACGATAGAAAACATTAAAAAAGAAAACACTATTGCGAGAAGTCTTTAAAAAGATAAGGAATAGGGCAGAGTTTACGACAAAAGATTTGGTTCAAAATATCTTCTGAGAATTCGTGATTTAATCAACCGTTTGGCAAATACTCATCTCTGAGATTCAAGTTTAAATCTGCTTTGCAAATAATACTTAAGTTTAAAGTTTAAAAGATACGAGCAAGTAGAATGACCAGACTTCAGACACGTCTCCTACACAAATTATGCATAAACATCAGGTATCCTACTGCCAAATTGCGGCCATTAACCTGATGGAAACAAAAAGCAGAACCAGCTGGCCAAAAAAGAACACAAATAGAAGTATAATTGCTGAGGATACCGAGTAATTAGCTTGATTTTGTATATGACCTTCATAATAAGCCGTGCGTTGATAGATGTTTGAAAGTCATGTAATATTCATCTTTCACAGCTTTATCATGAGCTCTCCCAAATCTTTAGCTTAGCACGTATGATGAGGTCTGGTTTTTGAGTCGGGTTTTTTGAGTCAAGCATAAGTGAGATAATGAAATCATTCCTATCAATTGCGTGGTAGTTAATTTTAATATTAATACAAACCATAGTCAAACACACTAGCTCTTGAGAACTGCAGCAAAGCATTCTAACCACAGCAAAACAAAAGCCCCTTTTTATAATGCCCTCTACCCCATTCCTCAAAAGCTGAACCATGTTAGGCCAAAATTGTAACGTTTAAGATTAACAGCTATCATATTTACCTCGCTTTTCTATTCTAATAATTTATCGTTCTTTTTAGGCTTGACTGCTATGTCAGACGCGTTGGTAAAAGTCAAGAAGCCTCGCTGAAGTAGTTACCATTCTCAAACGAGTGGTATAAAACCTTTCGGCTTCCCTTCATTTAACCTCTGGCTTCAATAGACAGATGCGATATGAAAACCTCGCCAAGAACATTACTGAAATCAAAAAAGTCTAAATTCCTACTAAGTTTGGGTACCAATTAGGACAACGATTATAGTACTAAAGGTAAATATACTTGCCTCGTCGACCACTTTTTGCAGCAGAACCAAAGCCTCATCCTTGTTTAGACCTGTAAGAATTAGTGACTTCACTAAAGAGGCGAGTAAGATAGCCTTGAGTATAGGACGCAACTGTTGCACTTTCTGCCGAATCAGTGGAAGAATATAAAAGTTTAGATTCTAAAGGTTTACAGAATACGGTTTCAGTTGTACACATTCTGCGTCTCGCATGAGTAAGATCGATGGCTCTGTAATGAGAGCCAATAATCTAATATAATTTGATATCTAACAGATGAGAAAGCTGCTTTGACGATGTTATTTTCTTTCAACAATTTGTGGTGAATTTGACTTTTCAAGTAATTTCTTAATAATGCTAACAAGTAGAAAACGCTACTAGAAACTTCTAGAGTAAGCCTTCCGTAACATACTGTAACTTGCTTATTCCAGATTGTATTCCTGCACACGTGATGTTGTACAAGTAAATTCTAGAAATTTCTTGCTGAACAGTATATAAGGGTGGAGTAGCTTGCTGTAGGCATTTCGGTTTTTAGTTGAGGATCTATTCTTGTGAAACTCGATGGATACATAAACACGATGCATTGTTGATTTCTTGGAGAATAAATTTACGGGCCTAAGCTGGAAAACGTACCTTATCATAGCGTTGAAAGAGACAAACCTTGTTTGTGAATCTATTCGGTGTGTCACAGGGGGTATACATTAACACCAACGCGGCATTGGATTCCCACAAATTTTAATGTATTCATTAATTTCAATGAATTTGGGATATAAAACTTTTATATAAAGCACAAGATTTCTCAAAAATGTTGGAGTCAAAATATAAGTAAATGGGACACGGTTGCCCTTCAAGCAAATTTTCTCCTTGAAGAACCTGCAGATTATGAAATGTTTTTCTTCTTTTATAATGTTATATCGTGGTATCACAATTTTAGGAATCAGCTTTAGATCTGATTGGTCTAATTAAAGCTGTCAATCAATGGGCAGCCAATCAAATTTATTTGTCGCAGATCCAGTTGAAAATATTACAAGCCACACGGTGGATGAATTACAGCTTTTATCCTAATAAATAATGTGTTACATTATAAAGTTTCACAATACTCTTCAAGGGACAATATCTCCCCTTGTTTCGACGAATTTTACGAAAATTACAACAATCATGGCCGCAAAAATATCTTTTTCATCCTGGTTACATATTAAATGAGAGAAAAATTTTCTGCTAGATGAAAATATTGCATCACAACTTTTTATCAAAATTGGAATTAAGATCTTCTTCATACCGGTCTTGTAATATCTGTCCATGGTGCTCATCGAGAAAAATGACCCATATCCATGAGCGGCAAATGGTGCCTAAGAGAAGATATCTGGTTTAGTTGAAAATTCATCGTAAATTTAAAATGCAGAGAGCATTGTGGCAGTACAGTGAAAATGCTCCCATAAACTACATCTAAGTATTTTTAATGCATCAATTTTGTCTTCTGGTGTAATTCGCACAAAATTCTAAGGTCCCTTGAAAATGAACCTCTATAACTTCGAATCCTTGAAAAACGAACATTTTGTAATTCCAAAATGTTTACAATCTCCTAGAAAGTACGAAAAACACAGATTTGACAGTTGCCTGATGATTAAGTCAAGCGTGAAACTCGGAGTAGCAACTTAGAACTTCATGTTCTATACACAAAAAGCGAGAAGATTTGACCGCATATATTTCTGGTTTAGGTTCATAAAAAGGAGTCGTTTTTGGAAACTTCAAGTCCCCTTTAAAGCATTATTTTCTTCATTATGTCATCATTTCTTGCCGCGAACCTTTATTAGCTTTGTCAAAAAAGCTTTCATTAGAAGAAAATGCACTGTAACCTTTGGGTACAAAAAGCCTTGATAATTTGACTATGCAAAAACAGCTCATCTGCACAGAAAAATCATAATGAGGTCGAGCTGGCTTCTGAGCTTTAAGGAAAACTTCTTCTTATTTACACGAAAGATAAAGAGCAAACCTTTCATGTAAACTGCTTGATTTACTTAAAAATTCATTTTATTTCAGAGGGAATGATGATCTGGTCTGCTACAGCTGTCAATGTCACACGGTAACTATAAGTTGATAGGAATTTTCAAACAGCAATATGCAAATAAGTGTGAATTTTATGTCTGGATTCACCTATGAGCAGTAACAACAAGGAAATATCAAAGCAAACGAAAGCTTCTTAATGTAGAGCACTCCACTTTTGTAAGAAGCAAAGGATGGGGCAGGTTGATCGAACATAAATAGACAAACACATTGCATTCAGACATAAATTTAGAAGTATTTCTTCCTTCCATTCATCCTTCTTGACTTTCATACATTCTATCATCCTTCCTTCCTTCCTTCCTTCCTTCCTTCCTTCCTTCCTTCCTTCCTTCCTTCCTTCCTTCCTTCCTTCCTTCCTTCCTTCCTTCCTTCCTTCCTTCCTTCCTTCCTTCCTTCCTTCCTTCCTTCTTCTTCCTTCTTCCTTCCTTCCTTCCTTCCTTCCTTCCTTCCTTCCTTCCTTCCTTCCTTCCTTCCTTCCTTCCTTTCCTTCCTTCCTTCCTTCCTTCCTTCCTTCCTTCCTTCCTTCCTTCCTTCCTTCCTTCCTTCCTTCCTTCCTTCTTTCCTTCCTTTCCTCTCCCTTCCTTCCTTCCTTCCTTCCTTCCTTCCTTCCTTCCTTCCTTCCTTCCTTCCTTCCTTCCTTCCTTCCTTCCTTCCTTCCTTCCTACCTGTTTCCTTTCAACAAATCTTTGTTTCTTAACCTTTTCATCCATCACCATCAGTCGCTATTCCATTATTTATTTCTAGCTTAACTCGACGGATAATAACAGTTCAGTAAACGATGATAACTGTGGACATTTATCGTAGATTCAGTTTTAACACACCTTTGCTAAAGCACCAAGGTAATCCATGTGATAAAGAGAAGGGCCATCTTGGTCGTCATAACCAGCCAGTAAAAGATTTACTGTGTAAGGGGTCTGTAAGATAAATTAAACAATTCAGAGGAGAATATTGGTCTGCCCAAAAATTAGTTGGGTAGACTTGCAATAAAGGAAAAAAAGGTTTTGAACTAAAAAACAATGATCACAAAACTTGAACTTGTACATATTACCTCTTTTTTTCAACATTTTTGGAACCCTTTTATTGAAAAACATAAAGATACTTCTATGTGGTTCAATAAAAAGAATTAATTACAACCCTTGAATAGGTGCTATCAAAATTTCTATAAGGGATCACAATTGAATTGTTGCAAATACGATATAGTTCAAATAATTCAACCGTCAAAAAGAAAAAAACGAAAAGGGTTGAAAATAGAAATTCCAAATCTTTACCACAGCAACATAAAATAATAGGTTGATAGGAATCATTACCAATTAATGGTACAATAAGTTGGGCCTTATTAAAGTGGGCCTTATGTTTGAGGGCTAAAAGCTGCAATTCTCAAAAGAATGAACCAAAGGCAGCAATCTACAGAGAACCAAAATTTGTACCAATGCCTTCAAATAAAGTTGAATGAATCTTGCAAAAGTTTCAGTTTAAGAACTGTCCTTCATCCCTTAATTTTTGATGCAATGCTAAACAGTAAACCAGTGCTAAAAACACAGACCATTTGAAATTTCCATCAAAAGACCCAATCTGCAGAAAGCTGTAAAGCCCATAAGCTGCAGTATTGCCAGATATGTGGACGTGAAACCTATAGTTGAAGTAAAACCTACAATAGGACACTAGCGCAAACACTTAGAAAAGAAGACTTACATAGCTTCGTAAATAATCTGCCATCATCTTTCTGGTAAAATTTGCAGTTGCATGAGTAGTTAGTTCATAACCTTGTAGAAATAGAAAAACGTAGGCATCATAAAGAGATAATTCCACAAAAGAAAACCAAAACAATGATAAAGTTTTAGCACTATGTAAAAGATAAATATATTTTAACATAATGCCTGTGGAGTTCTGATCTTACTTTCTTGTCTTAAAAAATATTTATAAAAAACCTGGCTATCTTCATTCGAATTGTGCTTCTTCTTAATGTTTTCCTTTTTTATTTCTTTTTTGTCATTTTACTTTGATCTCTAAGCTAAGTTTTCCCTTTTGTTTGTGCCAATGTTGCAGTGTTTGATTCAGCATAATATTGTACATTTTTTTCTAATTCAGAACTCTTACTCATCAAATCTAGTTATCTTCAAAGACACTGAAGGGAGTTTCATGAAACCTCACTTGATCTATCTCTATGTGTCCCGTAAGCTTGGTTCCCACTAGAGCCAAGATACGTTAGGAATGCAATAAAAATATTACAAAATATGTCAGTCATTTGATTCTTTGTGTGAATGTGGAACACTAATGGAAGGCTTCTGAACACATTTTTGTGGAGATTTCAAGTTTATTTCTAATTAAATTTGCTCACCACTTTTCTAACGCATTTTTGCTCTAGTTAGAGCCAAGCATTAGCATTCAATATATTGAAATTACGAACATTTTGTAAATATAAAGAAAATGAAACATTAGCTTAAATATAAAGAAAATGAAACATTAGTCAAAGCTGCTGGTTGAACAAACCTGAATGCTGTGAATACTTCTAATAACTATGGGTGTAAGACTTGAGAAAAAAACTAGATGTGTTTTTGCAGCTCAAGAGTTGCATGCACCCATGGTCATTAGAGAATTGAAGTTCATTCTACATACATTGTAACCTCACATTATACATTATAGCAACAAATGTTGCTTTACTCAAGACTCCTACTTGTAATTGTCATGTTTTAATCAACCAACCCCTCACTAACTATAAATTAAATGTCAATAGGAACTAAAACAGATAACAGAAACTAAAATATGAGCCAAATTTAACTTAAACTATAAATCTTTAATGATAAAAGATTTTATCTAACATTCTATCCAAGTTTATAAATCAAAACATAAAATAAATTAGTTATCAACTGAATAATATTTGAAACTCGTTAATAACCAGTTAATAAAAACAAATGAATATATCATGAAAATTACTGTTTACCAGTCTGTCATTAAGTGCTTGATGCTGTATAGGCATAACTGTAGATGCTATATGATGTATAGAACAATATCTACCTAACTTTAAAAGAAACATTTTATAAACACTTGAAAACATTTTAAAAAACTTAAAACATACTACATACCATTCACCACCTTGTATAAACTAACATTTTTCTCTATGTATTCTGCAAAGTAAGTTGTGTCTCCAGATTGGCCACTCACCAGCATCAATGTCTTACTATTTAGTTTAAACATTTTATCTTCATCTGTAAAAAATAGAATTAAAAAAACTGATTAAAAAAGGCATCAACATGACCGAAGTGATGTTTTCTCTTTGTACTAAAACTATCCCAAGCAAGACTGAGCCCTTTAACTGGGTTTGATAAAGCAATGTCCATTTCACATGCCACCTAAAGGAGTCCAAAGAATGGTTTCCACCTGAGCCAATTCTTCAGTGACTTTGTCAGTGGATTTTGCTGAGCATGTTTGCTTTTTCTCTATTCTGTAAATTTGCTAGGAAGTTGAACTCCTTTCCACTTTTATATCTTGCTAGCAAAGTCGTCAATGCTTGGAAAAAACAAAAGACATTCCAATAATCGCTGACAAATTTGCTGAAGATTTGCTTAAGTGGAAACCCCCCTGAGGGCATAAGTTGGGATGTTTCACTTTCAATTTAAGCAATGGCATGGTCATTACACTGGCAAGAACTGTAGGTATCTGAAGTGTCCATTAAATTTATCATAGCATTTGAATAGCATGAATGGCTCCAAGAGAACATCATCCAAAATTCCCAGAAACTTTCAACGTGGATGACTATCAACAAGATTGGGAAATCATTTTTCCAATTAGTGCAGGAGATTAGTGCAGAAATATAGCAGATCTGTGCAAATTGTGATACAAGCACCAAAATTTCAGAAAGTACAAAGTTTGATACGCTGAACAACATGAGGTATAGACCCAAATCATAACTCCCCACAAAGATCTATTTTTAGACGGGGGTACTCTGGTCCTAATACTACCACTGGCCATAAACGGAGACACCAGGTCATAGAAAATCTAAAGTCACAATATAAAAGCAGTTTGACACGCTGAAAAAATTGTAATATAAACCCAAATTGTATCTTGCCTTCTGAGTTCTATTCTATGAATGGGGTACTCTGGTCCAGACTCCTAATACTACCATTAGCTATATAGGAAGAGCCCTATATTATAGAAAGTTTAAATTCTCAATATAAAGGCAGTTTGACATGCTTAAGAGCATGTGATTCTAAAATCAGTTAAAAATCAAATAGTTTTATTATTTTGGAAACATCAGCCAGTGGTGAACATAAAACATTTGGAAAAATTTCATCAAGCTGGCAAACATGAAAATTGGAATTTTGCAATTTTAGTGTCACTTTTCACATCACAATTATAGTGTGATGAAGGTTTTTCAGTTAGCAGGAATATTGCATTTGATATGTAGTCTACAGAAAAATTTCTTTCTGGGAGTCTTAATGTCTTCTAATCAAAGGTAAGTTCTAATTGTAGTTGAAAGCATATCATGTTGCTCTTGGCTTCCAGCTACTACTTCTTCCTGGCAGCATGAGGCATTGTATGCTCTGCATTTCTGCCAGGATGTGAAGCATACATAGAATGGACCTTGTATTATATATATAAACTGTTGAGTTGTTTTTCAAATTTTCATAGGTAAAATTTTCATTCCTCACATTTGTCAAAAGGTAAGTCAATTCTGAAAAGCTCCATTTTTAATGCCCACCTCCTACCACAACTGGCTCAAATTTGAGAGGTTAGCCATGCTATGGCAAGCTACCCCCTATGAGGATACATATTATGGTATATTTGCCAGACAGAATTGGACCATCTTTTAACATACATTTATTGTTTTAGGTTGCATCTTTTTTTGTATTTGGATTGATAAATCAATGAATTATCCATAAAGGAATTAATCCTAAGTGTTCGGCAGACAGGAAATTTAAAAAGGCCACTTTGGCAAATTTGGCAGAAAAATCGACACCTTTTAAATTTGAATATCTCAGCAAAGCTGAAATTTAGGATTTCTTCATGAATTTAGTAGATATAAACCCTATAAAAATCTGAAGCAATTCTGAGATGAATGGTGTCAAAAGTAACTTTGTTTGTTGATTTCGCATGGAATGACTCTGGCATGAATTGTTGATATGTAAAAAACTAAACGAAATGTCCTTAAACAAAATGATTTCAAAGTTTGAAAATGGCACAAAATGTTTGCAAACAGAAAGATATTGCTCCCCATCCTAAGCAAACAAACAAAACAATTTTCAGTATGATAAAATTTTTGGTTCCAAGAGTTAACCATTAAACATTTAATGCCATTTTCAAATTGTAATGGTTTCAAAATTGTGGCAGGTGAATATTTAACATTTAGATATTTTCAGATCTGAAAAGAATACAAGACTCATCACCTAGTACACATTCTATATAAACCACAGAACAAAGGCAGGCTAGGCCAGGTGTGTGGTAACATACATGCACCATAGAAAATGGGAAATAAACATAACACTGACCTAATATCTCACTATTTTCAGTAAAGTTTATCATAAAGTGGGAATGATTGAGGATGATAATATTATGAAATTTTGTGCTTTAGAAAAAAAGATTTGACTTTGTTTACCATTCACAATGTAAAAATCTTTCTAGAATGACCTCCCACAATATGTTTGTCCCACGCCAATGTCAAATTTCACTCAAAAAATCTTAGGGATTTGCTACATGGAATACACAATGGCCTATTATGACAACAATTGGTCAAAAATTAATGTAGAACTTCTGATTGAAAATTAAGGATTTAATGCAATGTCGTGCAATTAAACCAAAACTATTGCCGAAGAAATAGACCAAAATTTAATATAAGTACTGCTGTTGCCAGACTGTAAAATATTTTTCTGTGCAAGTAATGCCGCCAGAACAATAAAATTCAAAGTTGTCGACAAGGAATGTTTTTTGACAAATTGTGTGCGTGAAAAGATCTTTAATTCTTTGTGTGAAGAAGTTTAAAATAAATGGTCGAATATTCGCGGGGAACCTTAACAGAGAAACAAATATTATGTGCAGACAAATATTATGTGCGTTTCCCGAGCAGACCAAACGTTAAAGTCTGGCGCAGTTGTACGCGAAAGGTCTTTGCCAAAAAATCTTTGCCATGGCGTAACAACATCCAATTCGATGCATGGTTTCCAAATGCTTTGCTTTAATCCAAGCCAAATTACTGCTGAGCAAGAGTTTCGATAATAAAAGGTTGTTTTTAATGCACTTAGAGGAAAAATTTGCAAATTTAACCCCACTCCTTGCCTATTCTATGCCAGCATATGCATGGCCTAGTTTCAAACTTTCAAAACAACTAAAATTGCAATGTACTTTAATTTCTGTTTAAAAAAACCTTACCATCCTTCATTCTAACAATCCCTCTTCCACCGTTTTTATCCGCTGCCACAAGTACAAACCCATCTCCTTGTATTCCTACAAGAAACTCCATTGTGACAGTTAGCAACTACTTGCTCTTTACAACCATGACACAGCAGCCTCAAAATGCAGTCTGGGAATCCATGTTCAAAATGCCTCGATTTGAAAAAACCAATTATGAGGAGAGAGGCAGCGGTGATTTCATTTCATTTCATTCATTATTATCAATCAATCCCAAATACAACTCATACACAAAACCCTACAACTAAGATACATTACAACACTAAGAGCTAAAAACTAACAATTTTAAGAACAAATGAAAAAAAAAACTTACTTTACATGATTGAATTTAAGATTGACTGATTGAGGAGGAGCTCTCTAAGTAGGTAAACTAATCGAGAGAGAGCCTCCCCATAAAAAACAAAAAAGGAAAGAACCAAAAATTATTTTAAAAACAAAGGCAGTACATATTAACCAAGAACCAGATGAACCTCTATGGGATAGATCATATGTGTTTAATTAAAGATTAGTTTCGTGAATATGAATCAAGAAGGTAACTTTTTAATTTTGAGCGAAAAACCACAGTAGAGCTAGCAACACGTATAAATAGTGGAAGAGTGTTCCAAAGTTTTGAACCAAAGTACTGAATTGTTTGAAGACCGTACATTTTAGTATTTTTAATAGACTTAAGAAGATCGCCTCTTGTAGCCTGGCGAGTCCCAATTCTATGAACTGATGAATTTGTCTGAAAGTAATCATGAAAGCATGAAGGAGATAGCTTATTAAGAGATTTATAAACAAAGGTTAAGATGTTCAGGTGCAGAATATCCACAATTTTTAAAGTCTCTAGTGACTGAAAAAGTGGAGTGCTAGGAGAAAGAAAGGGTTCAAATTTAATGCTGCGAAGAATTTTCTTTTGAAGTTTAAAAAGTGGGTTAAGGTAGGATTCATAAGTCAATCCCCAGGCTGACATACCATAGTTGAGGAAGGACAAGAAAAGTGAGTTGTAGAGAGAGACAAGAGTAGGCAAGGGGGCATAATGCCGCACTTTGAAGAAAATACCAGCAGCTCTAGAAAGTTTTTTACAAAGCTCAGTTGTGTGGTACTTCCAAGTCAGATGTTCGTCCATGAGAACTCCTAGAAATTTTACATGCTTAGTCCTTTGAAGATACTGTTTACCAATTTTGACCTTGGTGAAGGTAGCAAATCAATTCAATAACTATTTTACTAATGTTGCCGATAACATCACAAAGAAGATCCTAAGAACACCAAAGTCTCCTTTAGATTACTTGACCAATCCTAATTTGGACTCATTCTTCATATCCCTTGGCACAGCAGAAGAAATCTCCTCACGAATTCAATCTTTGAAAAATGGTAAATCCAGTGGGCCAAACAGTATTCCAGTCAAGCTACTAAAAATTCTTGACCTGCCAATCTCAAAAGATCTTGCTGTTTTAATAAACGAATCCTTTTTGACAGGATTTTTAGGGGGCGACCTGGGGGCAGAGACCCTTGTTAAAATTTTAAGAGGGCCCGTCCTTAAAACAAAATGCATTGATCTAGCCTTTGGAAATTTCTCCCTGGACCTTGAAAGGTTTTGGTGTGCTTTATTTGCAAAGATCTCGACGTTAATATGTTATCTTGCAAGTTTTCATTGTTATCGAGATTTTTCTAATATTTTTTTTAGATTTCCTAAAAATCGGTTAAAGTACTTGCATCAATAGAAATATCGGCGCGGTCTTCAGGAACCACCCTCTATCTTATGAAAATTCTCCTGGAGCCCTACTTGCGAAATTTGTCAAAATGATTAAGCAGTTAAGGTTATCAAATTTTCCACCATTCACTTTGTCATTCAATTAATCATTCTCTCTCTCAGTCTGGTGAACAAGACGGAAGATCTCTCCGTAGACCAAATATCCTTTCTAGCCATGGAAAAAGACCTTTTTAATCAGTTCTCTATCTATAAACGCGGTTACCTATCGTTTAACAAACCAGTATTCCATAATTTCACTGATTTAAGAGAAGTATTTGATACAATTGCACGATGGACTGATTGACACCATGCTCAAGTATCACATTGGAAAACGCATGATGGGTCTTATGAAACAACTGTACACGAAGGCAATAACTAAGGTTCTGGGTGGAACTGATTACAGAAACTCGCTCCGAGCAACGGCTGGAGTTGGACAGGGATGCACTTTATGTCCAATACTCTTTGACTCATTTTTGGAAAGAATGATGATTGATGCACTGGATGAGTTTACTGGAGGAGTCAAATGCAGAGTTGTCACCATCACCTTCAGTTTGCTGCATACATTGATTTCCTGGCTGAAAACCCCAAAAACCACACTAGATGAAACATAAAGGCGATACGGAGTAGAAATCAGTACAGAAAAAACAAAACTATGGTGGCAAGAGAGGACGATTCGCATGTTGATGTCACAATAGGCTAAATTTAGCAAGATAAGTGAACAGGATATCTCGAGGGGGGGTACCTTGACGTGTTTCAAGGCAAGGGGACGTCTGAAAAGTACGGAGTTATCAGAAATCAAAGAACGAATAGTAATGGCGAATTTGTATTTGTTGCTACCTAGCATCCTAAGGTAGTTTTCAGGACACTGAGAAGCTATGCTTATCGAGCAGTGTCCTGGTCCTTCCTCTCGATGTGACTACACCTCGTGATTCCTACCCCTGGAATTACAGAGAGCTGGCGACTCTCCCCACTCTGGGTGAAAGTTTGGTCACGCCAGAGACTCGAACCACGGACCCTTGGGACTGTAGTCAGCGCCTCTAACAACTGAGCCATCATCGCACCTAATAACACACCTTGAAGCAGGAAAATATCTGGATAAAGGGACATCAAAATTAACAACAAGATTCATCTAATGCAAGTCCTGATCATATTTGGCTTTTAGTGGGTTTTAATCATAGACTCATGGGTTCGCAGATGGATAATTTGGCTACGGACTTGATGATGTCACTCACTGTCAAAAGCGGTTACTTGCCGTCAAAGGCGGTTAACTACAGTCAAAAGTGGTTACCTATAGTCAGAGACGGTTACCTGCGGTCAAAAGTGGTTTCAGACGACCTTGTCTTTGTCGTCTATAACATTCAAATCGCTTAAAACAGGATAAACTACATTTTGAATAAAGCAACGAAATGATACATTTCTATGTAATCAAATTGACATTTTATAACAATTATCTAATTACACCAACACTGGTACATATATAAACTATAGGAAATGAGTCAAACAGGGCAATGACATATACACATGAAAATTTTCAATATTACTCTTTACATTCTATAGAAATCTTCGCTTCATTTTATTACATTCTAGTCCCTTGAAGTATCTGAAGTCTTCACAACGCTATTGAGCTCGAGCATCTCTTTGTAATGTAATGATCTTTCGCTTTTTTGAAGGGCATATAGTCCTTTCTATGTTACAAGACATTATTTTGCTTCTTTGGTTGATAATTGTATAAAGTTACAGTATTTAATATTCATGATTTTCGAAAGATACGAAAGACGAGTATGATAATGAAACTATGCTTATCTCTGCGACATATTTGCGATTTTAGCAGCATGCTCAATAGTTGAGACGCTATGAGAGTTACCAGAACAAATTATAAGCCAAGATATTCAGATACAATAAACGCAGTAGCGAAAACAGCGTTATTCAAGAATGAACTTAGCGTAGGCGGAGGGCACCATAACGAAGGCAGGCACTTTCGATCAATAGCGGTTGGCTGTTTAAAAGTAAGAGGCGCACTGCTGGTGATACGAGAAATTTTTTAAACCCGGACCTAGATGTGGACCCGGGCCTGGAATCGGACCCGGGCGGATGCAGACGGCATTCCTTTACAAATAAACTCAACAGTGTGCAGAAGGTACTTCCTTACAAAAAGACCTGGACGGGGTTCAACCAGTATTTTCTTACATAGAGATACGGATACATGATCAATGATTTCCCTTACAAGGAGACCAAGAAGTGGGCTAAAGGTATTCCCTTGTGCAAGGTTTATCTATTTGCAGCACCATTTAGAATGGCGATAACATATTACAAAGGCTTAATTAACTATGATCAATCTGAGCTTCATTTCAAAAAATTATATAAACAACTCCACTGGATATGAATTAAAAACTCAGAAATTCAATTGAAATAGTTACATTAAATTAATATACGTATCTACAAATCTTTTATAGCCGACTCTTTGAATGTCTTATATCTTTTATGCCCATGTCTGGGTCGGCTCTTTCTAGGCTCTATGCTTTTTTACTACTTGAGTTATATACTCTCTCTTTTAGGCCTCTGAGAATGCTTCCTGGCAGTTTTTGATGCTCTGTGATCAATGCATGTATTTCTTTGTGAACCTAAAAACATTCAAGATTCAGAAAAAACTCGTGATAAAAGAAGATGAAAACAAGTAGAAAATGACACATGAAAGTGACTGCTCTATAAGTTGTGCCAACGCTTCTAGCCATTTAACCATGTTGAAAACAGAGGTCTCTGAACTTTTGCCTTAAATCTTAGGCCAATTGAATGTCATAAGAATCAGTGGCAATTCAAAAATTAATCATTTGTAACTGTCAAAGTTTCGGAAAAATTCAATGTCTCTACTTTAGCTACACAATAGACCCGTAATAACCTATTTACGAAAATGACATTGCGTGCACGCATAGGTGCCAACCGTTTTCATTTGCACCTTGTCTTATGATAAAATGCAACGTGCAAAGAATACAGAGTGACGTTTAAAGGATGGAATGCAATGACAAGACACTTGAAAAGCCTGGTTCACTCTTAGTGAATAAAATTGATACGTCAGTAACACGTACCACAGACCCTTAGATCTGTAGTCCGCGCATAGAGACATCGTCGCACCATAAAGATTTGAGAGTGCAGCTTTAAAACCTTGCTTGAAGGTCAAGGCCAGAAATATCAAGAGTAGCTGAAGAGAACCATATTCGAATTTGGAAACATTATCAAATTTTAGACTAAGCTTTCTCTAAAAATACGGGTTAAATTATTTCGAGAGGTAAAGGTGAAGATAAGTAAAAAACTTACACATCTCGCGATCTCTTCTGGTTTTTGTGACGGGTCTATAGTGATAGGCTTGCCAAAGTAAGTCCTAAAAGAAATAAATCGTTTGTAACAAATGCTATGCCTTGGTAATGCCTTGGTAGTCGGAGGGGGGGGGGGAGGCGATGAACATTGAGGGCTGGGATTGCAAGTTAACTTTCAACCAGCTAGAGTCTTGATCTTTACTCAAATGCTAGTTAGTAGACTGCAATCATTGCAAGTAACTGTTGGAAAACTTTATTGCAGAATTATTCATAGACAATATAAATCAAGCTTAAACGATGTAAACATAAAACGGATTCAAGGCAAAATAATACCTACGAGTATCTGTCTGTCTTTGTAGATAATAACTGATTCTACATAAGGTTTATATTGTGAATCACAGAATAAAACGGCATGCAGACAAAATTCGGCTTTATTTTGAAATTTACCTCAATTTTACTGGAAAGCCTCCCCATATCGGCACTATCGGGCATTTCGTTTTTTCGTAAATCCATCTAAATAGCCCTGAAAAAAGCGACACATAATAATGGATGATCGCGATTGCTGAGTACTAAAATTATGATAAAATGTAAGCGATAGAAATTGTATGCAAAACATCTAATTATCTCTATTATCAAGATGCAGTGATGGATCAATGGAAGAAAGTTATGATAATCGGCTTGCTCCTTCAAAAGTTCTGTAAGGTACTTCTTTGCAAGCGCCAAGTGAATTATATGCAACGTGTGTTATAAATACGAGGTCCCTCCTTGTTAGCATAGCGATATAAATACGAGGTCCCTACTAGCTGGAATGGCGATCTAAATACAAGGCTCTTCTTGCTAGCATAGCGATATAAATACGAGGCCCCTTCTTGCTAGTAAGTTAACTTGTACAGGATTAATGTCACAAAATCGAGCAGCCATTTCCAGAAAGGAAACGAAAATCACTCACTTCGCCCCATCTTTAGAGTTCGGAAGGTTTCCCTTACATTCTGAGTAAATACTGGAATTACAGGCTGTAAACGAAATCAAAAATATAAAATAGAATCTTAGAGACAATGGAATTTAGAGAATATTGAACTTTAGAGTCAATGGAATTTTGGAGAAGATTGAATTTTAGAGCAAATAAAATTTCAGAAAAAATGGACTTTTAGAGAAAATAAGTTTTAGAGAGAATGAAATTTTGGAGAAGATTGAATTTTGAGAAAATAAAATTTTAGATGAAATAGAATTTTAAAGAAAATAAAATGTTAAAGAAAGTAAAATATTTAAGAAAATAAAATTTTAGATAAAATAGAACTTTTGAGAAGATAAAACTTCGGAGAAAATAGAATTTTAGACAAAATAGAATTTTAGAAGAACCGGAAATCACTTCAAATTTTCAGTTAAAATGCATTAAAACTTTAACCTCGACTAAATACTTTAATAGAAAGATATAATCATTTCGGGCGGAAAGACGGTCTTCAAAAGCAAAAAATCATGATGACCAATAGTCAATAGTCAATTGTGGTAACTATAAGTCAAATGTTGTTACCAGAGGCCAAGTGTTGTAACTAGTAGCCGAGTGTGGTTTACATTCGTCAGTGCGGTTCTCAACCGTCAAGTGCGGTTTTTAATGTTAAAGTGCGGTACCCAATGTTCAAGTGCGGTCCGCAATATTCAAATACGGTTCCCAACATTCAAAAATGGTTCTTAACGCTTAAGCGAAGCGGAGAAGGCTTTGTTTAAAAGTATAACGGATTATATAAAAAATCTGTTTGTATTAGCATACCACTTGAGCTTTCAAAGCCACTTTAGCAAAGCCTATACGCGAGTTCCATATCATTTTATAATTCTCATCTGAAAACAGCGCTTCTCTAACGCCACCAGGTGAGATCGCAAGTAGTTCACCATTCTAAGGGGAAAAAACATTATCGTAACATCGATATCAATCGATATATTATCGTAATATTATGACAATTTTACACATATCCAAACAGATTGCTATAAAGGCTACATCTCTAGAGGTGAACTGATAATCGAAATATCGATAAAACAGTTAAGCTAGTATTCACAGAAAAGGTTCAACTTTGTCAGTCAATCGTCAGGGTCTCGTTTAAGATAGGAAATAAAATATTTTAGTAAAAATTGATCCAACTTTCAAAATAAATTTTTTTGAAAACGGGGACAAAAAAGGAAAGGAAATGTTTGTACATCTGAATTATATTTGGTTACAAGGGAGAAATAACCTGAAGATGAACTTCTGTTCTGATATATGAATTAATTCAAAGGTCCTGTTGAAACGTCATCTATGTATACACATAAAATTCAATGGAAACAGTTGAAGTCATCTTGATATACAGGGGAACCTTTGAAAACGAAGCTTTCCTAGGAGTAAGCAACCCTACAAACATTTCAAAAAATTCACTGATGTTCATTGTTCTGTTCATTGTGAACAGAAACGTCCCCCTGAAAGTTAAAGTTAGGACATCCAAGGACTTACTTTCAAAATGCTCACACACTCGTCAATTGGCCCAGTGACACAGCCAAAAACATCCATTAATATCTGAAAACCTAGAAACAAAATAACATGATATTTGGACATTTGTGTATGAAATGTAAAGGCGTAAACTACGAAGTCTGATACGACATGGATACGGCATCTTGTAATCAACTGAATTCTGACGCGACTTTATGAGACTCGGATCCTTCAAACGGGGCCTTAGATACGACTACCGAAACCATATAAAATCATGGCTGACAAAATAAGGATGAGGTCGGAGGAAAAAGAGGAATGCCAGATTTAAAAACACAGATTCTGATTCAAGACCAGGCTCTAAGAATAACAAAGGTGGGGCTTTCGAAATAACTTATCCTTCACCCAGCTGCAGCCCTGCATTAACCTCAGAGACCCTAGCTCCCGCACCCCTCCCTTCTAAATAACAAAGTTTCTAATAATCAAGTTCGATTTTGCCATGAAACTCATGGCAATATCTGCTATCCCCCTTTGATCTGTTAAATTTGAATGAGTAATAGGAGCAACTGTTTGATTTTTCTACAGGCATGTGACTGATGGAAAATAACTTGCCATAACATCATGGTAATCTTGTTGAAATATCAAATATCAACATATTTCGAAATATCAGCTTTATAGGAACAGTTGCCTGTTGATCACATTAAGCGTGTATCTCGGAGTAGCAATTTAGAACCGCTCTGTTCTATACACTAAACAGCGTGCACAGCTCTGCCTAAACGGCATTGAGCAGTTTATGATAGACCGGTTTTCAAAATATCAACATATGAATTTGAACATACTTCTGACAAAAAACTTGCATAAGTAAATAGTTTTAGAGATAAGTAAAACATTTTTTGAATGGTTCTAGACCAAAGAGAAACAAGAAAAATTACTAATGATAAGTTTCGTGCTCTTGGTGGAAACTACCACAGAATTATCCTTAGCAAACGACAGATCTGATCAGGCAGACTGAGAATTTGTCTTTTTAACAATCATATCCCTGGAAAATTGAGTTTTTACCCAAAAAGATCGGTCTACAGACATGACGTTTGTATCCCAAATCTTTTTTTTAAATTTACATTCATTTTTCTGCTAGGGGCTGTTTTGGTATTTTAGTGGGGCACTTCATTCGAAAGTCAGATGCATATCCTTACACTTTTGTTGGTTCAGCCGGAGCCCGAATTCCAAAACACTCGGCACCAAGTCCATCGCTTTACCAACTGAGCTACAGTACCCCCAAACAATCCTCTAGTTAAAATAGATATTGGGAAACATGTCAAAAAAGAGTATACAGCCATTACCTGGAATATAAAACAGAAACTCAGCAACGACATTGCGAAGGTTCCGTTTTTTGGCTGTCTTTATTCGTCCCATCATATAATAAACATCTATAGGCAAAGCTCCGTGGTAGTAAATCAAAAGTGCTCCTCCTTCATCTGGAATGTTTTCAAGGCCATGAGCCTCGTAGCCTAAAACAAACAAGATATATTTCAGAAATAGGTAGTTCCCAATAATTTCACCTTCGCAGATCTTACCTTTGAACACAAGAACTAGGAATTTTCTTTAAGGCCTACTGTCCAAACATTTGTTCCTGCTTTACGGGTTGTGATTACCTCTACAATTTCCATCCTAAACCTCTAACCCACAGAAACATCGTACGTCAGGTTTGATTCCAGATATTTTCAGCCACTTCCCCATCCCCAACAAAAATTGCTGAATTGTTGTATAGTGGAACCTCATTCAATTTAAAAATCCTTATCACTCCAAAAAACGGCACAATCATTTTGTCCCAAAATTCTTTACTATGGTCAAAGCATTGAAGAAGTAGACTTTACAAAAAGTTACTCAAAATATCCGGACATAACGTTATACATAGACTCTTTTCTAAAACTTAAGCATTCATGGCCATTTAGACCTTTATTCTAATGACTATTATGTCATGTGTTTATCGAATATATGCGGAAGCTTCATTATCTATCAGAGCTTATACATCAATTTTATGTTTCAATTAAAATCTTCGGTATTGGTGTCTGCATTTTACCAACCCCGGTATCTTTCCTAACCATCAATCCAAGATATTTTCAATGTCTTGATCAACGCATTGCGAGGGTTTGAGCAAACAGCTAATAACTTAGAAATAATTGGCTCCAATTCTCCTGCAATTTACTAACATTTCGTTAAATTGTAGAGAAAATACTTTCAAAATAGCCGAGTTTAACGTTTGATGAAAACATTATCCTTTCCATATTTAAGTTCTTAGCAAAATGAGGTTTCAATTACACACACGTGATTTCCATAAAAATCGGCAATTTGTAACCTAAGCAGCTGATTTTCAGCAATTTAATTTCCAATAAAGGAACCCAATAAAGGCGAAAAGAAAGTTTATGTTTGGTAAACACGAACGCTTGCCGATTGCTGAGAGGATAAACCAACCAATTTGCTGTGGAGACGGACAAGAATGAATGAGGCAATCCCCCGTTGCGGAATACAGGTGCATGGAACATGACCATTTCTACGCATGATCTATGACTCCATTACAGGGGTTGTCTCACACCTTAGCGGACATGCTCGTTCGCCTCCCAAACAAAATAAAGCATACGGCCATAATAGTGTCAAAGATTGGCTTTTGTTTGGTCAATCTAAATCCTACGGCGTCAATAGTATTTTGGTCAGGGTCAAGTAGCGATAAGTACATACAGTGTTAGTGTCACAAACTTTGATTATACAAGAGGTGTCTTTTCTCATACTGCTTTGAAGAAAGAAGGTAGAGTTAAACCTTGAACTTTAAAGCGGAGGGGTCATAGAGTGGTTGAATAGATTTTGTTTCCAGTCATGAACAGCAAATTTTTCTAGAAAGTATAAGACCGTGGGGTAATTCACTCTTGCAAATAGCGTACGAGATTTTCCCTAAAACAAAAGGATTTCCGAGGATTTTTGAGATAAAACAATAGGATTTCCACCAAAGGTGTACGAGATTTTCTTGGAATGATTTGCCCCTCGTATAAGACCATGGTCCTCCTGGACCTCGCTTGCTACATACAGACAATTCCACTGAAACACCGACAAATGATCATAACTCGAAACAAGAATTGCTAAAGTGCAGCATATTCGACCCTTTTTTCAAATCCCCCGCAATTTGAACCGTCTGGTCAACGAAATATGCACGCCATTACTGGTTTGGTAAATGCACAAACTATGCATAAATCATTGTCCTAAAACTATCAGATGATCAGAGTTTACCTCACAGGCTATTGCATTCGCCAAACCTTACACCTTTTAATCGTATAATAAAACGCAAAGGATGAAGTTCATGGGCAGAATTCTGCAACATGTTGAAAACTGGTATGCACATCGTCACTTTTTTATCACATGGTTTTAAAACCCGAGGAGTTGTCACCTATGTTTGGGTATTGGAATAGGATTTTCCAGGCAATATGGCAGCGACACCACAAACAAGGACTAGAACATGGGAGCAGCAAAAACAAGCCTAAATTCTTTAGGGTACAAACTGTTCTATATTTTGAATTGACACGCCCTGCAACGCCCACTGTGGGAAAACGGCTGTTACGAGTTTGGTCAGATTAACCCAATTCGATCAGAATTTAAGGGGAACTAGTTTCCAAATAAATTGCCTTCCATTTAATACAGTGTTACAATTATTTGGCACCTGGGTCATTCCATGTCAAACCACCCAGAGGTTATGACCATCATGTCTTGAATTTTGATTATATTTTAATTATATTAATTATATTTTGCACAATCCTGGCTTCTAATGAAAAAAATGGGTTATCTTGGCAGATATGTTGGTAGCAATGTCCCCTCACCCTCAACAAATACAGAAGGGCCAGTGCTGTCAGAACAAAATTCATATTGTACATATTGCCACCAATCAGTATACTGTTATAAAGGAAATACAACACAGTTTGACAGTTATCGGGGAGGGGAGGCTCCAGTTCTAGTATTTTGAAAGGCAAAGATGGCTGGCAAAGAGGGCCTAATATACTAGACAAGAAAAAGTAGCAAGGTAAATCAAAAACATTTTGCGACAATTGTGAGAAAGCCAGCCAGATGTTTACTTGGTAGCCCAACTGGCCTGGTTCCCACTGTCTCTATCTAACTAATTGTATTTGTTCCCCTTTTAAAACCCTATGGAGATTTTCTGGTGGTTAATAGCAAGGCATTGCTTCATCAGTGGGTGAAAGCCTGCTTGATAAAGTCCTCCTATGCCAACCTCGGAGAATTCGTATGTCAAGAAGTGTCATGTTTGTCATCAGTGGCAGCACCAGCTACTGCAGAGTAGGAGGACAATGGGTGTGACCAATGAAATCTATTGTTGTACCCCATTAGCTATCAATCCGACAAGTGCACTTTCTATTGTCTCTCACCTCTGGAATGTCACAAGTTTGCAGAAAATGCCTGACCCTTGAAAAGCCAGAAGTGAAATTGTGCAGAAGAATGCTGATCTTAAAACAAAAGTTAACAACCACAATAATCCATGACACTAGCAAGTGGCCAGGTTTTTGATAGACATTTGATGCAAAAGTGTAAAATGACAAATTCCCTTGTGGTTTAGTTAACTATATCTGGCTGGAATCTGTAGGCTATAACTCTAAATTCATGTTAAACATGAAAGGTTAATTCCTTGAAGACTCAAATTCTGTACACAAATTGGCCTAAGGTTATTTGAGGTTTGCACTTTAAGGTTCCACTTGGACTCAAGAAAGTTTTCTGATATTTCTCCCATCCTCATCATGCATGTTGAAGTCTAAAATTTTTTACCTGATATGTCAGTATTGCTCAGAATTGCACAGAGAATACAACACAGAGAATAGATTGTCTTCTGGTAAAGTCATAGTTTACAAGAATGTGTCTTTCCCTTATATTTCTAGGGAACCCTTTCAAAGTTGAATAAATTGCCCTGTGGTGTCTTTAAAGATCTGTCGAGTACATAATGGAATGAGACATTCTAGAGAATTATCAACTCAAAGAGCAGCAGGGGATATAGCTATCAATGTATTAAAGAACGTCTTCAAATACAAATCTAAAACTTGACATACTTTGATGTATCAAGCAGGACCCTACTAAACTCTAAGTTTCATGCATAATGCAATCGTCAGGCTACTATGCAACTCAGTGTTGCAAGTAACACCCATTCTGTTATAAGCATGTGCACAGCTCAGCCTCTGCAGCAATGAGCACTTTATGACATGTGTAAACAGTAAATTTTTTTAAATCTCAATTCATATCCTATTCTTCTGCCTTCATGTTTACAGTAAGAATTCCTTTTTCTAAGGTCTACATCACATAATTGTTGTTATTCTGGTATTATACAATAACCTTTAAATAGGTGAACCAGTAGCTGGGGTAGCAAAGGCGAGTTGAGGAAGGGAAAATGGGGGACCACACCCTTGAGGAAGGGAAACGCTCTTTTCAAAGATAATTTTTGCCATTTGGGGGCATCTGCCTCATTTTGCCTCCCCCTCGCTACGCTACTGGGTGAAGTTGATATAGCTGCCCCAAATTTTTTAATTTCACTCTAAATAAACAATTATCTCCAAAATACTTCTAGCTTAAACTTTTATCTGTTCCCATTCATTGCTTTCATTCAAGGTTGGAAATAATGCGAGCAACTCTCAGGGACGAAAACAAGTTGCTAATTTTGGGGGGGCGTGGAAGGATGAAAATTCCAATCTAAGTAAGAAATTTTTCATTTGACCAGTAAATCTACTGTACCTATTAAATTGATATTTGTAAATAGCCCGAACACCATAGTTCTATTTTCTTTATGATTACCAAAACTTTACTCAATAATTAGCCTAAAGCATAAAAGCCTAAATCTCTAAATTTTGATCAACATGAAAGAGACATTTTAACTTACAGTAAGAAGTAAAGCAACATTTAAGCAAAACCAGTATTAGATATACTTAATGATTAGTAGTATTCTTTCAGATCAATTAATCAATTTTATCTAAATTGATCAATTAATCAATTGGCGCAGATCAATCTTATCTAAAATACATTTTTTCACGATATAGAAGCACCAAGAACTTGAGGCTTTAGTTTTTGTTCTTGATCGAAGAAAACTACTAACAATTTTCAGAGGGCCAAATGCCTTTTCATTCTTTACAATTGAAATGATGATTTGAGAACAAACTTGTGCATATGCCTGATCCGAAAGATGAAACACTCTTCTTTGATCAAATACTTCTACTGCAGTTTTTGCAATGTGCTCTTGCTTTACAGCAGTTTTGTCATAGGAATTTATGATAAGGAGCCAAGGGCGTTAACAAATAACAGGGGGAGTTTAGCATAAACTCGTTTTTATAAGAAGCGTTGAGAATTTTTAGTACTGAAAGATTATTAATCTTTTATTGAATTAACTACTCGTAGTTTCTTAAAAAACTCCCACTCTAATGCTTTCTGATCAATACGGGAATTATTATTCCAAACTGTAAAGTTTCAAGTTTCTTATCCGGAAATTCACCTTGCCTGTTCGTAATTTGATTCAACTCCCGTCAGAAAGAAAGCAAACGGGGCAATTGTGCAATTTGGATCCAGTGGAGACGGGATTCACAATAGAAAACGATTAGTGGATGGGTCAGCTTCAGCCTGTGAATTTTAATGTTTAGAATTTTTACATTTAAAATAAAAAAACTTCTTAAAATATAAAATTCACAAGTTTGGTCCTAAGAAAAAATTCCAAGTCAACCGTTATGTTTTCCAACTGTAACTAGATTTTCCAAACTTTGGGGGGGCGTCACGCCCCCCACGCCCCCCTATTATTTACGTGCCTGGCAACTCTACTTGAAATAACAAGATATTTTTCACCATGAAACATTGGCACTATTCCATTTATGACTTGTTGGGGGAATCCACCATAACAAAAGATTCTCATGGAAAACATGTTTTGCCTATGATTTGCTTTTGTATTGGAGACAAGTGTTAATACAAGTCTGCTAATTCCCTGTTACTTTCTTTGCATTAGAACAATATCGCGTGACCACAATAGCAGAATGCTTGAGCAAGTTGTTCACAAGACTTTGGGGGATGCCACCTACAGCAATTTCTGATCATAAAATGGAGAGTCGGCCTTGATCAAATAAATAACTGCAAAGGTTTGCTTCATTTCTCAAGCAAAGTCAAACTGGAATTTTGTTTTCTAAATGACAGTTAGGCCAGCAAACATTTGTAACTTTAGAAGATAACTTGGATATCTGATAGCAACTCTTGCACAATACTTTCTGATTCACGAGGCACTTTGGCATGTACAATCGGAGGGACCTCTTGTTGCAGAGTTTTTTTACAACTCTCTAAGTATTTGAAACTGAAATTTTACTTTGAAATACGCTTTATTTTTCTATGTTGCTTGCTGTTGCATAACTCTGGGCATTTTGTCATGAACTGAAGGTATACTTGTGCCCAGAGCAGAGACAATTGAATCGATAACCAAAGCAACGATAAAACATCATAAGGAAAAGAGTAAAAATAACATAGAAAACAGGTTCATGTTTACCAAGCATGCCCAGACAATCGCCAGACCATGCACAATGAATTTCATCCACCTGCCCATATTTATGGTGATGGTACGATGGATTTTTGACAAACAAGAAAAAAACAGCAAAACACGAAGAGAGTTGCAAACAGCCTAATTTTGGCACTTGCAAATTGTTCTAGTAAATCTGGCACTAGTATCTAGTTACTCTCACTCAAATTCTTCGTAAAGGTGAGTTCATACAAGTGGAGCATTTCTTGTTAGAGGGTTAGTTAGTGTACTCACCATGCCAGAGTGTTGCTTGTGCATCATAAAATGCAGCTACCGAGCTTCTTGCACCTTCCCAAAAATTACTAGCATAAGCATCATAGATTTGGCGTCTTCTGTGTTGGTATATGTGTAAAAATAATGCAGTTCCATACAGCAAGATTAGTATAAAACCAGGTAGAATAAACAGAAGGACTATTGGTGATAGAATGACCATATGCCATTGTATCCACAAATCGAAGACAAAAACACAAAGTGTCGAGAAATGGCTACAGACAGCCGACACCAAGATGCCTCCCCTCTGCAAATATATTTGAGAAATCTGGAGATCTTCAACTATTGCTGTAGCTTCTTCAATCATTTTTGCATCCGGCAGCTCTTAGTCCATTCCTCTACTGGCATAAACTTTGTTATGCGTTGTATGTTAATTTTCCGGGGAATCCTCACTAGTACCCACACCTCTTGAGATACTATTTGATACTGTCTGTTTTTAGAATTTGGCCATCAGCATATTTATAAATTAAGAACACCTTTATTCACAAAACGACATGAATAAGATCACGACATAACTTGCACCCAATAATGAAAATGTTTACGTGCTCGTCATTCAACGGCGTGCTCCCCTCAGTGCATCATGTCACGGCACGGATATCTTGAATTAAAATCATATAAACCATTCATATTTTGATTCATGTGAACACTTCTTTGAAATCACGTGCACAATTTAATGTTTAAAGCCAACCGCGCTGTGCACCATGACGTCACCAATCATTTGGCCTCATCGCTCGACTTGACGTGTTTGGGAGATAACAATAAAGTGGTTACCTTATCTCACCTGTGGAAAGATGAAATGGAATTGACAAAGGTTATGTCAAAATTTTTATAATCATTTTATCCGGGGCACATTTGATGACTCTTCTACCCGGGGCACATTTGTTCCCAAATTCAGAAAAATTGAGCTTTTACCGCAAATTCTTTTTTAGCCCCCAGGGGCTTATTGTCTTTGAGCACTTTAAAGGGGGGCTTATAAGAGAGGGGGGCTAAATTGAGAGAAGGGGCTTAATAAATATTTTGTAATAGAAAATAATTTATAGCGGTAAACTAATTTTTTTTATAAACTAATTTCTATATCATTTATATTGTCATCGTTATCATCATCAATTATCAATTCTAGAATATCTTTTTGGGCCATGTCGCCTTCTGAAATCGAGCATTCAAAATGGGCGACTTCATCCCTCTGAGTACCAACGACCTGTAATTTTGGTAAACGGCTCTCACATGGCCCATGATTAATGCACATTAGATCTTTGTCTTCGGATCTGTAGTGACTGGAAGAAACATGGTGTGAATTTTGATTTGATGCAAAGTATTGAACGACCAAAATGAAAATCTCTGTTTTTGTCAAGTTTACTTATATCAGCATCAGCATCAGTGAAAATTTGGGGGGGGGCCTAAATTGAGAGGGGGGCTAATTAAACTTTTCCTTCTGAAAGAGGGGCTAATAAGAGAGGGGGGCTAAAGAGAATTTATGGTAAGTGGAAAATCTTTCCTATGAATGGACGCCAGGGGATTTAGGTTTAGTCAAATATAATATAACAGAGTCTCTATTCTATTATCTTTGGTTTAGAGCTATAATATGAAAGTTGCGGATTGGAAAACATGAATGGTCATGTGATTTCTCGTGTGCTCTCTCGCATTTGCCCTATATCTTTTCTTCCAAATAAATATAAGATTTACGTGATCAGTTACAGATTGGGAAACGAGCGCCAGTTTGAAAGACACTTAAAATACATTAAATTAATATGTAATGGGCGTTCAAAGGTTTTCAAAAGAGTTTTTCTGGGTAGAGTCTTTCTGAAAAGCCCTGGCATAAAATGTCGAATCTAGAAATAGACGGTTGAGTTTATTCTTGATTGCTTGAGAATCAAAGCCACTGCAAAACCAACAAGAAAGGAGTATGATAGTGTTTTAAATTTTAGATAAATAATCAACAGAAAACCAAAATTATGCACAGAATCTTGAAAATCCTCTAAAGCTGGGGAACTGAATCACTGCCAAAATGTTCTCAGTATCTGATAAAAGTTACAGGGTTTATAAATTACAGGTTTAGAAAAAACATAAAATTCAAGGGTAGAGAAACTTAATTTGTTTTGGTGTTGTATGCGAGTCCTGAGGGGGTAAAAGGGCAAATAGGGTTTGTTATTTTAGGACTGGGATGACCATTGTATTGAATATACTAATTTATTTTACCATGTGGCGAAGGAGGTAAGACAACGCCTAATGGGAAGATTTTTGCCTGAAGAATGGATGAATCTGGGGTTGACCCTCTTAGGTACTCTCTTATACACCAGATTGACTTGGACTGGCTCTGTGCTCTTCGGCTTTAGTGTCGTAGAAGGGGCGATAAAGAGAAACATGCAAAACGTCGATAAGTGGGCTTTTCCATACGAGTCTGGCTTTAAAAGGATACAGAAGAGGTGAGGTTTATTTTAAGATCAGCTCTACACTGATATAGTTGATTGACGCTTTTTCCAAGCATAAATTGCCTCTCGATTTAAACAATTTTTCGATTCTGCGATACATTTAGCAGCATTGGTAGGAAATCCAAATTACATTGCTTCAAGCCACCCCTTGCATCCTGGAAGCAATGGCAAGGACAAGGTTCATTTCGGATTCTTTGTTGGGATCAACGTGCACGCTAAGTCATAGCTAAGTCATTGATCCAACGGATTTTATAGTCCAAAGTATAGATCACAATATGAAGCTGTAAAAATGCTAGTTGGCAAACAGGCCTCTAAACCCTCCCAATACAAAGGTATCGCATAGTAGTTTAACTACTAATATTACGAACATGAAAGAAAGCCTTATGGGAAATAGATGAGAAAAGGGACCAAACAAAGACCAACAACTCTCAGTGCCCTTACGGAGCCAGGCTATTCTTCTAGCCTATTCGATAAGTCAGTGCAAAAAGTCCGCCGTACGTTGACGGAGCAAAATCTTTCTGACCCTGGACATGCAAAAAGTTCAAAAAAGTTTCTCAAAACTAACCACCTAAAATGTTTGATGTAGTTTCGACGATTAACTAAATCATATTAGAAAAAAGAACTGAGTTATTTTTATAAAAATGTGTGCCGGTTCCTGAAATACTGATTTAGTAACGCAATCAAAAAAACGTGAAATGCTTTAATTTGCATTCATAACACAATTTGAGGTAGTTTCGATAAGTTTTTAGCTGATGGTGTGAAAACAGAACCCAGACATTTTTTCATGTTTAGGCTGCCTTACGAGGAAAATAACATTTATTGTACATCTACTTCCCTATCTAGGATTTCCACTTCTTCCCTATCTAGCAATCTTTCGTGTACTCGGAAATCGAAAAGCGAGCTATTTCTAGTAAAAGACTTGTCTTTTTGTTTTGCCCTTTTGAAGGAAAGGCTGATTGGTGGTTTAAGAGTAAATGAGCGGCACTTCGAATAAACGCCCCATTTTAGTTATCTGAGGAGGGACTTAACCGATGAATAATCAGGTTCGAATTCTGTACCGAAAACTGTTCCAGAAAAAGTTGCTCTGGTAAAGTTCCTCCTCGGGTGGTCATTGACAGCACATTCACAAGATGCGTCCCAGTTTTAGACAAAACCCCCTGTATCTCGGAAAAGTATTCTCTCCCGCCAGATCAATAATCAGGTTTGAATTCTGCACCAAAAACTGCCCTAGAAAAAGTTGCTTTGGTTAAGTTCTTTCTCGGGTGGTCAACGACAGCACATTCACAATCTGCGTCCCAGTTTTGGACAAAACGGAAAAATGTTAACTCCCATAAGATCGCTACCAGATTCGAATTCTACACCAAAATCTGGTGTAGGGAAAATTTGATCTGGTAAAGTCCTTCCTCAGGTGGTAATGCCCCCCTTTTTGCGTGTGCACCATATGGTGTGCACTATGTCAGTTGTGTATGGGAGCGTAGCCTTTCCTGCGCTGCGTAGGAGCAATGTATACATATCTCGTTTTCGTTTGTCCTGAAACACAAATCAAATGTTCCAACTCTCTCCGGGAGAAAAACACTGAAAAATAGTAAGAATTTGACGGAACATTATTATTCATAAAGCAAGGTGTCATTTAGCTTGCCTAGAGGATTCCGTGATGGTAAAACAGAGGGCTGGATTTAACAACAGATTATCGTGCTCAAACTTATCTTGCCGTCACCTCTACCCGCTTGGCCAGTGAAGATAAACATGTTGTCCTAATTGAAAGACATCTGGTAGAAGGCGTGTGTTGGAATTTCATAGAGCACTCGTTTTCAGCTGGTTTCAAGGTATGCTAGCACGTTTCATACTTATTTGTATCAAAAACAGCTGAGTCGCATAGAAAAGCAACGCATATTTACCTCTGTGTTGAAAGCAACTGAGTTTTTTCAATGGATAGTGTTTCCAGATTTCTCCACACGTATTTGCACGAATAGGCTTGTAGCTCTCTAAAACAAACACCAAGAAACTCATTGCTCGAAAAACATATTTGCTCGAATCATAACAGTTTCATATTTTAAAAATTGATAATATAGAGGCCTAGGATCATAACTTAATGTTATGGAAAGTATTGCTTGATAGTTTCAACGCTATTTGGGTGGCAAAATTCACAGACTTCCTTCTTTCCTTATTTGTCTTTGCAAGGGGTACAGCAAGCCTATATTTTAGGGTGGGAAAACTATCAGCTTGAAAAATAAAAGGTGAAATCTGATAAGAATGGATTTTTTTGTGGACTAAAACTCAAGAAATTGATAAAATCTGACATTTGATAAATTGATAGAAAAATATGCATTGCTCAACAATTTGAAAAAGCTTTCTTGAGATTTTAGATGAGCTGAATAGAGCACTAAATTGAAGAGCTGAAGAGCTTGTTTCTTTCCAATAAGTTATTTTCTTGATTTTGAAAAATTTCAAAATTGTCCACCTTCTGAAACCTTGGCCTATTGGATACACAAGATTTGAAATCTGTCTTTTGGTCATCAAGCATAAAGTAAGACCTTCAAAAAAATGTATGCTGAATGCAGTATAGAAAATTTATTTGGGAAAAAAGTAAGGAAAATTTCCTCTTCCCTTTTGATTCCCTTTGAGATAAGCTATTCTTTCACTTATCTTTAGAAATGGAATATGAATTTTCTCTGGCATAACCCTTTAAAATTCATCTTCCTTGCTTATGCATTGTGAATTAATTCATCAGTTTTTTTAATCTTAAAATCTTTTTTTCCGTAGGAAGTTCTCAGATTTACATGTCAATCAAAGAGATATTAAAAAAGGGCCACTGATTGTCAAATCAGAAATTGGAAATTATGGCAGCCAGAGCTATCCCCCATGTAAATAGAGACAGCATTTTAGATTCTGGTGAATTTCTTATGACAAGATCACTTTTTATCAAGAGTTTTAAAGAAGTTCATCCTGAAGAATGTGACCTGCAAGTATCAAATGAAACTACTGATAAGCCACAAGGTTTAGATCAAGTTGATGCAGAAATCAACAGGAAAGTTGGCAGTGTTAAACCAGACAAAGCTTCAGTGTTGGATGCTTTGTTTTCAATAGGTGCCATTGGAACATATGTGGCTGACATAACAACAGATATACTTGTTGCTAGGCAACATTATCAAAATGGTGACACAGTCTGGTTTATTTTGACTTGTGTTTTCATCATCGTCCCTTCTATGATCATGCAGATGTTTTCATGTAAATGGTTTAATGAAGATTATCTGAATCAAACCTGGTGGACATACATGTTGCATTTCTTACAGCTTGGCACCATTGAGAGGTAATTAATAGCATTTTCTATGCATTGGGAGGTAATACTTAATCTATCTTTTTTTTGCATGGCATCATGGTTCTTATCAAATGGTACCTAGAGTTAATTGCAATTGGCTCATTTTATTTCAAGGTGATGCAAAGACAAGCCTGTTAATTTTTCAGATGTTTGGAGAAAAGTGCAACTGGGTACTAAACATTTGGATAAGGATCATGACAAAAATCCTTCTGTAGATGTTGTCATGGTCCAAAATTATAATGAAGTAGGACTGAGCCATGAAGTAGTATTTATTTAATATTGGCTGTTACAATGTGGAATGTTTCAACAAAAAGCCAATTTAAACCACTATTGTGAGAGACTCGGGCTTAGGAGTAATTTTTGGCGGTACCAAAGTTGGTACAAAAGTTGAATATGGCTTTGCAAAAAGGAAATGTTTTACAGCATACTAAAAACCAAGTGTATGAAATGCCAGAATAAGGGTCCAGAAGCACAATATGGAGAATATTACCCAGTTTTAGATAGAAATGGGCCAATCAGAAAAATGCTAGCTCATAACGGATAGTGTTTCTGATATCATTTTAAAAATGCTCAAAGTCATATATTACAACAGTAATTGTCTTATCCACATCATGGCTTGGTTTTGGAACTCTTGTTCTACTTTAGGCCATGATTTGTTGTTATTAATGAAATAAGCAAGAGTATTAACAACCCTTTGCTTATATTTCCTTATTCTGATGTTTTATACTCTGAGGAATGTCAGACAAATAACTTCAAGTTTGTCGCAAAATGTTTGCTTTTTCCAAAGACATGACATGATGATTCTGTTCATTGATGTCATCCTCAACCTCTGAAATTTTCTACTGTTGTAGCATGTCTGAAAACAGAGGTTCCACTAACTGTCATAATATAAGGCCTAAGAAAATGACCACATAGCTTTGAAATATGAAAATCATGACATATTTGCATGAGGCAAGGGGGGGCTGCAGCCCCTTAAATGTGGCAAAATCATCCAAATTTACAGCTAATCAAGCAAATGAATAACTAACTCTTTTAAAAAAGTTCCAAAGCACAATAGGCAAGCATCAAGAACCTTTACATCATTGTCGCCCCTCTATACCATGAATCTAGTCATGAGATTATCTTGTCCTCGTTACAAATTGTTTTCTAGTACTTTTGTTGATTTTCAGCAATCAGCATGGTCTTTTCTAAACAAAATCACCTGAGAGGTTAATCCAAGGGACACAGATCTGGCATAATCAATAAGAAGTGGGTGGTCAACCGAGTAGGAGGGGCAATTGCCCCCTCTGTTTGTTTGTGTGTTAAAATATTTCCCTGGCAGATCTACATCAACCAATAAATATATTTTTGGGGTCTTTATAGATTTCCCATACATAATTCAGTTGTCTCAGCCGTCTAGCATGATATTGGCTACCCTTTACCAAACTATCGTCACAATGCCAAGTTTGTCATCAAGAGTCTTGCCGCTAGAGTAACAGGTTTTATAGATCTCAATAATGGGGGACTATTATCAGGGATGCCGGAGAAGAGGGGCGCGGGGATCAACCGCCCATGTTGCCTTCTGATAGGAGGGGCAAGAGGGGCCAGAGTGCCCTTTTCATTAATGTGACCTTGAAAGCGGTTAATTGTAATAATCAGAGAGATTCACATGAAACTCTGATTTCAATGCTTAATTCATGACGACATTTCTCAAAACTTGTAAAATAAATCTTTATGCGACACCTACAGAATATAAAATGGCAGTTACAAAGGATTTATTAGAAGCTGGGAGTTTTCTTTTAAGTGCGGCTTCATTAGCCCTCTTGTTTTTTGGTCGTCCCGGCGCCCCTGCCTATTATGCGCCTTCACGGCCTTCACCTTGTTTCTACGTGCGACCTACGGATTTCGCAGTAGGTATTCTGCGGATTACGGCTTCATTATAAGACATGTCTTGTGTTTTTCGGTGAAATTGGCCACGGTTTGCGGCTTTTAGTATGTAGAAATGTTTTCAAAAAATATGCAATCAATAGATGTGCTTTACGCTGAGGCTTCCGTATTTTTTGTGAAATCTTGGCATTATTCATTATTGTTATCTAGAACTTATTTTACACGGATTTATTTTCTTTTCTCTTCTGTAGATACCTCTTGGCATTCTGGTATGGCCTAAAGACAAGATTTACTGTTCCAGTCTTACATTCAGACTATATTCGATACTTGACCGAGTGGAGAGACATAACGCTTCTTCGTCTCATCGAAGGATTCTTGGAAGCTGCTCCGCAGATGATTCTGCAGCTATACATCTTAGCCTCACAGAAGGAATTCATACTCGATCGCGATTGGCTTACAGCAACTTCAGCCGTTGTGTCAATCATATCTCTCTCGTGGGCCATCGTCTCATACTCGCAGATGCTTCGTTTGTGTCTCAATGACAGAGCCCTCTCCTTTTGTGGCTATGGCTTTCAAATCTTGTATCGACTATTAATGGTTGCATCTCGAGTAACTGTCTTAGTTTTATTTGCTTCTGCTTTTAAAGAATACATATTCTTGGTTGTCGTTGGTCATTGTGCAATGATGTTTGCCTGGCTTAGTTGCATTGATGCCACACACTATTCGGTTGACCGGGACGAGCCATTCCTCGAGAAGATATTTACACTTGTAGTCTCCGTGATTTATTTGTTCTGCTTTTTGAGCGTGCATCCGGCAACAACGAAGAGGCAGATTTCTATATATTACAGTATAGTGTTGGTTGAAAGCGCCGCCATGATGTCTGCTTGGTTTCCTTATAGGACCCTAGATGGTGTTTTGATGTACGCTTCGTTTGGACTGGTTTTTGGTGGTTTCTTTTTTGGACTGCTCTGTATGATGTTGTACTATAAGTATTTCCATCCGAACCAAGATGTGACAGCCGGTTGGATTTGTTGCTTGTGGTTCTCTAATGACAGCGGTAGAGGTAACAGCGAACTGGAAGAATCTACGTTGAAGAATGTATCATTTTCTTATGATGATAACGATAAAGAGCTTGTTGTCATCAAAGTCAGGCAGCGGAGTGGTAGCCAAACTGGCGGGCAGAAAACCCCGGATCCCGATTCTGAAAATCGCTTGTCTTTACCAGTAGAATTAATGCGTCCGCATTCTCCCTCAAAAAACAGAGGTGATGTTGATCATATAGAGCTTGAAGGAGAAAGAGACGAGAAACAAACAAGTGCGAATGGCGATACATTAAAATGTTCCAGCTCGTTTGACAGAGACAAGAATCATAGAACTGTGTTTTCTGATGGAGAACTAGAGACCTGCATTGACCGGGGTGTCTTGCCTAGAACGGGGTATGTTGCTTACAGTCCGGTTAACAACGGTGGACGAGACTTTCAACACAAGAAACGGCCTAAATGGAAGGCACGTGTTAGCAAAACAGTAATGACAAATGCTAATTGTTTGTATCCGGAAGACGGTACCATCGAAAACAAAGCGAAGCTTGGTGAATTAAAAATGGGAATGGAGTTGGAAACAACCGAATGGGATATTTCGAATTTTGATAAGAATTCCAACAAACTAGGAAAGAAAAGAAGTACGAGGTCAACTAAAGGTGAAATGTTTGAGCAGAGGCCTTTGCTTCAAAGACAGGGCTCGAAAGATGATTACTTTACCATAAATACAACGTCGTCTCAAGATGAATTGCAGAAACATCGACGAAGAAGCCTCTCAGCATTGCCATGATTAATTCAACCTAAGATTTTTTCTGTCATGCCGCGATCAATTCAAGAAATAAAGCTTCTGCCATGATCAAATCAAGCATGAATGTTTTCTTGTCATGACATCACCAAATCCTTCTTGAAGTCTTTTTCTAATGAAGTGGTGGTTGAATCAAGTATATGTGCCTTCTAATTCTTACCTTTTTTTTATACCCTGTTCCAATAAGGCATAAATTTCCCTCCACAATATCGTGTTTCAGTTAAGTATTTGTGACTGCTTGTAATGCCGTGATTAAACCTTTAACTATAACCTCAATATTAAGCCCCAATCCTTCACTCTTTCATGACATCGAATTCCAAATTAAGCTGAATCTATTTCCAAAAATAAGCATGACTGTTTGATCTTTATCTCGTTGGTTACTATGGCACTTGGTGGAAGTAACGTTGGTAACAGTTTTAGTTTAGGCACCACTATGGAGAAGATATAACGCGATCACATGTTTCGTTCACAATTACCAATAAATGCTAGGAATATAAGAAAAACCGAATACCTCAATTCCCATGTCGTGTTCCCACATAAATAAAATTCTGTACGGCAGTAGGGTAGTAAAGACATCAAATTTCACCTTATCGTCTTTCAAGTCAGTAAGCCATCATGCGAAATGCCCTAGCACATTGAATAAGGGGACATATAAGCGTTTACCAAATGAGCCTTAGAAAATGGAATGAGCTTTTTTGATTTACTATCAGGTTCTTCTCAGCATGGAATTTTTTTGGAATCTAATCGTAAATTATTACCAAAAATTTTAGGCACGTTCTCCCCTCTCCTTCCTTAAACACTGCTGGTAAACTACATAGTGATGTAAACAATGTACATTTGTTATCTAACATTATTATGTTAGATATTAGCAATTGACATTGTTTTGGGAGGAGGCGGTAGTAGTGGCGAGAAGAACAGGAGAATAATATTGTCTTGTTACTAGATTGTTACGACGTTCATCAATCATCGCAATCATATATATAAAATAATAGTGAGTCTGGTACCCAGGGTACCAATTGCTCTGAACGTACTAAGAAATGAGTGGTCATTAAGTAAGCTTAGATTTATGCAGTCATTTCTTATCAATTTCAATATGTGCAATGACGAAGGAAGCATCCGCAAAATGGGGGTGGCACATTTGTTGTGTGGCAATATTACGATGCCATGAAATCTATGTTTTTAATTGTATAAATGGACTGGATGACTTGAAATTACGCCATGGAATATAACTAAAATTGAAAAATCAGTTTAATATGTGGCGATTTGGAAAAGGTGCGGCAACATGGACACATGCTCTTTCCCATTCAAATCAAATCCACTAGAAAGCTTCCCTTTTCACAATTTCAAGATGACAAGAACCAAAAATGGTTATATGGCCGAAATGCTAGATTGTGGTTATATGTCCGAAGTTCAGAATTCTAAAAGCAAATTTTGAAAGCGTGATCTCTATTTAGAAGGACTTGAGGGACGCCAGTTTACCAACGACAGGGGGGTCAATCACTTACTCAATTCAAGATATTAGTAAGATATGTTTATGAAAGATATATTTGAGTCCCATGATCAGCGAGTCACCCCCCCCCCCCCATCCATAGCTTCATTTCATATATACTTGCAGTGAACTCTAATAAAGACTCAGGGGGCTACCTCAATCCTTAGAAAACTGGCAGACAATTGTGCCTCCAACAATCGTTTATTGGATAACATTGTAGTTAGTTAGAATTATCTCATAGATTGATCTTTTATGACGTTCCTTCGAAAGCTTTAGCCTTGTATTGCTTTGTTAAAAAAATGAAATTTAGATTCTGCTAAGCTTTTCAATTTGCTTTTTCCATGAAGAAATTAGCTTTAAAAAATTACTGCAGCTTTAATAGATTTACCTTTTCTTGAATTTAATCGATTTACCGTATTTCCCACAAATAGGTATATAATACTATTTTAAATCAGAGAAATTGTCGTTTTTGTATTTATGATTCAAAACCATGGGTTCTTCAAATGCGTTTTTCTGGAGGTTTCTTGAACGTTGCAGTTAAGTTAAAACTAATGATGTGCTCGCATTTCTGTTTGGCATACAGTGGAATCTCGATATAATGAACTCTGAAGGGAACCAGAAAACAGTTCGTTATATCGGGATTTCGTTAAACAGGGAGAAAACGTTTTTTAAAGATCTTTTCGCAGTTCACACTTTAAAAACCTGCGATGGGCTTGTTTAGGCTATCGCCAACTACTGTGCACATTTAATTCTAATCAGAACCAAGCTGAATTCAAATGTTAGCCATTTAAAATGAAAATCTTTATGTTCCTCTTATTTTTTGGGACCAAGAGATTGGCTGGTATCAACTTCCAAGAGCTGGTATCACTTCACTTCTAGTTGGCGGCTGAATGACTTCTTCAATTACTTCACATTATATTTGTCTTCTGCTTCTCCATCTGGGTCTCTCAATAAAAGTTTGCCATCACTCATTGCCAATGTCTCATATGTAAAGAGATATTCGTATTGTCAATGTAGTCATTCGCAGTAATTTCTGACACAATCAAACTTTCAGTAAGATTGGCATGTTTTGTCGATTATAAAAATGATTTCCCACCAGATTAAGTGATAAATGAATACCGAAAACAAATAAATAAAAATAAGAGATGAAAAATATATGAAAAGTTCGTTATATCGAGGGTAATTATGATGAAAGGACCTAATAATTGGTTCGCAATAACGAGAGTTCGTCATAGCCGGGGTTCGTTATACCGAGAGAATTAATAAGGACTTGTTAGGCAGGATCCAAAGGACCAGCCATTGAGTTCGTTATACCGGGAAGTTCGTTATATCCGGGGTTCGTTATATCGGGATTCCATTGTATTTCAATCTGGGTACAGACGCTTGTGTCATTTTTATAATCTACGGAAAACAGGTTCACCTGGGTACCTCTTTGCTGAAATACCGCCAGAACGAGAATAATCTTAAAACTTAAGACACCCTCGCGTATACGACCAGAATGTCGGCAGAACTATTCGTTTCTCGTATACCTGCTTCCAAAACGTTCTTTGTGAATTGAACCTTCTAGATGATGACATCAAAAATTCACAATCCATATCCAAGTTTAAACGGAAACTACTTCCAATTATAAAAACCATTTTTGATGTCTTTGGTATAGAAGGTAACAAAAAGTTGACAAAGCTGCGTGTAAAGTTCAGCCCCCTGAATGAGAACAGATCTCGACACAACTTTGATTGTAGTAACCCAACTTGTATGTGTGGGAGAGGCATTGAGGATAACGAACACTTTTACCTGCACAGCCATCAGTTTGACTCGATGCGTAGAGATCTAATTTGCTTGGAAGCAAAGATCTAAACTTAGCTGAAAGCAGATTCATCATAGAAGGAACAATTTCATTCATCGAAACAATAAAGCGTTTTGACCCAATGCTTCGATCTATCTTCTGACGTTTTATACTCTAAAGAGTGTCAGACAAGAAGCATCAGTATGATTCAAAATGTTTGCTTTTTTCAAAGACATTTTCAAATTCTGTACCACAAAAAGACTGTTTGAAATTGATGAAATAAAGTTCACCAGGTATTGACAGACCGTGCGAATGTGATTATATAGCGGTATTAAAACTTACAGTTCAAAAATAGTATATAATGCGCTCTAAGGACTCCAGTTGGGTTTGCTAATGAATTTTCTCAACTATTTCCCAAACAGGCCCGAAAGCCTGGTCACTTCTTTAGAAAGAGAACAGCCTCTTCGATCTTGCAGGTCTAAAAACACAGCAAAAACTAGTGACTGTGCCATCGCTTAACAATTTTTAGACGACCAAGATTGTGTAAACTCTCTTTCAGATAATTGGCAGAGCCCGGTCGTCTTTACATTTAGCAGTTCTTTAATTGATCTATATGCAAACGAATAAACTGCGATTGTGTAATCAAAAGAACTTCGTTTTCTCTCTTGGACTCCAGTGGTAATTTTCTATAGGCACGCAGCACTGATTGGACAACTATGCCGTTCATGTGCTTGCGTTCTTCTGTTTGGCCTACTTAGATCTGCAACTGAGTATATATTTTCCATCGTGTTCCTTCGGACCTGACGTTTTATGCTCTGAGGAAAGTTGGACGAAAAAGCTTTTAGTAGTATGTTGATGTTCTTTAATCGAAAATGTTCTTTAGCACACCAAAAAACTTTCGTTTGTATGCCTTTGCCTGGAAGACCTCGAATATGACTAGGGTTTGGCTTACTTCTCTACATCTTTGAAGCTCACTTTTCCAGTCCACTGAACAGGCGTAGGCAGTCTTAGTTGGTGACTCGAGGCAACGTTATTACCATCAAAACAAGGAAACAGATCCTGCGCGATGGATTAAGGTTTCAAGTGAGAGTGAAATTCAAATACTTTTACCTTAACATAATCTTAAGAATAATTTGTTTTAATTTCGAATGTACTTTATACAAACCTGTCAAGCCCGGGGGTGAACATAATACATTGACTACACGAGGATGTGCCTGCCAACATGGTGTTATTTTTGGCTTAAAATTCAAGGACTAGATTATAATTTTTGTCTACTTTTACCGGCGCAGATATGTCAATTAAAGATATCATGTTTTCAGGTATCATGTTTTTAGAAATTCATTCCAGCACAGGCATCATGTTTTCAGAATTTTATTCCTGGATAGGATCATAAAATCTTTTCTGATAGCCACATACCCGTCAATTTTCTCAAAAGCAGCTCCTGGACTGTCAGGTAGACGCTAGGGAAAAAGACGAGGACGAAGACAAGGATGAGGAGGAAGACACAGACAAAGACAATGTCGATAAGTACTATCATAGTGGGGATTAAGACTTGGATGAAAACAAACGAAAGCTGAAATTATCTACTAAATGAAATTTTACCTTGTTGATGAATTTGGACTGTTGACACTGAACTTCTTGCGATTATAAGGCAATAGGTGCTTCGAAAAATGAGGATCAAATGAATTTTATCAGGGATAATTTTACAAAGGATGTTGTAGAATTTGTTTTCTAGGGGTCCTTAATTTTAGCTGATTTGTGTCATTCTTCTTTGGGTGTCAATTTTCATGCTTTTTTCGGTATTATTATGATTTCTTCTTTGCTGATTACTTTATGCCATTAGGAATTATAGAGAAAAGGAGTTCTGTAGTTTGGGCTTCTGCACGGAAGTGTTGGTCCCTTGACTCAGACGAGTGTATTTAATTGCTTTGGGTTGGGACTTATCATGTTTGTTTGGTATGCTGTTTCACGCTGTTCTATTCTCGCGTCCCTCCCTTTCCTTTTCGTATTAATCAAGGTGTGTTTATTTAACTCTATATTAATTCTTTGTTCTCTTAGAAGTTAGGGCCTATTCACATCACAGGATTCTATCAAAAATTTATGTTGTTGTTGCGTCTAGGATTGACTCGGCTCTTAATTCAGTCATGTTTTCTCTTCCCACTCATATCTTCGCTATCTAAGGCAGGACTGGTGCATGGGCTCTATGGTGGGAACAATTTTCTTTTCCAATCCCTGCCCAGAACTTTAAGCTGCTTGTTCTTTAGTCTATCAAGCTATATTAAAGGTTACGTTTTTTGTATGGGTTAGGTGAAGCAACTTGTGCCGATGCACAAACGGCCCAACGTTGCTCTCTGTTATTAGGGAATGTAGCCTCAACACCTGATTTGATGAGGGATGTGGCAACGTCTTCTGAGAGAGCAATTTTATTAAGTTGGTGAAAATATTTTGTTGATGTTTTTCTCTGATAACGAAATTATAAATAAATAAACCCTAGTAATAATCAAGGATATGGATGAGGACGAGGACGAAAACAAAGACGAAGACGTGGAAAAAAACGAGGACGAGAACGAAAACGAAGATGAAAACGAGTAAGAAGACGAATACGAAGACGAGTACGAAGACGAGAACTAAGACGAGGAAGAAGACGAAGACGAGAACGAAGACGATGACGAGGACGAAGACGAGGATGAAGACGAGGAAGAAGACGAAGACGAGAACGAAGACGATGACGAGGACGAAGACGAGGATGAAGACGAGGAAGAAGACGAAGACGAGAACGAAGACGATGACGAGGACGAAGACGAGGATGAAGACGAGGAAGAAGACGAAGACGAGAACGAAGACGATGACGAGGACGAAGACGAGGATGAAGACGAGGACGAAGATGAGAATGAAGATGAGGGTGAAGATGAAGACTATGAAGAGGATGAAAACAAGGCTGAGAACAAAGAATGAGACGAAGATGAGGATGAGAAAGAAAAAGAGAGAGAGAACACGACTGAAAGCTTTAATTATCTGCGGAATGAAATTGTCTGATGATTTTAGCAATTTTCACTGAATGCTTTGCTCTTTGCAGTTTTGTTAACTTTTTGTATTTGTTAGGAAATAGATTTTTAAAAAAAAATAAATAATCCCATAGCAAGAATAAAACCTCCCAGTAATTTTATGGAATGGCGCTGCCGATGATAAGTAGTTCGCAATTACTGCGACAAACCAAAATCTTCATATGAACTTTCACCGACAAGCCCAAACTTACCGGTGGGTTCCTCAAAAACACCCCCACGCCCCTGATATTTGATTTGTGCAAAAATCATAAAGATACGGCTTGAGATATCTTGAGGTGTTGTATGATTGACTAAGTCACATGGTAGCCATTCAAGACCATCGACAGGTAGAAAAGTGGCTTAGGCCATGTGTCAATCAATATTAGCCAATCAATACCTGTTGAGTGGAATCGCGCTCACTGATTGGCCAATTCTTGATTAAAAGAGGGTTTAAGCATCTTTTGGCATCTGTCGCTTGCCTTTAAGGTTACACTAATGTGAAAATTTCGGAGCCCTCTTCTTGAAACAGCCGAGAAAAAATTCTCGAAACTTCAAGAAACGACAAGGTCGATCTTGTGCTGCACGTAAGAATCTCTTCCCAGGCATCATGGGATTGATCATCGCATGTCGATTATGTGTACTTGGACTTTGAACGCAAAAATCATGGACACGCCAAATGATTGCAAGCATGCATATAAAGTACAACCTATTACCATTCTCCCCCATTTAAAGATGGGGCTCAATGTATTTCGACATTGACGTTAAAACGGGTGGAGGCGTTGTAATATCTAAACACTGTCCGACCACGATTATAGGCCTAAAAATTGAACAGTTCTATGCTGCAATGTTTCAGCACGAATGGACTGATCTGCCAGCGATGTATTGAGCATAGACGAGTTCAAAATGTTTAGTAAACAAATTTGCAGTTTGTCAACTGATAACATTTTTAACGCTCACACAAAGTACGCCATATTAGCGGAATTCACTAACCTTGATGCTTGAAATGATGCCTTCTTCGTGCCAAATCTTCAGGAATCTAACTTTATTTCCAGCACTCATCTGGTCTAAAGTTGAACTAAGTTGAAACGTTGTAAATTGTCTTTGCTACTGCCCTTGAGATCTCCTTTTATCCAAAACGCACAATGAAAATGCAAATCCAGCCCACTTGAGACTTTATGGCATGCCTTCAGTGGTGTAGTGTTATCACAATAACAAGGGGAGCTCTTGCACAAAATATTGCGAGAGACAATAGCAAAAGTAGTAATAGGCCCATTTTCGGCATTAACAAGGGGGTGGGGGCTCCCCTGAGCCTTCTAGCACTACACCTCTGCATGCCTTTCTAGTAAACTACACAAAAAACTACAATCCAAAGTTGCTTGGAACACCAAGCAGTCAAAATTCTTAATAATTCAAAAATAATAATAATAATAATAATAATTCAAAATAATTCAAAAATTCTTAAAAGTATCAACAACACCCTTCAAAAATTTCTTACCAATGGATGAAATAGAAATAAAAAGATTGGCTAAAATTATAGCACCAGCTTGTGATACCCAGTAGTTGGGTAACTGCTCCGAAATGGAGATTTAGCTTCAATTATTATTATTATTATTTATAGTCAACGCCGTGTTTTTATCCCATACTGGCGTTGTAATATTTCTGTGCCCCATTCCCCTAAGGATAATGTTATCGAGTTAGCAAAAATCAGTCACAAGAAAATGTTCACATCCTAATCTCCCACGTTGTTTTAAAGAAACCAATATAATTCGCAGAGGGAGATAGACTTGCCCTCTGGCTCCATCAAACCTCTGTAATTTGGGCTCAGTTCATAACTTTATGAACTGAGCCAAAATACATGTAATCCGTTAGCAAACTTCGAATCTTCTATTGGCCATAGCTCACCTGATATTTAACAAATATAACTGATTTGGCATATACGGGAGTATTTTATGGTGTTGTTTCATGTTATGTGGTCAAAATTTGAAAATTATAAAAATAGCTTTTTGTGACGTCACAGTTGAGAACTCTATTCGAAACGACTTGAGGCAAGTCTCAGGGAGAAAGACGATGATTGAATTCGCTCTTGAAAATTGAAATCAGACTTTCGGCGGGGGATGTAGATGGGTTTCCGGATGGGCAAAACATATCTAGCCAATGGTAGGAAAGAACAACTCTATGGCGATAAAAATAGCAACACGATTGTTAGCAAACATTTATGTTACGTAAGATGCCTACTCACACGTATATAGGACACAGGGCTAAAGGTTTATGTTGCATAGTTGACACACTTACATTGGCTAGCTTTCTCATCAGTGCTGCGTCACATCTTTTAGCATAATTCACCAAATTTTCGCCTATGATTTATAACATAACATATTGCTTTTTGAATGGAAGGAAAAGACAAAATCAACACTGAGCACCGTATGCCCCAAGAATAACAATAGTCTGTTCATGAACGGCCACACGCGTAAATCAATAAACAGGCGATTCGGCTTCTTGCTTCAATATCAGAAGTCTTGACGTTAAGACCAATGATCTACGAGGTTTTTGATAAACAAAAATAAAATTGCAAAGGAATTAGGTTTTAACATGTTCGGAACAATTTATAGCCTAATCGGAGGGTGCTTGAAATTGAGGACGAAAGACAAAAATAGCGACAAAATTCTATTGCCCAACTCAAATGCCCAACATGCAACACCCATCTTTCAAAGGGACCTTCTTTATAGGCCATTCGAAAAAGCTTTCGATTAGCAATCCCCAAAATGCCCGAGAGGTCACGGTTACTTTTAGCAAAGATAAAGAGAATCATAGTTGTCGAAAAGTGTTCTTCGTTCATCTAGATAATACCCTTAAGCTTTGAAAACTTTCCTCAGAAAAGCGATAAAAAATTTAGGGCTTGGGTGTGGCCAGGCGCGAAGGAACCGAATATTGTCAGGGGGTGCAGATCTCTAGATTTGCCGACAAAAATGGCGCTCCTAAGATGTGCCTGCTTCCATAGAAATCTTGAGCCATTTGCGAATACACAGACAACTGTTTTAGGCAGGAATGGAGTACATAAGATTCGTGAAATGGCTTGTCACTATTAATATATATTCGAACCTTAATAGTTTGGAGCAATATATAACAGAATTAGAATCTAAAAGTTTGCCGAAAAGTCCAAAGTTGAGGGACGGGGGAGGGTGCCACACCCTCTACACCCCCTTTGACCACGCCTTTGGCCACGGCTGGTTGTTTTTAGCATTCAAGTTTGTTTTTGCTGGCCTTTCTTACCTTCCAAGAAGATCGTTCAAGAAAACGATGACATAAATGCCTCGGTTAGGACATCAGCTTTCTCTTACTATCAACGCAATAAGCAAGGGAACAAATTATTTTTAAAAATCGATCTGCAGGTGAGAAAACGAACACCTCACGAAAATGAAACGCAACCTGATCTACACAAAAACAAGACACGCACTAATCTTGTACACTAAAAATCCATATAATCAAGATTTTCATAACAATCCGTAATTAATTCCTATTTACAGCCAAAATCTCCACGTACCTTCAAATTTATGCCCATGTACATTAAAAATTTATGTATTCGAGGCAATTGTTAAATTCTGGTAATTTTGAAGGTTCCTTCATTACTTAGTTTTCAACAAGTCGAATTATCAAGAACAGAGGCAAAGCAGAAAAAAATGGAAGAGGATGTCTTGTCGAAAAATTAGTTCACCCAAATCCGATACTAATAAAAATAATGATGGTAATACATGATTTGGAGGGAGGGGGTAAATACTTGCGCACTGCATTTAGATCGGTGTATCATTAAAATGTTGTAGGAAAGGGGGTGTTTCGGTGATATAAAGGTGCATGGCATAGGGTACATATGCATACTGTGTAGAATATCGAACACCTTTAAGAACAAACATATAACTGACTGTAAAACACAATTTCTGTAAACTATTCCCTAAATTCCAAAGAAAAACTTTTGCAATTTATTCAAAAACTGGGCATTGTCCTCTTGAAGCCAGTCTCTGGTGAAGTCCCGCAAAAGTGGTCTATAAGCGCGTCCGACCCCAAATAACCCTGTAACCAATGGAATCAATGATCCTAAGGTTATATGTGGTATATTGAAAGTACTGCAGCTGCAATACTTTTTATGTCTCTCATGCCATGTAGCTATTATACAGAAATAAGGTCTTTAGTGTGTCATAACTAAGATAGGAGGGCATCAGAACTTAAGGTTAGTTTCATTGTAATCGCCCTGCCAATAACGCGAAAGAGAATCATTGGCCAGTGAAAAGGCTCAGCACTTTACATGGTCTTTAAATACTCGAAATTTGCAAATAAATGTCAGTTTCTGATGCGATTCGCCTGGACGAAAACAACTGCGAAGTTCTTTTTTATTAGTTCTCTGTGAAGGTCTCCGTATACTCGAAGAGCTCTGATTTTCTCCGTAAAAATGTCGAGATACAATGGAATTAACTTAAATTGTAACGAATCTATAAACTTGCATACAGCTTAGGACATAAAAATGGCGTCATAATTATTCAAGGGTCTTTTTTAATATCAATGATATGACAACATTTGACAGATAAAATTGTTTTTACTTGATAGGCCGAAATGCGTATGTAGTCAACTCTGTACGACAATAAAAACACCCCACGTAGCAGTTTACCTTATTCATCGAGCTCAAAAATCAATGAGTTCGTTAATTGTTCGCTTGGAGAACAAGTCCGTTCTTCTTCCTTTTGAGTCCTTTCGTCTTTTCGTTCCGCTTTCTTTTTCTTCTTTGGCTTTCGATTTAATTTTGCCGTTGAATTATTTGTTGCTGGATCATGCACTGAATCTCCATTTGGAATTTCTTTTGGCGTGACGTCATTCGAAACCTCGCTTTCTTTTTCTGTCTCGCTCTCAGTTTCTCGAATCTTGCCTGAATCTTTTCTAAAGCCATTGAAGAAATTCATGTTTTTGCCACTTTTGGAGCCTATAAGGAATATAAAATTGACAAAATGCTGTAAGGTTAGGAATCAACTTGCATTATCAAACTGTTACAAACTGCAACAAATCCGAGTTGAGAGAACCATCGTTATAAACCTATCTGTTCAGATGAAGATCAAGGTTCTGACAAACGAGCCAACGTTTGTGAAAACCATTGTTTTAAAACTAACCAAAACATGAAAACAGCTAGCGAAGAGCAAAACTCTCCTCAAACGGTGAGTAACGCAGTAGGATTTTAGGCCGGCGATACAATAATGACAGTTCGTTTGCTAATGGATTCAACAGCAGCAACGTTAAGCTAATGTTCTCCTATATATTCCGGATATATATTAAAATGTAGCATATTTCTCCTATATATTCCGCAAGCTTAAATTTATTCTGTTTTTAAATTTTGTCTCCATGTAGGGTTTTTGCTTTGAAATAACAAAAGTGCTTATGGTCTGATGAAAATGGTTATCTAAGAAAGGAAGTTGTTCCAAAAGCTTTCACATTTTTGCAACTTTTGCCAACATCCAACACAACCAGGCAGTTGAGAACAGTACGATTCAGCTTAGAAAAGGACATACTAAACACTCAAATTAAAAAAATAGAATCAATCTTACTACACAAACATTGCTATACATCAACTGGCTTTTCTATTGCAGGTTTAAAAAACACAGAAGTTTATGCTGGGCTGTGGCAAGACGTCGAGTCTCCATGGCCCCGAATTGAATTTTGAGCTTTTATTTTTTATATTAGTCAAATAGAAGTTTTAGATCCCGTTTACACTGTGCCAGATAAATTTTATCCGCATCAAAATTAGTTCAGATAGGCGTCACGTTTACACTAGACCCACGCTATCCGCACGAATTCGAGAGCGGCTATCCGAACAAAATTAGTTCACCTAGGAAAGTTGATTAAGTTAGTTGGGATAGCTATGTGGTACAGTAAACGGTTTTATCCGGATAAATTTTATCCACATCGTATCTTGCTCGAAAGCGATTGGCTATTTCATCCAATTTAATTCTCACTGTCTCCCAATCAAGACGTTTCGCCATCTTGGCTGCCTTGTAGTCGATAAATACTCATGTTAAAAGTGCAGTATCTTGCCAGTTCACGTAAAATTAGCATCCTTGCCAGCTTTCCCTACTTTCTTCCCTATTTCAGCGTCACTTTGTTTCAAAGAACGAATTATTAAAACTAACTTTGCCTAATTCGTTTTGACAATATCTTCGGACTTCGTCTGGAAGAGAAGCAGATGACTCTGAAGCGAGAATGAAAAGTCTGTTTACGTTGGCGGGAATTTAGCTGTTATTTTGTTGCCCAAAGATGACTTCGTTTTGGGCGTTTTGTGCATGATTTTGGCCATGTGACTGCAGTTATCCGGCACAGTGTAAACGGGAGGGCAAAGTGGACAAAATTTGAGCGACACAGTGTAAACGCAATCAATCCGAACAAGTTTTTTGCGGATGAAATTTATCTGGCACAGTGTAAACGGACGAATGGGGTTTTCCTAAACGAAACGCACTCTATGTTCGCTTTGAATGAACTAAAATTTGATTTGACACCAAAATGAAACCGACCGTTTGAAAGCTTGGCTGTTGAAAGTTGTCTAATGACTTGAGACAAAAAACGAAAACAAAGAAAGGCACACATGTGGCAAACTGAAGATGTGTTAGACTATGGTACAAATGGGAATAAGAGTAATGGGTGCCTTTGGTTCTATGAAGGATGCTGTTTGGTTTACAGTATCCACACGTGACTGTTGAGGTGCCATTTGAGAAGCTATGCTATGACGATAAAGACAAGGACAAGAACAAGTCAACAGTCATTTCAGCTGCGTCCTTGTCAATCACCCTTGTCAATCAATGTCACAAAATAGTAATATGGCCATTGCATGCATTGCTAGATAGCGTAATGCGCCTTGGAATGTACCTTACATGTTTTACAGAATCGGAACTCAGACTTTCTTGAGTAACTAAGACTTTCTCGATAACTTACATACCTTTGTGTTTTCCATGAGATTTTTTGGAGGCAGCTTCCATTTTCTTAGCAGCAATTTCAGTCTGTTTTCGTTCTTGTTTTCGCATTTTCTTTAACTGCTTTTTCGAATACTCGACGAATTCACAGACTTTCGGTTCAGGGTCGAAAGATACAGATTTGTTACGAACACGAGATCTGGCGTTTCTGTAATCCGATCGATAGTCTACGTTGAGGCTTTTTGATCTGTTTCGACTTGCAGATCGATTGAAAGGCATTGCATGATCGTTTTCGTCACTGCCATCAGATTCTAAAAAAAACATATATTAAAATAGACAAACAAGGTTTTCTGAAAATGACAACATCAAAAAATCCAAAAAATTACAAAGTTACATCATACTTAAGTAGAAGAGGCGATAGACGGTTTTCAAGGTACAGGTGAGCAGCTGGGGATATTAAACTGGCAAAGGCCCAAACGACCAGAGGACTGGCCTAACTTGATCTGACCTGCTGACCTTACTTGACTTGACCCGGCCTGACTTGACCTGGCCTGACGAGATCTGGCCTGGCAAGACCTGACTTTATTATGATCCGCCCGACCTAACTTTACTTGACTTGACCTTTTTTTGGCCTTACCTGACCTGACCTGACCTGACCTGACCTGACCTTAGCTGACCTGACCTGATCTAGCTTCTGTTGGCTTGAGGATAATGATGATAATGATAATGTTGCGGATGATAAAGGTAATTATGGTTATTTAAATCTCAAAGATGGAAAGTCTTACCCTCCCTTGATAAACTGAGAGCTGAAAATCGATCAAAAAGAACATACGATAAACATAACAAGCGGCGTCTTGTAAGTGCATGCAATCAAGGCATGCATTATAGAAATCAAACTGACAAGCATATGCTTAACTATCATAAAGAAAACATTTGTTTATTGATTGGTAAAGAACAACCGCCTTGATTCTTTCACTATAGAAAAGCATTGAACACAAAATTGTTTGATTTTTGCCTGCTCCGTAAATACGAACTTCACTAAAGTAATTTTGCAGGTGTTCAAGCAAACAATGCCTTCCTGACGCGAGTTATACAAAGCTGAAATTTGATTCGCGTATTTAAGAAACTGCCAATATCAAAATACTAGCATAGGTTCCTCACAGAAAATCGGACTTAAATTTTCGTGACTTTGGCTGACTTTTTCTGAATTTATTCTGGGGTTTAGAATGGGGCCTGCGTTTACGCTTTGGCTGGGGTTAAGGCTGCGGTTTAGGTTGGGGTTAGGGATTGGTTTAAGACTGGGCCTTGGGTTTAGGCTTGGGCTAGAGATAAGGTTTAGGTTGGGGCATGCTGGATCAAAGTTGCTGCCGTCGTAAAAATTACCTGCTGCGCTGACTCAGCCTAGCCGCAGCAACGATGATGATCATACTTAGGCAGCCTTTCCACAAGCCCGGGTTAAAACATAACCGGGTTAAAAGTTATCCGTTTTGAAAGTGAGTCAATGGAAACGGCATTTTTCTTCGACCCGTTTTTAATCCGTTTTTGATCGTTCCTACTAAGCCGGGTTAAAATGTATTCAGGGTGAACAGTTGTAAGAGAAATCAGTATTTGTATCAATAATCCTTCAATTTCTATCGTTGTAGGCCAATGGAAGCAACATTGACATCGAGTACTTTGGTTTTTGATTTTTGGCACCATCTCAGTTCTTAAACGTTGCTGTTGTTGCAAGTGGATCAGAAGTTATCCGGTTTCGGCGTTTCCATTAACTCGCAGGTGAGTCAAAAGATACCCGGGTAAAAACTGACCCACTTTGAGACCCGTTTTCAAACTTATCCGTTTTTCAAGTGGGTTAGTGGGAACGCGACGCAGAAACGGATAAATTTTAACCCGGATATGTTTTAACCCAGGCTAGTGGAAAGGCTGCCTTAGAGCTCACAGAGTGCGGAGAGTGAACTGGAACTTATAAATTAATCGTTTATGTATATATTGTTATTCAAGTTCATTATTTAGATATCGTTACCAAACCAGAACCCTTTTCATTGAAATCGTGTTTAACTTCATCTCTTTGGCAGTCGTATGAATAACACAACGTGACTCCAGGTCTAAAATTACGTTGCAAATTATTTGCTGCTTTCACAGCCTAGGCCAAACTATTAGCGGCAAAAGCAAGGCAATGAGACATAAAAAAGTAATTCCAAAATTAGAATTGAATTTAGATGGGTAAAATGTTTCTATAAAACTGAAGTTATTTTTTGACCTTTAAAGCATTTCAAGCTCAGGTGCTCCTCCATTTTAATTTCTTTGATTCGAAAAACAGATAAATTTTGATTATTTTAGATAGTAAATTAATCTAAATCATCGCTTAATTGCGGTCTTCATTATGCGCTATCACGAAAAAGACAATAAATGGCTGAATCTTTGAATTACGAAATATAAACTATTTCATCAACGCTGTATTCCATTGGGCATTTGTTCAGAGCAGCAGTTAAAAAAATTCTAAATAATTTTCGCTGCAAAAAATTTGTTTTTTATCACCACACCCTCCTCTGCGTTGACAACATAAAATTGTAGAATGTTTTACAATTTCTCCTCGTTTTAGGGTTTATATAGAAATGTGTTTCGCTTTCTTTATTCACATTCCCGAAAAAAAGAAACTAAAATGCTAAAGCGATTCAATCCATAAAAAAACTGGATTCTGAAGTGCTCGTCGGGTGTTTTGCAAATTTTGCTCTAAGGAGAACGGACTTAAGTTGAAACTTTTGAATAATGTTTATCACTTTTAGATATGTGCTTACAACTTTGGAAAATCAGTTTTTATACGCAGAGCTTCTTCACCTGACACAATTCAGAATATAAATGGGAGAGGAGTATTCTCTTACTTTTAACTGTTTCAGCACTTTCGCTCGTCGATCTTTTCAATATTGAACGTAATCTTGAGTTCGACGAATCGTTTGTTTCGTCACTGCGTGACCTTTCAATAGGGTGTCTTGATAATCCCTGCGCAGCACCGGATGAGTCGGTATCACTTATGACGTCATCTTGCAATTCTTCTAAATTAACATCAAGGGTCATTTCGCTGGAGCTCGAATTTCTATCAGCTGTAGGAGAGAAAAGAGGAAATACGATATAAAGAGGATAACCTAATAATAAAATGTGCATAAGGTTTTCTGTCACGAGGGTGTTCGTTTATGCTGGTGAGGGTGATGACACTGATGCGAATGTTGACGACTGATGGTGCTCATTATGATGATTATGATGACTATGTTGTGTACATTGGTGATGATTACGTTGCCTTGCGATCAAATGATACCTCGAGGCTATATGACAATGTACACTCTTTTTAATAAGAACAATAAGCAAACGAGCCTCAAAATTGGTCAAAAGTTAAGAACAAATTAAGAACAAGCCGAGGCTGAGCTACTGTAAAATGCAATTTTGAACAACGGTTTATCCCAAAAATAAAGATTTTTAGCCATGTGTGGGTGCTTTCTCGGTGAACATTCAAACTTCTCGGCAAATTAAGGTTGTCTTACTCACTTTGTCGGGAAATGAGGCCTGAACACCTCCCTGGAGCGAAAAAGCTAATAACCGCACTGCTAACACCATACCAATTTTAGAAAAAATTAAGAACAACCCAGCCACAGATTTTCGAAAAAAATTAAGAACAGCCAGACTGAACTTTAAATTTACAAGCTCTTATGTAAAACAGATCCTTGCACGGCATGTATCATTAATAGCAAAAAAATATTCTTTGAAGCGACGCTAATCAATTAAATTTCATATCTAAAACCACTAATCCAAAACCTTTCTACTTATCATTGACAAAAGAGATTGGTCTGTAGAAAAATCGGTTGGCCTCGAGCGTAATTTTGATTTGCTGTGGGTGCAAATACTCCTTTTTGTTGAAGTCGTGTTTTTAATGAATTGAATAAAGCCTGAGTCAGGTTCTTAGATTGGCTGATTAAATAGCAGGCGGTTAATTAATTCACAGGTTGTTAACACGAAATCCTTATTTTCTTTAGAGGGTTGCCGGACAAGCAACAAGAAGATTTTACGCGAACAACTGGAAGGAGGAGCAACTGATCGATAGTCATAAAGATGAAACGAACAAAAAACTTTACGCAAGAAAAAATTAATTCCATGCATAAAATCCATAAACAATATTTCAGAATATAATGTGTGGGACAACAAAATCGGGTCACAAAGCTTCTGGTAAAGTTCCTCCTACGAGCGTAGATAAAACCATACCTGTTAAAACTACCATTTATGCTACATAAAAAACAAAAGACGTTCGTCAATATGTCCTCCTTCAATGCTGAGAAGTTCATAAACCTGTACTCACGCTTCTGTAAACACAACGACTTGTACTAGAATACACATATGCTGTTTACTTTCAAAATACATTACGTTGCAATTTCACAAACAACCTGAAATTGACAAAACACCAGAAACATGCTTGAATATTTTGAATCAGAAACTAACCTTGAGAGCTAATCGAATGTCGCTGGATATTTGTCTTGTAAAGGCCGATCATTCCAGTGTCTTCCACCGACCCAGAAGAATCAACAGTGGATGCTTCTTCTTTGAGCTTGCAAAGCTCTGTCTTATCACCTGTTACTCTCTCCTCGTCTGTATCTTGATCAACTAAATCTTCTCGGTCTTGATCTAGCAGCAGCTGCGCCAGCTTTGCCTCAAGAAATTTCGATGACGTATTATCGGCCTGCAAAGTTTGGTCCGGCTTTAGCGTTTGATTTTCAGCACTACCAGCAGCCTTCGTAAATGAAAATATATTGTGAAACATGTTTATCGTTAAACATTTCAGTATGGGACCACAGATAATATATTGTGAAACATGGTTATCGTTAAACAGTTCAATGTTTCTGTTTCGATTCGCTCAATCTCTCAGTATGGGACCACAGAAAATATATTGTGAAACATGGTTATCGTTAAACAGTTCAATGTTTCTGTTTCGATTCTCTCAATCTCTCAGTATGGGACCACAGATAATATATTGTGAAACATGGTTATCGTTAAACAGTTCAATGTTTCTGTTTCGATTCTCTCAATCTCTCAGTATGGGACCACAGATAATATATTGTGAAACATGGTTATCGTTAAACAGTTCAATGTTTCTGTTTCGATTCTCTCAATCTCTCAGTATGGGACCACAGATAATATATTGTGAAACATGGTTATCGTTAAACAGTTCAATGTTTCTGTTTCGATTCTCTCAATCTATCAGCATGGGACCACACTACCTTTTACTAGTTGTCAAAAAGGAAGACCTATTCTTTAGAAATAACTATCACACTAATGTGATTCCACATATGGCTATTTACTAGCACACTTTATATACGGTGGTGGTGGTGTTTGTCAGGCCATTAGTTATACCCCTAGCATCACTGAGTTGGACATTATGCTTATTAACGTTTAGTTGATATTCCTTTTCTAAAAGCGTATTTCTTTTACTGCTAGCTACATAGCCAAATCTACCAGTACTGTCAAATTCAAAGGTACTGTCGTCAAATTCCAAGGTACTGTCAAATTCAAAGGTACTGTCAAATTCAAAGGTACTGTCTTCAAATTCAAAGGTACTGTCTTCAAATTCAAAGGTACTGTCTTCAAATTCAAAGGTACTGTCAAATTCATTGGTACTGTCAAATTCATTGGTACTGTCAAATTCATTGGTACTGTCAAATTCATTGGTACTGTCAAATTCATTGGTACTGTCAAATTCAAAGGTACTGTCAAATTCCAAGGTACTGTCAAATTCAAAGGTACTGTCTTCAAAATCAAATACTGTCCTTCAAATTCAAAAGTACTTCTTCGAAATTCAAAGTACTGTCAAATTCATTGGTACTGTCAAATTCATTGGTACTGTCAAATTCATTGGTACTGTCAAATTCAAAGGTACTGTCAAATTCAAAGGTACTGTCTTCAAATTCAAAGGTACTGTCAAATTCATTGATACTGTCAAATTCATTGGTACTGTCAAATTCATTGGTACTGTCAAATTCAAAGGTACTGTCAAATTCCAAGGTACTGTCAAATTCAAAGGTACTGTCTTCAAATTCAAAGGTACTGTCAAATTCAAAGGTACTGTCTTCAAATTCAAAGGTACTGTCTTCAAATTCAAAGGTACTGTCAAATTCATTGGTACTGTCAAATTCATTGGTACTGTCAAATTCATTGGTACTGTCAAATTCATTGGTACTGTCAAATTCAAAGGTACTGTCAAATTCCAAGGTACTGTCAAATTCAAAGGTACTGTCTTCAAATTCAAAGGTACTGTCTTCAAATTCAAAGGTACTGTCAAATTCATTGGTACTGTCAAATTCATTGGTACTGTCAAATTCATTGGTACTGTCAAATTCAAAGGTACTGTCAAATTCAAAGGTACTGTCTTCAAATTCAAAGGTACTGTCAAATTCATTGATACTGTCAAATTCATTGGTACTGTCAAATTCATTGGTACTGTCAAATTCATTGCTACTGTCAAATTCATTGGTACTGTCAAATTCATTGGTACTGTCAAATTCATTGGTACTGTCAAATTCAAAGGTACTGTCAAATTCAAAGGTACTGTCAACTCATTCTATTTTTCTAATTTATTAAAACTTTATAGTTTTCCCCGTTTGTACTTCTTGATCAAAACACGTAAGCTATAGCGCGATGTTCCTCTCAATCAAATACAAGCTTGCTGCACTTAGTCATAGATGTTGTTGTACCAACTGAAAACACTTTAATGAAATCCAATTGTATCGTAATTGGCTTCCACTGGGATATTCCATTGTGAGCTTGACAGGCCGTCATTTGGGCAAACAAGCAGGTTTCAGAAACTGTATTTGCAATTTTTCTACTATTAAATAAAACTATTGAATAAGAGTAAGACAAATCGAACCGTCATGGCAGCTTAAATTCTATTTAATAGAAGAAGTCCGCATATTCCGTCTTTTGAACGGCTTTGCACCCATTTTTATTCTGGAAGAGGTACTCAATTATCACCCATGATCAACTTTCAATTTTAGTAGTATCAAAGAGATGATTTTTTTTATTGTACTTAAACAAATTATATTTCACTTATATTTCTCCAAAGATTATGGCAGATCATTGTCTAAGCCTGTGGAAACGGTCTAGCATTTGGTCTAACATAAATATTCTAAAATATTAACTAAAATATTCTAGAAACATCATTTGCACACGAAGCAAAGACACCTTCCAATTCGCTTTGCAATATTGGGTGATGTTTAGCTTGATCAAAGTTGGCCTAAAATTTAATTATTCGCCACGTGTTAGACGAAATGTTCTATTGCGCACATGTCTGACTTTGCTAAGTCATCGGATTTGCGTACTCGATACATGGCGCCGATACATATGCAGGGACAATTACTAGGTGTAAATGCTGGGTGAAACTGCAGACCCGACCAAAACACCTGAAATGTCACACCAAAGTCAGATCAAATGTTCGATCGGGTAGGAGATCCTGTATACAGGCCTTCAACCAAGATAAGCAACCAAAGATACTTTTGGTGCGGACAATCTCAAGACTGTACACAAAAAAGCAGAGCAACATCTGTGCAGGGAGAAAGCATCTCATTTTTCGACGACATGTGCACAATTTTGGCGAGGCTTCAAAGACAATTATTTCACATGTTTATATGCAGAATTTCTTGCAAATACGTCTTTCAATTTGCAAATCTGTACAAAAGCCAGCGAATGTTTATTAATACGTTTTTCCCAATAACCTGATTGTTTTTTTCAGCGTGGTGATTAAACATTCTTAATTCCCATATCAAAATCTACGTCGTTTTGAACTGTTTACGTCATAAAGTTCAAACTTCAGCACAGTCTTCAACGTCATATAGAACAGGTGTTTTACTCTGAAAAACTTAGAAATTCACTTCTCATTCATATAAAAATAACATCTTGCTTCGTTTGAGCGTGATGTCACATATATACAGCTAAGCGTGCAAAACAAGTGATTTGCTTTCTGCGCTGGATTTAAAGCATCAATAGAGAGATTTTTCCATACTTATAAGTTGATTCCACCATTCGGTATCAGGTTCCCAAACAGCCTTAATGGGGCCAGGGGCAGGTAACTTACATGGAGCTGTCGACGAATTCATTCAAGCATTTGATTAAAAACAAAGTCGTAATCTTGGAACGTCTTAAGTAATTACATTTGATTTGAAGTGTTCAATAAAAAATATCGATTGAAACTGGACTTTAGCTGATTGAAAGCGATGCAAAAAACACGATACTAAATTTTTTCAGGCCTACACTTAGACCCCCCCTCACATGAGAAATTTCAGGCCGGTCTGAACTCAGATCGACCTGAAATTCATTTTAGTCTGCGGTCTGAGCCCTTGAGGTGCTCACATGAGAGAGGGCGAAATGAAACTCAGGTCGACCTGAATTTGTTTCGGTTGTTCAGGTCGGTCTGAAATTTTAGGTCGATTTGAAATCCGCATGTGAGCAGAAACGTTTTTCAAGTCGGGGCGAAATGAAACTCGCGGAGAAAAATAAATTGCATTCTGGGATGCAAGTTAGAGTTCTGGGATACATGTTTGATAAATTTGGCGCCATTTCACCATTGAATAATGCAAGATACAGCCTGTGCTTATTTTGCCAAGATCTATTTGGCTTCTGTTGGACGTAATGAAAACTCTCGGAATAAAGAAACGGTACATGTTGACGAAGTTGAAACATAAGTTGAAGAAGCAAAATAAAATGAAGTTGCAGAGCCGAGACTAAAACAACCAAAATAGATTTCAACAACTGATTTAAAATAAACCTTTTCATCAAATTATTGGGCGCCATGATTGTTTTGATCTAAATTTCGCCGTAAATGCGCATGTGCAAAACCCTGTGGCTTTTTCAAGCCGGTTTGAAAACATCCATGTGAGCGGGAGCAAAATTAGCACGCACCATCAAATTTCAAGACGCCCTGAGTTTCAGACCGGCCTGAAATTGTTCATGTGAGGGGGGTCTTAGATCCTGGTAGAGGTAAATCTGGTCCCTGCAAGTAATCAATCATCTTGCATAGCAGGGTATAAGGAATTAGTTCTCTTTATCATCTAGCGACATACGTCACCTTTCGCTTTGTATCTGCTGTCCCAGACCTCTCTCCCTAACGTACAGCACGAATTCCTTTCGGTGTGCCTTGTCTGTGTTTAAGTGGAAACCCGATAGGTCGGTTCTTCTAGGACTGTAAGGAGATTAACTGACTTAGCGACTGTTCAACTTATCTTAGGACGACTTTGACTTGAAAACATTGACAAATTCAATGGGAATTGAAAATCAGTTCCCAATGCTTTCGGTTCATAATTCAAGACTAGGTGATTTTACAAGTCATCTTTTTATGCATTCTTATCGATCGCTTGTCTGCCTGTCTGTGGTCAAATAGATTCCGACTTTTGACCATCTAGTCGCGGCATCAAGTTTTTGGCAGTGGTCCGTTGACGCTTAGGGCCGTAAACAGTCGACTTTGTCGTTTTATCTTGGGATTGAAGATGACTGTAGATGTCAGCATCGTCCGGATCTAGAGACACCAACTTTGTCATCCCACTTTTAATATTTTTATCTATTCTAATTTGACATTTTGAATATTCCCTTTTTATTTTAAGAACATTGTCATTAGGTTTTTCCACAGCCACCTGAAAACAGCCAGTCTTCGCTGATGGGGACATCGTGTATAAAGAATTCGAAATGAAATTAAATTAATGATCTTAATTTTCTGCCGTATCATAACTTTGTAAAGGAGGGGGAATTTTGATGATAATACTTACTTTTTAAGGGTACAAAAAGAGAAAAGGGCCCAGTGGGCCACATTGAGGAGCAGCTTGGCTTATACTTGATAACAGATGCAAATAAATGAAATCATGATGTGAGTATATCTTTTCTGCATAAAACGCTGTAAAGATACTACGGAAAATTGCCAACCATCACCGCAATCCTGAAATACCAGCGATAACTTCGAGCGCTATACAACGGAGTTATTCAAACAATATCAAAAGCAACCTTATAGTTATTGAAATTATTAACAGTACTTTTGTAACTATCAACGCTTTGGTTTGTTGAGAAGGAGACTTCTTAGCTGCGATTCTGTGTTTCGCGCCAAGTACTGAACTATTCCAGAGAGGAAAGATCGGATATAATCTCAAAATAAAGAACACCGTTTGTCTTCCAAGCACATACACCACGACCTTTGGCACGAAGTCCTTATGTTTTAGGGGTAGCATACTCTGGAACATCATACCAGATGTGATAAAGACCAGCAAAACGATAGCTTCCTTTTGCAAAATAATAAAGCATGGACTGGTGAAGGATGCAATTGCAAATTATGCTGTCTATTATTAGCTCACTTTTCTTAAGAGTACGATCTATTATTAGTTCACACAAACTGCGAATAAGAAGTTTAATATTACATTATAATTATAATGCCATTTGAATGTAAAAACATTCATTTTTGGAGTTTATACTAAATTGATATATATATACATCAGCTGTAAGGTCGAGGTAATGGTAGCTTGTGAATAAAGGAAAGGCCACGGTAGTAAGCAATGCGACGGATTCCAATGGAATGCTTGCGGCAAAAAGTCGATAAAAATGTAGAATATAAGGAACAGAATAACGCGCCGAGAACAAACAGCAATGAACACAAGCAAATTGATGGTAGCTAGTATTTCGCCACGGCATACGGGGATTCATCAAAGCATAAGTGTAGTTGTCGCATCTTGTCGTTTTATTCCGAAATTGGAACCAAATTTACAAAAACGTGGCACCTTCGTCAGGCTTTGTAGCACGGTAGAAGCAATAGCCCTGTAGGGAATAACTCTGCGAACAGGACAATTTTAAGATGAACATCAGTTGAAAACTCAACAATACAACTGCTTCAAAATGCAAGATAAAACTAAAAAGAAATATAGATAGTAAGAAAAATTGTTTGAATTTAAACAACTTACCCAAAGATTTTTCGATTGATGCATCTTGCCTAGAATCTCAGACATCCCATGATCAGTCATGAAATACATTTCCTAAAAATCAGAAGAGAAAGTCTTTCTTATATTTCAGTCAAATTCAGGATCAATGTCTGGTCTTAAGCTTCCTTGCTGTCTTTTATAAGCTGTATATTGTAGTGCACTGAGCAACATATCCATCAAAATGCTGACATGGAAATGATAGAAGGAGCAGAGAAGTGAAGAAACGTTGCCGTTTTGTATTTTATGAACTTGTTCCGCTAGCAATTTACCTTGAAATCTAATTATAATGCCAATCAAGATGCCTTTTCAAGGAATTTACGGGGATGATGAAGGTGAAAAGGAAGGAAGAGATGAAGGGGGATAAGGGGGGAGAGGAAAAGGGAGTTGGGAAGGAAGACGGGGTGGGGAGATGAGGAAGGGTATGAGTTGGAGGAGAAATTGGAGGGGTTGTCTTGACGCTACATTTGCTCATCACAGGAAGCCACGATTGGCCGTTGGTGCATCATCACAAGTCACTTCATATGGATCAAATGTCATTTGAACACCATTGAAATTTACTTCGATGACTAAGGTCGAAAGGAAACTTAATAGACAGGGAAACTATTACAACAATCTAACCAAGTGCCTAACCTTAAATCTCTCAAGTAATTTTGATTACTTAACATATAAAGAGTACTTTTAGACTTTGAAACATTTTTGTAACTTCCCAGAGGGGCTAGTAAATGATGACGTCATGAGTGTGGTTGTTTGATGATATTTTTAGGTGAAAAATCCATCACAAAACCAAAAAGCCTTAAATTTCTCAATGAATTTTAGCTATTTAGAACATGCGCAGTATATAAAGTCTTATATTAAAGAAATTTTTTTTACCAGTGTAGGGGGGTCGTCAATGCTGACGTCATCAGTATTTTAGTCTTGAGATATTTTCAGGCAAACATTCATCACAAACAGGAATGTATCTATTAAGGGGCTTATTATCGTCATATATATTGACTGAATTTTTATTAATTTTATCAAAGTGTATTTTTATTTAAAAAACGAGGTCGATAAAAAGTCATAAAAATTTTATTGTCTCTGCTTGCTGCTTTCAGATTCAATATACTTGAATACTAAATACCTTTAATTCTTTTTCATTTGTGCCAACGTACAGTTTGTTCCACAAACCAATCGAGTCTTGTGATTTTTGGAGGGTTATAACCAGACACTCTGGCTCAACGTCAACCGAACAGAGATCTTGGTCCAAGTTATAATATTCAGGAAATTTGAGCAAAAGACACCAACGGAGGGTATCGTTGTCTGCATCATCAGCTTTCATACTAAAATAAGCCTGAAAAGTAATTGCAAATTGGTAGAATCCGGTGTGCTTGGACTTACTACATCCGGACTGGCGATTGAACTCTCCTTACCAGCAAAAATTTATCAAAGGGCGAAAGCTGAGTAATCAGAGGTATTTGGGCATTGAAAAATCCCCCCCCCCCTATTCAAGCCCCCTATTTAGCCTTCTCTAATTAATGCCACCTCCCCCTATAAAGCTAAGCTAAGTGGGAAGAGCGCTCCAAAATTTCTCAATGCACCACTTTAAGACAATCTGGGGATGTAAGCATTTCTACTTATCACTTACATGTAACAACACAACACAGAAAATTTCCTATAAAATCTTTTCGACGACAAACGAAAACTACCAAAAATCGGATATCCACACTGCCTGGACAAATGAATTCCATCCGCTTTTAAAGTATCTGCTTTAACGGGCAGGAGTCTCATCAGCGCCTCGGCGTTATATAGAGCATTCATCGAATGTAAAAGTTTTCGTGTTGTAATGTGAATCAGAAATTCAAAATTGAATAGATTGTCCAGGTTTGAAATAGGAATTTACTATGTTATTTGTCCACACACTGCAAGCGTTTTCAAGGACGAATTAAAGACAATTTTCAGGCACAAAAAGGCAACAAAAACCTTTTTTACTAATGTCCTACTCAAGTGCACTCTCGCAAACGTTGGAGAATACATACAAATAGCATGCTGATCAGAGACTTGGGCCATCCAAAAGGGTTCAGGAGGAAGGACATAATTCTACTATAGGATGATAGAATACAAACATTTTCTGGAATAAGGTAAATAGAACATAAAGCGGAAAAAATAAAATATCAGGAACGTAATCACATGCTAAATTTGAAATTGCCCAGCAAAATTCGTTGCGTTACGCCAAAGAGTTACGTTCTTTTTTTTCGATCTAGCGTCTGCTTTGCAGGTTCTCTAAGGTGGAGGAGACCCTTTTGAGCCACCTGACTGAAATTCGTTTTTTCCATTCCGTTTTACTTGTTTAGTTTTTCATCGATGAAGTTGTATTGTATAATTATTGTAAGTGGCTGTCGTAGATGAAACTCGCTGACAAGATGTCCTTTCCACCTATAGCAGTCCCAGCAGATTCAAATTCATTTTCGTAGTTAGCCTAATTTTTGCGATGGAAAACAAATTCGTTCTTGCTGGATTTATCAACTTTCAGCTAATCTTTCAAAGGTTTTCGAAGATCTCCAGCCTTGAAGCAGGACGAGCTCGTGACCTTCAAATTTTCCTTGATTTTCAAGTTTGACGAAGATAATTCCATTAAAATTGATACAAATGCGCTAAATCCATTGCAGGCAGATGGAAAAGTCCAGGCAGGATAAATAGAGTGTGAGAGCACTGAACACTAGGCTGACTTAATTAGGGGTGTTCTCTGTGATTTTGCTAGGGCACGCAGTTTTTCTTCAGAAAAAGAGCACATTTTAAAACTACGAGGGCCCTTGTTTAATATTAGTTAAAAGTGGGGGGGAAGGGGGGTAAGGGGCTTCTTGGTCTCCGCAAAGAACTATAAGAAAGTAGGTAACTGATTACCTTTCTTGAACCAAAACCAAGTGAGACATCCTCTATTCTGACATTTGACAAGTGTATATTTACTGTGACTGTTTCTTCATTCTGATCATAGTCGTATGGCGGCAACTTAGTCCTTCCTGTAAGGTCTACAACAGAGAATAATAAGCTGCGTTTTATTCTCTTAAAAAATGCGTTTTTATTCAAACAGATATGATGTTGATTAATGGTGATGAAGTTGAAGATTATGATCATGATGACGACGATAATAGTTTGCGATTATCCAAATAGCGCCTGGGCACTTGTTGAAATTTTGGCAGCTATGAGGGGGCACTTTCTCGGGGGAAGGAGTACTTTCTCGGGGGAGGCACTTCTTTGAGGGTGTGTCTTTTTTCGAGAAGGGGGGCTTATTCGAAAGTGGGTACTTTCTAAATTTTTCTTCATTTCAAAAAGATTGTTTGTCATCGAAATTTAATAAGGAAAACGGTATACATATTGCACCGGTTTTACCGGAAAATTGGACAGAAAATGCAATTATATGATGGTGCTAACAATTATTTGAGGTAGCGTTTTTTATCATGATATCACAAAAGAAAATCAAGGGTGAAAATCTAAGATGAGATAGGAAGGGCTTGAATAGAGTAAAAGGAGTAAAAGGAAGTTGCCTTGCGTGCGGGCTGAGCCCAACGATGTTCGCCCAATTGTGCCTGTCAGGGTGTCCAATGGCATAAAATGGGAACATTTCCAAAGATGATTGGACTTTTAGGGAGTGTCTTACGGAGGGTCGCCAAAAGGGGGCAAGGGGCAAAGCGCCCCAGAGCCTCGTGGTCTAAGGGGCCTTATAAAGTAACTCCCGTGTTAAAATGGAACTAATTAAAAGTACAAAAATATCCATGAAAAATTAAAACATTTTACACGAATGAATGAATTCAAACTAATCTGAAGGGCATGATCACAGCAATTTGCTCCTCGCTTCGCTCACAGAGGGCCTCGTCTATCCGGTATTGCCCCAGGGCCTCCAAAACCTCTCGGCGGCAATGGTTTTACGATCACAATCTAGCTTACAAATTCAATTCTTATGAACCTTGCGATTGTCAAAATCGCTAAGTTTAGTTCTAAGTTAAAGTGAGTTTTATAGGAATACGTCGATTCAGTACAGCTGTAACAACAAAGAACAGGTTGATTAGAAATGTATTGGAAAATCTTAGCACATTGACATACCCATTATCTCACTGAACTCAAACTCCATATCATCCAGCGATGTTGTGATCTCATTTTCGAGATCCTCTTTGACAATAAGCTTCCCAGCAGGCTCGCTATCGACTTTCTCACAATCAACGTTGTCCTTTGCTGAAATTTGGTGTTCTCCGTTTGAATTTGGGCTACAGACATCGCCAGGTTCCAAAGAGGATCGTAAAGACATATTGTATTTCATTAAATTTTCATTATCTCCGTCGCATTCACAGCCATTTTGCTCTGTCATTACAGCGTTACCACATGAACCCGTGGTCTCATAAACTGCTTTGCTAGCCTCTGCACGCGCCTCCTTTAACAACTTTCTACTTTGATTTGAGTCTTCAACACGTTGCAACGAACTATCATCTTCTTTCACTTCCAGCGACTGTACAGCATCTTCTTCAATGACATAATAATCTTTTCCAGAATTATCAGTTTCCTGGGTATCCGCACAACTTGCGTTTCTCTTGATAACAACCTCACAATCGGATTTTGCAGAAACCTGATTTGAGGAGGTTTTGGATTTGTGAAATAGATATTCTTCTTGCTCCGTCGATCGTATGTGATCATTAATAACCGCAGGTTTAATCCCCTCTTTTCTGTTCGAGATATCTTTATCGCGAGCAATCTCCATCGACATGTTGTTATTTTCCCTTTTTGATAATGTACTTGCGCCCATTATTCCAGTACACCTGCCTTCTATTTTCTCATTAACCTCGTTATCAAAGTTATCCGATGGTTCTCTCACCAGACATTCCATTTCACTGCAATGCTCAAAAACGCGTTCTGTCTCTGCAACGCAAGCTTCTTTGTCTACGAAACTCCCTTCATCCACGTTGTGCTTGATTCCAAAAACCTGACCAGCGTTCGCAGGTGGATTTTCTGCTTCCCTTTCAAGGTAATTAGCAGAAATCTCCTTCGATAGTATCGTGCCAGTTTTCACAGTTTCTTTGTTTTCATTTTGGACCTTAAAATGCAAACATAATCATTAACTATAAATCAAGGTGAAAATTCTGATAATAGAATAACGATTTCACCTGCAGTTATGTCGCCAATGAATTAATCAATCTAAAAAATGCTACTGAAATCAGAGAAAGGGATGGCTATTTGCTGTCATAGAGCAAAAGGTTCATTCACAAAACAGGTAGAGGCGCGGCGAATTTGCTTACTTCAGCTACGTTTCCTTCAATATACCTAAAATGCAATATTCTTAGATCATTTCATTGGCCTGTTATGATCATCTCATTCTAATTCGTCGTTTAATATGTGACTTTAGGAAATATTTGACCGATATCTTCCCACCTGATCAAAACTGCACATTACAATACAGTCAGGAAGGGTATGATGTTATGGTCGACTAACCGAAAGTCAGGTTGCTTAGAGAATCTTTGAAAACAAAGCCACATGGTAATTGCATGGAAATATTAATGCATAAAGAATTAAATGACAGAACTGAAATTTTGACTAGAAACTGAAAAGAGGATTCGCAGGTTGTCTTCTGCACCAGTCTCCTGATTTCAAATGTCGAAAAACACTCCTATCCCAAAAATACGATGTCCATACACGGGCCATGCTCTCATCGAATCGCATCTATTTTCAGTATATACAATCCTCTTCAGTATTGTATCTTCAATCTCCAACTCTGTGTTTCACAAATACAAAGATCATTGATACTTGAAAGCATCTTAATCTCGTTGTCCAGTCAAGATAATTCTAGTTGTCCAGTCAAGGGATAAAGCTTCTTTAAAATACGCTAGCTTTGTCTTGGGAAGCTTTAAAAAAATTAGAAGACTTTGTGATATTCTTTTTCAAAAGATCAAGAATCGATGGAGTGTTTTCTGTAGTGCCTTAAGCTCGCAGCTTAATCACCACGAAGAATAATTTTTGGCTTCAATCAACGAACGTCAAAACGTATTTGATCGTGGTAGCTTTACAGAGTTGGAGTGCTTGGTCGATCTCTAGTCTGATATTAACTCAAAAACAAAAAACAGAATTAACTGTTACTGACGTCTTGCACAGAAACAAACGGCTCCTCTCATTTTAATCGCAAAGATAAGCGTAAAGATTTGTAAAAATTTTTATTATGCAACAGGAAATTTCAGCGATTTCTTAGAACTAGTGACATTGTAGCTAGATATAATTCACTGACTACATTGGTATTTTTGCACTAAAATACTCGCTTTGTTCACAATTATTACAATAACAGAGACATGGTATACCCTCTCCAAAGTTTTTTAACATCGAAAATTCATAATGAAGTAAAAAGATGTCTTTTGAAATCACACGAAATTGAAAATTGGATTATTAACTCGTTTATACGAGATATTTAACGTGGGTTTTAGAGCTTATTGCAAGCTTGCAATTATTTGTTCGTGTAAAATTAAGTGTAAAATTCCTAGAAACAACCAAAGCATGCATTTGAGACTGGTTTAATGACGTAGCTTGCACCCAGGCCCTTTTCTTAAAGGCAGTCTGTCCCCTCAATGATTGGCTAATACGAACAATACTTCCTGTCTAAACGGATTACGCTGTTCGCTTTGGCAGGCCTGGCTGTGGTAGTATACGACATTTGAAACTGCAAACAAAAACTTTTCGGGAGTAATGACAATTGAGGAATTTCCTTTCGCAGTTGAGATATTTGTCGCATAAACCACACAGCGAACAAGTTTTTCAATCCACAGCTTATGACCATTTGATTCAACACAGCCATTTGATTCAAAAGCTCTTGAATCAACGCTGTTTCTGATTGGTTTAAAACGTTTAATTATCGAACAAGCTCAACGGTGCGTGAACTTAACTCCCGTGAAAATAAAGTTGAGCACAATAAGGGACAGGGGGACAGACTGCCTTTAAGAAGAGACACTAGATCATAAAAGCAACCAAATAAAAGAAATTTTTAATCGTCAGAAAGTTTCACAGATTAGCGCCATTCGCAACCTAGAACCCAAAAAGAATCCAGGATATTCTAACGAGCTTATGCCGATATCTGGCGGTATCTTTATCTAAGATCACTCGTACAATTACTCGTACTGCAATTCAGTGTTTTAGACCCCGTTCACACTGCACCGGTGTAATATGCGTTTTGGTACCCTATGCAAAAGTGTAACATTGTTAAACGCAATGTGTTTCAGATCGTGTGATTTCCTCATTTTGCGATGTTTTGACATGGTTTTAATAGTTTAATATTTACACTTGTCAATCACGCAAAGTTTGGAGTCACCATGTACTTTTTTTGCATGAACTTAACAAAGCAAATCACAGCACAGCTTCTTACTTGCATCCCTTTTATAAAAATAGTTCAATTGTTCTTTACATTCTGAACAATATGAGCCCGAACATTCGACCGGTTCGCATGCTAAATTCCACAATTCGTTGTGGTACCCTATTGTTTAAGTGCTCGGGTACGTTTCTGCATAACCAAAATGATCATACGTTTGTGTACCCGGACCAAAATGCATAAGGTTGCCGGAATACATATGACACCGGATAAATTTTAGCCGGATAAAATTTGTTCGGATTGATTTGCGTTTACACTGTGCCGCACAAATTTTGTCCACTTCCCCCCCCCCCCGTTTGTACTGTGCCGGATAACTACAGTCACGTGCCCGAACCATGCAGAGAACGCTCAGAATGAGGTCATCTCTAAGCAACCGATTTTCAATAACACCGTAATTCCCGCCAAAACGCCAAAGGTGCGAAGACTTTTCCTGCATTCTTCAGAATCAACTGCTTCGCGTTCAGACGAAGTCCGAGGAAATTGTCATAGAACATTAGGCCAATATAGTTTGCCTGAGCTCGTACATATTTACGCGAAGTAGAGTCAAAATGACGACAACGTGCAGATTGGTGAAAACGCGATTCTGTTTAAGAGAAATGGGAATTGGCACCACCTTCTTTCTCTTTTTTTAAAAGAGCCTCGCTGTTAATCAAAATCAACCTCGCAGCGGATGTGGATAAAATTTATCCGGATAAAACCGTTTACACTGTACCACATAGCTATCTGAACTAATTTAATACACTTTCCTAGGTGAACTAATTTTGTTCCGATAGCCACTTTCAAATTCGTGCGGATAGCTTGAGTCTAGTGTAAACGCGACGCCTATCTGGACTAATTTTGATGCGGATAAAATTTATCCGGTACAGTGTAAACGGGGTCTTAAAGTTATACTTACAATAGGCTGGTTCAGGTCCTGTTTGATAACTGGTAAGGTCACAATGAGAACTTTGCGGCTTTTATCAAACTGTGCTTTTCCATTGTCTTCGTCAACTGGGTAGGGTAGAGGGATCTGAGCCATGTTAACGAAATATTATAAACTGATGGGTAGTATAAAATGGAAAATAAAAATATCGACTTACATAAGGTCTAATGGACAAGCTACTATTTGCAATGGAACATTTAAGAAAAGAAAAATTGAAGGAATAACTATTATGAAACTTGAGAGTTTAATTGGGCGGGAGAAACGGATAGAGTTGTGGGAAACCTATGAGACACGGGCAGACTATGAGACGCGGACAGTCCATGAGATACGGACAGGCTAAGAGATATGGACAGCATATGAGATACGGACAGGTTAAATGTTATGTACAGCATATGAGATACGGAGAGATTAAAACATATGGACAGCATATGAGACACGGGCAGACTATGAGATATGGAAAGGTAAAGAGATATGGACAGCAAATGAGATACGGACAGGCTAAGAGATATGGACAGCATATCAGACACGGGCAGACTTTGAGATACGGAAAGGCTAGGAGGTATGGATAGCAAATGAGATACGGACCGGTTAAGAGAAATGGACAGTCTTTGAGACACGGACAGACTTTGAGATACGGAAAGGCTAGGAGGTATGGATAGCAAATGAGATACGGACCGGTTAAGAGAAATGGACAGCATGTGAGATACGGACAGACTTTGAGATACGGAAAGGCTAGGAGGTATGGATAGCAAATGAGATACGGACCGGTTAAGAGATATAGACAGCATGTGAGATACGGAGAGATTAAAACATATGGACAGCATATAAGATACGGGCAGACTATGAGATATGGACAGTCCATGAGACGCGGGCAGACTATGAGATACGGAAAGGTTTAGAGATATGGATAGCAAATGAGATACGGACAGGTTAAGAGATACGGACAGCATGTGATATACGGACAGGTTAAGAGATATGGACAGCAAATGAGATACGGACAGGTTAAGAGATATGGACAGTCTATGAGACACGGGCAGACTATGAGATACGGAAAGGTTAAGAGATATGGATAGCAAGTTAGATACGGACAGGTTAAGAGATATGGACAGCATATGAGACACGGGCAGACTATGAGATACAGACAGGTTAAGAGATATGGACATCAAAGGAGATACGGACAGGTTAAAGCCTGGTACTCACTAGACGATCATCACAATTATCACGATAACGATTAGGCTGTAATCGTCTTTATCCACAGTGAGTACATCAAATGTAATCGTGTTATGCCCTTTAATCGTGATAAAACCATCACGATTATCGCGAAAGGATATCAAAAATTTTTGATATCTTTTCGCGGTAATTGTGATCCGATGACGTCAGTCCTTTTGTTCAAAAAAATGTGAAGAAATTATGAAGGGAAAGGAGTGTCCAAGGCACTGTGTCCAATGTAAACGAAATATAGAAAAACTGTCATTTTACTCATTCGATGTGCATTATGTTAAGCATATCTCATCAAACATTCTGTCTTAAAAATGGAGAGTGAAAACTAGCAATTCGACGAGAAACTTTCTGAAGCTGTGAGAAAATATATGTAATGAAATTCGCGGTCGTTCAGTCCTTGTTCTCGAACCAATCCATGATGTTCGCTAGAAGTTTTATTTTGAAAATATATCTGACCTACAACCTTCTCTTCTTTTTCTCTCAATCTTTTACCTATTTTCTCCTCTTTCTACGTTTTCTTAAGGTGTATACAACGCTTATCGTTGCAAGGAGTCTTTATTCCTGTGAACAGTCATTTTGAGTATACGATTAACGCGTCAGTGAGTACATGATTTAGCTGAGCATCCTACTGTCAAGAAAATATTTTACCGTGATAATCGTTATCGTGGTAATCGTGATAATCGTGATAATCGTCCAGTGAGTACCAGGCTTTAGCTGAGCATCCTACTGTCAAGAAAATATTTTATCGTGATAATCGTTATCGTGGTAACCGTGAAAATCGTGATAATCGTCCAGTAAGTACCAGGCTTTAGAGATATGGACAACCTATGAGAAACGGGCAGACTATGAGATACGGACAGGTTAAGAGAATGGATAGCAAATGAGATACGGACAGGTTAAGAGATATGGACAGCATGTGAGATACGGAAAGATTAAGAGATATGGACAGCAAATGAGATACGGACAGGTTAAGAGATATGGACAGCATATGAGATACGGACAGGTTAAGAGATATGGATAGCAAATGAGATACGGACAGGTTAAGAGATATGGATAGCAAATGAGATACGGGGAGACTTTGGGATACGGACAGGTTAAGAGATATGGACAGCATATGAAATGCGGACAGGTTAAAAGATATGGACAGCATATGAGATACGGACAGGTTAAGAGATATGGACAGTCTCTGAGACACGGGCAGACTTTGAGATACGGAAAGGCTAGGAGGTATGGATAGCAAATGAGATACGGACAGGTTAAGAGATATGGACAGCATATGAAATGCGGACAGGTTAAAAGATATGGATAGCAAATGAGATACGGACAGGTTAAGAGATATGGACAGCATATGAAATGCGGACAGGTTAAAAGATATGGACAGCATATGAGATACGGACAGGTTAAGAGATATGGACAGTCTCTGAGACACGGGCAGACTGTGAGATACGGACAGGTTAAATTATGTGGACAGCATAATACAATACAATCGCATAGCAAAATAGAAAGGCCAAATTCATATTAAAAAAGGAATCACTACTGCTGTCTCCGTTTCAATATGTCTGATAAAGCACAGAGTTTCAGCTTTGCTTTCATTGTTTAAGTTACTATCAATCTAAATCATTGATACTCATATTTTCTAACTCGGTCACCAACATAGAAACTATTCTGATGACTAAAACTAGTCATTGTTTAATTAGTTACTGTTGAAAAAAGTAAAATAAAACTAAACACTGCATATAGACAAGAATGCTCCTAACAGGGGCAGTCTGACATTCCAAGAAATTTTCAAAGAGTCCTGACAGACGAGGAATTATCTAGGCAAGACCAAAGTTCCCTATAACTGCAACGCATCGCTTTAGGCACACAATAAATTTTGAACACAAATCTTAACGTCAATCATGGTCTCACAAACCAGGAATATTCCAAATAATATTTCTATGAATGAGAAAATCATTCTGTTGACTTCCACTTCCATTCAGAAAATAAATTCAATTGCCTTAGAAATACAATGAAAAAGATTAAGGCACAAATCTTAGCATCAATCATGGTTTCACAGAACAGAAATCTTCACAATTTTATTTCTATGAATGAGAAAATCATTCTGTAAACTTACTCTTCCATTCAGAAAACAAATTCAATTGATTTGGTTAACAACAAACATTACAGACCATATGTTGAGTCTGGCACAGTAATGCAACAGCTGCTTCTGTGCATTCAAAAAGGAGTTTAGGAAAGCCTGTTGCAAACAACGGCAGTCATGATTGACTGAGACTAGACAACTAACGTGGTTTTTAGAGCTCAATCAAGTAGCAGCCAGTGTTAGCATATAGACCTGCCTCGTGACGTAATCAGCTCTCAGGCCCTTTCTTAGCTAAAGATACGCTTTGATAATCGCATTTTTTATAATTACCCTTCCCCTAAGTTTGATGAGATCATTGCAAAAAGAAAAGCTGCGTTTTTTTCTACTGTTGCAAGAGGATCAATTTGTTCAGTTTTCTGTTATATTATGGAGGGTTTTATTTCAGGTAGGTGATTATGTGAAAAGCAAAAGAAGAGCCTGGATAGATGATGTTAAAGGGGGGGGGGGCAGCTATGGTATCCTAAAATAAGGTCTAATGACGGGGGGGACTATGATTAGGGACATATCACGTAGATGCTACTTGGAATGAATGAATAAATGAATGAATGAATGAATGAATGAATGAATGAATGAATGAATAAATGAATGAATGAAAGAATGAATGAATAAATGATGGATAAATGAATGAATGAATGAATAAAGGAATGAATGAATGAATGAATAATTGAATGAATGAGTGAACGAACGAACGAACAAACGAAAGAACGAACGAACGAACAAATGGATGAATGGACGAACGAACAAACGAACGAATGACTGAACGAATGAATCGTATTGGTGAATTTAATAATTGGTACTTCTTATAAACTTCTTTTAAATTGAGAATAATAATTGTGCGCAAAAGACAGGTAACAGATGCTTTGGTGGAAGGCAACTTGGTGACTACTTAGATGCAAAAATGGGCAACGATCTTGATTTACACGGCCTTAAAATCGGAACATCTGGGACTTACTGTTCTTGCTTTTACTGCTCTGAAATATGCGTGGGCGGAGAAAGAGGTACGTGAATGAAGTCCAGTAGGTTAAGAAAGCTTCAAGGTACCATTAATTCCTATTTTCTGGGGGTGTTTTTGTTATACATATTCATAGTAAGCCAACTACTGACAAATCTATTTATCCAGATTTTGACTTCGAAGGTCTTCATATGTAGTGCTTACTTCAAAAACTGTTATTTCACATTCCTTTAAAAAGGAGAAATACACAAAAACCCATTTACCAAAGTTCAAAAATAAATACTGACACGAGACTGAGATCAACTACTGAACATAAATTTAAAAATTACTTGTTAAGTTGGTACTTTGAAGGATACGCTGAGGTGGTACTTCGGCTTTTCACTTTCGAGGGTGAGTCTTCTTTTGAACACATCAAGATTAACACCTGCTGCAGATCTCTGGAGTAGAAGCAGATAAAAAACATCACATGAAGGAACAGTCCATTTGAAAGATAAAAGCCAGCCTCATTAAAATTTCAGTACACGGGACACTCATTGTCTGCTCAAAATCTGAACTCTGAGCAGAATTGGAAAAACTTAAAGCGATTTTTCGGGACTGCAGCTATCGGCTGCTCAAAAATTTGGTCGACAAAAGTGCCCAGTTTATTTTACACATCCATGGATCGATAACATTTCCTTACGATTGCAAAGTCAGATTAAACAGGCCAGCACAAAATGTTTCTTTGCTGTCATTTCTCGTATTGTTTACAGTACTAGGAGAGTCCTTCCATCCATTCAAAAAGGTTGCGTTCCCATAAAAAAGTGTTCCGTTGCTTATGAATTTACGCGCTAGCGTGATTCTGGCTACATAGGACGCACAACCCAAAGATTGGGGGAAAGGATAAAACAACATGTTCCTTCCAACATAAAAAACACAACAGTCTCTCAAAGAGAACAGCATCATCGATCTTTTAGGTCTAAAACACTCAGAAAACGAGCGATTCTGTCATCGGACAACATCATTTAGATAACCCATTGTGCAAAAGTCTATAATTACGACATGTTTCAGATAATTGGCCGAGCCCGGTCCTCTTTTCATCTAGCAGTTTTTGAAATCTAACGAAAAAGCCATTGGCAATTTTCCTATAGGCACGCGGCACTGATTTGCGTTTTTCTGATTGCCTATTTCGATCCACTAGTGGGTAAATATTTTTCGACCTGATGAAGAGTTATGCTCGAAACGCCGTACCAAATATTCATTTCTTGTACAAAGTCGTTATTTTCTTGCATCAATATTTGTTCAAATATCTTTCACCTTGTTCTTTCGGACCCTTATTCTTTCTGACGTTTAATGCTCTGAGGAGTGTCAAACGAAAATGCTTTTGGTATGTTGCTTTTTTCAAAGCCATTTTAAAATTTTGTACCGCCAAAAATTGTTCACGTAGAAGAACACATGTTACTTTCGAACGAGAAGGACCAATGAAATTCATTGAATGATATGCTGTTATCCGTGTTTAAGGGCATGCCTGCTGCTTCTAACCTGAATGACAGGCACGGATCTAGCGGGGATGAAGGGGTGCGACATCCCCCCCCCCAATATTTCTGTTCCTTCGGTAAGTTTTGCTTCCATTCATTAAAAATAATATTCTGGTAGCCAGTGGTAATGAAATAACGCCAAGATTCTACATTATTCATCTTCTTGTCTTCTTTACCTTAAAGTTAAAAACTGAATTTTGAAAATGGGCGTTTCCATTGTTTACCAGTGAGCTGAAGGGTGTGGCACCAGAATCCAAACAGTATCTAAAATCATTGCTGCTTAAATCCGTCCCTGCTGAATTGGTGTTATGTTAAATGGAAGTTTGACATGTTTCCCTACCTAAATGTTAGAAAGAGATGATAAAATTAACATTAATTATAATAATTTGGCTTTACCATTGTTGGTAGTTGGATCTCGACGCATAGCTCGGCTGGTCTGGTACTGATCACCGCATCGCTAGGAAAAGAATTATGCTTTGTCATGGAAAGAGCTCAAGAATATTCTGAATTCAAGCTAACAAATTTAGATAATATATTTAGATATATACTGGGGCGCCGTCCAAAATGTAAGGAATGGGGGCTGTGTTGTCGGGAACGTCTAGAAGCCAGACCTAAGACAACACTCAGTATGGCCACAACCAGTACACATACATTTGTGTTGAAGCTTCTCTTTCTGACATCATTCAAACTATTCACTGACTCTAAAAGGTTAATAGAATAATTGCTCGTTCTTGGAAAATCAATAGCAAAATAGAAAAGGTTAATTCGCATTGCTGAGTAAGAAATTTGCCCAACCAAACATACACTGACTTGTTGAAGGGGGCTGAGCCTCAAAAACTACTCTGAATTTTAACAAGGGGACTGAGCCCCCCCCTTCCCCAAGCACGTCTTCCACGACACCATAGGGAATTTTCGTTGGCAAACATGCAAACAAGGGGTTCATTTGCTTCTTAAGTAGCACAAAATCGCCAATATTCAGACACCTCCCTACCGTTCACATCTTAGTATCTAAATTGGACGAGCTTCTTTTACAGAAGGACATCAAAAGATCATGACTAAAACATCTGAATAGCAGAAATGTGATAATGGCCGGGGGCTAATATAGATCTGTCTTTAATAAATTGTTTAGACAAGCAGGTGTCAAATTTTAGTCTTGACAAAACAATATTTTAAAAAGGCCTTTTCGGGAATTTCATTGCGATATATGGATTCAACGTGCTGCTCAACCAATTTCTAACGTGACGAATCATATGGTTAAACCAACGCCTCTTCAAGCCCCGGGCTCTTCAAATAAGAGGGCGTTTATTACATTAAGCAAAAAAGAGAGCCGTTGACTAAAGGGCGGTAAGAAGGGCCAGGGCATTTAATAGAAGAAAATTCGTACCCGAAGGACAAGTTGCTTTCATTAACTGACGTAGCAAAAAAGTGCCCATGAGAGCAGAATAGAGAAAGCTGAACCATTTCAGAATCTGGGGTAGCTTGAAACTTCAAAAGGGACCTTTCACTTAAGAAAACAACTTTTTTGGGCTTTTTGCTTTGGACCAATTCAACAAACCTCCAAGGTTAAAACGAATCTTTCACAGATTCAGTTGTACAACATAAATCATGTGATGAAGAAATAAACTAAACAAAGAAATAAACAAAGTTGTAAAGAAGAAAGAGGTGCATTATTAACATAATGACAAAAAATGTAAAATTACCCAGACAAAGTGAAATTTTGCATATCAAAATGGCCTCTGTGCAAAATTTTGTACTCTGGGGTTGTTTTACCAGCTGAATCATCGCTTTTTTCACTTAAAATATCACTCTTTGCATTATTTTCAACCAAATATTCTTTGCATCCATTTTCTGACATGTCTGGAACTTTTCCCTCGGGAAACTTGACGAATTTTGAGATGTGGTCGTCCAGTTTTTTATCAGGATTCTGCAAAAAAGCAACCGACACTTATCTATTGGGCAGTTTTAAGCAGTGTTAAAGTGTATCAAACAATATTTGGTAAGATTGAGACTTTGGGAACCCCAGCTTGATAACAAAATTTATAGTGAGTACCACGACAAAAAGACATAATCTGAATCCATTCGACAACTCCATGTTACGTCGTGACAATAAAAAATCCATTATTTGATTAATAGTAGCCGGATTAAGCGTTATTGAGCAGAATTTCGTAGAATAGAGCATCATTCAGCAGTATTCAACAGTAATGAGAAAGAGTTGACAGTATTTAGTAAATAAGAACAGCATCAAACAGTATTTAGCAGTACTTTTGGCAAGACGTAACCAGATTTAGAGTTATTTAGAAGAATTTAGCAGTATGTAGCAGTATTTGTGGAGCAGCATTGATCAGTATTAAAACCAAGCAGTATTTAGCAGTATTGGGCAGTATCAAGCACTACTGAGCAGCATTGACCAGAATAGAGCTGTATCTAGCAGTACTTGTGGAGCAGCATTGATCAGTATTAAAACCTAGCAGCATTTAGCAGTACTTGGCAGTATTGAGCAGCTCTTGTGAAGCAGCATTGGGCAGTATTTAGACTTAGCAGTACTTAGCAGTATTTAGCAGTATTGGGCAGTATCAAGCACTACTGAGCAGCATTGAGCAGAATAGAGCTGTATCTAGCAGTACTTGTTAAGCAGTGATGAGCAATAATAAACAGTACTTAGCAAGTACTGAATCGTTTAATTGTAACTTCTTTTGAGATTTAATTATTTTGTCATATACACAATGATTCTTTATCATAGACTTTTCTTTTTAACTTGCTTTAGAACTTCTCACATCGCTAAGTATAGGCATAAGAAAGTTAGGTTGATTAAATTTCTACAAATACAATTGGTGATTTTTGTCGTTGTTGGTCTCCATTTAATACTTTACTGAATCACCATCATAAGATCCGATGGAAATCTGGCAACGCAAGGAAGTTCAGTGTCTCTTTCCTTCCTTCTAATTTCTGACACTATTGATCATCCTTTCTCAATCAAACAAATTTTAAATCCTTACTAAAAAACAATAAACACATTGTTCGAGTGCATCAATTGAATTTTTTTATTATTCAGTAACTTTTCTCGTGGTTTTCAGTATTGCAGCTGCAAATGTTCCAGCATTTTGCATCTAAAGCTTGAAAATCAGCCAAATTTGATAAGCAAAATCAATCAATTCAATCAGTCCATTAATATAGCCACAAAATTTCTTTAGCTATCCTGAAATTTGGAACGTGTAGGGAAATAAGTATTTTAGAGGCGATGTTTCCAAAACAAATAAGCCTGCTTCTGGACACAGGTGAAATTAAAAGCAGGAGATAGTTTTCCTAGACGAAGTGAAGATAAAATCATTTCATGATAATGAAACTTTTCCAAATGAAAAAAATTCAGAGAGAATGAACATGAATTGCTAAGTTTAAAGACGATAAAACGCTACATAGTGACAAACAACATGTTTCAACTGCTATATAGCAGGTGGGGGTTTCAATTGTCTAAAGGTTTTGTACAAGACCTCAGCCACGTGAAAATGTCTTCGGAAAAATATATTCTACTGTTGTTTAAGCTAACGCAATTTCCACTACCTATTCCTATAAAGAAACCTTCTAGCACAATCAAAGCATTTTGTTTAGATGTTAAAAAGTACCTGTTTTGAACACTTGTTCCGTTTCGTGAATACACAAATTACAGTAAACGAAACAGCCAGGATACAAACGCAGAATCAAAACATTTCCAGTAATACTTACATTTGGGTCACTGTTTCGCAATAACGTCTTCTCTATCTTTCCTTTATATTTTAGCTTCGGGTATTTGACATCTGAGAGGAATAAAAAATAATTTGAAATAAATAAAAAGGACCAAAACTTGCCGAGATCCAAATAAAAAAACAAAGGAAAAGAGCAGCAACTGGGAAAACATATTCTTTGAAGCTAAGAGCTTGAAAGAATTGATGAACTGCAAAATGCTACCGCATAGACAAAAACTCCTAAATATCGTAGAAAAAATTACCCTACTGTCTAACCTTAGATTAGCCGTATACACAATGAACATATCCAGGCAGTCGTGAGAGAAAATGGTTAGACACGTTTGAAGACCCTTATTAACTGAGGAGGGGGGTTGATAAGTGGGGTGGGGGTGGGGCGGATTTTGATAATTAAAACTTTATCTGGTATAAGAGACTTTTCGGGAGGATGATGTAAGCGTAAGGGAATGCACCCGCGGTTTTATTGACAAGGGCAAGCAAATGAATGTTTTTGTAATGTATTTAGAGAATTGCTTTCTTGGAAATTTCCTTAAGGAACTTGTCGTGATTATTTATATTTTTCCTCCCCATATAATGCCCCCCCCCTTGTTCTAGCGCAAGTGAAATTTGATAATAGGCTCCCAGCATAATTCTACATCAAATTATTTTCTTTTATGGAAAATCACATAATGTTTCATTTTTCAAAGTGAAGTGGAAAAATGAAAAAAGCTAAAAAATGAAAAAAGCTAAAAGAGAAGCTAACCGTGTGGCGATTTCAAGATTACTTTCTTGGCACATGAGACCACGCCCTTTTTGTCTAATTTCAGTGCTTTACTCAAGGTGTATTCACCCTTGAAAAATCTTAAAAAGTTTGACCTACCACTACCATATTCATTATAAGGAACTTTTGGAAAACATTTGTCTACAATGACCTGACAGAACTGGAGGGAGGGGGGAGGGGGTGGTTCACCACCAATACAAGGCCTTGGCGCCGCCGTTTGATGGTATGCTAATGTCAAAAGATACTTACAAACTTGACAGTTTCCGAGAAGGGGCGACTCACTTTGGATTTGGCCTTCTAACCAGCTTTTAGTCCTTAAACATGAGTACACGTTGCTAAACTCTCTGCAGACATTTTGAACGCTTTTCATGTCTTCATAAGTGAAGCATAAATTATCATATCTCTAACCCCTATGTTTTAAAGATTACGTCATGTTGTTGGACATGAAGAGAATCTTTGTCCATAAGCCAAGTCGGTACTTGATTTACGTTTTTACTTACTGTTGCGATCCAGCTGGAAGCCAAATTTATTTTCTGTTGCATCCATTGCTATGTTGTTTACAAGGCTCATCACCTCTTTTTGCTAAGACAAAAATGAATTTCATTTCGCTGTTAAGTATGAGCAAAAATATGTATTTTCTGACATAGATTAGCAATGCAATGTCCATAGGAAAACGTGGGCGGCTTAAGCGGGGAAATTTGTTTTCCAAAAATACCTGGCTAAAGAAATCATCAAATACAGCTGGCTATCTGAGATGTAATACATCTTTAAATACTTCAAAGATATATTCATATATCAAAGAATTCATTTAACACAAACTGTAACAGTAAATTATTTTCTGTGAGATCGTATCATTAAGTTTCGACATAGGATTTTGTAAAAACATAAATCTGTGTCCTCGTACCTGCAGGATCAAAACAAACACAGCTGACATACTATATAAACCTCAATTTCTTTCTTGAAATCGGATCACAATCGTCATAAATCTAGTATTTTATGGGCTTACCAGTTGTAAAAGCAACAGCAGTGACATCGTTTAAATAGCCCAATGCGGCTCTTACCGGACCGTTGTTTACGAATAAACCAAAATAACTTTGTTTTTCTTGAATTTTTTGCTACTGTCGTGTCATTAGCGAGAAAAAATACGACTCTTAATAGGGTCTTGCATAACATTCGTTGAGAAAAAACAACAGTTCAAAGACGAACCGCAGCTCCTACTTTCTAAAATCATAAACAACGATCGTGGCTTAAATTATGTATAGGAAATTCACTATAAGACTGAGATTAATGACAAAACAACGGATACCGTAAGGTACTATTTGCGGGGATTTCAATTCAGAATAACAGATGACACTAAAAAAACCGAAAACAAACAAAGAAGATGAAACTTTTAATGCTTTATAGCTATCCACTGGACCAATAAATAATCTAGGAAGAAAGAAAGGAAGAAAGGAAGAAAGGAAGAAAGAAAGAAAGAAAGAAAGAAAGAAAGAAAGAAAGAGAGAAAGAAAGGAAGAAAGAAAGGAACAAGGGATGGACGAAAGTGAGAAAGAAAGGGAGGAAGGTAGGAAGGAGGTGACGAAAAAAGAAGGGAAGGTAGGAAGTTGGAAAGAAAGGGAGGAAGATATGAAGGAGGTGGGAACGAAAAAAGAAGGGAAGGAAGAAAGTTAGGAGGAGTGAAGTGAGGATGAGGGAAGGAAGAAAGGAAGAAAGGAAGAAAGGAAGAAAGGAAGGAAGGAAGGAAGGAAGGAAAGGAGGAATGAAGGAAGGAAGGAAGGAAGGAAGGAAGGAAGGAAGGAAGGAAGGAAGGAAGGAAGGAAGGAAGGAAGGAAGGAAGGAAGGAAGGAAGGAAGGAAGGAAGGAAGGAAAAAGGAAAGGAAAAAAGGAAGGAAAGAGGAGAACTGACAAATGTATAGTAAATGTGACAGTATGATGGACAAAAGAAGCATTAAATAATTTTCCAGCATTTGAAAATTCTGTAAAAATGGCTTCAAGCAACTCGTCTAATATCATTTCGCTAATGAAAGATAAAGTCTATGAAAGCTATCCAGTTATTGATGAAAAAGACAGCCAATACTCTCCACAGAAACAGTAGCATACACACAGAGAGTACCCTCCACAGAGACAGTTCCTTGCTAGGCCAACTTTTGCCGTAAAAAGTAGTCAATGTAGCTAAGAGTGATTCGTTAGTTTTAAGGGTGAAGTGACAAATCATAAGAGAGTTACCTTCTTTGCCTTTGCGTAAACATCGGGATGAAACATCACATCGCACACCTGGCATTCGTTTCCAGCTGCCATGAAAAAAGGCTCGATGAGACTCAAGAATATTTATGTCTCTGAATATATAATGTCATATATCAGTCTGTTATACATGATCGATGCCATGAGCGCAGAGCTGCATACACTTTGGTGTATAGAACATAACAGTTCTGAGCTGCTCCTCAAAGTTTCACGCTTAAATGGCTTGAATGGGTCGCACATTTTATATATCTGAAGTGAATAGATATATATAATGTGCGACCACAGGACTGAAAAGGACGAAGGAAGGAAGGAAAGAAGGAAAGAAGGAAGGAAGGAAAGAAAAAAGGAAAGAGGGAAAGAAAAATAGAAAGAAGGAAAGAAAAAAGAAAGAATGAATAAAAAAAAGGAAGGAAAGAAAGAAAAAAAGGAAAGAGAAAAGGTGGGAAGGAAAGAAAAAAGGAAGGAAGGAAAGAAAAAAGGAAGGAAGGAAAGAAAAAAGGAAAGAAGGAAAGAAAAAAGGAAGGGAGGAAAGAAAAAGAAAGGAAAGAAAGAAAAAAGGAAAGAAGGAAAGAAAGAAAAAAGGAAAGAAAAAAGGAAAGAGGAGAACTGACAAATGTATGGAAAATAGCATTTCAATATTCTGTGAAAATGGCTTCAAGCACCTTATCAAATATTATTTCGCCAATGAAAGAAAATATCTATGAAAATTGTCCAGCTATTGACGAAAGATAGCCTGGAAGACTAACACGGTGATGCCACATTGAGGTTAATATACAAAGTCCACTGAAGAAATATATTATATATTATATTTTATTAAACGCTCGGAATATCTCTTCACTAAGCATTTCTCTTTGGGTTTTAAAAATCTGTGAAAATGCGAACAGGATTAACACAATCTAAATATAATCTAACAACAGTTACCTGACGATTGCATCTAGCATAAAACTGTGAGTTGTAACTTAAGATCTATACTGTTTTACACACCAAGCTTATATCCAATCATAAAAGGATATAAATTTACTAATCATTCGTACAGATATATGGAGTTAGATCAGAGTAACAGTTAGAATGGTCGCTATATTTGTTTACTCTAATGCAGGTCAGGCATCTTCCCTGGCAAATGTAGGGGTGACATCATTTCAGTCCCTTCACGAGGCTTCGTGTTCCAAATCTTAATAATATCAAATTATAAACAAAGATGACATCACTTCAGATGACATTACAGGGTTTTATCATCATAAATTACGGACAGCGCGGTCCCGAGCAGCCGTGGCCCTCTTCACAAACTCTTTGCAACTGTTTCTGTCCTGCGCTTTTCGTTGTAATTCCACTATTTTGAGGCCACAGATTTTTTTTAATGTGATCACTTAGTCGAGTCTTCAGTCGTCCTCGACCTCTCCTTCCTAATACCACGCCTAGGAGCAAGGTCTTTTCAAGGCCTTCGTGGCGTAGAACATGTCCAACGGTGTTATAAATAACACGAAAACAACCTCAAAATTATTTTTTACATAATCAATATTTCTAAACATGATTTATTTCACTAACTAGCAGAATTTGGATAACAGTGATCATATTTAAAAGTTACACAGATCGTATGTTTTGTCAATTTGAAGCCAGTTTTCGAAATGAAGTATCCAACTAAGGAATTGTTCAAGAAAGCCTCTGGTACCGTAAAATTTGAAAAATAGCACGGTAGAGCGGAAACATTTCATAATAAAATATTTTTCGTCCGACACTACACAGAATAAAAAATTCTGATAACGTCCAAAGGTGAGCAGAAAATTTATATCCAAATGTAGATCGAAAGTAATGTATTTTGTTTAAACAAATCGCAGCTGCCAATCTCTCACCTAGTTGAGTCTAAGAGACAAATGAACTCTTTCCATCTACACTGGCGGCTGCGGTTGGTAAAAAACAAAGAACCAACCGAACGCACTAAGGCCGGTTTCCACTTGATTCGCTCGGTCGCGCGACTGAGCGAATGCATAATTGAGCATGCACAAATTGAACTTCCACATTCGCTGCGAATGCGCGACCATTCACCGAGTAGTTCAACTCAGCTGAATTACTGAGCGACTAGTCGCGTTTGCCGATTCGCTGATTTATTGATTCGTTGTCGCCAAGTCGCACAACCAAAGCGAGTCAAGTGGAAAACGGCCTTTGCTCTTTTTCTAACGTTATTTGTGTTTCATGCACGATATAATTCAGCTCTTCCATGCTATTTTCAAAATGAAGTAGCTACAACTGCATTAATGTTTGGCTCCGCAGTTATCTAGCGTCAAGTAATGGTGAAAACAAGAACCAAATTGTTTGAAAACCCTCTCTTAAGAAGAAGACGACCCAACTTTGAACGAATCAAGAGAAGAAGTGCTTGAAACTTTGAGAAATTATGGGCGTGTTCCTTTTCAAAAAGAAGAAAATTGAAAGATGGCACCGGATAGCGGGAACCTAACATTATGTAAGAACGTTCCGTCCAACACTTAATGAAGTATAGACGGCGAATATGCCAAACGGTAAACAGATATTTATATCAAAACAATTTCCTTAAAATTCATTATCCATTTATTTCAATACACCTTTAGTCACAATCCACTAAAATACATAAACATGATATGTCTTCGCTTTTCCGTGCTATCTTCAAAACGTAAGGCTTTTATGGTTATTGCCGATGGAAATAAAAGGAAGGTCGGATCTGAGAATCAGTCAATCAGGCTGTATTTATCAAATTCCTTTCCGTTTTATTCTGCGAAAACCTTATTAAACGTCACCACTAAATAACATGCTATAGTTGAAGTTGCAGAATTTCAATTATGAATACACAGTTAGAAATCCATTGAGTGGCTCAGATCTAACTTATTTCAGGCTCTGCAGCGTGGGTAGAAATGAACCTCATGATCCTAATAACTGCCACTCTAGCAATTGCTAACGAATATGCTAACAGCCCACGTTCTGACAATGAATGAATATATTTGCAATTAAAACACAAAGAAACAGTTAGGAGACATAAGAGAAACATCAGGCGGTCTTGGGTCTTGTTTGGCTGCCGAAAAATACCAGGAGATGCCCTATGGTGTTGTGAATACCGAAGAAAACAACAAACAACGAACAACTAACAGATAAAGATAATATAAAGACTATGGTTGTAAGTAGCAAAGAGAAGGCAGAAATTATGAGATAACTAGCATGGAGAATTCATAAAAAGTGCACAATATAAGAGAAATAGAAAAATCTGAAAGGAAACAGATTCTGGACACAAAGAGATACTGGGCCAAACTAAATAAAAAAGAGCATAAACAAAGAGTATAAGATCTTTAAAAGACGTAAAATACAAGTTGTAAAATATTACTGAAAAAGTAAATATTAAATACACATTCTCGTTTTCTATTGTTTTTTAAGTTTTTGGTAGACCGATGTTTGAAGATGGCGCAAAAAAGTAGAAACTTAGCATCGTTAACATTCCTTAACATCAGATGATGAATGAAAGTAAGCTGAACATTCATATCCAGGTGGATCGAAATGTGGACTCATGTCACGTTCTCGTTCCGGAACTTTTTCTTGTTTGATGCGCTTCTTACGTACCGAGCTCCGAGCTCTACAACGGCGGGAAAATTCATAAACAGCTCAACATTATACGGAAGGTTGGGACGCAATCCTTTTGAATTATCTTTTGGTGGTACAAAACTTGAAAATGGCTTTGAAAAAAGCAAACATTTAGTAAACTAAAGCTTTTCGTCTGACACTCTTTAGAGTTTAAAACGTCAGAACATAGACCGAAAAGTCTACGCTGGGAAATATATATACCCAGTTGTGGATCGAAATAGGCCAAAATTTGGTCCTCAAAAGTGTCCGGTCTATCTAAAACTACCCTGGATCGGTGGCAGTTCCCTACGTTTTGAAAGCCATTTTCCTTTTGAATTGTGAGAAAAATGGCCTTAGTATTTTAGACGACACGAGGCTTTATAGTAGAAAAACATATGATCATGGCACGCAGGTATGGCCTTCCTAAACACACAACGAAAATATTCCATTCGGGGCTATTCTAAACGATTGTTTTTTCCATTGCCGTTTCATTTTAAAGATAAAATTTATCAATATTTTTTCACTTTTCAGAAGTTTCGTTGAGGTTAGTTTCAGTGAATGTTGATAACTGTTGTCCTTCAAAGAAATTGTTGTGCTGCCTTTACGTGCATCCCTTTCTTTCCGACCAACCCACCTTCTATCTTTAGGTGCGAGGATGGCTACTGGTAAGGGTCCAGGTTGATAACCAGCTCTTTGATAAGCAAGGCAAAGGAATCAAAAGGTATGGTCTCGTCGAGGTGAAGGACCAAGACATTGCTCAGTAAGCATAGCTTTTCTGTTTCCAAAAACCTACCTTTAGAAGCTACGTAGAAAAAAATAAAAAATAAAGAAAATATCTGTAATTTATACTTCCAAATCCCTCGAAAAATAGTTACCCCTCAAAATAAATCACATTACATTTAACTGCAATAGTTTTGGTGGATTCTCATGGCTTGTGTGTATTCCATTGGCTACATTTAGCATAGGATTGTTGAACTGAACAGGTGTGCAAGTGCGTGTGTCGAGCTCGCTGGCCTAAGCTCACCAGGGTACTAGCTAATTGAAGGTTAACAGCAGGCCAACTACAAATAATTCATTTACATCCTTATAAAGTAGTTGTTATTGAAAAACAGACATAAGGGACGTGCAACAGAAAGAGCCTCAAAGGTGGACAACTTAGACAGGAAGTGTTTGTACTGGAACCTTTCACACAACAGTATACTGTATGAAATGTTGTTCATTACTAGAAGAAACCGGCTCAGTTTCAGATTTCAAGTCTACTTTCAATAAAGTTCTAAAAATTGATAGATCAGGCACGAAATCGTCACCCACCGACTTTAGTTTTAATCGTCGTAAAACACACTTAGACCGTTCTTAGCGTCAACCATTGAATCAATGGACTTGCTGCAAAAAGAAGAGCCGACCACAACTTTAGCTGTCGAGTCCGTCCGTGTAGGCGGAGCGGAGCACTTTTGAGTGGGCTCAAAGCCTACTGTGCCTTAGCATCTGTACAAAACAAACAGCGATAAATAGCATACCTTTGTCAACATCATCTCGAGGCGGATTCAATATGTGTGGAACTGTCCAGTCCTGTCCACCGACCAATCTGTTGATAAACAGAAATCATGATCAGATCAAATCACAATACACCTTATATAAAATTTGCAAAAAGTCAATTACAAAAAAAATTGCATTGTTTAACCTGTTAACTAAAGCAATCTATTTCATTGCAAGCAAAGAAATACAAGGGATATGATAAAGCTACAAGTTTCTGTACATTCACGTGGTCAATAACCTCGAAATAGTCGCGGTCTCCGTGAAAGTACTGTCTCTATGGAACGTACTATCTCTGAGGAGAGTACTATCTGTGTCTAAGAGCGGATAGTCTCTCTGTGTCTGCGTGTAACAGGTTCACTCTCCTGTCACATGTCACGCATGCGCCGTTAATTACTAATCACACTGTTAAGATCTTTGAAAGCTCAAGTACGCAGCCAAGACAATATACGTTATCAAGCTAAAGGTACATAGCGAGCCTGTGCAAATGAAATTTCAAAAACAACGCTTCGGATGATCTTTGAAAGAGTTAACAGATAGATTCTAGGATGAGGTCATTTTGATGGAGACAAGTGACCTGAAGTGAGTGACCTGATGTTTGAAGTGAGTGACCTGAGCTGAAAGCCAGAGCCCTAAATAGCAAGCAATCATACTCAAAACAGGCAAGTACACGTGACAATTCGGGATACGTAATTCCATGAAAGCTTGCATGAAATTTGAACTAAATCATTTATTTGATGAGGATCAAATCATGTTCTGGTACAAGAAAAACACCTCGAGATCGCTACTTTGAAGTCAGACCATTCAATTAAACCAGGTTAACAAGTTGCAAGGCGAACGCTAAAATGTCTCCTCCAAAGCGGTTTTAAAAAGTCAAAATGTTCTGGCGCCATTCTCAATGTGTTCATGGTCATTGATCTAACGCGAATCTTGATGGCTACAGAAAAACTGAAATTACCGTTCTCTTTGTTAACTAAGGAGAGATCAAAAGCGCTAAAACTAATCTAAGGGCACTGGCAGTTAAAATTACGAAGGTTTTGCAAATAGGCGTCTTTACAGTTCAAACAATTAGACTGTGTTTTCACATCTGAATAAACAGCCAACATAGGATACCGTACTTTATCGAAGGTTTCTAGGACGTTTTTCATTAGCATAAAAAGATGGCAAATATTTCATACAGTAAGAATAGCCAAGAAACAGCTCTGAACAATATCATTGAATTCTAGTCTGACGCCAAATTGGCAAATAATCGCAAATGTTTCTAGATGTTCCTTTAAAAACTACCGCTAAAGAAGCATTAGTAGGGAAATTTGATTTAGCAAATTAAAGCAGGTGCTATACGCGGAACAAAATATGTGGGCAGCGGCCGTAGAGTTGTAAACGAGGTTCTGTGAACTCACTGGACACGAGGTTATGTGAACGATAAGACATTACAAAGACATTAAGGAGCTGCTGCCTTCATCTATCCTTCTTCTTCAAAACAAACAGAATTGCAATACTAGAGTCTTATTAGAGTCGCATTGCTTCGTTTACAAAAACATGCTTCGCTTACTTTAGTTTTTTACTGTCGAGTGAAGATGTAATTTGTCAAAAATTGGAACGTCGGGGCTGGGGCTTGTTGAAAATCTTCATTTCCAGTGTGGAGGTTAATTCAAAAAGGGGCTTATATATGATGGGAGGGGTGGTTTGAGGATTGGTGGTACTAATGCTGAAAATTGTAAACACAGGAAGCAAATCACAAAAGAAATGTTTAACTCACTGCTCTCCTCGATGCTGTTCCGCTTTCTTCACTTTTGCATTTTCTACCTTCTCATTAGTGCAAACATTGATAAAAATCTTCTTATTTTTCTTAGGATCTATTGCTTTGATCACGTGACCAGCCTGAAAACAAAGAAGAAAAAATTACAAGCAAGTTTCATTAGGGATCTGATCGTTGGAGCATAAGCGACATGCCGTGCAAAAAGGGATCCTTCCAAATCGGTATAAGGAAAAAAAGTTAGCTGGTAACAAACACCTTAGGGTTCTCTAACTCGTGTAACTTAGTCCGGGTCATGTTTAAACCCTGCCATAGGAAATTTTTGCTTCCGGTATAATCAATAAAATTATGCAACCAACTTTCTAAAAATGGGTTGCCCTATGTGGGTTGCTCACGAATTAATATGCATGTAAAGGGGCAGATTTTGCAACCAGAAGCTAGTTAGCACAGTCCCAGATGAATTAATCGCTTGAGAACTTTCGAAAAGACCGGTTGTTTTAATAGAAACAAAATCCCTTGTATTTTGAGGCAAGCAAATGCAAACTGAAATATACAATTTATAAAATCAATTACATTTTTTCTTTGCAGTTCAATCAGCAAATTAGAGTGTTGCAGTTATTCTATCGAAGATTTACTTGTGACTATGTTTCGTATTATCCCGCTTTCTCACAATCCCCCAAGCATGAAGAAGACAACAATCTTGTAGGACACTATCCAGTAGGACAGGGCCAAGCCTATTACTTCTGTTTTAGAGAATACAAAAATTTACGCCCCCGTGACTTTAATGAATTAGTTGACAAATAATATAATGTCTTGTGATTGCCGTGTTAGGGTGTAATGAATTTATTAGACAGAGGCGCGACCTAAATTACGACAAGATAATTTAAGATTCATGGAGCTGCGGCCTCAACATGCACTTATAGGTTTAGAAAAGAACAGAGGGACATTAACAGCAGCACAAAATGAAAACGTGAGTAAATTCAAACATATCTTATGCCGTTTTAAGTTTGTATCTTAAATTTATTTATCGTTATAAACAGCTTTCCAACGTATTTATAAAGTTACAAAACAATGTACTACATAACGCTTTAACTATTTAGAGCTCTTCGTGAATTAATTGCCCTAGTTATATCAAAATAAATGATTTAAACAGCATTGGACAGAGTCAGCATCCTTTAGGAACATCGTTGTTGAATCCTTTCAGGTTTCCCCTTTCTCGTTTTTGTATTTGCTGTAAATTTTGATTTCACGTTTCGAGACACAAAATATCGTATTGTGCTGATTACTTTCACATTTCATGAGCAAAACAGCACAGGAGATAGTGAGCATCCTTGTGTAACAAGTATAACATTTTTCTTTAATTTTTCTCTTTCTTTCAAAACCAGTCGTTTCTAATTCAGATTACATATCAATGTTTTTCAAACGAACTGGTATGATAAATCTAGAATGAGTGTTTTGTTCTGAATACTATTTGAGTACGTGAGTCAAACGAAATGAAGAAATAACAATGGATCTTAATACCAACTTCATATACTGAATGGTCAAAAATATCACCAAGTGAGACGAAAAGAATAAAATGATCGATTTTTACTAAATACTATTATATTTCGCGAGACAAACACCATGCAAGACAGTCGACATCCTTGAGTCACAAGTTTTAACCCTTCCGAAATTTCCCTTTCTCTGTCAAAAAAGTCTTTTAAATTCAAAATGTGAAACATCACATTAACTGTGAACAAATTTCAATTCTCTTTTTCGGAAGATTTTAAAACTCCAACATCCTATTTAACATGAATCATTCAATAGATATCCCTTCTTTGCTCGGAAAAACTTTGATGAAAGGAACATCAAAGATTAGATCATGATGACTATTACATTTAGGCATTATTTAATGAAAATTCTGAAAATCCCAATTATAAATTAGACATTGATGGGTTTTTTACTTGGAAATACATGGACAAGCCAGTTTAACCCAGGCTAATACAGTGAAAAATACTGAGACAGGTGTTTTGGAGAATCACATCTTTTACAGTTCTCTATGGTCAAACCCACCTGCACATCCTTAAAACACTGACATTTTATCCCAAAAACCCCTGTCAATACCCTGTATAATTTTTTTTAGCATATTATTTCAGAAAAGGTAACATTCTATGAAGGGGTTTGTTCATTCAAGGGGACATTTAAAAGATAAATTTTCTTAATACTTTTGATTAAGAATGTGCCAAAAGAAATATCAATTCTGTTCTCTCCAATTTATTCATAAAAAAGCAAAGAAAACCTGTTGACCTAAAAGCATAATATTTGTCTGACATCAAGTATCGGAATACAATTATTGGTCTGCCAACAAGTATTGGCAAAGATTGAGATACTGGAAAAAGGCATTTAAAAAGAAAAGAGCTTTTTCCCACAATTATATTTAAATTTATTAAAATTGATTTTTTTTTCAAAAACCTTGACAAAAATATTCATCATTCATTTCAATGGAAAAGTGACATTTCTCCAGAAATATCACAAAATGAGTAGATTAAATTCCGGAAGCAACTTTGCTTAGCTGTGAAGATGAAAGAAAACTTGACTGTATTGAATACTCACCTCTGGCTTCAGGAAGACAACATCAAAGCCCCTCTCCTTTTCCAGTTGTTGAATCTCCAATTCATATTTCTATTAAAATCAAAGACACAAGATAAAGTAAATGTAAAGCATAGAGCGACTTTTTAGGTGTTGGGTGTTCCAAGAAAAACATAGCGCAAAGTGTTGGGTGTTCCAAGTAATTTTGGCAGTGATTGTCTGAATGGAAATTTGAAGCTTATCAGATACACTATAACACCCTAGGTTCTGAATGGAAATTTTAACTAGCAATGATTCTAAACAAAGAAACAAATGTTAAACCAGCATATTGAGATTTTTCAAAAGAGAGTTCTGTTGAGAAACAACTATGTGCTATATATATAAATATGACCCAAAATTAAATTCTTTGTCTTCTCCATCTGAGCTTAAGCAATATATTAAGATTCCTTCTTCTAAGGATTTCCTGCTTTTACTTAACATTTAGTATAGAAGGTGGTAAATTCAAAGGATTTTAATGGTGTTTTCAACTTGTTCAAAGCAAGGAAAGTAAGGCTAGCAATCATAACTTCAGTATGTTAGTTACATCTAGGGTATCCACTAAACAAAGTTTACACTTAGATTTTAAATGACAGAGAGAGCTGCTACAAAGAAAGCAAAAACAACCATCCTAATTTCCCAACATCTAGAGGTAAAGGAGATGGAATGAAAGGTAGAATGGAAAAAAGGAAAAATTAAATGGAAAAAGACACAAAAGGATAAAAAATAACTGAAAGGAATGCCAGTCTGAAACCACAAGTCAATCTAGAAGAAAACTAAAAACTTTCAAAAAATTATAAATGAAACTGATAAGAAGAAATTTTACATGAAAATAAGATTGGTTTATTACAGGTAGAGATAAAATTGAAACATACTGCTTTGTTTTCTGGATCTGAGATTTCTTGGCAGTAGTCAAAGAATAACTCTCTAAACTTTTCATCCTTTAGAGCATTCTGGATTTTGTTAATTTCCTGTTGCAGAGATATAAATAATTGACATTAATAGTATTCAGGTTTTAAATTGAAATATGCAACATGAAAAATGTCATTAGAGCAAATTCTGTAGGGTGTCGTTTACTGGAAAAATGGTTGTAGACATCTTTCTGTGTAACAAGCAAACAATGGCTTTTCTTTCAGTCTTTGTTAGACGGAAATAGCCCATGTGCAGCATTTTCTATGCCTTGATTGCGTTGAGCATTTGATGGCATGCCAAGAATGCTACTTGAGACAGTTGAAATTCCAAAATTTTTGAAATAAATAGAAAATACCAAAAGAGGTGTTTCCCTTATTTCCTGAGAGTCTGAAGGGTGTGGTCAAGTTTTGTCCACCCCAGCTCTTTGGGACTGGCCAATGCCACTTTTGCACATGCGATGTTTTGTATGCCTCAAACAATTTGGGCATGTATGGTAGTCTTTGCAATATGAAAATATGCCACTTGCAGCGTTTTGCATGTCTTGATTACTTTGCCCATGTGATACAAACCACTTTTTTACCTGTCGCTTCTAATTCCTGTTGTCAAGAACTGGGTGCTGCTTTGAAGGAAACCTTTTGTGTAATAAACTAACCAAAACCAAGGAAATTGACGGATAAATTGTTCTTGTTCATTGTTAAAGATGTTAAATTTAAAAAGTTAATAAATTTTCTAGGAAATAACTATAGAATCATTAAAAGATATCTGGATTGAAAAAAAATCAATTGTTTGTAGACCTTACATCTATCAAGAAATTACCCAGTTCAGTATCATAGTTAGCATAGAGGGATATCGTAGCAGATATTATAGTGGATACTCATGAAAAATATCTTAATTATACCATTTGATCAGTGTTCCTTTCATGATAGAATGGAATTCATCTCACAATCGAATGAGAAGGAATATGTAGAGAAATGACACAATGGTCGAAATGACCACACTTTCTTTGAGCAGAAAAACAAGTTTTACAACTCTTTATCTAAAAATGGCTCAAAAATAGTTCAAAAATGGTTCATAACTTTATGAACTGAGCCAAAATAACAGTATCTGTTAGCAAACTTCAAATATTCTATTGGCCATAGCTCACCCGATTTTTGACAAATTTAACTGATTCTGCATATTTGGGAGTGTTTAATGCTGTTGTTTCATGTTATGTGGTCAAAATTCAAAAATTTAAAAATAGTTTGTTGTGATGTCACACTTAAGAACTCTATAATCTGAAAAAATGTCACCATTATAATTTTTCACGCAATCTGGGTTTTTCAGTAAATGCAGCTCGATATTGGAATTGCATGTTTTAGTTGTTATTTTTTATCTGCAAGACCGAGTAGGCTGTTCTCTTTGAGGGTGACATTTGTTTCTAATGCTGGAAGGGACCTGCTGTTTTATTTCATCCCCATTCAACAATTTCTTTGACTTTCCTACAAAGAATATACATGTCTTTTATAAGATTGAAAGGTTTTAAGCCAGTGGCGGACACTTGGGGGGGCGAGGGGGGGCGATCGCCCCCCCAATACTTTAGAGAACAATGGTCTTTTGTTCTAAAACAATGGGAAATGTGACGTCATCTTATTAAAACAATAGGCTTGCCCCCCCAATATTTGACCAAGTGTCCGCCCCTGTTTTAAGCTCTACAACATACCTTTTACTACACTATCCTTTTCCAAATGGATTGAAGTTTGGACTACCATTAACAAAAACCACCCCACAGGCAAAAAAATTATTAAAACCCTTGTAAGTTTTTCAGGGTTCTGTGAATGTGAAAAGGGCAAATGAATGACAATTTCAGGGTAGCCATTTTCCCTTCCTGTTTTGTTTAGGAGGCAATTCACAGCTCGTCTCAGGTTGTGAGGGGAGCGCAGAGAAGAGCACAGAGGGGAGCATGGAGGGGAGCAAAGAGGGGAGCGCAGAGGGGAGCAGGAGTTACCCCTTGCCTCAAAAGGTCGCGCCTGATAAAGCACCGGGTGTTGATTGCAGATTACTCCCCCTTGGCACCTCCTTGGCACCCCCTCAGTTAAATAACTGTTATGTTAAGCGATCTTGTTGTAACTTCTTTGTGATGCCGTTGTTAAATCCCATAAGGGAATCCTTAACAAAACCCTGGAAAATGACAGAGGTGCCTTTGAATTCTGCCACTGCTTTAGAAATCTTTTAAACATAAGCAATTGTTAAGAAATTTTCATTTCAAATCTTTGTTTTGCGTGTGTGATCTCATGCCTCATATGACAAAGGCTGGTATGGAGGCACCCCTCATATTAGAAAGACTGAACATGGCAAAGATCTCCTAATGATGGAAGTATTGATTCAGCTAGGGTAACAACTAGCAACTTAATTGCCCACTGGCAATATAATGCCTTTGCAAACATATGCACGGTTTTTTACAATGGCTGCACAAAACCCCTAGAACAACATCTCAAATTATTAACATTATAGATCTTTGAGATTGTTTGATTTCAGGCACGCAGTCTCATATTTTCAAAGGAAATAATTGTGCAAGAAACAAAGTTTCCAGTCTGGTTGGGGTACAAGATGCATTAAATTTTCTAAAGAAAATGAAAATGTTTTATCTTTCATAACTAGTCCAGCAGGCATGCCAAATCCAAAATTTTTTTTTAAACTAGGTTAACTTCTAACATGCACTAAGTTGAGCATAAATTAAATGCAGTTGACCCAAAATTTTTGCATTGTACAATTGTCCAAAAGTGTATCCATTGCATTGTACAATGAATTTTGTGCCACAAAGCAACAAGGTCTACTGGGCATTCAAATAGTGGAGAATTTTTAGTATTTTAGCATCTATGACATCGTTGAATATTCTCACAGTACTTTTGATTTTTTGGCCTTGCAACTTTGGTTTTAAACCTTGAAAAAGTGCAAGGAATAATTGCTTGAAGTGAGGAGATATAAGGCAACATTTTTTCACAATACAAAACCAATCTATATTTGGAGTAAAGATTTCTAAACAAAATAAATGAATTGGAATCTTAAAAGTACCCAGATACATGTTTACGTTTGTGACAGCAGAAATCATGTTCTGAACCTTATGTTTGCCTTTTGTTCTACATGACCTAATTAATACATTATCATTTGTAGCTTTACGAGAAAGTCTATTTACAATATGACAACAAAAGCAAAAAACTATCTCGCAGGGTTATATTACGAACACTGGAAGACGAAGACGCCGTCTGCATGCATGTCAAGCAGTTATAAAGCGCGTGGGGATGTCTTTTTGCAACCTACGTTCTTCAAAGGCTCAAATTATAACTAATGATATTTGCAAAGGAAACCAGTCAATTGCAATATATATCTGCATACCTCTGGCGTAATATCTAGCTCTTTATCCATGTGAGACATCGTGTGAAGTTCTTTCAAACCAGACACTGCTGCTGCTCTTTCACGCGTTCGTTGTGTTTACAGGCAACATCAACACCAACATGCACCTGATTGAAATCGAGGCCTGTTGTAAATGTTCTGGACTCAAAATGGGTAGAGGACTAAAGGGGCCGGGTTACACGATCGCTTTTTACCATCACTTTTTTCGATATTTGACCAACATGCTGAAAATTGATCGTGTAACATACTAAAAATTGCCCATTTTCGCTGCAGAATTCAGTGCGCTTATCAAATGTTAATCCTCTATCATTTGAAATTTTACTCTGAACGAAAGCAGAGTAAAATCGAGTTCATCACTTTTTTCAAAGCCGCCGACAAATTCTTACGTCACATGTTGTTTTGATGAGAAGTGAACGGCCTAGAGTTTCGAGAATAGAAGAAAAAGACGTGAATTGTGCTCAGAAACATAATTATTAGGAGAAAACGAATATGAATAATGATTTGGAGTAAATCGAAGAGCAGCACATTACAGAAAAATAAATGCAGTTGATTATGGTAGAAAGTGATCGTGTAACCCGGCCTTGAAAACAACCAAAATTGCTGAAAATTCTAGCTCTTTTCCAAGCAAAGGAATTGAGTTAAATTAGAAAACAGAGGCGGTGCCAAGAAATTCAAAGTGAGAGGGCTCGAGTTGATAACATTATCAAACTAAAAAAACAACTTTTCAAAAAAGCACTGAAATGCTTCACGATATTTTATGCCTATGATTTTAAGGGGGCACTCGTTATGCTAGCGGTACATTGGAAGGCTGGCGAGAGGTTGTCGAGGGCCCTAGATATATCCAAAGAGGAGGCTTCCTTGCGAGCGAAGCGAGCAGGGAATTTCTGTAACCACGCCCTCCAGATTAGCTTAAAATAAATTTCAGAATATTCATTGCGGTCCTTTTTTTGCAAACATTTTGCTATTTTTGAGGCATGGTTTTTTACGCTTGATTAATTCCAGTCTTAAAATTGAATTCGTCACTTTATGAGGCACCATAGACCCCGGCTTATTCCTTGGAAATTAAGAAACACTGTAAAAGAATTTATCGCACGATTCTTTTCTTCTATTTCTATTTTTCTCTATTTTTTAATTCTCTTAAAAAAACTTTTTTGCAAAAAAGTTGGGGAGGGGGCTGGAACCACAGCTAATTAGCAAAAAGTGCCTTTCTTATTTGTCATGGATAATAACCGTATCTTAACAATAATGGAACATGGTTTTGATTGGGCGGACGGTTTTGTAAGTTGCGGACACCTAACGCAACTTTGGAAAGTCTACTCTAACGGACCCTAAGTAGTAGTAGATCATCTTGACTGGAAATCCTTTTTTGCTCATTTTTTGGCGTTTGATTTCATTTTTAGACATCTTCTCTGAATCGGACTGTTATAAATAATAGATGAAAAAGCAAGTATTTTCTAAAAGGGGCGTGTTTGGCGTTCTAAAGGGCGTGACCTCAAAAATTTTTCTTTCACCCCCCATTCAGTCCACCAACCTTTAGAATGACGCACGGTGCCTGAGCAAAAATTTACAGAAGTCAGGTAACAGCTGAATCTACTCTGGCAAAATGTCTTATCGTCAAATCGACAAATCAAATATCCTCTCCCTTTAGTTACTTAAAGTGGCCGTGTACAACTCAACTTGTTTGAAATATTTTTCAGTTGACAATCTTCTCATAACAACTGGCAAATTGGGACTTAAGTCGTGGAAATTGAGTTCTATTTTCTTTAATTTTAAATCTGCATGTAACAAAACAATTGGTGTTGTTGTATCAAGTATCAAGTTCTGTTACAGAATGAAGGAAACTTCTAGGTCAGTTTGCCTTGCAGATTAAAACTTTACCTGGCAGATTAAAACTGAAAGATCTTGTCTTTTTCGGTAAATGAATTTAATATCTTTATTCAATGATAACTCATTAAGGATAAAGAAAAATGTGTACACAGAATAAGAACTTTCACTTTAAAGTTAGTGATAAGCATCCATTTTCTTATGTTGACAGTGTAAAGATTTTTCAAAAGCATTGAATGGATTACCCGATCCCGATTCAGCTGGTTGTACTTGATCTTAGATAATTCTGTTTTTCTCTAAGCAATTGAACCACATATGATTCAGCTGTTCTTAAAGAAAGGAGTTTTCAAGCACCCCATTATATTTCCGTGATATGATGCCAGTTAAGACCACTTACGTAACCAAACTCTTACATTCTTTGCTAGAAACATACATTAACTGATTTAGATTGCATGATAAAATGTGGCCATTTATGCTAAATTATTTTAATAATGAATAAATTCAAGCTAACAATCTAAAAAAATAAAAATAAATGTACACTAATATATCGCAAAGCAATATTTTGTTAACAATCTTTGAGTGAGCTATCGGGTTTTGAGTTCATGCCTTTACAAGCTGGGAAGATTAACAGCAACAGGGAAAACCTGATCAAATCAGGTTTTATTTCCTGTAGTACCCACTTTGCTTTAGACTCTTTTGTTAGACTAAGACTCGTTCGTTAAAAACAAAACCATCAGAAAAAAGATAATTTTCCAGTCGCTGAAAATCATTCTGATAAGATATGCAAATAATCGTTCTGCAAAACATCAGTTGAATTTGCGCAAAGCAATACTTTGAAGAATATAAGATACTGGAGTAGCTGATCACAGATACTTGAAAGAATCCTAAAAATTTAGACGGCTACACCTTGAACTTCAAACTAAAGAGATGATCGAGTCGAGTAAGCTAAATAGATGATCGATGTGCGAGGAATAGGATTCCTTGCACTCTTCTATCAAAGAGCCCCTTCATATTTAATTAGAAGCTGAATTCTGAATTCTTATATTAAAAACGATTTTGAGCATAGCGTTGATAAGTAAAAAATTCTAGCCAATCTGTTAGGAAATGTTTCCACTTTTAAGAATCCCAGCATAGCCTCCTCTGTGTTTTGTTCTATAGGTTGTTCTTTCTATCAGGCTTAAATGTCAATAGACATTTTAAGAGGTTCATTCACACTATTTGGTTTACAGTAAAAAAAGGAGTTCGTCAGGGATGCGTATTGCCTCCATTTCTTTTGAAACTATATACACGTTGAATATAATGCATGAAGAAATGGTTCACGATGGTGCAGCATTGCTGTCAATGTTGAGGCTCGGACTGAGTTGTTATGTAATATTATCGAAAATTCACAGTGAAAGCTATGGTCTGAAAATGAATGTGGAGAAGACAAAAGTAAGTTCACTGTAAAAATTCTATACTATAGAGAACGTGATCAGAAATCTTCATAAATGAGATGGTTATTGTACTACTCTGAGCATGCTTTTAATTATAATTATGATGATTCATAATGATGATTCATGAATTTGCCTTAAAATGTGCCCTGTTGAAACCTTTGTCCATTAACATTCTACGTCACTCTCGTGTACAATTCACAAGCGATTAGAAACTTTATACTTCAATTTATTTTTGTGAGATCTTTTGAGCTACATGTTTGTCATGACAATATATATTTACATTTCATAAGACGCAATGCAATTCATTTCTTTTTCAAAGTAAATTGCTTGCTTTTGGGTGCTCGATCAACATTAGCTATACAATAGTTCGTCACTGCTGCAAAGCAGAAAATGAAGCTTTATTTTGAGTTTTCGTTTAGGTGCATTGACAATGTTGGTCAAGTACACTGACAATGCGGAGAGTACACTGGTGTAAGATTTAGGGCTAGTTGCCCTTGGTTGAGGGGAAAGTATAAGTGTAATTTGTATACTCTTAAACTTAGCAATAGTTTTTGTCAAGTTATTTCAATTTTAGCATCTCGACATTAAACTATTTGGGGGGGGGGACTCTAAGCTCTTTAGACAAGGGAGCCTATAGTTGTTCAAAAGGATGAAAGGTGTCTTAGGATGAAAGGTGAATATACGCCTAGGTTTTATATCAGCTTTGTGCACTGTCACAAACTTCTTATAGACACTGTAAATTTTGTCACTCAAGTTCTGTTGGCTATGAAAAGGACAAAGGGTGCAAAAAAGCAAGAATAGGGACGTGCATACTATTTAGTATCGACATGGTGGATGATCCCCCCTTCCACCCCACTCCCCCGCCACCTTGTACATTCACTGACTTCAATCTGTGCTACCCCAAACTACCAAAGGTCAAATTAAAGGAACTGAGCCCTATCTTGTATGACGGGTGTCTGGAAATTTAAGCAATGATGTGAACGTGAAGAGGACAAGGAGTGACCATCACAGAATACTGAAAGCTTTGATGTAATATTTCTTACTGACACATCTAGAACTGGCTTAGCGGTGATTCCGATTCACTCGATTGGAAGATGCAAAAAGATGGCGGCAGGATTTGAGTATGTACCAGATCACTATAGCGGATCTAGGTAACAATGGATATTCAATATCACTTTCTAGTTTGTCAAATATGCTTCAAAATGTCTTCGTATGATTATTCAAAGTAAACAGTTGGGCTCAGTTGGGCAGTTGAAGTTTGCGAAGGCTGAATTCATTGATGCAAAAAGATTATGGCATTATGAGTATTGTAGGTTTAAGACGGCCTAGCAGTGCAGCGGTTGCCTAAACGACAGGATTCTTTGTGTTTGGGTAACTGGATCATTGGCTAACGACACCCTGTTCGGGGTCCTAAACTGTATAATAGGCTAAATGCCGGCATACAACGTTTCATTACCATTCATACATTGATCATTTCAACATTAAATACCCTATGATTTCCCTGTGTTTCAACTTTCCTTCGTTAGAACGTGACAGCTCTTGTTGCCAACAGAGAATAGGTAGAAGTCAGAGTATGCAAACAAACTCTAACATCTTGTCTCTTTATCATTTTTGATAATGATATTGATAAAATTGAATTTGATAAACATGAGGGGGGGTATAGGAGCCTTTCGATAACGGCGTTGAATTAAGCTCAGGGGACAGCCGCAATGTTTTTATAAAAAGAGACCAAGTGACTTGCTCTGAAACTAGGTCTATATGTAATCCAGATAGTCCCGTCTATTCATGTCAAATGTATCGATTTCTGTGCATAATTCGGTGAACATGACACATCCTGTCAAACCATTCTGCTAAAAAAAGACAATGAAGACGACCTTTCGAAGCGGTAACAGTAGGGTTATACTTTATGTCTTAATCAAGAACAGGAGCTAAGGCAATGCTGTGCTATTCAGTACAATAGACGAGCCAATGAAATTCTAATTCAACTCAACGGAAAAGTAGGAAAAAAGGAAACAGTGGTGCCAAGTTAAGAATGAAGAGAGAGAAGACCCAAATACCTGTTACATTATCGACCAAAAAAGCAAATGCTAAATAGAAATAAAAGGCCGGAAGAGATAAGAGACGTGGGATTTATCATTGATACTTATCGAAAATTTCAAAATCAAATTGCCACTTGTGTAACAAAATTAAAGGCGTTTTCCTTTCAATAAGAAAAAAAATCAAGTTTTTAAACATTGAGACTTTCAAAACTTTGTACATAGCTTTAGTTAGACAATTATCAGAATCTGGAGGCCAAGCCTATGTCCTGATGGTCTATGTTTATCTCAAAGTCGTTCTTAACGGAAAAAGGATAATTAGGCCAAGGAAAAAGATATTGAGGAAAAAAGGATAATTGGACCAAGCAAGCGTTGTTTTGTCACTGATGAGATTTTTAGTGACGTCTCATTTGCCTCATTTACCAAAAGCTTTCACTAGATTCCCCCTGACAAAGCGATGTCTCTATATGATCCATTTACCGGAAACCGTGCACTGAGACCCCAAGACGGAGGTGAAAGTCAATGGGAAACTGAGTGTTCTTCTACGCACAGATATCTGTGTTCTAAGGTCGAAAAAGATAAGCAGTAGGATTACTGTGGGATTCTTGCGGTTCTTGCGAGGCCCAATATTGCGATAACACCAAAGCAAGCTTGGATTACTTCATTTTGATTCAGGACTCAGTTAGAATATAACTAACAAACTCTTTTATTACGTGAATAGCAAGCTAGCGGATGTAACTGGTTTCCAATTTCAATTCTTTGTTCAGCATTCACCTGAGAAATTAAAGTCAAGTTGAAGCAGTTACATGGAGAAATAAGATTTCCTTTGGGAAGCAAACAAAAGCTAGATACAACTGATATATGTTGCTTGTTGGAGCAAAAATATGCTGCTTGGTGTACTACACACGGTGAAATAGCGCTTATACTATCAAATAAATATCATGACAGAGACAATCGCTCTTACTACATGGTGTTTCTGCTGCTAATGGTTTGGTACGTTTTTGAGAAAGAATTACTCATTGCAGTTTTAGTCTAGTCCTTTTTTAATTAAAAAAACATTTATGCTAAAATAGGACTGGTCGGTGGAATATGCTGAAGAAGATAGAAATGGATTTCTCAGACTTTTGGCTTGGTCGGAGGCTTTATGATTTATGAAATGGTGGGAGTTTTCTTCAGCAAGAAAATATTTGCCTGATAAAGATGAATGTTTCTTTTGAGCAGCGAAATCACCCCTGATGCGGCCTGCACGGTCTAAATATATGTGAGAGAAAGATCCAGAGAAGAAAAACTTTGATGACGGCAAAATTCGATAAGAGGTGTCATAAAACTAGAGTAAGCTCAATACATTCGCCATAGGGTTTAGTTCTTTGTCACCGCGTTATGTATTACTGTAGGTTTTTGCCAAAGCGTGTAATTCTTTGTCAGCGTGTAGTGCAGTTTTGTAGGTTTACACAAAAGCGTGTAATTCTTTGTCAGCGTGTAGTGCAGTTTTGTAGGTTTACACAAAAGCGTGTAATTCTTTGTCAGCGTGTAGTGCAGTTTTGTAGGTTTACACAAAAGCGTGTAATTCTTTGTCAGCGTGTAGTGCAGTTTTGTAGGTTTACACAAAAGCGTGTAATTCTTTGTCAGCGTGTAGTGCAGTTTTGTAGGTTTACACAAAAGCGTGTAATTCTTTGTCAGCGTGTAGTGCAGTTTTGTAGGTTTACACAAAAGCGTGTAATTCTTTGTCAGCGTGTAGTGCAGTTTTGTAGGTTTACACAAAAGCGTGTAATTCTTTGTCAGCGTGTAGTGCAGTTTTGTAGGTTTACACAAAAGCGTGTAATTCTTTGTCAGCGTGTAGTGCAGTTTTGTAGGTTTACACAAAAGCGTGTAATTCTTTGTCAGCGTGTAGTGCAGTTTTGTAGGTTTACACAAAAGCGTGTAATTCTTTGTCAGCGTGTAGTGCAGTTTTGTAGGTTTACGCAAAAGCGTGTAATTCTTTGTCAGTGTGTAGTGCAGTAATGTAGGTCTACGCAAAAGCGTGTATTTCCTTGTCAGCGTGTAGTGCAGTTTTGTAGGTCTACGCAAAGCGTGCAGTCCCTTGTCAACGTGTTGTGTGTAGTTCTGTAGTTCATTGCCAAAATGTTTAGTTGTTTATCAGCGTGTAGTGTCGTTCTGTAGCTGTTCGCCAATGTTAATAGTTCTTTGTCATTCGATTTGAAGATAGCTTCAAACTTCAGTTAGATAACAATTTTCTTAAGTAGATTCCTTCGCTTCTCGAGCCCTCATATTGGTTAGAGAGAGCAGTGATGATTTTTCAGGTTAAGGAAGCTCAATGTGGGAGCCGCAAACTTAGTTGTGTTTGATGCATTCCTTTTCAACTTTTGCTATTTGCATCTAGCAATTTTGTCTTGTGTGATAAAAAGAAATCAAAGAACACTTTGGTAAAAAACAGCTTAGAAAATTTAGCTAGTTAAACATTAAAGCATTATTGCATCTATCTTCAGCTCTGCAAAAGCACCATAAATATCCTCATTGTTGATTAACTACAAACAACATTATCTTTAGCTACTTAGATCTTTCACGCAGGACGTTGATTATGATTGACACACCCCTTGATCCAAAGCAATGTGCACGTGATAGTTTTCTACTTCAATAGCTAGATAGACTAAGATCTATCATACCATCAATGCCTTTAAAGCAAACAGTGCACTTATTCTTCAGTATTAGCATAAATCTTCAGTGTTTAATAGCTATTAAAGTATGTTGCCATGTGATCTGAACTCATGTCTTCATAAAAGGGACCGCTAACTTATTGTCCAGATGTGAAAATCCATTCATTTAGTGCAGTGCCTGCAATGCTCGGGCGGCAGTGGAAATAACGCAAGCAGTCCCTAGTACAATGCACTAAACTTCTTTTTCTATAAGAACCAGATAAACTATACTGAGGCTCGATGTTCCTGCTTGTTGGATAATTTAGGGCTGTGGTTTTATCAAAGTTGTTCTTATCCCAACATTAGTTTTTCTACCACGAAATATTACAAAATTGCTTCAAAGATCTTTGAATAGTCATTTTTCTAGACATTTTTTGTAACAAAATTCATAAACATGAGAGTGAATTTCAAAAACACGTTGTTTTTCTTTTAACTTTTGTCATACGTCATACACTGTCATACACTAAATGTCATACGTCCAACGTGTACACAGCAAGCAAGGCATTATGGTATAGAAACATTTGCATTGTGATGATTGTACCTATAGCTGCATATACCACTGATACAAACCAGAGAAACAAATAGCAAAAAGAAAAACCAGATTTGTTATAGTCTATTCTTTTGTTCCACAATTCTGGGCTTGTCTTCCTACCGTAAAGAGTTTTGGAAGTGCAAAAGGATGAGATGCAAAAGACTGCTACCTGCAATATAGCAAAGCATTCCTTCTGGGCAGATTAACTGAAACTACCAACAATTCAAACAGGCTGCTCTGAAGATTTCCGAAACATTCTCCATAATGAAAAAATATTCAGAACTCAGGTCTTCCTGTTCTTTTGTAAAATATTCACAATTGGGGATTGGGTATTTGTGAAACATATATTCTTTGAAAATCATCCCAAATAGTAGAGGCTGTGACGTTTGACATTTATATCCTTTAAACTTGAAATCGTTCGAGTCAAGAACATAGTGCTAATTGCAGCATTTAACTGAATCTACTGTGCATTCATAAACCTTTTATCAGTATTGGCATCCAGAGAATATAATCCGCAGTTAAAGATAAATACCCCGAAAAAATACTCTGGTAGCACAACAACTAATTTGTAACTATGCGTACAATTTATTTTTTTAGTCGCAATCAAGTGGATGTTAAAATGGAAGCAAAGACCAAGATTGTGATACTTGTCATGATGTCAGTTTTTTTGAACTTGGAAACAGAAGCAGGTGAGAAGTTTTCATGTGTCATTTGATACATTGCTGGCCTTTAACACAAAGTCAACATAATTTTTTCTTAGTTTATGTATAAATCTCTCTTAATGTAGGCCTAACATGTTTGTTTTCTGTGCTTTTTACTATGATTACTATCATGCTTCTATGTCTGCTTGCGTTCACATTTGACTTCGTGTTCAGTATTATTGTTCTCGTGCTTACTGTGATGTTCACTGCCAAACACGTGCGCTTGCTTAATTCCTTCTTGCGATGTATCATAATCTGACGTGTGTTCATGTCTGTGTTTACTTCAACGTTTAGCTACTTGAAATTTCAATTCTACATTATCCAGCACGATTGCTAATAAATTTTCATCCTTTGCCTTTTTCTACAATTTTGTTGTTCAACAGGCGTGTTTAAGGCGTTTGCTGTATGCTTGCTCCTATTTTGTGTTTGCTTCTTTGTTCACTTCATGTTTAATACATTTAAGGCTGTTATGCTCCTGCTTATCTTAGGTATTTTGCTTGAAAGACTTAAGTTTAATTTTAAATTAAGACTTAAGAAAGACTTAATTTTTTATTTCTTGTTTGATTTACTGTAAGGTCATTACTTTAGCTATTGATTTGTTTTGTTTACTAGTATGTTTGCTGTTATGAAATTCCTATAACCTTCCCTTTTTACTTCTCCTACCTCGAGTTCAATCACTGGTCAGGAAACTGGTCCGAGTAGCAGAATACCCTCTGTCTATTTTCTCATGAAGCTTAGATGGGAGAAAGTAAAACTTCCTTATGTGATTTGAGCCACATTAAAAACGATGTATTCAAATGACAATCTTGCTTTCAACAGTTAATAAAATTTTCTCAAATGCTTTAATACTAAGTTAATGACAAAATGAGCTTTTGATCCTTGCATAATTTAGGTGATTTTTCTACCTGTTTAATCTAAGTAAAAATTTATACGTTTTTCTGTCGGGTAAGTGTCGGTCTATTGCAACTGATATTCATTTTAAGGGGCCTAAGAAAGCATGACAATGCAACTCGTGTCGTTTAAACTTTGAGCAATTTCGCCAAAAGCATCTCTAGTATGCCGATTAAACAAAACATAGTCAAAAGATTGCCTTTAAAGACTCATTGCTAACAATGAGCAATCGCGCTCCGCAAGCATCCCATAATGCATTTTTAGACAATCTGAAATCGATTTTGGTTAATCCGTAGAAGTTTACTGCCATTGTTTGGATCGTCGCTACGCTCGCAAAGGCCCATTGTTAGCAATGCGTCTTTAAAGTAGGGTAGAATTGCTGAAAACGTATGCATACTGATTTCTCACGCATGCTCAGTTCAATAATAAGTACGTCTAAATGCTTGCTGATTAGGTTGTAGGAGACATGTGGAGAAAAGAATGTGCAGAAACCTTTTGGACAGTTGGGTTTCTTTGAAAGTCAATCCTAATTTAGATTGTTTAAGCACATATTACGCACAGAAATGATTTGCACTCAGATAAAGGTCCATATTTTTCATATCTTCGATTGCAAGTCTGTTAAGGTTTGACACTTCAGTTTTAGAAAATGGATGTCCTTGTCCAGGCTTTAACATACTAACTAGGGGATGGGGGCTATTGCCCCTGCAGCCCCATTGACTTTCCATTGTTTTATACACTAGACTATTGTTCTCTTCGTTTTATAAACAAAGGTTTGCCCTTGCAGCTAATTTTTCTTTGAAAAAGCTATGCCTTTGTCACATTGAATCTGAAAAAGATTTCAGTTATTTTGTGCTTGAATTCAGAAATTCTAACGAGGATCCTGTCGACATCTGAATCAACGTGGTTCTCCACTGTACGTAAAACGAGCCATGCTGCTTGGTTGATCCTGAATTCCCAAAAATCTAACAATTATTGTTTGATGTAAATGTTCACATAATCTTTATATGGCATGGATTAACTTGGCTTTGCAAAAGCTTATGATGAAATTCTTAAAGGATTTATGAAAAATGAAGTGCCTATCCAAACGATTTCATCCCAAGATTCTATAGCTTTCACAGCTTAATAGATATGAAAATTCTGAAAACGTGGTTTTAATAAACGAGTTCTATCACAGCAAACCAAATCTTATTGACACTCGCAGCATGAGATGATATTACATTTGATGATATTGAGTTTGATGCATACGATCAAGATTTTCTTCTGTGGCCTAACGTACTTAACAGAAATCGATTCTCTGCAATGCATCTTTCCTACGATTGGGAGTAGGCCTGGGTATATTGATAGCGGCCATGTGCCGAAACAGACGACAGACCATAAACAGGTGCATTGCACAAAGATTTCATGCTTGAAAACCATGCCTGAAAACCATTAGCCTGCGCCGCAGACCAAATCCTCCAAAGAAAATAGGGGAATTGGGTCTGCTGCGCAGGCTAGAAAACCACGTGTTGAAGCCATTATTTCTTTCAACACTATAAATCATTGGAAACCACCAGAAAATAAAAATTATACTAACATTCAAGCAGTATCATCCTCTTTTCCAAGGCTTTCCTTCCCCTTTCTTGATGGCTCATACATTATCTTAAAATATTAGACAAAAGGATAACTTATTATGTTGCAATATGACATCACAGTCATCTGCGTTGCTTATAGGGTTTCTTACTTTTTTTCCTATGTCCTCCGTAGGATGCTATTGTGAAAATAATCTAACTTCATGCTTGTAGTAAGAAGTAGACTATATCATTGTAAATCGCTCCTTTATTTTGTAGCTACTTTGCCATCGATGCCTGGCCTCTGTTACATAACAGGGTATTTTGCTGTTCACTCTCCTCTGTACCGAGACGGAAGAAGATATTGTGGGACAATCAACATTCAAGATGGCGTCCTTCTCCTCGAGGCTTTCCGTTACGCAATCAACGTTACAAACAATATCGGACTGCTACCAAAATCCTTTACAATTGGCTATCAAGTTTTTGATACGTGCAAAAGCACTTCGGAGTTAAAGAAGCACTTCATTCCAACAATATTAGCTAACAATAAGATCCTTGGAGTTGTAGGCCCTTACACGTCAAGTGCGTCTGTCCTTGCTGCAAATGTTTTCAGTTTATTCCACACAACAGAAATAAGCTACCGTGCCAGCAGCCTCGAGCTGGAAGATCGTGGTAGATACCAGAACTTCTACAGAACTGTCCCCTCGGATAGATACGAGGCCGAGGCAATAGTCGATATTCTATTAAAACATAAGTGGACGTACGTATCTTGTGTCAGCTCTCATGAAAAGCAGCTGGGGCTTCTTGTTTTAAAGTCACTTATAGAAAAAAAAGGTTGCTGCATCGCCAATCAGGTGTTGTTGCCAGAAATTCCCGAGGTATCATCATATGACGATGCTATAGATTCTGTCACATCAAATGCAAAAGTCAAAGTAATAATTCTGTTCACAACAAGAGAGGACACTTTGCAGCTTCTGCTGTCAGCTAAGAAAAGAGGCTACACCAATAGGGAGATAGTTTGGATAGGAGGGACAGGATGGGGAAACCTAATGCTACCGAGCAATTTAGGCCCACTAGGACATGGCTCCATTTCATTGCATTATAAATCGCACAAGTATGACGAGGAATTTATAGACTATTTTAAGTCTTTGAACCCCAGTAAAAATACTTACTTGGCTTTCAGGGAATTTTGGGAGGCAGTCTTTGAATGTACGTACAGTACTAGTGACCGCACAAAACCACCTTGTACTGGACGTGAAAAGCTTACCGAGGGAAAAGGCTTGCCCCAATTAGCATCTCTAGGACCAGTAATGGATGCAGTGTTTATTTATGCGCAGGCGTTGAAGATCGGTCTAGAAAAAACATGCGGAGAAAACATCACTCCGAAATGCTTTTCAACTCATTTTGACGGAAATATTGTCAACTGGATTAGTACAAGTCTCGCTAACGAAAAATTCAAGAGTTTACATGAAAGCTCGAATATATCATTTGATGCTGTTGGAGGGGTTGAAGGAAAGTTTGAAGTCTTGAACCTGCTTTGGAAAGGAGACCGTTATGAATATCAGAAAATTGGCACGTGGGAATCGAGTGGTAATGTCCGATTAGTTGTTGTTAGAAACATGACATGGCCTAACGGAGAATCCGGTATTTTTATTTCGCGGTGTAGCGAGCCTTGCAAACGGGATAGGGGAGAAGTCCAACTATCAACTTTATCATTAAAAGGAATTAGCTGTTGCTGGAACTGCAAATTGTGCAAACCGAACGAAATCATTTCAACAAATGAATCCTGTCAACCCTGTAGTGAAGGCTTCAAGCCTAATACGGCGCGAGAACGATGCGACAAACTTGCTGAAGATCATATATCATTTACACATCCGGTCGGAAAAATTGCAATCGCTCTTTCCGTTGTCGGAATATTACTTACAACATTTGTATTGGTTCTTTTTGTATGTCGAAGTAAGTGTCCGGTTGTCAAAGCATCTAGTAGAGAACTGAGTTACGTCATGCTCCTGAGCCTTTACATATGCTTCACAGCGGCTGTAATTTTTCTAACACCACCATCGAAAATCATATGCAGTATTCAACGTTTCATTGCAGGACTGAGTTTGAATCTATGCTACGCATCCTTACTTTTAAAAACAAACCGTCTATACAGAATTTTCAAGAACGCAACACTCTCAGTGACAAAGCCTTCCCTTACCAGTCCTACGTCGCAGCTTGCGATAGTCCTCGGGATTGCATCTATTCAAGTCCTACTCGGAGTTGTTTGGTCTATAGGTGACCCACCGAAAGTATCCCGACATTATCCTGATGATAAAGACTATGTTATGATATATTGCAATACAGATGCGACCATATTAAATGTTAATTTGTGCGTCTGCCTAATCCTGATGCTTGCTTGTACGTTTTTCGCGTTTAAAACGCGGAACTTCCCGAAGAACTTTAACGAGTCGAAAAGCACGATGCTCACGATGTATGCTAGTTGTTTCGTATGGGGCGTCTTTCTACCGATTTTTATACTCTCCGATAACAAGAGCAACTACACAAGAACTTACACAATTGTTCTCTTTTGTGATATAATTGCCTACGTAACTTTAACTGGCCTGTTTGCACCAAAAGTCAGGATGATCCTTTGTCCTAGGAGTGTCGTCGATGAGAGCTCTGGTGGCGTGCCATCTCGCGCGGAAATCCGTACATTGAAAAAAAATACATTCATGTCACGTGCAATCATCTCTTCATATCCAGCCGTCACATCACAATATATAGACGCTGTGGAGGAGTCATCTCCTGACCATGAAAATGACGGACAACATCAATCCACATCAACAACAGATCTGCATCTATGATTACTGTTACCAAGAAAATATCCAGCAACGTGATTATGCGATTTCCTAGAAAAGCAAAATGCTACACGATATTTCTGAGAAAATCAACTCCCAGCTCGCTCTTCCTATAAAAGTTGACGTATGGCTTACGGTAATCGGAACATGAATTGAATTCTCAAATAATTGAACCTGCCCTATGATCTGTAAAATATAATGTTGAATTTAGAGCTGAGCTGAGCTGCAGTGCTGAGAGCATGTAGCCAATTTCAACAATTTAAAAATAACAACTTCCTTAGCATGTCTCTTTACAAGAAAACTCTCTAAAAAAATTCTGATAAATGAATACAATCGCTCTCTCTTTTTTTGCCTCCCTGATAAAATTCTTCTGAAAAATTAATGATCTTAGAAACACAGTGTTTGATTTCCTTTCTATCGTTGTTTTTATTGTAAACCAGATATCCATATTTTCTCAATGAAAGCTTTTGTTCAAAGGCCCTTTAGGACTCTTCACCCTGTTTCTAATTTCAAATGAATTATAAGAGGTTAGCAATGGCCCTTATCTTTAGGTTCATTCAAACTCAATTATATCTGCGCCAGTTTTCCTTTGCGACATTTTTTTGTATGACGACAAAAATGACGAGGGAACGTTGTTTGTTGAAAAATATTTGCGAATAAAATTGTTATATCAAATATATTTCCACTAGTTAATTCGACAAATATGAAATACTTTTTTTTGTTAGAGAAAAGGTTTACAGAGCTTGATTAATAGGTATTTGAGAAAAACGTGAAAGAATGTTTGTATTCATTTTGAATTTTTGCTGCATCTTTATTATTCTTAAAAGTTCTTACCCGACGTGACAAAGCAGTTTCAACATCAGGAAAAGATAGATGGTTTTGTAGTTTTCAACCAGGTAACGGTGCGTGACTGGTTAGGGAGCGTAACTTTAGACATGGCATCTTTTAAGTTAGAGCTGGCAAACTGCCAAAGAAAAAAGGTCTTGAAAACGAATCGCTTATTTTTTATCCGTAGGCACGTCTTCTGGAGCTTTCGGACGAAGCTGAAACAAGGCGCTGAAATAAAGAATTCCTACAAACAGCAGATTCTCTGTTTAAATGGTTTTAGCATCTGTCAAAATATTTCTAGCACCACTCTTAAACTACTGCTAGAAAAAGTAACGTCTCCTCTTCTATGCCTTTGGGTGTAGGCCATGTCACTTAGTGTAACAAACGCAATATACATGCAACTAATGCATTACATACGTAAAAGCCATCTGGTGCGGCTGACGCAACATAATTGCAACAAATGCTCTTAGGACAATATGCTGGGCAACAATAATCCTTTTCGTAGAATAAAGTTTAAAATTAGAAATTAAAATTATTATTTGTCTTTTTATAAAAATGTTCCCCTTTCTCGGTTTCCATTTTTGTCATGTTTGCATGGGTCTAGACCATCACAAAATCTTTATTCTCCTGAGGTTCCAGGAGAGTCGCAAAATCTTTCAGGAGAGTTGCGATTTCACTATGGCCGAAACAGAGTTCGCAACTAGAGCTACTGTTTGCGTGCAGTTAGAAGGCGGTATTCGTAATTTTTTTAAAAAAGTTCTTCCCGAGAAAAAAAACCACAGCAAACAAGTAAAAGCACAGCTAGATACATATGTAAATGATTTTAGATAAACAATGTTTCGAAATCAGCGAAGATAACTGTCCGTTTCAAAATCTGTATGGTTTCAATAACGCGTTGCTATGTGTATCCAAGACTAGGTTGTGATCCATTATGGCGGCAATAAGTTGGTCACGTGACAGGTGGTAATAATTTATTACCGCGGTCAGCTGAGATTTTTTTACATTTGCTAGATTTTGTGTGAAAAATGTTTTCCGCAAGGCACAAGAAAATTTCAAAAACTATTATTCAAATAGGTAGAGCTTTTAGGCCTATTCTTAAATATATGAAATGTATGAAAAATGTTTTCCGCAAGGCACAAGAAAATTTCAAAAACTATTATTCAAATAGGTAGAGCTTTTAGGCCTATTCTTAAATATATGAAATGTATGAAAAATGTTTTCCGCAAGGCACAAGAAAATTTCAAAAACTATTATTCAAATAGGTAGAGCTTTTAGGCCTATTCTTAAATATATGAAATGTATGAAAAATGTTTTCCGCAAGGCACAAGAAAATTTCAAAAACTATTATTCAAATAGGTAGAGCTTTTAGGCCTATTCTTAAATATATGAAATGTATGAAAAATGTTTTCCGCAAGGCACAAGAAAATTTCAAAAACTATTATTCAAATAGGTAGAGCTTTTAGGCCTATTCTTAAATATATGAAATGTATGAAAAATGTTTTCCGCAAGGCACAAGAAAATTTCAAAAACTATTATTCAAATAGGTAGAGCTTTTAGGCCTATTCTTAAATATATGAAATGTATGAAAAATGTTTTCCGCAAGGCACAAGAAAATTTCAAAAACTATTATTCAAATAGGTAGAGCTTTTAGGCCTATTCTTAAATATATGAAATGTATGAAAAATGTTTTCCGCAAGGCACAAGAAAATTTCAAAAACTATTATTCAAATAGGTAGAGCTTTTAGGCCTATTCTTAAATATATGAAATGTATGAAAAATGTTTTCCGCAAGGCACAAGAAAATTTCAAAAACTATTATTCAAATAGGTAGAGCTTTTAGGCCTATTCTTAAGGCCAAACACAAACCACAAAGCTTTTTGGAATAGTATGTGCGTCAGTGACAGAATATTTCTTCTGAAGCTTGAACATAATTAATGAGCATGGCGCTGCAGGCTTAACAGATTTATAGCTGCTAGAAAGATACAACTCGTGAGAAAAAACATTTTCATTATTGCTTGATAAATCAAATACACACGTGTCTGATCATACTCGAATTACACATTAAAACAGCAGATCAAGCTTAAAATGACCCTATGCATAAGATAGGCAAAGCTAAACGTCAGAAGTATGATAATCGAAGAAGAGGTCAAAATGATCCTCCCGAGCTTTAAAAACCAAACACCTTTACTATTATATAAAGATTACATTTCAGCGATATTTTACACCTTTACCAAGAAGAAAGAATGACTTAATCAAAGTGCGACAATACAGTAAAAGGGTACAATGACCCTCTTTGACGTCCTGGTAGCAGATTTGGGCACAATGCGCCAGCCAGGATAAGATTCGACTTTCTACCATTCGCATTATTCCAAATGAGCACAGTGGCGGGTTTAAGGGGCAGTTGTCCCTCTCCCAACGAGTTGAAGCAAGTCTGGCGCCCCTTTTTTGGAAATTGTGCGCCCTTTTGAAAGAATGAGAATCAGATAAAAATGGTTCGGCGACCGGTAGGTTAATTTGCTTCAAGGATTACCTCAAAGTTATGTTGTTTATTCCGAAAATGGATCTGAAACTGTTGTATACAGCGTACTCTCGTGACCAATTTTTGAAAATTTTCAGTGCCCCCACTACCAACTGTCCCTCCTTCAAATTTGCTCTGGATCCGCCCCTGAACGAGCAGAGGCTAATCTAGTCGTTTATGTTGGGAACGGCCCCAGTAGCCCATTATTGTCAAATAGCAATTTGTGTTGTAATAATTGACCATTTTAGGTGTTTTGGACATCAGTGTTTTCAATTGCTTATCGATGGTTCTTTAAATGTCATCATTCTAAAAAATGGTACCGAAAGAAGTGTTTGCCATCAATTTGATTACACCATGATTTTGTTCAGCAGTACAAATCAGAAATTTGACTAAAAACTAAAAATTTGAATTGAAGAGAATCGCTCTGATAGGTGAAATATTTGGGTTTGAGCGAGTCCCTTAAATGAAACCTCATTGGTTTTGAAGCACTCTTTATAGAGACCATTTGTGACAAATCTACTAATAATTCTATATTTAAGATTAGAATCTTGGATTTTCGAGATTTCGATGCTTATAACGATTCAATAAGTAATAAAAAAAGCTTTACAAGATCCTAATGCAATTTAACTTGCTGGTTTTTTCACAAGGAGCCAAAGCTTGACTTCTACGACTGAAGGTTAATAAATAAACAATCATGGGTATAGATTAGTCTGGCAACAATGCTTTGTAGCAATGCATTATGTATATGTATGCTCGAAATACCACAAAAGAGTGAGAGTTCATTGCCTGAAAACTATGGTTAACTAGAGCTTGTTTAAGCTGGTTTATTTATTGGGTCTAATTAAATCATTTGCTTCGAGGCTGAATTCTGAACCTCTCACCTTGGAGGAAAAAGTGCGAGTTAGGTTACTGAAAGCATAAAATAGGTCTAAGAGATTCCTAAAATGTAACTCAGGGAATGGTTCTTTGAAAAGGAGCAGTTTTATCTGATAGACTGGGAGCATGCAACTTTTGGGAAGAATTAAGACAGAATTTTGCGTTGAAGGTAAATCTACCAAGATGTGCTTTTGACATTTAACAAAGATCACATCGCATGATCACACGTGATGGGTGATCTGTCTATGTATATATGGAACAATATGCGTTTAAATATCTTAGCCTGAATAGCAGTGTCGGAAATGGGTACCGGGGATGAGTTTGTTCATATTGCTTATGTTCTTTATCCAACAAATATGAATAAAAATCCGTAGAAATTACATAGAAAACCAGCTTATACAGTTTTTGACTTGTCTTTCTTTTTTAATAATCCTTTTTGTCATTTGTCATTTCTATTCTCTAAAATCTTCAATTTGAATGTAGATGCTTTATTAGCAGGGCCTCTGACGAAGGGGGCATGTCAATCACTTTTCCCAAATCAATAAAGCTTTTTTCAAAATACTTTGTTATGACTGTTAAATTTTTTCTTTCCCCCCCCCACTTTCTAACCTGTGTCGGAGCCCATGATTAAGGAACTCAATAGCTCACCTATGTCGTCTATTGAATGGCAATCACAACCTACGTCTCTAGTTTCAAGCCTCTAGTTTCAATTTGACTGGAATGGCTCTGAAACATATATTACAAGAAACTCGCCGACGTACAATATTGAAACGATGTATTGTGAAGTAAAGTATATTTGAAAGGCAGTGTCAAGTATCGAGATAAGCTCGAATGCAAATTAAGTGATCTTCCCTGTAATGTTAACTGTGAAGTTAAAAAAATGAATGTCTTGTATTAAAATCTACAACATAAACGTTATTATCATGTAGTAGAGCTTATGAATCATAGTTATCGTTCTGTACTGATAAGTTGGTTGCTGCAGTCAACATGCTTTGATTGGTAAGGCTGTTGTTGCTAAGGTTGTCCTCGAGTGGCTTTGGCGAATCTTCCACCTGCTCTCCAACGTTGACCCTGCGTACATCTTCCGTTCTCCTGAATGCATGATCCGTCTGCGATAAGATCATCGTTCCTGTCGCGGCACTGTCGTTCACTGCAGACTTACGGAAGAGCAGCTGAATCTTTGGGCCGAAGAAACCAACAAGGGATATGAAGCCGATTACGTCACAGAATATTGCCAAGGTGTACGTGCGGAAGAAAGACTCCAGATCGTCAGATAGCAGATATGTTGGCAAGAAAACACCCCAGGCAAAACAGCTGAAATAAAGGGTGTACATGATACTCTTTGTCTCGTTGTAGTTTTTGGGAAAATGTCGTGTACGGAAGGCATACCAAGTGCAGGCTAACATGATTACGAGGCAGATAAATAGATTCAGGATCATGGTGTATGGATCCGACCGGCAGAAGATGATGTAATCAATGCGAGCGCTGGGATAGACGACATTTACCGTTGGAGGGTCACCAATGATCCAGACAATACCTAGAAGCGACTGTGTAAAGATGATGCTGAGACTAATGAGGGTCTGCGAAAGAGGGCTGATAAGAGATGGCTTTGCTGTAGACGATTTTGCGGAATCAAAAATGCGGAAAATTCTGTTGGTCTTAAGAAACAGTGGTGCGTAGATGACGCTGAAACTCAGGCCCGCAATAAATCTTTGTATTCCGCAAACTATAACAGATGGTATGCTAAGAAAAATTAAAGGTGACACAAAACAGAGATAGATGCCTGAGAGCATGATGAAACTAAGCTCACGCCCAGAAGCTTTAACGATGGTCGATGAGTAGAAGTAGATAAACATGGCTACTGTGATTGTTGTTCCAAGAAACCCAATGCACGAAAAACAAACTACAGCAGCACCAACTTTATCAGAATACTTAACGGTTCTTTCTGGAAGCATAACACACGTGTCTCTATTTTCGTCAGGCCTTTGTCTCTCCGGACAAGAGACACAAGTCTCATTCACGATCATTTGATTAACTTTGCATTTCGAACAGGTCCAGCAACACAGCACTAATGCTTCGATTTTGTCCGGAATTTTGATCTCGCCTTTAGACCTTTGACACGGCTCACTACAGACCGACTTTGGGGCTACGTTTGATGCAACATCACCCCAAAAAATCTGTTTGTCATCAAGAAAAAGCTTTCCTGCTGTTGTGGAACTGCTATCCGCTCGCCAAGATCCAACAAGTTTGTAAGCAAAATCTGCTCCATTTGGAGCAAAATTCAAAACTTCATAATGACCAATGACCCCTCCTCTTGAATCAAAGGTAATGGAACGGTCACTTGGTAAAGACTGATAGGGTTTCTCTTGAAGTTTTTTTATTATATTCCTAGACACAAGAATCGCATGGAGGATGCACAAATGAGGAAGGTAAGAGCAAGATGGTAGTACTCGATAAAATCCACGGTAAGCAGCAAGAACTGCATCAAACACTGGTTGAACATCTGTGAAAGGATGCCATCCTTTGCCCTCTTCGAGCTTCTCCTTACCAGTACAAGGAGCTCTCCCATGCTTGTTCGGTGTTTGACCTGTAGAGCAGTTGAAGATTGCCTCCCAGTATTCAATGAAATATGTATAATTATTGTTTACTGGGTTTAAAGAAAAAAAATGTCTTTTAAAATCTTCGCTGTTGTTTGATCGTTTAGGAATCAAAGTCAAAGCACCAGAAGAGACATGTTCCAGCCCTTGCATTTTCAAGTCCAAATTTCCCCAGCTTGTACTTCCAAGCCACACAAGCCTGCCTGGCTCTAGATTGTTCCGTTTGGCAGAATTGAGCATACCGTAAGTATCATCCTTTGAAGTAAAAAATACCACAACGCGTACTTTCGAGTCCTTAAGGATGTGATTTAGCTCGTAATCGTATGAAGCAGCAGTGCGCTCGCAAGGCAAGACGGTCGAGCGCGCCAAACATCGCTCATTCGCATTCATAGCTGCACGGAAGCTGCTGAGAGTTTTTTGTTCGTAGTTACTACATGACGAAACTGTTGTGACATATGTCCAGTTGAAACGCTTTATTAGATCTACCAAGGCATTGACTTGATAACTGTCCGAGGGAACCGTTCTCAGAATTTTCTCGTGACGCACACGATCATCGAAAATCGGCGATCCAACGGCGTAACTCAGCATGTTTATGACCCAAACATTGAAAACCTGGGACATCTCAGATGCAGCATCTGCGCTGCTAGGTCCAACAACAGCTACCATTTTATTTGCGTATTGTTGCATGCATTGATCTTTTATGACTCTTTTTAATACTGTTGAACTATCACACGTGTCCACTATTTGGTAACCGATTTTGTAATCAGTAAGGTTAAGACTGTCACCAAACTTAAGAGCGTATCGGAAGGCCTCGAGGTAAATGATTGCATTTTGCGTGTCTATTTCTCCACAATTCTGAGTCACTGTACCGTCCGAAGAATGCAAAGAAAAGAATCCGCTGAACGTGTAGTCGCCGGGCGCTGAAGGCGTATCCGCTGTTGATCGATAAAACAGTTATTAACTTTTTAAAGCATGTTATCGAGCAGAGAACACAAAAGTCATGAAAACATTTTATAGAGTTATAGAGTAAGTCATGTCACTGGACGACAAAACATGAAGCAAAGTACTTCATGTGTGCATTTAAGCTCACGATTGGGGCTAGAAACAAGTGTGTTCATTTATAATGCTCAGGCACATGATACAAGACTGAATATTTTACTGTGATCGTTCATTTAGATTATAATTACAAAGATTGAAGAGAGTGAAGAAAAATGATGAAAACAAGTTCCTTGATCAATTGTGTGTATTTCTGAACCTATATATACTTAAAAGCCAGGCTGCTGCCAGACTCACTGCAAGTTGTTTCAAATATTCTGCAAGGGGCCTAATTCCGGATGCAATCCATATGGGTTGTACGATTAAAATTAGTCGAGAACTGCAATTTTTAAACCATTTAACGATAATGATGTGGAAAGATTTAAGTCTTTGGTAGGAAATCAAAAGACTTTTGCTCTGATGAAGCCCCGTATGCCGGGGCGAAATATTAGCCATAACTGATTTGTGTGTTTGTTGTTGTTTCAATCTCGTCGCGTTGCGGTGTTCCTTATAAACTACTATTTTATCGATTTTTCGCCGCAATAATTCCATCGGAGTCCGTCGAGCAGCCTGCTATCGTGACCTTTTCTTCATTCACATACGGGACTTTATCAAAGCAAAAGACAAATCTGAGAATTTTACTGACTGATAGCGCAAATGTTTTTTCTTAATTTGAAAGAAAAGTATCCTTCGTAACTATCCTCTTAATAATTAGTCTCTTTTATAATCTATATTTGCCTCTTTCACCTTTTCGACCCTGATTCTAACGATTTACGCTCTGAGGAGTGGCCGACGAAAAGATTAAGTAGTTATAATGTAAAATGTTTGTTTTTTCAAAGCCATTTTTAATAATTAGTCTCTTTTATAATCTATATTTGCCTCTTTGACCTTTTCGACACTGATTCTAACGATTTACGCTCTGAGGAGTGGCCGACGAAAAGATTAAGTAGTTATAATGTAAAATGTTTGTTTTTTCAAAGCCATTTTTAATAATTAGTCTCTTTTATAATCTATATTTGCCTCTTTGACCTTTTCGACCCTGATTCTAACGATTTATGCTCTGAGGAGTGGCCGACGAAAAGGTTAAGTAGCTATGTTGTAAAATGTTTGTTTTTTCAAAGCCATTATACTTTTCAGGCCATTTCGGATAATTCAAGCAAATTTCTGTTTCTATGAATATTAGAATAATTTGACATTATACAACATACCTGTGAAAACTAAATGAATGTTGGCGATGACCGTTGCAAATAAAAGAAGAAGCAGTGGTGGCTTAGCCATGTCTGCTAATCTTCGATGTGGTCCTTCAACCTAAAACCAGATTGGAATCGATTACAAATCCGTTATTGTATTCTGAAACAGAAAGATTCAGAATCACATAAGATGTTGTTGGCCATCTCTGTATCACACAATCATAGAAATTCAAATTGACAATCGTTAATCACGTTATATTCATATTTCAATCGTATATGTCTGTTTTAATGTAATAATGATAACGATAGCCTTAAAACATGACAGGAATGATAATACATTCTGGTTAAGAGTCATTCGTATATGTTAATGGGGAAGGCCAGAAACATTTCAAAGTGATTTCTGTAGCATTACGAAATAGCAAAAAGAAAGTCCCAAATGTGGATCTTGCAGTACACCTGAAAGGTAAGATTAGTCAAAAAAACATGATAAGTAGAATTTTGACATGTAATCTGTGAGCTCTTACCAAATGCTGAATTGTTCTTACAGCTCTGACCAAATATCTTACACAAAACTCATACAGGTCATATTGTTTCTATATTACCGTAAAAAAGTACTTTTTCGGGCATAAAGCAGCAGAAAGATCTTAAAATAGAGCAATCTAACTATTTTAGCATGTTTCTCGCCCATTTTCACTCAGCTAATTAACCACAACTACCAGTAGCTGAGCAAGCCACTATGTTGTGGAGAGGGGTTAAAATAACGAATGTTGTGACCACGCCCTTTAATGTGATCCCTGTATAAGAAAAACAACGGCCTTTTACCAACACGGAGCTCTTATTTTTGAAACACCCATGACTAATTTTTGACTACATAATTCGTATAGGCAGTTCCGGATTCATAAAATGGCACCTCAGAGAATACTTTGCCATTATATTTCTCCCTCACTTAAAATTGTGTCATCGAATTTTGACGATCCTGTCGAGAACTAGAGTAGACGGCCTTCGAGTCATACCCTTGGCGCCGCTATTGCCAACAACTGGTGACGACAAAGCCCACTGATGATACAAGAGGATTTAATAACAAGTTAAAATTGTGCTTTCATTAGCTTGGAGTCTTCAAACAGAGTTAGAGAAAGAGAGTTGAGCAGATGACGACAGGAAAAAGAGGCTAAATAATGTGTAAGAGAGATATAAGACGTGGAAAGAGCCTGGACGGAGCAGATGCTTAGCGTTTAGTGGGATGTAGAATGGAGATTCTCCAAATGAATGCTTCACCGGAAAGAATTGCCCGAATAGAGACTGAAATGCGAAAAATGCCTGATTAGGGGGGAGATGGGTGGTTGTAGCCAGGTACTGCCCAGGGTCCACAGAGACTGCTTATATGCTAATAATTTTAATCTGCCTGAAATTTACGAATCTTTTCGAGAACTGTATACGCTGTAAAAATTATCTTGATATTCTAACAAGATCGGAAAAATATTTTTAGCTGTGCAATTTTGTTTTATTTCCTTAGGATTAAGCTCTATAGAAACATTGAAAAATTAAGTACTATGGTTGCACAAAAATTTATAGAAATATGCAGACTTTGACACTTTGACTCTTGTGAAGAGACTTTGACAAAAGTTACGTCATAACAAAGATGATCTAGGATGATTATGATTATGTTCATAGTTGTGATCAAAACAAACCTGATGCTGATTATGGCGACGATCATGCCAATGATGGCGATGATGTTGTCGTTTATTAAGGGGATGTTGATCACGATAAAGATTGCTCACGATGTCGATTGATCACGATTAGATTGATCACGATGTGAATAGATGACGATGTAGATTGATATTGATGTGGATTGATGACGATGTGGATTGATCACGATGCAGATTGATCACGATGTAGATTGATCACGATGTAGATTGATCACGATGTAGATTGATCAAGTTGTTTATGACCAAGTAACATCTGCCCTTGAAAATGACTGTGCGATCTGTGATGAAAGCCAGGTCATAAAAGATGATAAAAAAACATCTAGCATCTGTTGTCGAATTTGGTCCGCTTCGCATCATTCCATGGAAAACAACAAACAAGCTTTTTGAATCGAGCTGTTTTGAGCAAACAATACAAAATTTCTTTCATCCTTGTATTATCACGCTTTCAATGCTTGATTGTATCTGCACGAGAGATACAGCGCAAGGATGTTCGCGACCACGTGTAACAGTTAATCTTTCAACAAAATTGAACCGAAATTCACACCTTAATAAACTGTAACCAGCTTGTGCAGTTAATTAAGGTACACCTTTGTTTCAGGTACATACAGCTGCTAGCATCAGTGACTCGATCGCATAATCATAAAAATAAAAAAATTACTCATAATTTTCTTATATAAAAGAGATCGATCAAATTCTTATAGCTACAAAGAAATGGGAAACTGTTGATCCTTCAAGACTTTTGTAAACATATGTAGCAGTGTAGTTTTGGTTTTCACTGTAAGTTACTGCGAGTTCCTCAGCGCATCAGTTCATATTGCTATTTCTCTTATCTAGACTTCTCAAAAAACGATTCTCTTGACTGGTATCGCCGATAAGGCTTCCATTCTCGTGCCAATGAACGTATGCAATTGCAGAACGTTACTGCAACCCTGTGTCTCGTAAAATCTACTAACTAGGTGGCTATGCGCCAATCCGTTTGGCTGAAAACCCCCCAAAAAAGCAATATCTTGAACGTCGTCACCGATAGAGTGTACAAAGAAAACATCGTTAACATCAGTTGCTATTGAGTCTACAAAAACATTAGCTCTCTCTCTCTCTCTCTCTCTCTCTCTCTCTCTCTCTCTCTCTCTCTCTCTCTCTCTCTCTCTCTCTCTCTCTCTCTCTCTCTCTCTCTCTCTGCGTATTCGGCTTACAACTGTATCATTGTTCACCTTGCATGACAGTACAAAACAGATTAATCAAGTGTTTCCATTCATTACTTTTGTTTGCAGGATGTCTTAGGATGTAAAGATCTTCTCTTGTTTCAAAATATCTTATTTGCAATCGTTGATGGTATTTTGCTGCATCTACTATGTCATTGTCAAGCATGCAGGCAGGGTGTTTCTTTTTCTTCCACAAAATTTCTTTGCTTTAGGTGGACTTTCAGAGTTGTAATTTATAGACTGTTGACATGGTGTGCTTGTTGGTAACCGCAGTATATGACCAAATTTCTCCATCTTGCTTCCTTCATTTCAGCGCTCAGAGGTTTTTCTCTGCTCTTCTCGTATGTTGTGTTTTCTCTTATCATTCCATACTTCGATGGATGCAATCCAGTTCTTTGCTATCATTTTTTGTGTGTGAATGCCAGTGTTCCAAGATTGTATGTTAACACTGTCTTTACAATTGATTTGTAAATCTTCGTTTAAATATTGACTTGCTTGCTCATCTATAATTTTTTGCCGTTGCTTGAGCTATAATTGAAAGTTGCTCCCTTCTATTCATATCCCGGTAGTCACCAATCAAACTTCCAAGTTTTTTAGACCATCTCCATTTTTCTTTTCTATTTACCTTCTTATCTTTTATATTTCTGTTAGTATGCTTGATATATTTTTTCTTGTTTCTTTTCATTTAAATCTTTTCATAATGTTTGCAAGGCACACTCTAGAGCTATGTTGAATAAAACCTCTGAAATTCCATCTCCTTGTGGGGATTCTATATTTGTTTTCACTTTTTCTCTCTTATGTTTTCCAAACAGAAGCTATTTCAACTTGCTTAGATTTTACGCAAAAATTTATTGTCCCTTTAAACCTAAACAGAAGAGCTTTTTGTGGAATCTTTTGTAATGTGTCTTTTGGTTGCCCTTCTCCACCCCCTCTCTCCCACTGTCCCACTTGCATCAGAGCCTATGGTGATAGATGCCTTGCCTAACAAGTTATCCCGGCCAGTTAAAAGTTTGTACCGAAAGGTCGTGAAAAGTAGCCAAGCAAAATTGGTTGCGTTTGAGATAAACAGTTATACTTAGTCCGGCACCGGGCACACCCTTTAGGACGCTGGAAAATGCCTCACTTAGAAAATGCATCTTTTCAGCTATCGTTTATAACCAGCTCGATTGAGAGAAGATTTCAATTATTGTAAAAATAGATATAATAACTTAAGGATAATTAAAACACCAAGCCAATTAAGTTAGGAAAGTCAACATATCGTTAAACAAGATTAAACACCAAGAAAATGAACAGAAAAGGGTTCCCAACCAAGAAGAACTGGTACAACTTGGGTTCAGTTGGAGTGAGCATTCTAAAATTATGTTAGTGTTAACTTTCCAAAAACTTTCTAATCTATTATTGCAAAAAGGTGGGGGGGGGGGCTATAGCCCCTGCTAACCCAATAGCTGCGCGCTGCCTGTTCTTAGTATGTATTGCGTAAAGTTGATACACAAGGTACTTCACCATTCGATCTTAAAGACTGGGTATGATCTCTCAATGCTCGTTTTAATTGGCAATCAGATAGGGAACAGCTCTGAAAAGGATCGCAACAGAATGCAAAAAGGGGAAAAACGGAAAAATACAAAGATTGAAAGAGGCAACCGTCTTTCGTGTTGCAAAGAGAGCATTGCCAGTAGAAGCGAAAAGAACATTAAAGTTTGGCGAAGCAGGCATTCGCTAGCTGCTACGTTTGAGCCAAAGCGCCGTTTCTACCTGATAGATTTTCAATTCTGAAATTCCCAGTGCGCCAGCCTCAATTAATTTAATGGAATAATAATTGTTTTGTCAACTTTGCTCATCGGCCTCCTTATCAAAAACGTTGTCTGTTGCACTTAATGCTGATTTCCACTAGGCGAATGCTTTCGCACGAATCGAATTTTTGCCAATGTGAGCATACGTGGTGACATGTCCTGAAATTTTGCAGCGAAAAAATTCGATTTGCAGAAAGTGCATCATGGTCCTACTCTATCGCTACGACTATTTATTCGATTCGCGCAAAAGAATTCGCCTAGTGGATGCACTTGACAATCAGGCTTTACGCGCTCTTTAATCAACAGAAGTGTCACAAGATCCAAACCTGTGGTACAAAAACCATCGCTCAAAACAACAACTGCCTTCCACAACGACCCAAGATTCCACTCTTGGCTCTTTGCTGCAGTCATTCGGACAATCCTTGTAGGAAGCACGATTTGCTGAATGTCATTTTTGCACCAAAGCAATATAAAGCAGCACCAAAGGAACACTATTTTCATCATGCTAGCTCCATGACCTAGATGACAACTGATACATTTTTCTGATTCTTAAAGTCTGCTGCTACCCTCAGTGATGGAAAACAACCGCTTTGATTTCACTTCCTTTCGAATGCTTTCGCTTCCGTACATAACCCAAATGCAATTCACTCTTCCAAGTTTGGTGGCTCTGAGCAGAGACAAGAGCAGCGCATTGAGCGATTCATGGGCTCCGACACAGTTCGGAAAGTGGGGGTGGGGACAGAGAAATATTTTTCACCCATAACAAACAACTTTGAAAAAAGCTCTATTGTTTAGCAAAAAAGTAAGGGGGCAATTGCTAATTCAGTTCAAGAAAAAAATTTTCAACAAAAAATTTAGTTTTAAACTTCTAAGCCACTACGCGATTATTGTGATGAAAGTAAAGAACACAAACATCGTGTCTAAAACTAGAGACTGTTTCCACTGCACAGCAAAGCGATTAATGATACAAAAAGTACGCTCTCTACAATCAACATGGCACGCCTTCGAATGAGCTGCGCATTAAAACGATCAGCAATGTTTATGCTATAACGAAAAGGCAAAACGGATACGACTTGAGCTGAGAAAGGGAGACTAGATTTATGAATAGAAGCATTTTCCAGCAGAAAGCTCCAAGCTATCCTCAATAAAAATATGAAGAAGAACTGCAAATGTAACTTCTAACTTCTATTTAATTGAGCACAACACAATTCAAGTACAAAACTCTTCGTTTCCAAAAGTTGCCGCTGTAAAATGGTGTTGCATTGCTAAATTCCCAACAAAATTTCTGGTTTAAGATGATTATCACAATTATCCGAGCGGTTTTCCTGTTTCCATTGCATTTATCGCGCAAAGGCGAAAAATTCTTCCCTTTACTTGCCAAAATCAAAATAATCCTGCAGTGGAAACAAGACTTTATCGACTCAAAATTCAATCATCTATTGCAAATGCCATTTTTTTAAAAACATGAACGTTTCGAACAGAAGAATTTCAGAAATAGATTCGTTAAGACCCATCATTACTAAAGTTAGTGCTGAAATCGCCATCATCCCTTTCGGGGTGATATAATCAGCCAAATAAAGTTCATTTGAACTTCTTTTCTCTAAAACAACTATAAAATTTGCTCATGAGAGTTCAGCATCCAATAAAACATAATATTTTTTTGTATGTAATTACTCTGACGTCCCGGTTACGAAACTCTCTTAGGTATTTCTGTGCATACACTCATTTGTTACAAGAACAATTTTTTTAAGAACGCGAGCCTAAAAATCGGTCAAAAGTTAAGAACAAATTAAGAACAAGCTGAGGTTGAGCTACTGTAAAATACAATTTTGAACGACACTTTATCTCAAAAAACGAGAATTTTTAGCCGTGTGTGGGTGTTTTTTCAGTGAATATTCAAACTTGTCGGCAAATGAAGGTTGTCTCAATCACTTTGTTGGCAAATGAGGCCTGAACACCTCTCTAGAGCGAACAAGCTAGCAGATTTTCGAAAAAATCAAAAACATTCAGCCTGATCTCAAACTTACTAGTTCTTGTAAAAAAAGAGTGTAATCGTTTAAGTTATATCTATGAAATCAAATATGAGGATTAATCATTGCCACCAGAAAGACTGAAGCTCTAAGAAAGCCCCGCTACATACTTATTGTTTGGATTAGCAGATCCATCTGCAGGGAATCAAAGTAAGTTTTAAACAACTAGAATCGAATCAAAGCTTTTTATTTTGTACCCTGGGTGTCAGAGCCTCAGTGAAAGAGTAGATCGGCGAAACAAAGCTCGACCATCTCTTGCACTGTGGCTCTGGTACCCAGAGTGTTCATTCTGCTATTCAGGCGTAGATTTGATATTCACACAGAAAGAATAAAGTTCAAAACAAATTTACTTACTGCATCCAAGTAGAATGATCTTTTCACTGCTAATATCGACCTGGAAGAGGATGTCCAAGCTTTTACAGGCTTGCCAGACTTTTTCGGTTTCCCACACTCGCAAAGACCAGTGTTTCTGCTCGAGAGCTTCACCAGACTTGAGCTGAAGTGTGAAGACAGCGCAAGTTTAATATGAACTTGACGTTAATTAATTATTTAAATGATGCATATGTTTGAGAGAGATTATTCCAACTATAGACCTATGGAGCGTTACCAGAGCTTGACCTGGCAAAATGTTGACAGAAATTAGCAAGCCAACATCAAACTAAACTCGATGAAATATAAGGAACTTTTTAATCTGCCAACTCCATTTTGTAAGGGCCGTTTTACTAAAGTATACTTTATTAAAATTCGCAAAAGCCCGTAAAAGTCAGTTTTCCAATTCGCTCGTCAGCTTTAAACTCTATGTTCATATCTAAACAAAATATGAGAAAAAATCTGCTGAACTTAATTTCTTCGGATCAGTTTTTGCATGACATGGCTCGAAGGCTTATTGTATTTTGCGAAAATTTTCACATCATGCGAAAATGCGAAATTTCGCAAAATACAAATTTCGAGGTGGTATTTTGTAAAATGAGAACACTGATTTTAAAAACTTTATTTGCTATGATCAACGACCGAAAACATGCAATTAATATTCAGGGCGACACTGTTCATGCAAATAGCCTAAATGGGACACGTTAAATGGAACATGAACTAGGCTATTTGCAGGTGAAATAAGCCGGCTCGAAGAATAAAACGGGCGGGAATTTTTCGGCCCAACATAGGTACTGTTAAAACTATTTAACATGGCCAGTATAGGTACAGAAAAAACGGATAGTGCCCAAACTAGTATGATCACTGGGTAATAACAACATAGACAGAAATTTGGGCAAGGCCTATATTTCATCTCTCTTGAGCCTATGCGTAAAGCAGTGAACTTATGCGCCGTGTTATGTTTGTTTTCAAAGGAAATTGTAAACATTCAACCAGCAATTCTTCAAGCATAAGAAGGTTTTGAAAATTCCCTATCTTTACCTTTGTCCATATTTTCGGCAGAAAAATACCCTGTCCTACACTGTCAGAACTGGGGCTCGTCCTAGCAATATTTTTTTTAATCCCCTACCATTTTTTAGGTAAAAATCAGCAAAAGACATTCACGGGGTCATGCTATTCTAGAGGTAATCCTTTCAAGAAAAGGATTGTCACTTTGAAGTTTAATATTTTCCGTATAACTTTGATAGGTGAATCATTTCTTTACCTTATTTCACATTCCTGCTTGCTCTTTTCATAGCATCTACGAACAAGAACCCTCTTTCAGCCTGCCCACCCTCACCACCGGCTTACCCACCTCCCACGCTTTTCAGTTGGATTAATGCCCAATCTTTATAGTTTCATGAAACCACAGGCCAATTCCCTAAAAGACACTGTAGTAGCTTCAGGCTTTTCAAAAAACTACAACAATCCAGTTAAAACGCACAGAAAGTATTCTTTAACAATGTCTAACAACAAAACAGTGTCAAGTTTTTGCAGATTTTTTAGACCAGAGCCTGGGATGCAATTTAACGTAATTGCCATAATTCTTCAATCTCCTCGAAACCTTTTTCTGTCTTCACGCGGAGGCGAATTGAAAAACAACTCAAAACTAGCGCTTCTACGCTAGCATTGCAAATTAATGGAATTAGCCAGAAGAACTAACTTTGCTTGCTGTGGTTTAGCAGATTCTGACAGTGCCGAACGGAGGGATTTCAAATTAGACAGGAATACATCTAAAAGAGTTAAGGCCGTTATCTACCGAAATTTCATTTTAATGTCTAAGGCCATCTAAGGCTCTGTCATTTTGATTCAGTCTGGTAGCAGGTGAACTCTTGTGAAGTGTTACATTCAAACATGAAAAGGAGAGTGCAGCTGAAAAAGAGGTTACCAAAATAGAAGCTATAGCAATAAGGTTATCGATGACCTTCAGTTCGTTATATGGTTATTAATAAATGTCGTTTTTAAGGACCCGTTCTCAATAACTTGCTCCCGAATACACAGAAAACTATAGACGGTTTCGCTTTTCATAGACTTTGCTCCATTTTGAGGTATTGACGAATTTGAAAATGTTTTGCACGTAATATTTAAATAGGCTATAGCTGCACGTCGACATACCCAAAAATCGTCATTAGAAATCAGAAATTTTCCAGAAAAAGGGTGTTGGAAGAAGTGATTGGTCGGATTGGAAGGGAGCTAGAATATGTGTGAGGGAAACAGGGTTGCAAGGGAAAAAATCAGAAAAAAATTAAAAAAAAAATCAAAAAATTAAAGTCCCTAATTTTCTTTTATTCACTTCTTATTATTTACATCAAGACCATACGTACAGTTATTCTTGGGGGGCTGGGACCTATAATTGAATAAAATCATAAACATCATTTGTTATTAATTAAAATTTCCTTTTCATTTCTTTTGCTTTCGAACAATGATGTCCCGTGTGAGTTTACTCCTTATATTATACTGCATATGCAGAATGCAAGCGCTCAAAATGATGCAAAATAAAAATTGTGTTGTTTTTGACTAAATTTATATAAAAAGGTTCATCGCTATTTATTGTGTTATCACTGCACTGGTTTTGGGTGGAAAAAAGCAAAATAAATACGTGCATCAATTGGGCTTGAATAACGTTTTCTTCGGTGGAAATTTGTTGCAAAAATAAGGTACTTATTTAATAATCCGGCCTTCTAGAGAAACGGGATTTCAAGAAATTCTGGATAATTAAAAAACACGAATAACGGCAGAAGCCAGCGTAAATAAACAAGATGAGTGTTGTGAAAGTTTATTTCTAAAGGAGGCATTGCAATCTAATACACTAAATTCTCTTGGAATAGCAAGCGCGGATCCAGCCTGAATTCTGACCTATGCAATGCAAAGGTTGTCAGAAAGAGAAGCCACGCCCTTTTGTTTTGGAAACGCCCAAACTTTTCTCAATAAAATTTGTATCTCTGATATTGAATAGGGGATTCAAGAAAGGAATTCTAAGGAAACTACTCGCAAAGAGAAGACTAAATCTATCTGCAATCGAAGGAAAAAGGTGTTGAGAAAACCTACTCCGATAGGATTCGAACCAGGACCCTCCATTTTTCAAACACAGTGGTCACATCAGCAGGGTTGTCAATTGCCATTTCATTGGCTGTTACAAACAATTGCATACGTCTACTCTAAACAATTGCATAGGTCAACTCTGATTCCTATTGGTTGGCTGAACCGCTGCAGAGGCCAGCTTGGCTTCTGATTTGCTAAATCAAATCTCACCTATGCTCCCGCCAAAGATTGCAGAGGTGAAGTACACTCTGATTGGCTTACAAGACGTTTGCAGAGGCCGAGCAAGCGGTGATTGGCTCTCGAGAAACAAACAAGTTTCTGGATTCAGAAAATAGGGACCAGATAAATGCCCCTCGACTATTCTGTGCATAGGCCGAAAGGTAGTCAGCAAAGTATATGTCCTGCTGTCTTCTGCATATTGTTGGTATCAACGGGGGCAGATCTAGGACGGACGTTGCTGAAGAATTTGCCAAAGAAAGAATTGATTAAAAATTTTGATAGTTTCTATTTTATTTTGTTGTTGTGAAAATCTGACTTATGATTCTGCATATATTGCTGTAGTCTGGATCCGCCTCTGAATAGGATTGAATTTTTGGCTGAATGCACAATGTCTCGCGCTTTCTGGCAGCCATTTACCGTGACGAAAGTTTCTGTTAAAGGTTTTTCACATTTTTACAGACCGGATGTTCGATGTCCGGATAAGTGATTGATCGGAAAAATGATAAAGTACTGTATTCCGAGGCGCAGTGATCCCTCTGATAAAATAATCACCGGTAAAAGCCGTTTCTTTGCAGCTGCAAATTCAGTTAGGCCTATACGACGTCAAAAACATGAAATCAACATCCCTGAATCACAGTTTTGTCCAGACTAAATAAAGTCATTTCTTTTTCGTGAAAGTGCCTCCATTAGAATTAGTTTTTTTCAATTAAAAAGCACGTTAGAATAAGCTAGCATCTTGAGTCTGTTTATAGCTCCGCGTCGTATGTTTTGCAATGAATCTGACAGCAATGAATATTGGATGTGGTGCGATATGGCGCTCAGTTAATAATGTTATACAACTAGTTTTGTCTGTCGTGCATCGTGTTTGCGTCAGTCATTTTGTTTGTCATCCTGCCATCTCTATTTTAGTTGTTATTAGTCCATTTACCGTTAATTTGTGTCATTAGGATTTTGTGTGCGTCACTCATGTTGTTAAATACGTATGTTCTTTCAGTGCAAATCCAGTCGAGTCGAAGTTGTCGGTAAACGAAGTCGTTGTGTTGTAATTGTTGGTTGCTGCTAGTTTATACTATCCCTGCTGAAGAATCTTGGTTTTTAAAAACGTTATTGCGAACGGCAGTCTGGTTTATGATCTTTATCTGCCCTGTAAAACTTCGTAGTTTTACATTGGTGACCACGACGTGACAACTCGCGACCTTCATTTGGAGCTGAAAAAATGATGTCGCTATGGATGTCACGGAGTGGCAAATGTCCCCCAAAAAATTCAAATGAATCCCTGTGGGTAGCCGGAGTCTAGCACCTAGCAGACAACTCTCGGAATATCCAGGGCCATCCACCTAAAGTTTGGGTTTTGGTAAGGGTCAGAGTTTGTTCAAAAACACTGAACGTTGATCTTCGAAAACGTTCTAAACGATTGCAAGAAAGGTCTGCAAGAAAAATTCTGAAATGCATTTTAAGACAATCTTAAGTTTTATCTATGACCATGACAACAAACCAAAACTCAGATTTTGGGATAGTTGGAGGGTCATGGTAGCCAACCTTCTGATAGAAGATGGTACCTGATGATCAAAGGGCGTTGTCGAAAAAAGTTTCTGCTCATTCCACTTGCAGGGGGCTTCGTCTTTTGCTTTTGCTCCAAAACTTCCAAAAGATCTGGTCATATAAAGTAAGGTTCTGTTTTAACGCGCTGATCTATTTGAATAAACGAGGGTCTCATTCCTCAAAACTTGACTTCTAGAGTAAAATCAAAGAAAGCATCTCAGATACTCAGGTAAAGAAAATTGCAACGTGAACATTGAAGCGACGGTGGACTGACGAGAACATGCTCTTTGATAGGTATAATCAACTGCGTCAATATGACACACCCAAAAATTGATATGTTTAGGCCGTGCCCTTTTTTGTCGGCAAACTGGTGACTGGCAACCCCCCCCCCCCCTCCCCCAAGTGATAATGTTTAGCGACGGCCCTGCACGTTGAATCCAATGCAAAACCAGAGATCAGGCCAGTTTGGTAATATTTTTGGCAGAATTCGCGCAGCAGATGTTTTGGACTGTCGTGGTCTTCAGCAGTCCCTGATTTACAACATGTAGTTAAAATCATACCAAAACTCTTGTTTTTTAGCATGTTTAGCTGCCAAAAATGTTCTAGCCCTCTCAATCTGTAATATGCTCCGCGGTCTTTGTCAGTGGTTGACTCTCTCTGAAGCGTATTCTGTTTCTAACTTCGAAATACCGCAGGTGATTCCATAGTCCATAGAACGTGTCTATAGAGAGTAAGGAGTATGCTAATTGCGGAGACCGTTAGTTCTTAAAGGGAAGTGGAAATGATGTGACAGACTGAAATCGCTAGCAAAATGCAGTATTGCCTTTGTATAATGGTCGGTAAAGCAAGAGCCATTTTTGTATTATTCAGCAATTTAATGAAGAATGCCATGTTTATTTGCTTACACACGTGTATTTGCTTTGGGATACGAAGGATTTATCTCAGGCCAAACCTTGAACTGGAGCGGAAAAGACACGTCTCTCAAAAAGAGAAAAAGACACCTTACTATGCAAATGAATCAAGACCGCTTTGTTAAAATGCTGTTGTTGTCTCCCTAAGCAAAGCAACTCATTTCTCTTTCCCAACAAGCTGAATGTTCTACACCGTATGTTCTAAATGATGTGGTAATTTTGCCAGCCTGAAGCAAAAAGTATGCAAAAATAACCTCTTTCATCAGTTGCAGTCAGAGTCTATATTTCCCATTGGCAAATGTCTTTATTCAAAATCAGAGAAAACAAGAAATTCACCGTCTTGCCCGCCAAATGTCTTGGTAAATTGCACTCAATATTTGCACCATGCCAATAGCAGCCCCTCTAAGTAATGCCATTCTATGTCATGTTAAGATCTTCAGTTTTGTTCGGTTGTTTCTTCCCGGTGGTACGCATAGTAAACTCTTTAACTTCAGGTAGTTACCATAGAAAACTCATTAGGCTATCGTATGATCGTATTTATGCTTTTCCAATGCAATCCTGAGATTTTTTGCACAACCATTAAATATCAGTTTCTAATCACAATGACTCTACTTTTCCCCATTTGTTGTATTAGGATTGCCACGTCGAAGAGAAGTGTAGCCACCAACCTCCTATTATCTTTTCATTATATGCTTTGCTTAAGCCCCAGTCCACAAATGACGCCCACATTCGACCAAGACTGTTCAATAAGGCTTAAATATATATAGGGTGGATTTAAAAGCCAAGAATACGATGTGGCCTTCAATAAGGATCACGCAGTGGAATGCCTCTGCAGTAACGCTTAAAGCACGTACACATTTGCTGGTTTAGAGTGATTGATCCCATGTCTCATGATTATTCGCTGTGTAGGCAGGGGCGTCGCCAAAGGGGGTATAGGGGTGTCCCCAAAATACTGTGTTCGTCGATACAAAAAGGGTTTTTGCAGGCAAAGAAGAAATTCCTTATCTCACCCTGTTATGTTTGTAACCGTTTTATAACAATTGTAAGGTAATAACATTTCTATAGCAGTTGATCTTTCATGGCATTAAAACTACTTAAAAATGAATATTTCGAACGCTAAATAATGAAATAAAACGCATTGAAGAAGCATATGAAATTATTTCTCTTGTGAATAATGATGTCCTACAGAGAAGGAAAAACGCTTGGCCGCATGCCAGTTGTAATCAGAAAATACTTGTTTGAAGCTTTAAAGATTTCTCCATTGTAAAGATATCGACCAAATTTCAGCAATGAAATTTTCATTTTTCACATTAAAGACCTTCTGTACAAGCAAGTTTGAACCAACTTTTGAGCATTGCCACTAGTAGTCCTACTCCCGATTTGAAGGCTCTGTTACTAAAGGTCTTGATATAGTGTATCCGTTTAGTGTCCTCTTTAAAGTGTTAAAGTGTAGTGTACTTTTAATGAAAACCTGAATTAACCCAAGGAGAATTGTGCTGAAACGTTTTCAGTGTATCAAAGGCTAAGAGCAGAGGATGTTTAAAAGATATTTCTTACATTTGTAGACCCCCTCTGACCCCTCGGCCACCCAATCAACTCTCCATGCTCCGAACAACCACCCAATTCAAAATATGAAATAAGCATGATTTTTTCGGGTTGGTTCCAAATCATTTTTACCCTGTTAACCCAGCTCCTTTAGAAACGTCCGTTCCCTATGATGCTGTAGTCTTTTGGCCAGGACAACAATATGAATTTGGCTCCTGCCTGTAACAAAGAATACACGGAGGGGCTAATAAGAGAGGGAGGGCTAAATTGAGGGGGGGCTTAAAAGGAAATTACAATAATGAACGTGAGGACTTGTAACAAAGATGACAGTAGTAAGTCTGGTTATGACTGCTCTAATTAGCGCTAATACCAATAACATTTTACTATGACCTTTTAACTTCACTAGGATCTTACTTCTCAACAGGTTTTGTACTTTTTAAAGTAAAATCTATCGTCGTAGCTCAATCACAGACATCTAAAGTAATTACAGAAATGTTGACACCCTCTTAACTAAGCACCGACTGCTGTTCCAATAAAGTTCCAAATTAATCGATGTACATCGTTCATGAATCAGTCAAATCGAAACTACGATACGCTTATGTCGAAAATGGAATGGTCTAAAGGGTCTTGAAAAATTGATCGTTATCAAAAGCCTTGCAAAGAAAGGACCCGTTTTGATAATGCGACTGAAGACATGTATGATGTCTGGGCATACAATTGGAATTCGGGCTTGATTTTGCCGCCCGTAGCTAACGTTGTGCCGTCTCCAGAAGTGACCGCGACGCTAACACTTGACGCTAACAATTAACGCTAACACTTGACGCCAAGAGGTGATTGCAAAATGTACTTACCCACTCCCAGCCTTGTATTTCTGCGTTCAGCCAAACATTTTGCCATGTTAACCGTTGAGAATTTTTCTAGTAGCCTTGCTATCGGGTCGTCGTCCTACGAGTGCAAATGTTTTAACATCAAACAGTACGGAAGCAGAGTTAAACCCTATGCAAACGCACAACACATGTTGACAAAGTTGGTCAATGCAATTGGAGATTCGTAGAAGAGATCGTCCGAATACGTCTTAGCCTGCTGGCGATGGCGATCAGTGGGCATTGATTCAGCGCTTGATTAATCAATTGCTGTAGCTATTACCGCATGGTTGCGACACCAGTTCAAAATTTCCAAGGGAGATCACTGATGAACCATTTCAAACATAAATCACACCACTAAATCAGTGTTTGTCGAATCAATTGTCGTTCAGTGATGCAATATTTCAAACAATGATAGCTCAACCGATTCTGTGTTTGTCTTGTCGGTGAAGAAATGGATAGTGATTCCATTCACGAGGAAACAAATCAAACAATCACAACATTCAAATGTAGTGTTCAAGTATTCCTTTCTAGTTAGGAGGATATCAGCATTCACTCGGTTCAAAGGTGGCAAATAAATCGAGTACTCGGTCTATTTAGCAATACCTCTAACACGCAATATTTTCTTTCCTCTTATCAGGAACCAACCAGATCCGTGAGGAATTACATAGTTTTCTCGCCAAGAAATATTGACTTTAATTAAACAAACAATCATCTGATAAAATTGTTGGCAAAGGAAACGAGCGCTTCCCTGCAGCTCAAAGTATTGTACAACAGACAGGGAGGCAAAATTTTCAAAATTTCATCAAAGAATGGCTTGTAAACTTGATAAATTTTTTAATGAAAATCAAACGATAGAGGTCGCAGGCAATCGATAGATATAATGAAACCAATTTAACTTTGCTGGTGGCAGGAACAAAAGCAGAATTTATTTACTTAACAAACTTCTTGTGAAATTCTTTAGCAAGCATCTAGGGCAACGGACGTTCGGTGCATAGTGGCAGAAACTTGTAAGACACTGTCCGTGTATTAGTGATGATAATATTTGGGCAGCGCACTTTTCTTTTTATAAACAAAGTAGAAAATATCCATCAATGCCAATAAAATCATGCAATTTTGATAAAAATTTACTACTCAACTCAATAGAAAGTAAACTCAAACAATCTAATAGTATATCCGTTAAGGTGTTATTTAGGGTAGGAGAAAAGTATTAATTTCTTGTCAGAAATATGTGAAAGTGGGTAGAAAATCGTGAATTAACTGACTATGTAACGAGAATATCATAACAGCTCGGCACAATGGGTAACCTATAGAAAGATTTCTTAAAAGACATTTTGTCAATGAATGGCTACCCTGGCTATTTGACTCATTCGAGTGTAATAAACTGAAAGCATAAGATGAACTGAATTGGAGGATTGGATTTCAAAGAAGTCGCTTTTTAGTAGCTCTTTAAGAATTATGATAAAGCAGCCCCGTAGGAACCGTGGGGGCTGGAGCCCTCCAAATAATTGTCAAACTGTAGCATGTTTCCTTTATAACAGTGTACTGAATGAGAAGGAAAACAATGGGCAGCCCCCCCCCCCCCCCCCAATATGAATTTCGTTCCGACGGCACTGTTAAGATTTAAAAACACCACAAATATCTCAGCCAAAAAGAGGAGTACCTGCTCTGGGATTGATTTGCCTCTGATTAATTATGTTACAATCTTTTGCATTTGATTGGCTCTCCTTTATACAGAGATATAAACCTGAACAAACACTCTGGTCTTGGAAGCCAAAAAGAACACAGTAAGGCCTACAGAAAGGCCAAAGTACATTGTCTAGTTTTTAATGCACTACCACGCCATAATTATGGATACATCACTCTTTTTAGGCCATATATATAAATGATAAAATATTTTATTTAAATACTTTACTATTTCATCCGTGGTTTTCTAAGGTATTTACCACTAGAAAAGAGAATGAAACTGAGTCGAAAAAAAGAGAAAAACAAAAGATAAAAAATTAAAATACAAAAACCTGTTTGTTGTTTTTGTTATTGATATTTTTTGCTTTTGCTATTTTTCGTTGAAGAAGTTGAAAACATGTTGATAGTTTGAATGACCCTTCAAAAGATGTAACAGCAAGCCCACTTATGAATTTTCCTTCTAGTACCTTTGTGGGAAAATGACGTTGGTCACATAAATAGTGTAAGTAATCGTACGTGATCTGCAAAAATCTCCTCGCCCAAAATCTCTTATTTTCATCTAAATGTGCAGTGAGAAATTTTCTTTGAAATTAGATATGGATAAATGTAATGACTCAACATATTTTCTTTCTGCAAGCAAGTGACAATTATGCTTGTTCTCATTTACCATAGATTTAACAATATAAACTTTAATTCATATCTTTCGATAAGATCCACTTCACGGAGGCCAGTAACCCAATATACTTTGACCGTTCGGTGTACGTAAATCTCGATGTATTAACATATTGTAAAATGATCATTTGTGTACTACCACCTTGTTGCTTTGGTGACAAAGCCTATAAGATAAATTAACGGTGGACCAGTTCATTCATTAAAAGCGATATACTTTTTGAAACAAAGGAATGAAATATCGTTGCTAACATGGCAAGTATCTATGCGTGGTCAACTCGAAACTGCACACCTTTCACTGCTCACTTAATCCGATCCGGGCTAAAGGAGAAGTCTCTTGACAAAATGGCAGCTTGGACTCGACACGACGCTCGGCAAAAACGGCAATCGTAGTCATGAATAAAGTTGCCGCTTTTTTTCTCGAGCATCCGCAGTTTTGTTTACAATCGATCACTGCTTGGTACAAAGTTCCAAAACGTAACATTTCCCAATAGCAAAACGAAGGCATTTTACATAAAATTGTCCTAATCATTTCAATCACGAGTAAGTAAGTAATCAAACAGACGATCGGAGATATATATGCCATTTAAGCCCTCGGCATAATATGCAGCACTTATTTCTTGGAACCGAGGACTTTGAGTTGTAAGGATCATCTATTTGGGTCAAGGGACAAAACCCATGATTTCTCTCAACTTTGAGGCTATCTAGAGTGAAATTTCTGGTAGAGTCAAAATTCAAACAGAAGGGGGGTCATTTGGAAACAGCAATCCCCCTTCTTACGCCTCTGAGATGCATTGTGTGAAATAGATTGTTACATTATGCTTTCAACATAGAGCTAGCAGATTTTTGCCTATCTATAACGCAGAAAGTTTATTCGTTAAGCTACTTAAATCGTTCCTTGATTCATGTAAAACGTGTCCATGGTTCTTTGAGGCACTGAAAAATCTGGTATCAGAAAGTTTTATAGGGGGGAGGGGCTGATTTATGAATCACTCCCAGGCCAAAGCTGGCTCTCGCCGGACCTGCGTGTTGGGAAATCGTAGCTAAAGCTACATCAATACGTGAAGCCACGTGGTGACATTGTGTTGTGCTAGGGACAGGGCCGAGACACCTTGTTAATGGACCCTTGTAGTTAATAACAAAAAGCCTAATCTCTTACGCACTACCTTTCAGCTATTCATTCATTTTTCTATCCCCCATCCATTATTCGGAACGTAGAGAGAGAGGACTTAGTTGCAGCTAATCCTTGGCATCAACTCTATAACGCTTCGAAATTGACTAAAAGATCATGTTATCAGCATATATGAATTCTTACTTAGACTTGGTGCTTTTAAACTCTCCCTTAAAAAGGCTGTTTTGATTTGCTTTTGAATCAAGTGAGGAGGATGGGATGGTATTCGGTTACTTTTGCATTTGTGTGAATCGGAGCATCTTGTTACCTGGGGTAACAAAACATCGCTGGCAGGCGACAGAAAAAAATTGATGGAGCAAGGTAGGAGAGATGCAGAAGTGGCTCTTCATTGAACATGTTGGTTTACTCAGGGGCATACTCTGGGTACCAGAGCCACAAAATTGAGAACGGGAAAATGTAAGTTGGCAGCGGAGAAGCGGAGGTGCATCTACAGTGTCTTAGAAACTCCTTCGCTTGGTTTCCATCAGGGCCCTGAAAACCCTGGCAATGCCACTATACAGCCCTGGCAATGTCATTGGAACGGAGTCATTATCAGGGCAGAAGCCTATAGGGGCGGGGGGCGGCGGGGCGGGGTGGCCATGTCCCCTTTTTTGCGAAGCAAGTAGTTCCAAAGTTGCCGTAAAAGGGGAAAGAAGCCTTGGTCTCCTACTTTTGCTAGCCTTGGCCCTCCACTTTCAAATTCGTGGCGTGGGCCTTGATTGAAGAGCACAGGCTAGCTATGATTGGAGAGATCTTTCGACAAGCAAGGCTATATAGACAATGATTGAATGTGTAAAATGCAAAGGTAGTATAGCACTTTCTGGCCTCTTCATCGAATATACCTCTTTTAAGTTAAGGCGCCGGAACATATTACAGATTGAGGGAACTAAAATGTTTTGGGGGGCTATTCGTACTATAAACCAAGAGCAGGGCAATTTTTGTATGGTTTAAAGAACATTTTGAAATTGTTGGAGGGGGGGGGGGGGCTAAAGCGGTTACTACTTTAAGTCACGACAATAATGCATGATCTTAAGCACTGCAGCCGTCTACAATACTTTATCCTCGGATTCATGAGGCTCTGGTAACCAGGGTAGGTACTAACAAAAATATTTTTACATGTTGCAAGTAAGATCTTTACTGTGGAAGGCGGGTCGAGTGTTACAGTAATTCCTACAAGAAATAAAGACTGCAAAAGCGAGAGACATCAAATGAATTTCATCGGACATTGTATGATTGCACTTATGGGTATATTAAACAGAAGGAACTTTCGCTCGATTCACTGGGTACTACGCCAAACTGTCTAACCTTGCATGATTCGGTTGCATATCACAGTTTCAAGAAAGTTTGCCTTTGCCCATCTTATACTGGGCGTTTACAGCCTTTCAAGTATTGCAGTTTGATGCATTTGGGTATGATTAGAATTTAACTTACCTAGCAGCGCTCCAAAAGCTTTCTTTCGTCTGTACTTCCAAGAAAAGTTACTCCTGATTACTCCTCTCGACAGCATGGTCGCTTACCTTCGAGCCTCTGAAGGATGCATTTAATTGTCAATGTTACTTCACCTCATAATGCCCTTGGGAAGCCATCAAGCATCACCACGATCTCTGCAAGCACATTCACACTAGCGTAACAAAATTTATTCAAATTAACTCAAAACTATTTAAAAAGGAATCCCCTAAAACAAAAGAAAGTATTTTCTTCTTTGAATTCTTCCAGGCTCACTTTAAGGAAACAAACACTAATTATTCTTCAGCAAAATATATATTGCTATATATTTGTGCTTTTTCTACAATTTTTGCTAGAAACTATTTTATGTTTAATACGGGCTGTGCGAGTAATGTGAAAGTTTTGTTTTTTATTTTGAGAGACAGTTGAAAGATTTTGTTTGACAAGCAGCTATTTTCAATAGTCTATATATTTTAAAATAAAATAAAATCAGGCGGGTGTTGTCCTAGGACCTTCAGTTCTTCTTTTTGATTTAAAATTGAGAAAGCTCCCTGAAATTTGCATAAATTTACTTTTATTTTTCATATTTGATTGCCATATTTGATTTTTCAAAGTTGTTTTTAGATTTAAAATTGTGGGTACCCATAAATTAACTAACTCATGCATTTATTGATGGACACAAGAAACAAAGAAGCACATTTGTTTGCAAATTTTGTGAGAATCACCTTTCTACTTCGTAATCTTCCGATTTATGTTTGCTGCCATTTTTCCTTCTTTCTTTTACTTTCATTTCTCTCCTAATTTGAAGGCTCCAGTTTTTTATTGGTCTCTTTTTGCCAGGTTTCACTTTTTTTCTTCTTTGTGTTTTCGTTGCCATTTTATTCTATTAATCGTCTTACTTGAAATTCTTCTTTAAATTTCCTTCTTTTGATTTTATTTTTCTTCTTTATTTCCTCTTTGTCTCTATCATGCTTTTTTCTCTTTTTACTCTCTTTATTGTACTCTTTTGTACCTTTCAATTTGTTATTAGATTCTCTTATTCTCTTTTTTTGTGTTCTCACCATTCTTTTCTTCATCCTTCTCCTTCAACTCTTTCTTTTATTTTCATTCCCAAAGTTCGACCACTGTTGGTCTTACATTTACGTGTGTTGTATATTTTTTGTACTTAGATGCAATTGATCTTTAAGAGTATTTTTGCTCAGCCTTCCTCGATTTTTTCATTTTAAAGGAGATCCAACCAGTTAAGCACAAGGTCTCCAGGCCATCTTCTTCACTCTCTATATAGATTGTGAAAATCTTTGTTACATATCATTCGAACAATTTTTAAAACAAATACAATATTAACGATAAGATGTGGTGATAAAAAGCTAAAATTCATTTTAATTAAGTAAAAATCTTGATACGGATGAAGTATGAGAGGGAATAATTATACAAAGTTTCGCAAATATTTAATCAGTCAACTTACAACGAGTTTATTAAACTGCTGGAAGCGATTTTTTACGTTGAAAGTATTTTTGCTTGTCAAACATCATATCATGTATCAAAGTAGCAGAAAGAGGCAAGAACACGCAGTTTGATCTAATGCCAAAGCAAATGACGTAATCAAAGCTGGTGAAGAAGAAAACAGAGATGATTGGCTTTTCAAAAATATGCAGACGGTCGACACGCGAGACAATACAGCCTCTGGGTTGATAATCATTTATGACAACACTATCAAATCAAAGAGATGAGAACAGTGTCAGCGAGGAGATGATACTTAAGGTCGTGCTTCTTCTACTTTCATAAAACACCATTTTACGAAAGCCAAACCTATCAATGCATGACAGTTTAGTGACAATTAAATAAAACAGTTTTCTAAAACATTACCCCCTCCCTCCACCCCCCAATTTTCTCTTCAGGTTTAGCCAAAGTATCAAATCGACACTGTCGACAATTTAGGGGACATGCTCCCAGTCCCCAGTGGCCATAATCCCAGTCCCTAGTGGTCATGTCCTTGGAGAAGTGACAGTTAGAAACATAAAGCTCTTTTAAGTTTGGAAAACATGTTGCTAAAGAATGACTGATAGAATGAGAAGGAAGATTGGGTTAGAGATAGGGCAAAGGCAAGATTTGACCGAGAAGCTGAAGGCGAAAATTTAAAATTCAACTGTCGTAAGAATTTACTGTAATGACATAAAGAATCTCTGAAATGAAAGTTATTAGAATCATGAAGAAATAAAGATCACGATTCGACAAATGAGGAGTGATGCCTTGAGAATAGAAAAAAAAGTGATTGGAAAATAGTGGTGAAAGAGGTTACAATTTTAGAAAGAAAATGAGAAAAAAGCACGAACACGTTGTAGTAACGAGACGGTTTTTTGCAGTGATAAACAGTAGAAGTGTGCAGTGACAAATATACGACTCTATAATATATTGTCGTATAATATATAGTGTTAAAAGATTTAGAGATACTGCTAAAAAACAGCACAAAAACATTTCCACTCGGCAAATGAAAAATTTCAACGAAGAAAACTTTCTTAGTGATCTTCAACAAATTGACTGGAAAAGCATTGTTTCGAATACCGATGATATCAACCTCATCGTTGAGCAATGGACAAATATGTTCTCGTTGATTCTTGAAAAACATGCTCCTTTACGCTGCAGGAGGGTTTCAGAAAAGTTTTGCCCCTGGTTGACGAAGGATTTCAAATGTTTGTCTGCTACAAGATACAGGTTAAAATTGGCAACTGTACGCTCAAAGTCCAAAATTTTCATGGATGCTTATAAACAAATGAGAAATAGGGTCAATAGATTAAACAAAGATTTAAAGCGCGACTATTTTACAAATAAGATTGCCCTTTCCCAAGGTGATCTTAAAAACACTTGGAAAACCATTAACATGGTTCTCAATAAGAAATCAAAAACGACTCAAATTCAGTCACTTGGTGTTGATGGTAAGCATGTTACCGATAATAATGCTGTTGCTCAGACAATGAATGATTTCTTTTTTAATATTGGCAAATCTCTTAGTGACAAAATTCCACAGAAAGCCAACCCCCTTGTTGAAGATAAGCTGGAAGTGAACCCTGAAAATTTACAGTTTAAATTACAAGCCTTTGATGTTCCTCAGATAAAAAAGGTTTTTTGTAAATTCAAAACGTCCAAGGGTTTCGGTCCTGATGGCATTGCTAACCATTTCCTAAAGATCGCATTCTCTGTCATTGCAGAATCTCTCTGTGACATTTTCAACCTCTCAATTGCCACTGGTGTTTTTCCTGAAAATTGGAAAACTGCAAGGGTTGCCCCAATCTTTAAAAGCGGAGAAAAAAACAATCGTTCCAATTATAGACCGATTTCTGTGCTCCCATTTCTGGCAAGACTCTTTGAGAAATTGATTTACAACCAACTATATGATTATCTAGACAAAAATAAACTTCTGTATTCTGGTCAATCAGGTTTTAGAGCTCTGCATTCCACTGTAACCTGCTTGCTTTCTGGCACTAATGACTGGCACATTAATATTGAGCGTGGAAAATTTACAGGAAATATTTTCATTGATTTGAAAAAGGCTTTTGATACTGTTGATCATGCCATACTTATTCAAAAGCTATCTAAGTACGGAATTCAGGGTCTTGAGCTTCAATGGTTCAAATCATATCTTAGCAGTAGGCAGCAATTCACTAAGGTTAATGGAGTGGAATCTGACATCGGAAGCATCAACTGTGGTGTTCCACAAGGTTCTTGTTTAGGTCCACTACTCTTCCTAATCTATATAAATGATCTGCCATTCGCCTTGAAAAGCTGCAAAGTTACGATGTACGCCGACGATACTAGCATATCCTATTCCTCTAAGAGCATTGAGGATCCAACTGAAACGCTCAACAACGAATTGAAATGTTTGAAAGAATGGCTTCAGGGCAATAAATTGTCTTTGAATGTAATCAAGACTCAGGCAATGGTAATCGGATCTAGACCAAATCTGTAAAAGATTGGTGAAAACACTGTGGGTACACCTGCATTCGTTATCGATGATTCCCCTGTAGAACTCGTCGACAGTATTAAGTATCTTGGTGTCCAAGTTGACCAATACCTCGTGTGGGACGAGCAAATTAAATCTGTTCAAGCCAAAGTCTCCCGCTCGTTAGGTTTTTTAAAATATGCAAAGAAATTTTTGCCAAAAAATGTACTTTGCAAATTATATAGAGGTATTGTAGAGCCACATTTTCGGTACTGCTGTTCTGTGTGGGGGAGCTGTGCAGAGTTCCGACTGGTTAAGCTTCAAAAATTGCAGAATCGAGCCGCTAGAATTATTACAAATAGCAGCTACGATGCTCCTGCCGAAGCTTTGATTACAGAGGTAAAATGGTCAACTGTGAGGGATATGATCAGAAGTGAGACTGCAACAACTGTATATAAATCTATTAATAGTCTCGCGCCTGATTATCTCTCGCATTTATTTGTTAGAAATTCTGAACGCAATATTGTCAACCTTAGAAATGCCGAAACTGACTTGCTAGTGCCATTCATGAAAACTAGTAATGGAAAGAAAGCGTTCGCATTTCGTGGAGCAAAAATCTGGAATGATCTCAGCCGCGGAGCCAAGCAAGCTCCCTCTTTATCTTCTTTTAAGAACAAGATAAAGGGTTTGTTGTAAATTTATTGTAAATAGTTGTAGATAAATTATTTATGATTGTAATTAGTTTCCTTTTTCCGTTATTAATTTTAGTAGATTTTTTTAATTTGTAAAGTTTTTGGCACGGCCCCATGAAAATCAGTCATGACTGACGAGGCTACCGTGCATAAATAATTTTAAAATGAAAAAAAGTCATATTATAGTAATATATTGACTATATTATATATATTAAAAATATGACTATATCTAATCATAGCAGGCCACGTTGTTTGCATTATTCTGCACAAAACTTCAAAATTTATTGACAAGGCAAAGAGAATTAATAACCAGATAATCACTGACGCAAAAATAAAGGGCTTTGTCAGCAGAAAATTTTCAAGCGCTCCACCGAAAATCCCCCATTTTCGTCAAAACGTGCTTTGATAAATTTAGCTTAAGCGTGACTGCGAATGACATCTGTCATCTGTCAGCTGTATTGTAGACTCATTGAGATTTGGAAAGGGGATTTAATTTAAAGGTGTGTTTTTAAGGTCAAGGTCGGGGGTCAGTATCAGGGATTATAATTATTATTTCAAGGGACTATTTAATCACAGGTAAGTTGATGTTCAGTTATCCGTATGCATTTACCACCCCCCCCCCTGATATTTCAGTCGATCATATAGGGACGAATATCGACAATTTTAAAAGCTAAGCTGTGATTACCCTGGGCACCAGAGCCGCAAACCTTTGCTTCGAAAAATTTGAGATCATTAAAATTTACTCCTTCGATTTCTGGTCGAGAATTTGCGTACAAAATTAGAAGTAACAGCTTTTATAACATCGCGGGGTTTATTCTCCCCAGTCAATCATGCAAAATTCAATTTATCATAACATGCACGCTCGGAAAATTTCAAAAAATCTTTATAAATTGATGCCATAAAAGTTAATTTGACATTTTTGGATCCAAATTTAAAGGCAACAATCAAATTCAAAAGCAGCAGAGAACTGTTTGAAATTTTGTTGCTGGCGTAGGACTGAGAACAAGTGACGTCAGCAATAATAATCTTGGCAAATGCATATTGATTTCAAAGCTTCACTTTCAAGTAGTCTTCAACAGAAACCAATGAAATAGGTCCAAAGAAATCCAAGACTTCCACTTGTGTCAACTGTAACTTTGCAAAGAAGAAATCTGTAATGAAAAAAGATAAAGGAATCATAAAGGTGCTTTATCACTAGAAAATCTTGCTTTAAAGACAGTTATATGCTATCATTGTTTTTCCCTCTACGGTATGCCAGCACCTCTATAGGGACGATTATAGAAAAATAGAAAAAAACATCAAGAAATCGTTCCATTCTTTGAAGCACTCTAGGGCAATGCTGCTCGAGATTTTCTATCATCCAATTATTTTGTATTCTTTTAAGAAGGCATAAAAAACCTAGATGCTTGATAAAACTACTTGTTAGAGTACCTGTTTTATCTAACGTGGTGGAGCTGTCAGGCTTATGCATTAACTGGAATTTATTTTGTCTTTCATTTTGATTTGCACCATCAAGACATAACTAATTTTGGATATGCATATCACCACAACTCTAACAATTTTTTGTACAACTTTCAAGAAAAAAATACTGTGCACCAAAAGGGTCGAGAGATTATTTTGTTCCAAATAAATTAACTTCCACAGGTTTACCCGGCAAAAACTGAATCATTATGCAAGTACTATGCATGTACAAGGCATGCAGCACTATGCAACAAAATCAAGAAATGCACCAGTACTGTGAATATTATGACATGATCGTTACACATGCTTACATTCCATAAAGTCAAATATATGGTTTCAAATGTTGCCAACAGAATCAAGCTACTTTGATACCAGCTGTGTTAGCATTAAGACAATTTTTTCCTTCCACCGAAAAAAGAAGCAAAATTCATTCAACAGTAAATGATTGTTCAGGCTTTGCGCCTTCACTTCAGTGAGAAACGAGTCTACATGGCGTGATAAGACAGGCTTTCGTGCTATCAAGTACATTGGATTGGATTCATATCATATCTGATGTTTGATACCAAGACGCAGCTCTCGGTTGATCAGGAAAATCAATACCCCTCTTTCGAAGCAGTTAAGCCAGAATAGATTCTGGCAAACCATAGTGATCAGTGTGACTTCAATTCCTCGCCAGCAACATTGTTAAAGGGCGATTGCTTCAGGCGGTGTTGCTTGGTTACGTAGGTAATTAAAAGGTGAAACTGTACTACATAGCCGTATTCTCTTCTTTTGACTGTGACTTCTTGTAAGGCAATGGCAGACACTTTGGATGAGGGAGTGGGCGATGGGGTAGTCACCCCCAATATTTCGGAAGACAGAAGTTTTTTGTTCTAAAACAATTGAAAAAGTGACGTCATCTTGTCAAATTAATAGGCTGCCCCCTCCCCAAAACAATATGCTTGCCCAACCAAATGTCCACCCTTGCTGTAAAGAATAAGTGTTTCTGCATTTTCAACTGTTTCTTCTTGATGGCGATCTTGTGTGCACTGGACGAAATATTTGCCCCGGGTTTTTTCGTTCCGCATACATCTTTCGATTAGCTTAATGTAGATCTTACAGGAGGAGTGTGATAATGCTGTCTTGGGTGAAGCAAGTAGAACCAGTTTTACTTCAGATAAAAACCTGCGATATTGCTGTAGCTTATACAAAATAAATTTTGACCCGGCCATTTCAATCAAAAACTACAAAAAAAATTGATTAAACTCACGATGTGATTCAGGCCATTCGACCATTTCAGGATGCCTGGAAAACATGGCTTTCCTTGCGGCTGGGACCTCATCTGCGGTTAGCTTTACCATCTGGAAACAAATTGTTCAACAACTAGTATTTGGATGTTGTGCACAGTCGCAGATTAATGATTATAATCGATGCTTCAAATTACATATAACCAATGAATCAATTTGAACGTGGAGAGACGGAAAGTCGGGAAGTCATTGAAGACATGCTTAAAATACTACATTCCTTTCAGTGCGCGGAGAAGATCTTCATCAGCTGTATCCGCGCCATATCGCTGTAAAACCCTTCTCGGGTCAAATTCTTTATAAATAATTAATGAAGTGTATAAAATATTTAAAGAACATTGCCAAGTAGTCTGTAATAAAAAAGTAATCAATGCCAATTTAAAACGGGAATGGTCTTAAGAATCTTTTCATGGGGTTTAAATTCTTGCCTCTCCCTCCTGTTCCGTGCATATTTTTCTCTGAAACCGCGTCTGAAACGTGTCAAAATTTATTGTATAACGGCCTTTTCGTACCGAAATCAAGGAGTGAAAACTAGGCCCAATCATAACAATAACTACTAGACGACTAACGCTAGGGATGTTCGCGTTTATACGGTTAAAAATCACCCAAACCAAATTATAGAATGAAACTGCACACGTCTAGAAAATAAGCATAAAATCAAAACATATCCTTTGATCAATACATATCCAAGAATGAAATATCCAAGAGCTGAGTTTAATATTAGAAACTGAAAAAAACATTCAATATAAAACCTGCTTCTACTATAATAGCTTTGAAGAAGCCAAGTGGTCAGAGCCAAGTGAACAGCAGTGCTAAATTGATTTCCTGTGGCAACAAACTTTATTCTATTAGTGACAACATGGAGTAGAAATATTCTACTGGAGTAGAAACACAATATGATCCTTGAACCTTACAACATTTATTCTATCTTAACAATAACAAGAAAACAAAAAGTCCTACTTACTTTTCCAAAAAGATGAACTCTTGTGCATCTGGGGTCCTCAGGATCCATAGAATGAGTTCGACAATAGTCTCCTTGTGCCTCCGAGAACGTAAAGGACGTTTTTGAGTTCAATTCCAAGTCTTGTGCACCAACATCCATTAGCGAAATGTAGACCAGGGGGATGCCTAGAATAGCACCGATGAACTTTTAAGAAATCTTCAAACAGCTTCAGTTCAAAACCGTTATATCTGGCGTTATTCTAGAAAATATTACCAACTGAGACGCTGCAAGTAGTGTGAGTCAGGGGGGGGGGGCATAAACGTGAAGAAAAAGAGCAAAACAAGGCAAATTAAGAAAACGGTATATTTTCGAGTGATTTAAGGTTTATGATGAAGAAGAAAACCAGCATGACGAAAACGTTTATATTTCAAATACCTCAATATACCCAGGTTGTGCCCCTCTATAACGTAATGAAAATCCCTACTTATCAAACTGCAGACCAGACCTAGCCCCACAGTTTAGCCTGACATCCCTTCAGTCATTTTAAAGGTAATTCAGAACAATGGGGATCAATAGGAAACATAAGAGTATTTGCAAAAGGCTCCTGAATTGGGGTACTTACCCAAATTTTCAATATGCGGTAATTGAAAATACTAGCAGCTTATTTCAAAGTGAAGAAAAAAGTTAGAAAAGAACGGCAACCTACCAGTCGATTCGTTAAAGTGGACGTCAGTAATGGAAACAACTTCGCCCCAAGGATAACCTGGCTTATGCGTGCAGAAAGTCGTCATTACTGCCCAGTCCATCTGATGCACAATATAACGTGCTGCAATTTAAAGACCAATCAAAATAGCATGTAAAGCATATCTAAATAAAGTATATTTTTTAATCATTTGGAAAACATTTCACTTGCTTAAACTACAGTAAAAGATAATAAAACATAGAAGTGATCTGACCTATTAGCAAACAACTAAACTTCAGAGAAGCAAAGGAAAAGTTTCGAAAAGCATAAATTTTTGCTTATTGGTAAGGTCAAATCGATGTTTTCTACATGATAACGATGAGCAGGTTGCAGGATGTTTTTACATACCTTAGCGCTTTAAATCTAATTTGTTTCCTAATTCTTGTAGCTTCATATTTAATATAAGCCGTGTTTTTTACATAATTGCTAATATTTTTAAAGTGGTTTTTAATTACATAGTTATTAGATTGTTATACAAAATGTCCCTGTCTATGCTAAGAAAAGTTAGCAAGGCACAAGACGATAAATACTGAAATTCCTTTACAGCCTAGGACCCCTTTGGGAAAGCAAACCTTTGGTACATTAGCTGTTTTGCATGCCTGCAAACCATGTCACCAATATCATCGTTTTTATCCTTAGTTGATTTGGTAGCTTCATCCTCTCTCACTGCAGAAATGTCTTTGGATATCCCTTTTCTCTTTAACCTATATTATCATTATCTTGGCTATGTTCTAGTGATGTAATCAAAAAGGTCTCGAATAATGCCTAAATTTTCGATGTCTACTCATAACAAGGTGCTTTTTACAACTTGTCATCTTATATAACGCTATAACCTATTTATGTTTATATTGATCTTTATGTGACGGGACGTGATCTTAAAAACCCTAGTAATTCTTTTCTTTTCATAAGGTAAGTGGTAACATAAGAGGTTGTATATTTTATAAACTACTTGGCAAAACGATTTGATAATTTTCATTACTTGATAGATTTTTATGGTTATTAATATAAAATTTGATTGGTTACTTTTTAAGGTAGCTAGGTTTGGGTTTGGTTGTGTCATTATCAGAAAGTAGGGTCTATTATTGGCAGTAGTAGGATAGAAAAAATGACATAAAAGATTCAAGCAATGTTAGATTCATCGAAAAGTGATCTTATATCACAAAATTCGAGTTTTTTTCTTGATTGCAACACAATCGAGCCAGCGGATAAAAGGAATGTTTTCTATAGAGAGTTTATGTAAATATTTTAGATAGAATAACTACCCATTTTTGCCTTCTCCTGATAAGGTGGCCTTTCTTTCACCATTTGTTCTTTGAAAACGATGCCTGCAAAACAATAATATTCGTAAACAAAAATACATATATATTATTCTCTAAATCAAAATCGAAAAAATTTGGACAGAAAATTTTCTGCAAACAACTTCGGAGGAGTCACTTTCATTAGCATTATCAAGAATTTTCGCTAAAAAAGTTTCGAATATACACTTTATTAATGTTACTGTAATATATGCTAAAACCAGCTAATATATGCTAATTTTATGCTAATCAATCATAGGTTACTTAAATTAAGCACATAGGTGCAATGGGAAAGCTGACGGGAGGGGACAAGAATAACAAAGCTGAAAGCTACATCAAATCCCTTACACCCTTACACAAAGTGTTTACCAAACGTTTTGCAATCAATGTTAACGACTACGCTGGGTTTCAGAGCCACATAAATTAGCGCACCGAATGAGAAGATATGAGCCTTCAAAATTTTGTTGCTATTTAGGGGATATCTGGGGAAACAATATTCTAGAGCAATTTTCATATAGAAAACAAAGAGTCCAGAAAGTGGGCGTGGCTTGGGTGTGTCATAGGAGCTCTGTAAACATATGAATCCAAATCACATCAAAATCTTCGTGAAGGAGTTCGTTTGGACTCCAGTGGCACTGGTTGGACACGAAAATCGATATCAAAGTAAGAATAAGAATCCTAAATGTTACATCATTCCAATAATGGTTCCGAGTGTTGAACAGTATCTTCTACGATGAGGAAGCGAATCGAAGCTTCAGAAATGTGGTTTCTTAGACGAATGTTAAGAATATCTAGGACAAGACATGTCAGCAATGAGGAATGCTTCAGATAGCAAAAACACAAAGATCTTTGTGGAAAGACATCAGAAAAAGACAAGGAAAATTTATAGGTCATATGAAACAGAAGAAGAGTTGGAACAAATTGTAATGACAGGAAAGAGTCAAGGCAAGAAAGCGAGAGGAAGGCCGAGACAAATGATGTTACCATCCATGGTAGAAGATTATATGATGACAACAAATGACATGCTACATGCTGCAAAAGATCCAAGAAAGTGGAAGGCCATGATCACCTACGCCAATGATGAAGAGGGAGAGAGAGAGAGAGAGAGAGAGAGAGAGAGAGAGAGAGAGAGAGAGAGAGAGAGAGAGAGAGAGAGAGAGAGAGAAGAGAGAGAGAGACGAAAGAGAGGGAAGAAAAAAAGAGAAAAAGAGAGACGAGAGAGAGAGAGAGAGAGAGAGAGAGAGGAGAGAGAGAGAGAGAGAGAGAGAGAGAGAGAGAGAGAGAGAGAGAGCTCCTACTAAAATATACGAGGTCTTAGCGTCTACTATAATTTTATAAGCCCCGCCCCTTCGTTTAAGCCACTCTCGAATAATCTGCCAAACAACAAGAATAAATAAGCCCCAGGGAGCTAATTCGAGGATTTACGGTATTTCAGAGCAAATCCCCAGACCGACTATAGCTTGGAACAATGAACAAAACTCTTGATTCGTCTTAATTTCAACACCGTATTCCCTCTATAGAATACTGCGGCGTTCATTAAAAAATCAAACTTTTGGATGCGGCATTTAATTGAGGGTGGCGTTTATCAGAGGGCGGAGTTTATCAGAGGGCGGCGTTTATCAGAGGGCGGCGTTAAAAACAACGAAAAGTTTATCAAGATAAACAGAGAAAGTAGAAGTACGATGAAAAAAGATAAAAACAGACTTTAAATAAGTTTTCTTGTCCCAAAAACACGTAATAAAGAAGGTGTGAAAGTTCCTTCAAAGTTAAAAAAAAAGTCAAGGAATGGAAAATGTCAAGAAATGTCAATATCCCTGTCTCCGTCAGAGTCTCCGTCTCCATGAGATAAAAACTTTTATGGCTTTCGAATAGTAAGCGTATAAACTCTTCGTTACTTTTTGTTTGGTGTGTTTTCTAATGAACGCCGCTTTTCAAGATGGGTGGGTTTTTATATAAATGGCGCTGCGTTCACGTTCTGCGTTATATACCTTGTCTGTCGTGAAATCGTCACATTGTTCGAAATATTTCCGATGCATTGTGCTGACACATTGTCAGCATTGTTTGTTGGTAAATCGCATTTGATGTCCAGATAGGCTGTTGTCCAGATACGCGGATAACAGAAAAGGAATTAACGCTTGTAGAGGTAAACACTGTGGATTCCGAGAATCAAGCGAGGATAATTTGACTATAGCGCAAGCTACGGTTACTATACCGTAAATCCTTGAATTACCCCCCCCCCCCTTCGAATAAGCCCCCACCCTAGAACTAAAAATTTTTCAATAAGCCCCCCTCGCATAAGCCCCCATCCAAAAATATCAAAAATCGGGGGCTAATTTGAGGATTTACGGTAGTCTGGAGTACAGAATATAGTAAACAAACACCCGCATATAAGAACCTGTGAATTAAGAACTTACAGGCTGAAATTATGAAATTAGACCCCCATATTTTCCTGCAGTGATTTTCCCCTCGGTGGGGTGGGGGTTTCCATTGGAAACTTCTTCGATTTACTTCCGGGAATGTGACTGTTATGCGAACAGCCAGTATCGTTTAGTGCACAAGCACAACAATATTTGTCGTAATAGAGTTCTAAAGTGATGACGTCACAAAAATCTATTTTTATAATTTTTGAATTTAGATCCCACAGCCTGAAAGAGCATCGTGAAATACCTCTAAATACGCAAAATCAGTCTAATGTTTTACGAATTGGCTGAGATATGACCACATGTGTATTGGCATTTTCCCCATCAAACCTCTATATTTTGGTCTCTGTTCATAACTTTATGAACAGAGCGAGGATAACAGTGATTCGTTAGCAAATTTCAAATCTTTCATTGGCAATATCTCAACTGACTTTAGACATATTTGACTAATTTTGCATATTTGGAAGTATTTCATGGTGATCTTTTACGCTATGTGGTTAAAATTCAAAAATTCTAAAAATAGGTTTTTGATGACGTCACACTTTAGAACTCTATTAGGTCGTTTTTGCTATGCCCGATCTCTGCAATCCTTCAAAAGTACGCAATAAACTGACCTTGCCGGTGCAAGAACACACCAGAATACGTTACAAATTCCTGATATTCTTCTTGGGCTGCGTTTTTTAATTCGAACAAAAACTGACGAAAACAAGTACTTTGGAGCTTGAAAAAATTATGTTAAAGAAAAGATATGCAGGAAGTAATTACACCATTCGATTCAGCACTGCCGGATTTTATGAAGTTTTTCATTTTTCATGTCTTTTTTCATTTTCCAAGTAGGCCGCGCCAAGTACGTTAACACGATAGATACATCAAACAAACATGACAACAATAGTGGTGCCATAATATAGTATTTGTTTTGATAATCGCCTATACTTCCGTGTCTTCCCAGTTTCTGCGATTCGAAATTGATAGAAATGTTTTAAAAACACAGTCTTACCTTTGGCTTGCACGCCAAGATGACAGAGAATGAATAAAGTGAAAACAATCAGCATTGCTTTGGAGTTCATTGCGTTTGTTTCGACAGGATGCTTTTATGGCGTCTTGCTAGGAAATATGGCCTAAACAGAATACTAGGACACAGATATCACATGACCGATATCACATCACCTGCTTATCACTAGATGCGTTTTTTGTAAGCAAGCCGTTCTTCTTTCTTTGTAAACAATAGCGGGACAAGGGCATGGCCGGGCTATTGAAAGCACTCAAACGCCAATATCGCTAAAGAAATACTATTTCGTACAAATATTCTCGAACTGCAGAGAATAGGCACACAGAAACTTCCCTCAAAGCCTGATGCAATGCAATGACTATTTGAAACAAATTTTCGCTGACCCGATAAAGATAGAACGTAAAAATATTTCTTGCATTCATTTTCTTGAAATCGTTTAAATATTTTGCTTTTTTTAAGGCATCCTTTCAGCACGTTTGATTAATTTCAGTCTTAAAATGGCTTTCATTACTTTGTAATGAGGAAAAGAATCCAGCCTATCTTTGTATCGTCGAGACAAATTGGTCCTTTCATCAGAAATGAAGCAATGAGACAAAATCTACTGACCCCCACATGAGCAGGTCTCTGAAGGCCAGCAGAGCCAAAGAGACTCATCGAAAATCAAATTTTCCCTGGAAGGGGGGCATGAGTCCGGACATTCTAAACACAGACTGTCCCTCAACACCCTAAACACAGTCTGTGTGCACTATGAGTGCTGTGTTCTCCACACGTAAGTTTCCTGACAATCCTCTACAAAATTGATTAATTTGTTTGCCTCTGCGAACAGTACAACTGTTTTGTCTGGATAATACAGTACTGAAGGGCACAAAGACTGTGTGAATGTGAGAAAACTTGAAGTGAGAATGTTCTGGGGGGTATGGGGGCGCCCCAATAAAGTTTTGAATTTTATCTTCTTTGTCTTTGCTGGCCTTCTAGAGACCTAATAGCAAGACAAGTCGGTCGTATCAAACTTTTTTAGAGTTTTCGTCGCCCTATTCAAGATTTGGTGCCCCTGAAAAATGTCAGCTGGGGGGGGGGGCCTGGCAGGCTGCCACTGGTACCAACATATGTAAATAACGGCCTGTTTTAATTTGGCCAATCTGCCTATAAGGCTGATTTCCACGCATTTCAGAACTGCATGCATGGCGAATGTTCCAAGATTGTTTTCTTACAAATCAAGCAAATTTACCATGCTTTGAATGGTTATTAGATGCTGCGAAATATTTCGCCGAGAAAAAGTAGAACTCTTTTCAACTTTCTTGCGAATTCGCTGCGAAATCAAAAATCAAAACTGCGCATGCCTTGATGCCTTCATCAGCGATTTCGCCGCGAATTCGCTGCGAAATTCGCCTCGTGGAAATCAGCCTATAGGCACCTTTATTCCACTGTTACCTACTAACTAGAAAATTCAATTCAATATGTGCGTTGCGTGTGGTACTACGTCAAAAATAACGATAATATAGTTAGCAAATGTGGAAGGATTGGTTTTGGTTGGTGATAGTGGTCGATTGGTTTATGTGTGTGCGAAGGATCTGACTTGGTCAGAACAAACTTAAACCAAACGTCACAACAGCCTGGTACTTTCCCCTGCCAGCATCACCTCTGTCGGCCTTGCAAAATATTCTCAAGAGTCTAAATGAGGATTTGCATTTGGTGTTGTTTAAATTCCAAAATGGATTGGCGCCTCGACTGTTAAAAGATTATTTCAAGAAAATTGTACACCAGGAGGAAACCCGTGGGAATAACACCAATCTCTTGCTCCCAAAAGATCGCACAGAAGCTGGTCGAAAGACATTCCTGTTTCAGGGATCAAAGTTACATAACAAACTACCTGATGCGTTGAAACAAGAACAGTCTATAATGAATTTCAAGAGACAATACAATCAACTTGACAGTGAATTTTAACTTCTAAATATGTAATTTTTAGATATTTTTAAATTTGATATTGTGATTTGTAATTTTAATTTTCTTTTTAACTTTAATTTTAACTGGACCTTGATTGATAGCAGCTTCTGAGCAAGCTGACCAAGTATATATTATCCTGTATAAATCATTATAGATTATAGATTATAGATTATAGATTATAGATTATAGATTATAGATTATAGATTATAGATTATAGATTATAGATTATTATTAAATTAATACCGTCAGCTCAGATGCTTGCCTTAGAGAATTTAAAGCACTTTTCTTGGCTATTCAAGTAAATAAAAAACAAGTGTGGGCCTAAATTTTATTATAGAAAATTTTTAAAATGCCAATAAAGTTTCTTTTGTTGTGTCCGACATGTGTTCAGGTTAAAGTGCCTAGTAAAATATTGTAGTTTGCACAAGAAAGAGGCGAAGAAAAATACACAATCTGGGACGATAAATAATTACAGGATCTAGAAGTCGAATTTAAAGTCATAATACGAAGGGTCGAATGTATGAACTCTTACGTAGCCATCTTCACCGCCGCTGCTGTAACTGCAGAGGAAAGGAATACGAGGTTTGTATGGAAATGAGATTGTTTTAAAAAGTAAATCATGATAAAAAATATCAAACGTTTGAGCTCAGGATGGAAACGAAATATAATAGCTATTAAGCGGGTGCAGAAGATGTGCATTTCGATCGATCGATCAGTTATGACATACAAAATAATCAGCTGACAATGTCCCGAAAGCCTTTGGGATAAATATCATCATAGGACCCAGCAATCCAACTACAGAACAAGGAATTGCAGGGACCTACAAATCCCAAGAAATAACCTTGAATACGTCAAGAAAGGCTTTCACTATTCGGCTCTGAAAGCCTGGAACGACATTCCCATCAATATCAGAGAGCTCTCTACAGTTGGTAAATTCAAAAAGCCATTGAAAAGTTATTATACGAGCTGAACACTACATAAAACACGACTCCCTGGAAGAGCAGCTGCTATAAGATAGAATGCTGTGCATAATTTAGCTTTAACTGTAGATAAATTATATTAATGTAACTAGGGTATTTATTTTTTTTTTTTGGTATTTAGTTGTAAGCTGAAGGGATTTTTGTGTATAAAGAAGTTAAAATGAAAAAAAGGAAAATTTTGAAAAAAAAAATAAGTTAGATGATGGGTATCAGTTAGCGACAATCGCGGAACAGGATTGTCCGTTGCCATGAATTAAGTTGCTTCTGGTGAACTCACCTTTTGCCATCCGGATGAAAAAGAACACTGTTTATTGGACCGAAATGTCCCTTGACCCGCCCGATTTCCTCTTCGAATATCATATGGAAAAAACGAGCGTCAAACTTCCCAACACGAGCTGAGGTGGTTGTCACATCCATAGCTTCTTGGCCGCCACCCATTACAACCTGAGACAACAAACGAAGACAAAAAATAACAAGAGTTATTCTATTTGGTTTCATTCCTGACATATTATGATATCACTAATCTGCTGCTTTTAATGCACCAGCACTTGTTCTTTCTCATACTTTGACAAAATGAGCTTTAAATGCTTATCAAGATTCTAAAGGGAGTCCCAGTCGAGACCTCCCTCCCAAATCCCATTTAAATCATGTCTATCAGTGAGAGTATAGTTTGAGTAAGATTGAAATAGGAAAAGTTCAACTACAGAGAAAACAAGAAGTCACGAAAATTCTGCAAAAAAATCCATTATCATAGACTCCTCTTCAAGATTGGAAGTACCTACATTCCTGTAATATCCTGAAATCTCCAGAGACATCACAAATAATATGAAAACATCAACAGGGTGAGTAGTATCAACAGGTGCCTGATGATCGCATTAAGCGTTAAACTCTCAGCAGCAGCTTAGAACCGTCCTTTTGTATGCACAAAATATCATGAACAGCTCTGCATATACGGCATAGAGCACTTTATGCAAGACCAGAAAACAGTGATGTTCAAGACATCCGTACTGCACTGTACTCTATTTTCCAGGCTTTGAAGAAGGTAATATGAGGAAAATTTACTTAATTCTAAAGCAAAATTCATTAGCAACGACCATGGAAATACTTTCAAAGCCCCTGTTGCATAGACTACTTTTTAAGCCCCAATTTCGTAGGCTGCTTTATAAGCTCCTGTTCCAAGAGTAATTGTTGGTAGTCTCAATACGAAAACGAGTTCAACACATTTTTTCTCGGCCTTGCGATGTAACACTATATATCGAGTTTCAAATCTGCCTTTTTCCTATGCTAAGGCTTGGAATTGCAATAAACGACACTTACATGATCCCTGATTGGCGATAACGAGGCTGAATTAACAGGTCTCTCGGTTTTGAAAGTCTTCAAATGTTTGAATGAGTCAGAGACGAAAAGCTAGGGAGAAACAAGAACAAAATCATCAAACATCGAAAACATTCAATGCATAAAGGACATTTATGTCGAAAAATGTAATTATAAAATATTTTAAGATGGAAGATTTAGAAACATCTCATAGGCTTAAAGGGATTGTGGAAGGAGAGCAGTATGTATTTCCAACGAGCTAAAAGTGAAAATAGGTCAAGCCTACTGCATTACTTTGTGAAAACATTTTTTAACAGCCCCTTCCTATGATACATTCCCTTCATAATAATGGAACGCAAAATATTGTCCACTTCTTTAAACGTCCCCCTCCCCCAAAAAAATAAACCCTCTCGTGAGAAATTGGCATTTTTCGAAAAAGAGAGAGCTATTGTCAAGCTATCTAAGTTCATTGCAAAAAGAGACTTTTCAGTACTAAAAGCGAATATCCTCTTCGTAGAGTTTAATTTAACTATAGGAAACAATTTTTTTCAAAAGCCCTTTTCTAGTGTCACCACACAACAGCTGGCAAAGCCGGCCCACAAAAAAAGAAAAAATGCCACTATAACAATCAATTACGAATATTCATTGACATTATCACAACTTGGGAAATGTCTCAAAAGCCAACTCATTACAAAAATTTACAAATGAGCATCTAACAAAAATAAAAAATATTTTAGAATGAAAAACTTATAAAGGAATTAAACTAAAAACCTCAAGAAATATATGAAATATGTAAACTATATGAGTACCTTGCATTTTAAAAACACCCCAACGTTAACAAGAAACAAAATGATTTATTTCAGATTTTTATAAATTTCCCAACTTAAAATCTCTTGCTAAGATTCTCAATTGTTGAAGAGAAATGGAATGACAATGAAGATAAAATAAATTAAAATATATACCTTTGCTGTTGTATCTTTTGATGCTGTGATGAACATTAAATCATCTTTTGATTTCTGAATATCATTAATAAGCTTTGTGTGTTCATGTATGCGATCAATTTGTTCACCAGTCTATAAGAAAAGAACCAATTTTCATTTGAAATTTGAAATTTCATCACATTTACATTGTCAGGGTTTAAGTTATGTTTTTTGTAAATCTTTGCTGGTTTGAAAGTTTGGCCTTGATGTTTGTTTCAAATAATTTCTTCATCCTCTATCATAATCAATACATTCTGCAAATGGAACCAAAGGTACAAAAGTTGTGGATTTAAGAAAACAAGCTCTGAAAGAAAACATCCAAAGAAAACAAGGCTGGAAAACCTTTGAGTCATTGCAACTTTAGGAAAAGATGGGGATAGCCTAACAAACAATATGGTAAAGATGGGCTAACTCCAGTCCAACTCCTCCTTGTGACAACTTAAAGTGAATACTTTACAAAACATATCATACCCATTTCAAATAGAATACAGCTAGGGGGTCAAGCCTTTCCTCTAATGAAAAGGGGACAATAGATTGTTGTCTTCAAAAAATAAATTTAACAGGAGATAGCAGAGTAATATCATATACGGGATAGCATTGGAGTCGGAATGGTAGGAGCACAAGTTAAATGTTGAACTTTCCTAACAATAAAATTGAAGTTTCCACTTCTAAATGATTCAGAAACTAAGCAGTTGTATGACATGCAACTTAAGTAAATCAATAATAAAGGGCTTGTATATAATATAATTTCAAAGCAAAATTTGTCAATAAGGCTTAATTAGAATTTTGAAATCATGCATATATCGCGTAACTGTTAGTCTTGAAAAAGATATCATTCTACACTACAGGGAAAATAAAAGGGAAGACACAAAAGGGGCTAGAGAGCAACATTCCTTTAAAGAGAATACTTTGAAAAGACTTTAAACAAAAGGCCACACACAGACAGTAAAGTATCTGATAACAAATGATCTGGTGTCTTCATCAATATATGATAACAGTAGTTTAAACAGATGACAATATACAAACAAATCATCAGACTGGCATGATGTCATATCCAGCACAAAACTAATTACCTTCACATCCCATTTGCAAAGCAACCCGTTTTCATGTCCGGTTATAATGTAATCATCGCATGGTCCCCATACAGAGGCAGTAACTTTTGGTCCTTGAACAGGCATGACTATAATAGGCTCAGGTCTTTCATCTGCGTAATTGACATGAGAATCCACATATTATGACAAATATCACATTATAAGATGACATATACATACGAAAACTACTGTTTTCCAACATAAAGTGCTTGATGAGGTATAGGCAGAGCTGTGCACACTTTTGGTGCAAATCACAGGGTGGTTCTAAGTTCCTACTCAGAGCATAATTGTATATGCATATATGTAAAAGTCAATGTGTTGTCTAAAGGTCTTCATTTTTCTGAAGTATCAATGAGAAAAGCCTAGGCATACCTTGACTAGATCATTTAAAGATCATATAGCCAAAGAGATAAGGACAAAGACAATGTGTTCTTATTTCACCTATTGTCAAGCAATTTAACTGACTGGCCCATGTAACTAAAGATTTTATTGACCACACATGCTTTTGGATGTCAGATCAATGAAAACTGCAAGATGGTAGTGACTTTGAATGTTTATTAAATGAACAGCTTCAAATGCTCTGTTTAAAATTTTAACTGCCAATCCTTCAGTAACGTAAAGGAGAAGAGGACCATAAACAAAGTCAAATATGATTTACTAGTAGTATTGATACAGTAGACAGAATCACATCAAATTTATGATTGGATGCAGAATGTGTCTGAATGGGGAAATGAATTAAATGGCTTTCCATGGCCTCAGAATCATGTGGTTAAATCAATTGACTTTAGCTTACTGAAGTAAATAATGTTTGGTAAATTCTAAGTGATTTGAAACATGCAAGCAAAGAGATTTACATTAATTTACCCTGGTAACAATTAATAGAACTAGCAGCAATGGAACAGCAGATAAAGTCACACAAATATCATACTATGGTGGTAACAAAACAGCAGATAATTATAATGATGTTAACTTACTCAAGCATTGCTGAAGATCAAAAATCTGAATCTGACACATTTTCCCCATGGCAGCATCAGTTGAAATCATAAACTGCTTTGAACTATAGGCAAAATTGCATGTTCTTACAGCAGATTGAGTGGGGATTTCTGAAAGCTTTTTTCCAATTTCTGTGTCCCAAATTATAACAGAATTGTCAGCAGCACCAGTAACAAAATGGCGGGTATCCCCTTTTATACAGTCATGGAAAAATTGATTCAGAGGTAAATTTAAATACAATTGAAACTGATAAGAAACCCTTAAATATGTATGTTGCGTGTGGTACTTCATCTAGAATAACAATAATATAGTTAGCAAATAAATCTAGTAGCAGAATGAAAATATAATAGATTGATTGTTAAAAACACAAAGTTTCAAGCATGTACTCGTTTTCAAGTGTTTCTTTTCTAGCCACTTGATAACGAGTACATGCTCAAAATGTTGTGTTTTTAACAATCAATCTATCACATTTTCATTCTGATACTAAAATTATTTGCTAACTATATTATCATTTTCTTTAATATCACTGCCTTTGACTTTAACTACATAAAATACTGGAATAAATTATGAACAAAGTAGGCCAACACTTATTTATATGCTTAAATTCAAGGTAAAGAATCCTTATGTAATTATAGATTTGTAAACTTTTTATAGCTTCTTAAAAACCTAATTCAATCTCTAATATATTTTCTTATGCTTTAAATCTCAGCATTGTTGAATTTGAAAGTAAAAATGTTTAAAATATATTTTGACGCTTAATTTGATTTGAATAAGTATGATATTTCATCTCAAGCCAAATCAGACTGAAAAGTCAATTTTTTGTTGGAACAGTCTCTATTTACTTCTTACTGAAACAGCATCCAAATTATGCACAAGTGGTCATTAAACAGGTTTCGATCAGAAAACACCACAAAACCAATATACATGCCAACCAAATCCTAAAAAACACTTCATTACTATTTGTATATTGAAAAGTTATTGTGCAGAAAAGGATACATGAAATATCGTTTGTCCACACTGCTCCATTATGCCCATTGTAAGTCCCAAGTCTTTCCCCATTCAGTGAATACCAAACTGTTGGCTTGTTGTCCTTGGCTGTTGAGAAGAGAAGATCCCCCTCTCTGTTGTACCTAATTTTTGTAATTGACCGCTCATGGCCATGAAGCAATAGAGGTTTCTGGGGAAAAAAGATGAACAACTTGTGGTGCTGTTTTTGTAATCATTAAACAAAAGTAATTGTCATTGTATTTTGTTATATGAACCAAAAACAGAAAAAGGTGAGTGTTGCAAAATTTGTTGCAGTCCACACTCACCAGTGTGGAATCCAAGTAGCTTGCGCCGGATAAATCTGGCATGGACTTATGATTTCACATTGTCTTTCTATTGTTTACTGGCATATATCTGGCATGAGCTTTACATGGATTCCACCCTGGAACACTCAGAATCTTCCTTAAAGTATTCCAAAGTATATCTAGCTACTAAAACGTTAGCTACACATCTATAAGTTTATATTGAGAATGGAAGTAAACATCAAAATAAATGAAATGGAATTACTAAAGAGAAATGCTCACATCCATGGGTGTTTTAAATCATTATATTTAAAAATCTGCTTTAATATTTTTACTTTCTATGTGAGTTTGAAAGATACATACATTTATCTAGAAGCAAGAACTCCTGATAAACTTTTAAAGAGCAATTGAAAACCATATACCACAAGATTGTCCCACTCAAAGTCTGATTGACCAGGGTAGAATCATGTGTCTTCTTTGCCATAGGCTTCATATGGTACACAAGAGAGTTTTTGCCAAGACTTTAAAAAGCGGTGAATATGGAAAAGACCATTGTTGCTAAACCTTGCTGAATGTGGCTCTTTAGGAAATTACTTTAGCTGTCAATTACTAATAAGTTTACATTCTATCAATTAGTGTGCTATTTTATTACGTTTCTTAGCAAATATTTACTATAGAAAAAATTCAAATATTTGCATAAACAGAGGAAGGGTTAAAATGAATAACAGCATTCCTTTCTAATTCCTTTTGTTACAGTGCAAACCAAATAATTTCCCGAAGCCATTGATGATGGCATCGATGTCATTGTCATTACTTTCGAAAAAGACTAAATGTTCATTACAGATACAAAAAATACGATAGCTTATTTCGAAAATTGATTCTTAAATAATGTTACTTACCATTTTGACAACGGTTTCCCAAAAATGATAGTTTTATTGGTACAGAACTGAGGACCTTCCTCGCATGCTTTAAGAATTTTGAAAAAGAATATGGCGCATCTAGCCTCCTTTTCAAATCGATTCGTCTGAACATGAGACGAAATCCTACGCAGCTGGAAGACTGTGTTGTGTGCACTGGTTGTGTGTGTTCATTCCGTTTTTATGGATACTTTAATTGGTTAATAAGATACCAGATCGCTTTACCAGTTACCAATTGGCCACGCACTTTTCACCGCCTGCTTTTTTGCTAACTAATCCTTGAAAAATTTCATAATTTGTCAATTATTAATGCAAAAAAACTTCCCTTTGTAACTCTACCTAAAAAGGGTTTGATTTTTTTGTAATTCAAGCTGACCACTTCCTAAATGATTGAAACGCGTGTTTTCAGGCAAAAATATCACCTTCTTTTAAAAATTTATTTCGGTTTTGGAAAGAAATATCCGTTCAACGAAAGAGCCTTGAGAATGATCAAGACACCATATTCAACTATCGTTTCATTTTTCAATCTACATTCATTGATAAAATTTTCATTATAACAAGGGTATAAATAACATCATAACTGAGTGTCAATGCTGATCAATATTGATCCCAATTGTAAATAACTAATCCAAATTTTTAACAAAGCAAGAATAAATTTCAATACTTTTGTACTATTAACATTAAATCATAAACTTTTACAACACACGAGACTGCAACTAAAAAAGATAAAAATTGGCTGTCAAACGTTAAACATTACTCTGGGGTGTGGGGATTACACAATTTTAAAATAGGGATATGTCAGTCGATGGGGTTTCTATTCATGGAAAATTTCGGGGGTGTGAGGGGAAATTGGTGAGAGGTAGCTATGATCAAGGACCATTGAAGAGTTAAAAGCAGGAAGTGATCACGTATTAGCTATCCATACAAAGTATGAGTTTTGAAAATGCATTCAAAACTTATATATAAAATGAACATTTTATGTCTTGCAGTATCTATCTTATACTACCCCTTAACCAGTAAAATAAACGAGAATAACACAGGCAACGCATACAACACAGCGTCCAATGTTGTTTTCAACACATTCGGGGGACTCAGGTCAAATTCTGAAATAGTTTAATGACGCCATCACATTGCAATTCTATATTCTTTAGAAAAGGATCATAAGAAGAGCACATGAGCATTATTCTAGTGGGTATCAAGGCTACAGTAGCACATGTTACTGTACAAGGGTAGTTACGATTTTGACTTTGAAGGGGGGGGCGAACATTTTTATGGTCAACATATAGGAATGACTATGTTTAAAATAACGTAAAGAGCTAATGCCCAAACATGTAAAAACCAACACAGTCATAGGAGAGAGGGTTAAGAGGCAACATTTTCAAACTTAGTACGATCCACGAATGTCTTGTTTTGGGGACTCTCTAGAGTATTGGGTTGCCTTGCCTACCCTCTTACTACCCCCATCCCCTTCTGTGTTACTGTGTAGTTATTGAGAAGGGATCATTTTTCTCTACCTCTTCGCATCCACATTGGTGAAAAACATAAAAAACCGTAACAGTTTAATAATCGAAAAGTTTTAAATTTGGCGTAATATGAAAATCCGTATCTATGCGAAGTAATAATGCGCGATATCAAATTCAATAACTATTTCTAACAATTCATGTCTAGAAAAACTATTTGCAAGAAAATTACGGGCTACCGAAAGACGAGAAAATTTGGTGTCCCTGTGTACTTTTCAGCGAAAAGTCTTCCATCGGGTGTTGGATCGCTAAATGCTAGTTTTCCCTTGCTTATAACAACACCAAAAATGAAATTATTCCTGAAAAGAGAAAGCAAATTGTATAGTTTTTTATTTATCTAAAGTCTGTGTATAAAAACATTATTTGTAATTTCGCTCAAAATCAAATTTCAAATAATTGAACTCAATGCTAGCAGTTTTAGGCCTATGAGGATGGTTTGACTTTACCGTTACGTCCCCCCCCCCTATTAACTTCATGGCAATTAACCCCTATTTATGAGCGTTGGACCACCCTTCCTTTACCGTAATCCCTCTAATGAACACTGCCCTCTGATAAACGCCGCTCTCTTTTAAACGCCGCCTCAATAAAAGTTTATACGCTTACTATTCGAAAGCCATGAAAGTTGTTATGTCATAGGAACGAGAACCATGACGAAGACAGGGATATTGACATTCCTTGACATTTCCATAACGTGAACACATCTTTTGTGAACTTTAAAAAATTTTTCACACAATTTTTATTACGTGTTTTTGGGAAAAGAAAACTTTGAGAAAAGTCTGTTTTTATCTTTTTTCATCGCACTTCTCTTGTCATTTTTCATTTGACAAACTTTTCATTTTGTATTAAACGTCACCCTCTGATAAACGCCGCGTTAAAAGCTTTGATTTTGTAATAAACGCCGCGGCGTTCTTTAGAAGGAAATACGGTGAGCCTTCTAGAAAGGAAGACGTTTATGGGCTGCGGGGATCAGTGGAACGGGCCTACTGGGGAACGTAACGGGCAACGTAACAGAAAAGAAGCAAAAGTCAGTTCTTGTCTGGCAAAGCTAAGTTTTTAGAAAACAGTTTTCAAGATAGTTTGTCTATTAAATAGCACCAAATACCTGATGGCATCCACTAGCCTTTCTGCAACTTTCTTTCGTCGAGACTGCTTCAAAACCCATATTCTACTAATACCGCATAATGCAGGAACAGGATTCGCACTGTCGATAAAAACAAAATAATACGTACGACTCAAATAAATAAGTCTAGTTTTAATAGAGCTTATTTTTGGAGCCTATGATAACAAATGTACTAATCTGAGCTATTTGGTGTGATTTGCAGAAAGTGCAGTCAGTGCGACAGCCTTGGTAGGCAAATTTTATGAGGATACATGCAGGCCAAAACAAATCAAGGTCAGGCACCAATCTTGATACTGAAAACGACTATTATAATTCACTTGTAATTTTCAGATAATCTGGTTGCTTTACACATGTATAAGGCATACACAGGAAAAGCACTTATTGATACAAAGTTTTACAATTCTACTCACGCTACAAATTTTCAGAGTCGTAGCTAGCGGGGGGTGTAGGGGGTGTGACATCCCCCCCCCCCCACACACACACACATACACAATTTTCATTAGATTTTCAGTAAATTTCAAGTTGGTGCAAAAATTTCCTGTTTTGTCGGTAAAATCTTATATCGGTAGGTGAAATAGCACTTAAATTTCACTTTATCTATGTCTTCGTCGGCAAATTTTACTACTCTTGACTCTCCATCCTCCTAGTCTGGAAGGTCAAGCTACGCCACTGCAAATTAGAAACCAGACTTAATATACCATGCGCAAGCCACTAAAGGAAAACCGAGATTAGTATGAGATCGAGAAGGCTTAAAGATGTTTCGGGAACGGCAAAGTATATGCTATACATGCTTATATCCTTGGCAAAATAATTTTATTTTGATGATTTTATTAAAAACGTTGGATTAGGTAATGCCTTGGTACTTGTATCTTTGGACTGCAGTTTTCAAATGAAGTTTCTCGCTATGAATAGCCTTATGGCTCTAAATTGGTTGATATCAAGTGAAGCCCCTGTCCTTAGGTCATTATAAAGAAAGCCCCTTTTTAGAGGCTTGTCCGTCCAAATTATGATTCATAGTGAGACCATGTAACTTGAGAGACTTACCTGACCGGTGTCCGATATTCAACTTTTGCATCTGTTTTGTTTCTTAGTAATACTACGTAGAGTTGAGCTAAGATACGGACGGGTTCTTAAATCATTTTGAACCAAACATCTTACCTGCAGCACCATGACAATGTTGGCACCCCAGAATTCACTTCTGGGCTCGGAGTACCTTGATTAGCTATGACAGGGTAGGCCTACAAACAAAACAAGAGTCTTACAGAGTCAAAAATCATCGGCGGTCATACGGCCACTGGGGAGTGCCTTTAAAAAGGATTTTGTGAACCACACCCAAAGGATTTTATTTCCATTGCTTATTGGCTTATTTCCTTTGCTGAAAACTTTACTGGACCCAGGTCATATACCTAGCAAACGATTTTCTGTGTCCATTCGATAAAATGAAAACTGGTTTTCTGCACAGATTAAAAGCTTCAGCTTGCTTTCGAGAAAGTGCCAATTCTTCAATAATTTGGCAGCGTCAAGTCGCATTGACTGTCTACAATTCATAGAGAGCTTCCACAACTAGAGAGCTGTCCTTCAATATGTTCCTCAGCTCTGGTAACAATAATAATAATGATAGTGATATCGATTTTTATACGGGGTTAAACACTTTAACGTTACTGCTGTTATCAATATGCGTCCTGTCTAACGTAAAAAGGGAAGTAAAACTTTTGACACCATATTGAAGTGTGTCTAAAAGAATGCATGGATCATAAAACAATTACAGGAACTTTTCGAGGTTGGAGTGAGTTTTGAAAAACCTTAAGTGACAAGGATCTACAAATTATAATACAAACTTTCCTCTACAGAAATTTTTCTAGGGATCAACAAACCAATGTGTACCTTTGAGACGGGAACTGCGATGGCGCAGCCCACGATCTTTTGCATTGAGACGAAAATGAAAACCTAAAAAATTGTGAGCGAAATTGTTACAGCAATATCTAAAAAGAAACCTTGAGAGAATAGCATCTTGCAAATGATTACAGTAATCGTCATAAATTTTGGCCACGAAATAAAACGATGTCTGAATGCCTAGTTCGTTTTTGAAAGTGATACGAAATAACAATATGTAATTAATAAATCCTACTATAACGAATACAGACAGTTTTTTGGAAAGAATACAGACAAGGTTGAAGGCTTACAAAGGGTACTACACAAGTTCAATTTGACAACTTTGGCCGAAATTACTTTGGCCAAAACGTTATCTTTCGGCCCTAAATATACACAAATGAACCTAGAAAAGCTTACTTTTTCAAGTGATGAAAGCTCGATTACACCACGTGCGAATCCAAGTTCGCCATCAACAATATCGCGGACGTCTGAAATCTAAGGAGAAAGACAACAATAGGCTTGTTTCATTACTACGACAACCGAGTGTGATTACATTTGATAAAGATGAGTTGAAATAGTTTGAAATTAACAGAAAAAAAATACTTTGATATTTCTTGTCACTATAAATTTGTGAATATATTTTCAGTAGGTGTGAGTAATAGCTAGGATAAAAACCGACCTTCTGTACAGGACTTCGAAAAACAGTAGCAAACTAAAATATATCTGGTAATATATAGGTAATATAAAAATATAATGTGGAGAATGTAAATTAGTCGTAGTATTATTTAACCAGAAGAGGAAAGAAAGGATTTTTCGCTTCAATAATATTTTTGTTTCGAATTATTTGACACTGGATAACTTTTTGTTGACTTGCATCTTGCATCTGTTCACTTTATTGCATGATTTCAGATTACAAAAGTCCCACGGCAGGGGCGAACACTTGGTCAAATATTGGGGGGAGGGCAAGTCTATTGTTTTGATAAGATGACGTCATATTTTCTCATTTTTAGAGCAAAATACCATTGCTTTCCAAAATATAGCGGGAGTAGCTGCCCCCTTGCCCCCCCCCCAGGTATCTGCCACTTTCCCATTGCACGTTCCCATCATTTGGCCACAAATTATAAAGTTATAGTAAAGATTTTTTTTATGGCTTATAATGTTAGGACCCAGTGGGGGAGGGGCCTATGTAAAGGCTCTTACAAGGGGAAAGTGGGAGAAGTTAAAAAGACAGGAGGAAGGTGATGTCAAGTTTGTTAATTATAGTTTTGGTAAGAAAGCTGGCTATTGGAAATGGAGGAGCAAGAAACAAACAAGCAAATTTTCAGCTAAGGCCGACTACTCACCTTTTTTAAATGCAAACTGTTATCTTGTGCATTCACTTGGATGATTCTACCATCATGAAATTCCTGTAAAACTCTCTCACTCTTCCATCCCTGTGTTGGAGACATTGTATGTATATAAATATTGTATTGTATTTATCATACTGAAGATATAGATAAGTAACATTTCTTAAATCGTGGATGCATTACAATAAATGACAATTTTACATAATTTTCAGGCTCAATGTCTTTGTCATGCGCATACAAGATACTGCTGTGAGCAAAGTTGAACATTATACTAAGATTCACTTATCAACAAATATATTGAAAAAGAGTGGAGCAACATCTGAGCACAGTGGAACTCCTGAACCAGACTTGCTTTACTTTGGCTTCTAGACTTAGTCTCACAGACAAGCATGAGAAGAAAATATCTACCATTTGAGAGAAATATCTACTTGTATAGTCAATCATGCAGTACCAGATACAAAGATTAAACTGTAATGCAAAAAAATTAATGGTAAATTATTAAGCAGATTGGCCATTCTCTTCATTGATTTTTTGTAGTAGCCCCACTGTAAATCGATGCTCTTGTGGCTTCTGTAAACTTGAAACAGTTTGGGCAATCATTTAATTGGAAAAAGATTCAGAATGAATACTGAAAAAGATTCAGATAATCCTAATCCCAAATTTTTTTAATCTCAAACAACACAAGCTGTACCTCAAGATCACATGCATCTATGAATACACAAACCTTGAACTTCAGTTTTTGCATAAGCTTTTGGTGATATTTGGAGTGTTCTAATGCATCCTCGGGTAAGGTCTTTGTATAAACCATTCCACATGCTTCACAAGTTGTATGTCCGAAATTCTTCTGCCCAACATCCTGAATTTAATGAATTTCAAATGAAAGAAGAAGACACCATTTGGTAGAAAAGGAATGTAAAAACTGAAAATGATAACAGGGGCCATATTAGAGGAGAACCAGGGTGGCAAAGATCATGGCCACTGCACTTTTCAGTATGATACATACTGTCAATGTTGAATACCTTTCTTTTCATCATTGTAACCCTCTACAGCTCTTTGACTTCAGAACAAATTATTATAAAGAGAAATGACTTCAATAAAAGTAAATACAAGTTAGAAATGAAAGGGCTATTACCATTAAAATGCTATCATGGTTCCATCCTAGAAAAAACATGAACAGCATTCCACACTTTGATATCAAATTCTTTCACATATCAACAACCTTGCAATTAAAAAAAAAATAATGAAGGTACTCATTCCCTCAGGGGCGGCGGGCAGTGTTATTACCGTTATTACTGTAATAACACTTTTTCCAAAGTCTTTATCAGTTTGGTGCATTCATCTGCTAGACACAACCAATGACGTAGAAATAATATGGTATCTGTCCTCTATTCATCTGAAGGGGATGATAATTACCTGCTAATCCTTAACCACAGGAAGCCTATTTTGTTTTTCAATGGTATTTCAAAATCGTTCAAAGCTAGTTCGAGGCTCCCGGTCTCATTATTACTTTCGCGTTTCTAATAACGGAAACAGCAAAGTCTTTGTCACGGGACTCACCGATGACGTAAAATTCAATTGTTCTTGGTCCTTGAAATAAAGGAGCCTAGCAGTCCCGTTATTACTTCTGGGATTCTAATAACGCGGCCATTTACCTTTCGCCAGTGCTGTTTTATGATTTTGCTTGTAAGTTAGCTGTTTCAAAATGAATCGTGTTGTGAAAGATCAAGTGAATGACACTCGTCTGGGTGTTCAAAGTGTTATTATTTTGTATCTCTAATTATTTTGAAACAGGTGGAATTAACTCACTAGCAACGTCTCGAACTGAAAGACCGTGCCAGATATATCTCGTCATGTATTTTTCTATAATAAATTTTTAGCCTGCATCCTTTCAAATTTTCTTTGTACATTTGTAAACTGTAGCTATTCAAAATGTTGCAAGTTGCTTATGTAAAGGCATTTAAAATGAATGATGAACTGAACTGAACCTTGAATGTATTCAGAGGGCTTTCACGCAGTGGTTTCCGTTATTACAATCGCGATTCTAATAACGGGCCCACATGGTGGCTCAGAGGAAGGGGCCGCCAAATATTTTTCACGACTAATCACCACTCGAAAGCCCTTCAGACAAATGTTACAGCCCTCCAGTTTGTTTAAAAAGACCAACAGGAAATCAGGCTCTTCATAGATTTCTTTTTGATATGCTAGCAAAGAAGTATCTGCATTTATTTTCTAGGAGATACAGCACTAAAATTGCCAATTAACTTAAAACTTTCAGCATTCGCTCAGATTCTTAGTTGCTTACAAAAATGTGTATACCCGACCAATTTATGTCTTTAGTGACTTTTTGTTTGTTGTTTAGAGTCAATTGAAGATATGCATATTTCCCCAACGTATGGCTGGGCCAAATTGGGGGGGGGGGGTGTTGCAAAACCCCTATACCCCTCCAGCTGAGGAGGTTCAAAATTCCTTCATAAAGAAATTGTTAATTTTCCTTTTTCATGCATTTTCCATACGTTTGAAAAAGTAATACCAAAAAAAATTTACTCCCAGCCGCCCCTGCATTCCCTTCACTCTCCGTTAATACTGATGTACATACAAGCAACAGCTTTAAGATATCATTAAATTACTCACAATATACAACTGCTCCATCTTTTTGGGACCCATTCGCGGACTCAGGGTTTGCCTCTTTTCCTTCTTCTGTTGCTTTTTAGGTACTTGTAAATCATCGTCTGTTTCTGGACTTGACTTTGCAATATCAAATATCAGCTTTTGATTGAAGGTTTTTTTATTATTAGGGGAATGTCTTTCAGGTACCAACAGCTGTTCTTTCCCTTTCTGAAAAGCACTAGAGACAACCTTCGAGCCACTATCATCTGATTTAGTTCTGTTATTTTCATCTTTTGGTGATGTTCTCTTGAAATATCTAAACAATCCAGTTCCATTTGTATGGTTCGATGGAGTATCAGTTTTGACATTTTTAATGCAATGTTTGTCTTGTTTTTTGGACTTATCATAATTTTCCAACTCAGATGAGGAAAAACAACTTCTTCCTTCTTCCTCGTCTTGCAAAGATTTTGTTTTATCTGATAATGACTGGTTTAATCCTCTACTTAGTATGCACTTTTTGCTAGAGGTATTTGTACAATTTTCAGTTTTCCCATCTTTTACAGATTTTAACTTATCAATGAATGAACACAAAGATACACCTTCATCATCACTTGCAATATTTAAATCTTCGGAGGATATTCCATTTCTGTCTTTGCAGTCTATTGCATTCTGATTAATGTCACATGAATCATGATCGGATGAAAATGAAAGAGAGAAACTAGAATTATATTCACCAATTTCCAAAGATTCTGAGCGGGTTTCAGATTCGCCATTGTCCAGAGAAAGAATATCATCACTATTTGAATCATAAGTCCTACAAACTTTATTAATCAAAGATGAAATTTTAGCTCCTACTGCATCTTGTGATTCAGTATCTGATGAAAACATTGGACTAATTGTCTTCTGTACATCAATACAGACAGGATGCTGGATTTTCTCATGTGAATCATTCATATCAATAGATACATCTGTTTGGGCATTCACTTTTAACTCAGTACCTCTGTTTCTAATGGGTTCCTTCCTTGATTTATGGATTTTCCTAACATAAGGGTTTCTCTGTTCCTTTCTTGTAATTCTTCCATGGCTGGCACCTTTCTTTGATTTACCACCTCCATTTATGTTTCTTTCTTTTGTAGAGCTACTAATTGCCTTTTTACTAAGAACATCTTTTCTTATTCTACTATAATCAACATTCCCAGATGCCACGCTCGATGAACCATAGAAACTTTTTGCCTTTATGACACCATTGTCTAGACCTCCAGGAAAGCCTTCAGAGAAATTGCTGACAACCTGTCTTTGCAACTGGCCTTCCTCTTTTGATTCGGAGCTAATTCCAATTCCATCTTCATTATATGAGTTACCAGGTACTTTCTTTTCAACACCAAGATCCATTTTATTGTCTAAAGTCTTTTAGTGATAAACCCATCATCTTTTTCCTTCCACAAAAATCTGAAAGAATAAAAAGTTTAATGATAAGGACTTTGGCGCATTACAAGTTCAAGATAAATATTCTCAACAACTTCAAAAAGAAATAATAATAAATTCATATATATTATATATACAAATCATTCTTCAAACCAGACAAAAAAGAGACAAAAACACATATCTGACCAAGTCTGACATTATGGATGCTATGATGAACACTATTCAAATGCAAACATTCTGCTAAAATAAAATGAGGCAAACAAACATTTTGCTAAAATATGTCTTTCTCCAAAAGGATATGGTTATTAGAACCCACAACTTTGGTTATTAGAACCCACATGAACACCACTCTGGACCAGAGGGACTGTGAGTGCCTATTTTCAAAAGATCTTCAAAATAGACCAGGGTTGTCCAAATTATTTTTTAGGTGGGACATGAATAAAAGCTTTCTGCACTTGTGGGCCAGGTGAATAATTATGCAAATCATCAACAAATTTTTATGGAACATTAAATGTATTGATAATTACAATAGAATGAATAATAACATGAAAGAAACATTTATATAACAAAGGCATTAATGTGAAATGTTAGTTTTCTTGTTAGCAGAAAGTTTATTTACATCACACATTAAACTTGTAGTTGATGTGCCAAAAAGGTTGTGTGAATTTTTCTCTGTATCCTTTTGATTGTAGCTTTAATAGTTCTGTTCAGCTTTGTAATAAAATAATCTGCTCATAATTATCATAATTATAAGCAAGTATGCCTAATAATGAAAAAGTATGCCTAATAATGAATCATAAAATTTTTAGTGGGATGGAACTTCAAAGACAGCTCAAGGACCAAATTATCAACAAAATTTATGACTAAGCACGGGCCACAGAATAAGCCTATGCAGGCTGGGGACTGTATTTTGAACACCCCCAACATAGACCACCAGGAAGATAATATTTTAATGCAGAATAGTGCCTTGATTGGCTTAGACACAGAAGGCTAGAGAACATATTAGCAGTTTAGTTTTTTGGACAAAGTGTCATCTCATTCAAAAAAACTCATTGATGTATTAAACTATAGTCAGGTGCAAATGCAAGAAATCTGGGGTAGCTGCAAGCATATACCAGGTTTACAATCCTCTTTGGTTTTTGTAGAGAAGTTTGAAATTCATGCAAACCTGTGGCAATTTTGTGTTTGAAATAGAAGAAAATTGAGATGGAAAATGTCTATATATGTTTGGTTCATTTTATGCTTTTTCTTAGCACCTAAAGTTTGCAGGTTTCCCCTCTGCAAACTTAGAATCTTAGCCATAACAGTACTGTTGAGTTAAATGAATATGGGATGCACTGGTTTAGGGATAGCCTTGCTTGTAGTGTACACATTAGCACAAAGAAAGCAATGACAAACCATCATCTTTGTCAAACTCACCCCTAACCAGACATGCTCCGGTCTGCAGAGTATGGCACTTTTCGATGAGATCTCTGGTGTACACGAGCAAAAAGCCTGGCGTGCCGGTGTGCACCACCAAAAATTTCTGGTGTGCTGGTGTGCCATAAAAACTTTGCTTCTTGCGCGGACAAGTTTACTTTGAAAATTTGAGACTGCGCGCCTGAAATCATACACTATTAGTTATTTGATAGGAACGCTGATTGACGAAGTTCCTATATTTAATTTTGGTTTTGTTGTTGCGAATGCTGTCGTTTTTATGTCTGATTTAACGTGCAGAAAACACGGAGCCAGCAAGAGACGATATTGCGCGACTGTTGCGTCTTGATGAATTTACTGACTGACTTATTACAATTTAGGGCGTATACACATATAACAAGGGGACGCTACAAATGTGTTGTTTATTACGTTACGTGGATACGAAGACAATGGAAAGTGTTAATGACAGAATCACAATGGAGGACATGATTACGTTTAGACAATGGTCACTACAATTTTTATTGTTAATAATGTTAAATGCTATTGTCTAGGGATCTAGGGGATTTTGCTGATGTGTGCGCGGGCAATTTATTGCGGGCGCGCAACAAAGTTTCCAGTCTGGCTGGTGTGCACCGACTATTTTCACCTGTTGTGGTTAAAATTTGTAAATTTGCATTTCACCGTAATAATGTGTGTGAAGTACACTGTTGAAGATAGCGTAAGTTTTTTTTGTATATTTGTCAAGTGTTACTTGACTTGTTTTTATCAGCTGACATTCTCTATGGGACCTACCCAGCCACGCCCATCTTTGTTGCCACACCCAAAAATACCCGGCGTGCAACAAGTTTTGCACAAAAATATCTCCGGTGTGCACATGCCATACTCTGCAGACTGGGACATGCTCAATGTTATTTAGGCCGATCATACCATCCATGCCCAAAATCGTTCTGAAAGGTGTAGCGATCGTTTAGCGTTCTTTCTCTAATCACAGTTCAAGTGTCGTATCATTCTATTTCTAAGTGACCATTACTAACTCTTCATTAAGCTAATAGCAAAGTAAACAGTAACAAAGACTTACCTTCGGCGAGGGAAACACAGAAAATGGCGCCAAACAGGTTGACAGCTGATGTAATTTGCGAGGGTAACTCCTTCGCAGTAGAAAATATAGAATAGAGTTATCAAGTGTTGACGTCACAAAAATCTATTTTTTAGAATTTTTTTTTTCCATAACCTGAAAGAGCGTCATGAAATTCATTAATCAGGTGTGTGGCAAAACCTCCAAAAGCAAGCAAATTTGCCGATAAATGACAAAGGTACTAAAAACTGTGTTTAACAGTGCTAAAAGCTGCCAACGCTAAGATTGCGACTGTCCACTTTGGTCTTTGTTCTAACTTTATAAACTCGTTCTTTTATAAAAATTTTCTAGCAATAAATATGATATCTAAACAAAGCCTTTATCAGAATAAATTTTTCCACATTTTCTTCGTATTTTTATTCAATTCTTGCCACTATTAATTCGTATCTTGCAATCTTTATATTAATTTCAATAACGCCATGCACCTGCGAGCCATTGCAGTCATATTAATGGAATGAATGTTTTATAAACGACCTGGGCACAGTAACTTGTTATAGTGAAACCTGGAGGGCTTTGTCATAAAATGGGTATGAAGGAGCGACGTACATTGACAAAGAATATCCAATATGTTTGAAAACACAAATAAACAAGGGAAGGTAAATTTACTTATCTTCTTTCGTCATACAGGCCTTTTCAAATCAGAGATGTATTTGAGCTAATCTTGGGTTAGCTGGCTACCGATGAAATTAAATGCTAGAAAATGATTGGTAGGCATCTGTAGTTCAGATACCATCCAATTTTTTTCATAGCAGCATATGAAATCTGTCTTTTTTTCAAACAGCGATGATACATAAATGTATATAACCAACACTGTAATTCATATATATATATAACATATATAACCAACTGAATGGAATGATAAAGACAATTTTTCTGCTAAAATCTCCATTACTTGTTCTCGAAGCAAAGAAAAGGACAACTCTTTTAACCATTTAATAAAGCAAGCTTTCTTTAAAAAAATTTGCTAACTAGCATGAAATTTTGAAGTTCTCCATTGTCCTTGACAAAACAAGTTTGATCTTACAGTTAATATTTTTTTCCTTCTTCTCAGCCGGTTACGCCACTGCTGGCGGGTGGCCCCCAAAAACCTCTCCACGCTTGACAATCTTGTGCTGCTTGTGTCCACGTACAGCTAGCCTGTGCTCCAGACCCCTTACAGGCTACGCACAGCCGGCTTTTCCGACTCGCCACCTCCATTTTGGTCTTCCTCTGACTCGTTTCGTTATCTTATTCATAATATTTTAAAACATCTAAAATGTTTATCTGTTGCCTATTTTAAAACTATTGTCTCGGATCATTTATCTTTGCGCAGCTGCAAGTGTAGAAAAAATTTGCTTTGACTATAATTAGGCACCTTTTCAAAAGCCTGCATTAAATAGTTGACTATATTACATGTCTTCTGCATTCACTTTTTTAAAGAGCTGCATAAATATGACTGAAAGGAGGTCGAATCAAAATTGTTTTACAGTTATTCGTTTTGTATTATGATAGCTGTCATATATTGGACTCAGGAGTATATAGGAATGACAGCGTCGATGAATCCAACTGCAGAACGATAAAGCCATGGCAGTGTGCTCTCTTTCAAAAGTCGTTTTTATTTCTTACATCATTTTCTTTATTCACTTTGAGATTCAGGCAAAAAAGAACTATGAAAGACGGAGGACTAGCAGGACTGGCATAACAAAAAAAGGATAAAGATATCGTGTTCGCCAAAGTCTTGTGGCATATCGCCTTGGGATAACTGGGGAGAATGTTATACGAGTTGCGGTGAAGGCACGAAATCAAGGTATAGGCATGTTGTTGCTTCTGCAATATGTGGCGGATCATGTAAATATTCTCTTAGGGAAAACGCAATATGCTATGACTTCACAGAGAGACATTGTAAAGTTGGGTTATGGTCTGCGTGGCCTACGTGTGTGGGAGTCTGCCCAGGAGAAGCAGTAAGACGTAGTAGATATAAAACTATCAGAGAACGATGTGTAGCCTGTACATATGAAACGTGGGATCAAAAGATATGCAATGGAACCGGATGGACAAATTGGAGCACTTGCAATGCCACGTGTGGATTGAATGGGACAACGACAAGGACGAACAGGTGTCTCGGACCGACAACTTTGGTTGAGCAACTTGACAGTTTTGGGACATGCTGTTCGGACAGCTGTTCTCGCGGCTACTACGAAATTGGGGAGCTTCCAGATTGTAAATGCGTTGTGAACAAAACCCATTGGATCTGGAGAAAAAGTAGCAGCGCATATTTGGGCAACCAGTATTGCAAGCACGTCTTGCCAATTCTCGGGATCTGGTCATTGCTGTATATAGGATACTCTTAAGATCAGGCGCGAGCATGGAGACCCCTTTCTTTCCGTTTCGTCATTAATCGATTGCTTATATAGTCATCATAATAATGTCACATGTCATTGAGCATTAGAAGAAACAAATACGGTTTTTTTCAATAAAGCCAAACTCAAACAAAATTAGCTTTAGCTTTAACACGCCCGATTCTTTTAAGCATTCGCAAAGCAACTTTCATGGTTCTTCGAGATTGAAACAGCGAAAAATTGAGAAATGATTAGTCGTTCTAGGAAATTATTTTTGTCCTTTTGTGATCGATAAGTTAGAGAGGTCTTTTTGTATTAAATTATAGAACGAATACACCGATTATGCAAATTATTCTTTAGAAATAGGTAATAGGACGTTCTTATTTGCCCTTGCTTGGGGATTCCAAACCGCAGATCTATTGAACAAGGAAGACAAAGATAAATTGGAAGAGACAGTCATGTTAGAAGACGCAGATAATGTGGACTGATGTAGAAGACGCAGTGAGAGAAATTGGAAGTCGCAAATCTATGGATAAGGAAGACACAGATTTATCAAAGACACTGGCCTATTGGAAGACGAAGAAAATGCACATTGAAGAAGAAGACGCAGTGATATTAGAAGACGCAGTGATATTTGAAAACGCAGATATATTAAAAAACGCAGATATATTCTGAGACGCATGAATAGTCGAAGACGCAGAAAAGATGCAGGTATAATAATTAGGAAAATGCCGATTCGTTGATAAAGAAGATGTGGATAGACAATATGCAGTTATATATATTTTCAAACGTTTCAAAAAGTAGCAAAAAGTGTACATATTAGTGGTACATTCCATTGTTATTGTTATGCTTTATCTAGGGGTGTCAGTGGAAGAAGAATATGTTTCTTTAATTTTTGACTTGCAATGCACAAAGATTGTGATCTAATCATATTTATCTATTCGATAAAACATAAACTCGTGTTCACTTTATTCGCCGCTAATACTGTTGCTTGATTCCCTGCTTGATTCCCTGCTTGATTCCCTGCTTTCATTATTTCTGGCCGTATAAAAAAAGCATCTTGAGAGAAAATGCAAGTGAATGAGACAACCAGGGTGGAATTCGAGCCCAGCCCGCGACCAAATTCAAGCGTTTATTAAAGTTTAAGACTTTTATTATGCATTTATTTTGGACTATAATGTACAATTTTTCAAACATTTCTCCCGATCAAATATGTGAGCAATGATTGCAAATAGTAATAGATAAATCAATCAGTCACATCGTTGAACTGATTAAACCAGATAATTATGTGGTCACAATGGATGGATCTCATGGATGGATCAATTCGCTCTCTAAAAGTCCCTCAGCGATTGAAACTAATCTTTGACATGAATTTTGCGGAGTTTTTTCATGTTTCCTTCCTTTTCCTGCCCATCTTCGTCTTCGTCTTCATTCTCGTCTTCATCTTCATCTTCGTCCTCACCTTCGTCTTCACCTCGTCTTCATCCCGTCTTCGTTCTCGTCTTCATCTTCATCTTCGTCTTCGTCTTTATTCTCGTCTTCATCTTCATCTTCGTCCTCACCTTCGTCTTCACCTCGTCTTCATCCCGTCTTCGTTCTCGTCTTCATCTTCATCTTCGTCTTCGTCTTCATTCTCGTCTTCATCTTCGTCTTCGTCCTCACCTTCATCTTCGTCCTCACCTTTCTTTGGGAAGCCTTATCAAAAATGTGTAGTTTGTTTTTCCATTGCAGTCTTTAAATTTCCAGCTTTCATTTTGTTTCAAATGCATTAACATATTCTAGATTCTACTTTTGGCAACTAATTCTATCTCGTTTCTCCTACAAATCGAAATAAACCATATCTCAAGTAGAAGATAGAGCTTTTTATAGTTTTTGGCCCGAGTTCACGACGCCGAATTCGTTTTTCACAACGGATTGGTTTTCATTTCTGATCTCACATTCAAGATGGAACTGCAATTGCACAGGGTCGAGAAAACTCGTTAACCTACCTTCAGACAAAGACATCTCTGAAGGCAAAACTTCCTCACAAAACAATAGAAAGTGGGCGTGGTTTGGGTGTGTCATAAGAGCTTCTATTGTTTTTCGTGGACCTTCCTCCAGACAAAGACATCCCAGAAGGCAAAACTTCCTCACAAAACAATATAAAGTGGGCGTGGTTTGGGTGTGTCGTATGAGCTTCTATTGTTTTTCGTGTACCTTCCTCCGGTCAGTGGCCATGCGACCGTAATGTTTTCCTGACTCTGCATTTGCAAAGTCTTGTCTTATATCGAAACAAAGCTACATATGTTTGACTTCAGTCACTACGTCATCCTTCCAAGAACAAGCCTGGCTTTTATGTTTTACCAACAGTATTTCAGGGTCACCATTTGCTCAAAAGGCGGAAGCAAATATGCCACAAGGTTCTAGAAAAAATAATTATGTAATTCCATGAGTCAAGAAGATACCATGTCACAAGTTGCATAACGGCTTGAAACAAAACTTCATGTTAAAAACTTTCGTTTCACAAGACATGCAGAATTGATGACAGCTAAGCAATTTAATAACCAATTTGACTAGGGTGCGTACGAAATATTTCCAATTATTAAAAGAAAACATCGCAAGCGGAGATAAAACGTACGACTTCAATTTTACGCCGTAAGATTTGAAATCAGAGAAATAACATGAGTTCATGGATGTAGAGAAAAAGCAGAACCCTAGTCATATTCTCTGGAGGTCTACCAGGCAAAGGTGTTAAAACATTTAATAAACGTTGTCTAGGACAAACTGACCATAATTCCGATGAACTTAATCCGACGGATTAAATAACGTCTAACATTTCATCTTAAAGTTAGTATTTTAAAGATGAAATGGGAATGGTATTTTCCGACGATCAATTGCCTATTTTCTCTTTCATTGACACAAATTATAGAAACAAGAACTTGTTCGATGTTCAACTTCGTTCTTTGAGTTACTAAATAACAGCTTTTTGAAATATGGTATTTAAGAAACTTTTAGAAACATTAAGTACCAAAATCGAGATCAAGATCGCACAAGACTTTATGTATTGCGAAAATGTTACTTCAAACCAAATAACAACTACATATAGTGTAAAAATTTTTGAGAAGTTGCCTTGCTTGACGTGAGATGTGAAGTTATTTAGAGAAATTTGAAAGATATCTTGGTAAGGTATCTACAACACCTGCCAAAAAACTCAGCAAACGACACCAGATGTTTAATTTAACATGCGGCTTGAAGGTGCCTTTGAGAACATTCTGCGTTATAGGGAAACCTAATTGAAATGCTACATTACATCGCAGTGCCGTTAGAACGAAATTCATATTGAGGAGAAGAGTTGCCCATCGTTTCCGTTCTCATTCATTACACTGTTATAAAGCAAAAAAATACTAAAGTTTGACCATTATTGGGGGGCTTTATCCCCCAGCCCCCCTTGGTTCCGACGGCCTTGCATCATAACTCTATGGTTGCTCAATGCTCACATTTACAAATCATATCCAGTCTTACACTCATTTCAATGTTGCTGTGATTGCTTTTAAAGAAACACATGCTTTCATCAAAACTCGTTTTTCCAGAATATTCTTTTTGGCCCAAACACTTGGGGACCCTTGGCTTTGTGCTTAGAGGCGCACCCCGTGCATCATGCCACTGATGTAGAGTTGACGCATGCTTTCGTGCATCCACAGGCTCTCGGGGAAAATGAGGTAATATTGATGTGTAATTTGTGAACTATTGTAAAAAACCAACAAGAAGATGAGTTGTGGTCTCCGTTACTTGCTTCTGTAACACAAGGCATGGCAGAGTAGTATCTATAGAATTCAAATCATTGGAAAACCTTATGATAGTACTTAACTTCTTATTAGGTACAAGCATTTCAGATTGACCAAAATCTGTTAAGTCTGCTGCAAAATTAAGAAGCACAGACACCACAAACAAAAATGTTGAAAAATGAAACAGTGTGACCAATATTGGCAAAATATAATCCTTCTCGTGTACGTGTTTTGAATGGGAAACAAACAGACACGAAAAAGGAGTGATTTATAACAAAACAGAATATTTTTATTAATTCATTGTGAGACTTTGGCCTGTTTCTTATATCAATTGGGTGAAATTGGAGAATTTTCCACGACACAAGAGAAAATATGCCGCGTGACAGTGGTTGACATGCACGCTAGTGTGCCGCAGGACAGTGGTTGACATGCACTGTGTTATATGGTGTTCTCTTCATTTAGATTCGGCGACACGTTGAAGATTTCTCCAAATCCACCTTTTTCCAGCTAAGCAGAGATTAAAAATAAGCTCAGACTTGAAATGCGACTAACAATCCCTGTATGACTCTTTTAAAGTATTAAGTGTGATTGTGATAATCGCCGTCTTGGAGAAGACTTAAACTGTGGGTAGAATTTTCAGGTTCTGCTAAGCTCCAAGAAGGAAAGTAATTATTCTTATAAGATTTTTCGGTTGATCTAAAAAGAGAAGAGCTTTGTTTTCTGCTATTATAGCTATCAAAACAAAACAGAGCTTAAATTTAAAACTTGCCTTAAAATGTTTACTAGGCTTTGCCGAATGAAATTTAGAAAAAAATTGCATTTAACAATGTGATTTGTTCAGGGGCGAAACTACCGGGGGGGTGTGGGGGGGTGTGACACCCCCCCAATCCAAAAAATAGTCGATTTCGCAGGGCAATCGAAGATTTCGCAGGGCGCCAAGAAGAGCTTTATTGCCACGCAGAAATGCCACCTCTGAAGTTCGTAAAAAGCCGTTTAGGAATTTTGAAATGGAAATATCGTATTTGTTATGAACCTCCCTTCCTGCATTGCATTTTAGAGAACGGAACAGGTATGTAAGGAAAAGCTCCGTTATTTGCAAAGCGAAAGCATTTTTTACCGAAAGTCATAGCCAATGGATGCAATGATTGATGCATATGTTTATGAGGGCAAGGTTGAGTCATGCAAATTAATTTAAGTTGTAAATTATTTTCATGACAAGCACGGCTTCACTGGGGGGGGGGAATAAAGGGCTGAAGTCCCTCACTTTGGTCAAGATAGAAATTTTTTTTATCATTTTTTCTATTACTTTTTAACAGTGCATGAACTAAAAAACATAATAAATCGTTAAGATACCGTTTCATCTAATTGCTAACTTTTTCACGTATATTTTTATTATTTTTCTTTTATTTGCATTAATTCAGTAAATCATTTTCTGTATCATTGCAATGTTTTAATTTTGGATGCGTAAACATGGCCTTCTTGATACAAGAAACTGCACATTTCTGTTCAGGAAAAAAAATTCTCCCAATCAAAACAACATCTTCCTTCTGTCATTCACAACTAAGTGCAATCTGAAACGAAAGGTTGCCGTTTCTTTCCTTCCCCAACGTCTAACACTAGAGTTTTAGCATGACATCCCCCTCCCTATTTTTCCCAATAAACAATAATATTTTCAATAAACAATCACTTCTTTTAGCACAATAGTAATTTGGTAAATTTTTGTCTGAAAGATGCTTTTTAGCCCTTTTACAACATATAATTTCAAAAAATTTCTTCACGTCGGACCCAACCATGGTGGGTCCTCCTACCTCACTAAACTCGACTCTTAGCTCCACTGGGCTAAATTTCGTTGCGCTGTCTACATCATGTACCTCCCCCCCCCAATTAGCTGTTTATTAGCTTAATTTTGCAAACCAACGTTAAATGAAGTGAATTTAAAAAAAAATTACGCTCACGTAGAGAAATAAAAATTTCATAGGCAATGAAGTTTCAAGTTTGTTTTTATTGCTTAGAAGTTTGTCCATGGTAAAGACCAGTGTACACTGGTAAAGCTTTCACTAGTAACCTATAGACAAACCGTTGCTACGAGGTCTGCAGGGCACCACTCATTTTTGCAGGGCAGAAACCCTTTTCACCCCCCCAAAACTATTGGCCAAGTTACGCCCCTGGATTTGTTCGGCACTAGCCAGGTACTCTTATTTTGCAAAATAAAGTAAGCGCCAAGTTATGTGGTAAATAATACCGTAGTAATAAGAGAACAAGTGTGTCTTAGTCTCACCAAAAAGAAACAAAAAAATACTAAAAAGTTCGTGGTAAGAAGTTCTTGGAATTGAAAGTGCCTACCCCATTGGACATTGCGGCATGTATTCTCACAAATTGCAAAACCACTCGACCTATGGCCGAAAGAGATAAAATATCAAAAAGTAGGTTTTGTTTGGATAAAAATTTCTTTGATAAGATGACGTTGTTGGAAAGATCTGTGCTCAGTCCTATGTACCATGTGACATGACATATCAGTCAGGGAGTATGAATCTTACATTTTGGGTGATAAGTTGTTGGTAGTGTGATGCTAGACATTACTAAACAGTTTAAAACTGGCTTTGAAAAAAGCAGACATTTTGAAACATGCTGCTAAAGCTTCTCGTTAGACCAATACAATCCTTCGAATGTTTTAATAGACTAGAAGTGAGTAAAAGTAATTCTAACTATCCTCAAAGAATTGTTATCAGAAAATCAGCTTTGAATAGAAACCGCTTATTGATAGAAAGATAATACAAGTCACACTCTGGGTAGCCACATCCTACGAATAGGTTGCTGTGCAGGCGCAACTCTGTCGGTGTTAACTATGGGAGATGGTGTTTGCCTGATGCCTGTTTAACAAAGATTTTCTTATCAGATTTTTTCAATAAATTCATCGTAAGTATATCAAACCAAAAGGTAGCAGCAATGTCTATGCCTTCTGTTGTTCCAAAAGCTCGTCATACGGCAACGGTAAGTTACTAGATTCCCTTATTTGATAACCATTCTTAGGCCGAACAAGTTTTATACTGTTATCGTCTAGAAAATCGTTATCAGAGGTTAAATGAGTAGTCTTTGCCAAATGATATACCCATGCTGTTTTAGCCGGAATCAAAGTGCGTTGCTGTGATTAAGGATGTATTTATCTCTGAAAGCTTTTATAAAATTTTGATTTTTAATGTGATTTTAAATAACATTAGATTGTAGCTCGGCGATTCTTCTAAGTAGTTAGAATAATCGTAAGGAAATAAACTTCAAGTTTGGATTCTAAATCTGTATTTACAATAAGCAGCTTACAGATTTGTCCTACATTATGGAAACTGTTGATGAGTTTTTTATTTCTATAGGTTTTAAGTACTTTTGTGATCCTTCTTAATTTCGACCAACATGATTTGTAGTTTGTTGAATTTACAAAACTAATTACACAGCAGCTGGCATGTAAATCAAAATTTGAGGCCTGCCTTTGAAGAAGTATGTTTTTACAGGTGTCTGTGGAAAGTATTAAGTCTTTTTATCCTTTGCTATCCGTCAGAATAGAATATTAGAGAGAGATCTAAATTGTGAATTTCGTCTGGTGGGTGTGGCATAAATTTTCAGTTAACAATTCCAGGGGTATGGGAAGCATTTTTGGTGACTATAAGTATTTAAGAATTGAAGTATTTAAGATCTCAGGCTAGTGGAATTGGCTGTATCAGCAGTCAGCATGGATGAATATCTTTATGTTTGTATATATATCTTGAGTGGGGCACAACTTTTCGACCCCGCTCAAGAACCTTGCCTACAATATCCTCCCAGTATGTGTTTATTAATTTGAAACCATACTGTGGTTAGAGCATAGATCTTTGTCTGCAAAGTATGGTAGCGCATTAATACCCTTACTCTTTCTGAAAGAGCATTATGAACGTAGATCACCTGTAAGCATAATTTGACGGAAATTAAGGATATCAAAATCATTAATTTTCAACCTGTGATGTTTAAACACTGGTTCAACTTTACCTTGCATTACTTTTTGCCAAGGTTTTCAAATAACTTGAAATTTTGTGGTACCCATTGACAGATAACCCTAAGTGATTTTTCTTACCCGCAATTGATTAAACCAAGTATTTCATACAGAGGTACCAGAAGCTTCGTAATGCAATGGGGGCAGGACCGGCAGAAAGGGCACCTTGGGTGTCAAAGTTTTCTGATGAAGTAGATCGGGAATCCTCATATAGCCAACCTGGTTTTGAATATAACTCCTCTGAACTTACTCTTTTGCTTTCTTTCTTCAAAGTTAGTACAATCTGCAGCTATATTAAAGCTGAATAAAGTCGAACAATTTAAATGAACAACATTAAATATAATTCAAATCAAATATAACTGATGTTGCATATATATTTCTTCTAAAGATCACAGGAATACACCAATTCGACTCATAACCTCGTTTTGGAAATTTCTCCAAACTTAATTATACCACTTTTGTTTGGAACTGAGTTCCATATCTGGCTAAATCTGTTTGACAAAGATCTTGAGAGCAGAAGGAATCATATTATTCTACTATTGTTAAAAAGGCTTCTTCTTTCTCTTCTTCTTCTTCTTCTTCTTCTTCTTCTTCTTCTTCTTCTTTTTCTTCTTCTTTTTCTTCTTCTTTTTCTTCTCCTTTATCTTCTCCTTTATATTTTTCTTCTTCTTCTTCTTTTTCTTCTTCTTCTCCTTTATCTTTTTCTTCTCCTCCTTTATCTTTTTCCTCTACTTCTTCTTCTTCTTTTCCTTTTTCTTCTGAGTGATAAGCTCTAAAAATGATTGTTTGCATCATTTATCTTCTTGTAAAAACCCTGCCTTAGGTATGTTGAAAGCATTCTGGTACGCTTTAGCTTTACCACTAAATTTGTGAAAAAGTAGAATATCAATCACAGAAACTTGCAACTTGTTTTAGGTCATTTTTCTACATGGCCTTGGTGACACAGGGTATGTGAACTCATTAAGTGACTTTTATTCTAAATATTAACTAAACTTATATCGCTCTTTTTATCTTAACTACCTTGTCAATTAAAAGGTATTACTTGCCATTTTTTCAAAGGACAAATCTTTACTTATCTCTTATTTACTCTTCAGATTTTCCAGCCCACTTAACATTTCATTTTCATGTTTGTATGTTTTATAATACCTAAGAAGTATTTACGATCTAGGTACATTAAAGAAATTTTTGAAAGCAACAATATAATATCGAAAAAATAAATATATAATTGTGCTTAAATTGAAGTTTTATATCATACAAAATGGAACTTATCCACTATATCAGATCCTCAGATTTACTAGCAAAGTCTTTAACAATTTTAACACCTTAAAGTTTCTAGCATAACTGATAAACTGAATTATTTTTTCAGGCATGGATGGTGCCAAGCTTTTGAAGAAATTGCAGAGCCATTTGTTAAGTACCTCTTTCCAACTGCGTGAGTATCTGTTTAGGTCATTGTAACATTATATTCTTATCTCAGAATGGGCTTATAGTGCCCCTGACATGACTAAACTTTCTCTGCAAATGAGGAGAGTCACCAGCCTCTCTGTAGTTACAGACATAGGAATTATGAGGTGTGGTCACATCCAGAGAAAGACCAGTATACTGCTCGATAAGCATCACTTTCCAGTGTCCTAAAACTACCTTCAGAAGCTAGATGGCAAACAATGCAATGCAACAGTACAATACCCAGAAGAATGACATGCAATACAATGTAATGCAACAATACAATACCCAGATAAAAAAAAATTATTTTGTCAAAAATATCTGAACATTGCAAATCCCTTAAAATTGATAGCAACTTATGTCTGTAAATGTGTCTGCCATGTTAGTTTTCAATATAGTTTTGCCCTAACTAGCAGTAAACACACATGCTGGCAAGCTCCCAATATTGATAATATTTTTCTATCTTTTTTATTGCTCTGTTTTTCCAGCTATCGTTTCTTGATCTCTCGATGCTGGAGACTCTAACCCAGTGCTTCAGATTTGGTGAAAAATGCAAATATAATGTCTCAATGCATTATCAGAATTAAGGTCTCTTCTTGTTTAAAATGTCTTATTTGCAATCGTTGATGGTATTTTTCTGTTTCTATGATGTCATTGTCAAGCAATACAGGCAGGGTTATTCTTTTTCTTTCATGGAATTTCTCTGCTTTAGAAATTTCTAGTATCAATGCATTGAAAACTAATGATTTACTTTCACTCTTAGTTTTACAGCCTCCCAATTCATTCTTCATCATTATTTTTAATAGGAAAACCACATAGAAAAATACATGAAATATTGTATGCATATTGAAATGTTGTTTTGCTGCAGCATTCTTTTATCAATTAGAACAGGTAATAAGCATCCAGCAAAAATCTGTCATTATCTGAAGATCCCAAATAAAATCTGTAAATATTGTTTTCTGTCTATTTTTAGAAAAACCCAGCCAGTTACATTAAATTTTGGAATGAAAATGCCTTCTTGGTAAGTTTGTATCAGATAAATGGAAGCAGTGAAATAAGCTGATAATGCCTCAAGTTGACTGCCTTTTACAATTGAGGCAAACCACTGAATCATTAAATAAAAACACAAGAGTTTATTTAATGGTTTTTTGTCTGTCTAATTACACAATGGCATTTTTTCAGGCAAATGTACTGTCAACCATTGCTTCTTCCCTCTCATTTTTCAGCATAGAATTTCTCATCTCATTTAACATTGTTTCTTTAGAAAATCCAATCTCATGATCAAATAAATCCATTACTGCTAGGTTTGTTAAATCTGCCTAATTTTTCATCTTTTAGCTAATTCTCTCAAGTTTCGGTTACCCTCCATTTATCAATCATATAATTATTTTGAAAAACAGTCTAAATAATTGATAAATTTGAAACTAAACAGATTTGTTATTGTATGAAAAGTCTATAGGAAAACTTCACAGAAATTCTCATTAGCTGTGTAAATAGATCAAGGATTTCACTCTCTATTTGAATTATTTAATGAACCTAGGCTTCTGCAGTTTAATGTTTCATTTATGATGTGTTACTGTTGGCAGAGTCATGGATTATTATCCTGATTTTTCAGGTTTGATATAAAAAGTCTTAGTTTTCAAGCAGACGAGGACACTGCTGGTATAAAACAATCATCAAATTTTTGTAAGTGAAATAGAAAGCCTTTGCACATTTTTTATATGATGATATTGAACTTTTATATCATGATATTGTATGCATAATATCATGATATATCATTTGCATATACAAATAATATCATGATATTATCGTAATTCTTGTTACTTGACTTAGGAACCTACCCATCTGGAACACATTATTTTCTCTCTCAAAACTACCTAATGAAAACCCCACATTATTCCTTGTGGCTGAAATGCTGATTCTACAGCCTTTTCTACTGAGCTTATATGCCAATCAACAGACAGAACAAGAACTGAACTTGACTATCAAGCTATGGTCAATTATTCAATGTTATAATAAACAAATGTAATAAAAATCGATTTATGAAGCTTAAACTGACTTTTTTTACATTTCAATAAGGATGAAGCATGTTAGAATTCTCCATGACTATTTGAGGTTCCAACTGCTTTTGTGTGTGGAATAGGGGCCACACTTTCATTCGATTTGATTGTTATATATGATTTTATTTTTTTGCTGGTTTTGGTACTAATTTATTGTTATAATGATATTAATGGTTACGATTGTACTAATAGTTTCATTTTCTTCTGGCAAATTGTAAGTATGTGATCCACCCCTACCTGGGAAATTTTCATCAGTCTTTCAAAGAATAATGTGGACCATGTTTCTAAAAGTGAGGTGGGAAGGGGGGGGGGGGTAATTACTCCTCAATAACTTCAAGGCTTTGTTACTCTCTATGCCTGTGCTGGTTTATCTTTCTCACAGAATTAAGATAGTTTAAAAAGATTTAAAACATTTACTTTTGTGATGAAAAATATCTTACCTATTAATCTGTTATGAACAGGCTATTTCATGTAATTTTTTCAACTTTAAATCGATATATAAAATTTTGTTTTGTTTGTTGTTATCATGTGGAACTTCAGTCACTGAGATTTCTTTTTTCCACCATTGGTTAATTAGGAAACTGTTGCATTTTTGTTGTAGTTAATTGACTTGTATTTGATTCATGGACCCTCGACTATTTTGCTGATTTATGAGATTAGATATCCAAGGAGAGAGATTTGTGAATTGATTAAAAGATGAAAACCTGCAATCTTGTTGCACAGCAGTGAACTTCTAAGTAACTCCCTCTGTCAATTTGAAATTTAATTATTGAATTGACGTCATGAAAGAAAAAATTTGTTTTAGAAACAGCGATCATAACTACAATCTAATTGTTAGCAAGCATGGCAAATTGGTTTTCTGCCTTCTACTCGTAAAATTGACGCTTAAAATCACAGCTAAATAATTAAATCTTAATTTTTCAGTGAGATCACTTGTTCAGGAAGAGATCAAAAATGGAATATCTCCTGACAGAATCATTATCGGTAAATTTTTCACCACAAATTCAGTTATTTCTTCGCAGTGTTTTCTTGCAAACCGCAGCCTTTTTGCTAGCATCTTATCATTTCCTTAAATAATTGCATTTGTCGCCTGCATTTCTTGTATTAAATGAGATACTCTACAAAGATAATGAATGATTACGTCATAGCAGAGAAACAGCTGCTCAAAGACTCGATTCATTGTCAAATACAATTCTCATGCAATCGAAATCAACTAACAGAAAACCATTCCCCGTGCCTTTTTAAGTTGTAATATCATCATAGCACTAAATTTAATAGACATATCACTGAACAAAAAATGTTTGCAGATGTATATAATTTATTGTATATATATCGTGATATCTATTATCTATAGATATTCTAAACGCATTCTCTTGTGCTATGTTTCAACATCAAAATCATCATTGGTACCAGCATCCCCTTCTTTTTCCGGACTTTCTTCTGAGTTCCCGTTATTTATGGGACCCTTTGGTCTAATTGCAGTAATGAGGCCCCGCAACAGGTGTGTGTTCCCATGTTCCCTAAGAATTTAATGAATTAGGATAGATTATGATTTTTGCCAGCTAAACGGCCAAATATCGCATCATTATAGAGCGCCTGTATTTAATCTTCCTATTAAAATCTTGTCCAAAACGACTTTTCGCGTTGTACAAAAAGAAAAAATTGCGATTAGCTGGTTCAGACGGGATTAGCTGGTTCAGATGAGATAAGCTGGACTTAGTGGATCTGTAGTCGTACGAATCCAGACAGTCAGGTCTGAAAGGCTCTTGCGCAACCGGTATGGTTTGCGATAATATTTTCAAAACCGGCCTAATATCGTGCTGCTTGCCCGCAAAGCATGCCGGTTGCGCAAGGGCCTTTAACAGGGCTTCAATATAGATGTTTTTATTCTTCTCAAATCTAGGTGGATTCTCTCAAGGTGGAGCCGTGGCGTTGCATGCTGCATTCACATCGGATGTGACGTTTGGTGGTGTGGTCGCTTTGAGCACGTGGCTTCCAATGCATCAGCAATTCCCTGCGGTATTACCTCGTTTTCATTTTTTGCCCAAGGCTACTAAGTAGAAAGCCTCTTGTCTTCCATAAAGATCATCTGCACTTCTCTTACTTGTCTTGTTTCACTTACACGCCTTCTTTTACGCGTTTTCTCGCGTATCAGTTTGCGATCTTCCTGTGATCTCCCGTGTGTACATCTGTTAAACGCTTTCCTGCTTGTCAAAGAAGTCTCCATGTACTTTTCTATGGATCAAAGAATATTTTTCTTTCATTCCGGCTTTTGAATATCTCTAGCGCGCATCTTTGTAATAGTTAGCAACTTTTATGATTCATTCCCTATGTTAAGATCTCTATAGAGTGCCGGAGTCTTCCGATTTCGAGTGAGCATAGGCGCTCGGTCAGCAGTAGCTTTTCTCTCAGCCAGATCGTTATATGTTACCATCTGAGACAGGTGGCCTAACTGAACGCCTTGAAGATATAACAGACACAGAAGTACCTCTAGATACAACTATGAAGATTTAGAAATTCTTACACTGTTGTCGGTTCTTCCCGGACAGTTCATAAATATAAAATTAATGTTAATTTTTTAACTATCTGTTGAGTTATCCAGTTATCCCCATGCGTGTCCAAATGGCTCCTTATACATGGCAGTGTGAGTTTCAGGGTGTTCCAATATTTTTAAATTATTTCTGGAATCTGTTTGATTTTTAGGCAAGCACTGGCAAAAATCAAAGTACACCGATTTTTCAAGGACACGGTAAACTGACACCTTTCTTTTGCACCGGAATTTCTTTGGATGATGTATTGATGATTTTTAATGTTTTGAAAATTATCACACTGAAAAAACCGTTGACTTCTAACAACACACCGTGGTTTGTTATTCGGAGACACAAAAAGGGGTCATCGTGTCCTCTTTGGGCACCGGGGCTCCATCTCAACTTTTGTGACAAAATAAAGAAGCGCACTGATTGGGCGACCTCAGCAGTCTTGTACTCGCGTTTCCAAATGGCCTATTTCGTTCCACAACTTAGTTTATATATTTCCTAGCGTAGAGTTTTCAATCTATGTGCTGACGTTTTGTACGCTGATAAGTGTCAGACGAGAAGCTTAAGTAATTCAAAATGTTTGCTTTTTTCAATGCCGTTTTTAAATTTTGTACAACAAAAAGATCTACCACAGAAAGATCTATAAAAATTATACCGGTCTGTTTTATCACGATCGTAAAGACAGCACTTTTTGATGTGTAGAACAGTGTTGTTCAAGGCTGCAGCTCCGAGTCTCGCGCAAAATGCAACCATTAGGCAAGTGCGGCAGATTGTCAGGCAATAGTGTTGCTGATATGCATTCATCATCCCTGTGAAAGCAAAGGAAGCCACCATCTGCGTGAATTTACTTGAACAAATTGCCAATGACAAGTTAATGACGATAGAAAAATGTAGCAAACAGTAAGCCATAACAAAATCTTCAACAGTATCATTTTCTGATTTTTAAATGTTTTTGAGACTGTACAAAGAAAATTGCTGATTTATGAATTTCTGGATCCCCATTATAGTTCATAGAAAAGAAAACTAGATCCCGAAAGGAGGACATTGACCATTGACCCAAAAGGACAGACATTTGTATGACCCAAAAGGGTTGTTAAATGTAAAATGTAATGATGATGATGATGACCTTTACCGTAAGTCCTTCGAATAAGCATCCCTCGAAGAAGCCCAACCCTAAAGAAATAAGCCCCCACTCTCGAATACACCCCCATGGGTTGAAGTAACGGCAATGTGTTTGCTCCAAAACTAACCATCCTCAAGCAGAGGAAGAAAATTTATCTTCGTAATATTTTTGACTGCTGCTAAATAAGCCCCCACCTTCGAATAAGCCCCCCTTCGAATAAGCCCCCCTTCGAATAAGCCCCCACCCCAAAATTGTTTGTTAAATAAGCCCCCGGGGGCTATTCGAGGGCTTGCTGTTTAGTACTTTGTTTGTAGAAATTTTTGGTATCTTTGCAAAATTTGCTAAGTAGAATATGTTGATTCATACACTCTTTATTATCATTTTATGATTAAACTATTTGCTCTTTTAGGCGATCATGATCCCGTCGTACCATACCAGTTTGGAAAGATGACTCATGAATACCTGAAAAAGATGAATCCGAGTCCGGTTTTTAAAACGTATCGTGGAGTTTCTCATAGTTCGTGTGAACAGGTAAGCCAATATATACTTTTCTTGAAGGCGAGTTCGCATGGTTCTTTTCTTGTGACACTGCTCTTCAACTGACTTCCGTATAGAATTCTTTGGTGGCACGGACTGTCACACAGTCACTGCATATTCAGTAATGATTTGAGTTTTCTGACAATTGGGCCATTGAGGCAACACCACACTTTCCTATTCTTGTCACATGGCGTAATAAAAAAATTAAGCCAATGGTCCATATTCTCTTCATACATTATCTATCTTCTACTTCATTGTTCCACTAGAACTTTTTTAGTTCTGTTGTGATTCCCTTGTCTGTATTAACGAGAAATGCATCATGTGAGCATGCGCAACAGGCCACAAGCAAAAATTTACATCTATGGCGCCTCACTGCATTTAATCAAAACTATTATATATCATGGCTCACTGCATTAAATCAAAGCTATCATATATCATGGTTGCATATGATATCATGGTTGCATATAATAAACAGAGTTTCGTTCCTTCTCATGACACCCTTTTTTCTAAATTTTCTTCGTCTTTTGATTCGATCGAGGCTAATTCCCACGAATGTTCCTATGTGCCACGAATGTTCCTATCAGAGAATATACGTTTCGTTGTGAATATATTGATTTTAACTGCGCATGTGTATATGATGCAAATTTTTGAAAAGCTAAGGGTCCTTCAGACAGATGCTGGTTCGTCTCTCCGACAATTTCGATTTCAGTTCGCAGCATAAAAAACTTTGGACAATCTTTAAGGCAATCGACAGATACTTGTGTGTCTTAAACTACCTATCATTCAACAATGGGCCAATCAATAAGCGTGATACTACTCGCAAGCGTATTGATTGGCCAGATTTTAGTGTCAATAGTTGATAGACAAAGGGGTGTAAGCCACTCGTGTTTTGGTCGATTGCCTTGAAGATATGGAAATAAAAGACCCTTCCTTCATTTTCCGTCTGTTGCACCAAATGTCTTGTTATTTGAGAGTTTGTTGAATCGACCAAATGTTGTTTTTCTTTGAAAACTTGAATTATCCGTCATTTGCTGTATGTAACAACATCTATCGATAAAATTGTTGTGGCACAGAATTTTATGCTTGCTCGTTATGAAGTTTAAGACTTTTTCCGTAATAACCCCGATATAAACATGTCATGTTGCAAATTTCAAACTTCAATAGTCAGAAAGGGGTTAAAGAACGAATACAATTTTACTCTGCAATGGCAACATAAAGATCTCTCCGCCCTCGCGTCCTTTGAGAATGTTCATGTAGCCCGCGCTAAATCATTTAGCGGAGGAGGAACAATAAGCGACTCGAAATTATTTCTCCTCTACTACTCTGCTTTCTCCCCCCCCCCTCCCTCCCCCCTTCAATATTCCCTGCTACTGCAGTCACTCATAAAAAGTTGTAACAAACGCAGAAACCGGCAACTCGAGTAGGCTGACTGATTAATTAATATAATTACACAACTTAATATATACGACATAAACATTAATTAACATAAATTAACATTTACATAAATTCGCATTCATAGTCCAGTCCTATTTAACAAAGCGTCATTGCGTAGGTTCACGAATACTGTAACAAATTGTTTGCTCCAGTACCTTATTCCTTGTTTTCTTTCATAGGAAATGGGTGACGTCAAAGACTTTATTCGAAAATGCTTCACGTGAGCAGGATGTAATTACGTAATCAAATTTATACAGAAAGTGAACGTATGTGCGACATAACGGAATTGAGTCCTTATAGACTGGACAATTGCAATAATATCAATTGTGAGAAATTAGAGCTATGTCATATCGTTTTCAATGATCACGTTTGCACCTAGAACTTAGAGGACAGGATGAAGTCAAGTCGATGAATGCGAATTAAAATTGCTATAACTATATAATGTCTGTTGTTCCTATCTAGAACGCCCCCCTTTCCTGTAGCATTCTTAACATGTTGTATTGGTTTAGATGCGTTCCAATATTTTTGCGTAGGCCAATTAGTATATAGGCTTGCAAGTGGAGAGTATTCCACTTCGCAGAAAGCAGCAATGAATCGATAGCCTGAAACTTCATCCCATATATTCACCCTAACCCTAACCCTAACCCTAACCCTAACCCTAACCTGCTTTTGTTACTGTGTTATTTTATGGTTGATTCCTTGAGTAATCTCCTGACTTGTCAAAACTATACGATCGAAATAAAAGGGGGCTCCATATCAGGGTTTTCATTGATTTTTTAAGTAGAAGGCTCACATTTAAAAGTAGGCGTCTATAAGTTTACTAAAGTTTTGCTAAAGTGAGGGTGAAAGTAGGCGGCGAAGGTTTGGTGAGTAAGCGGCGGACTTTCGCCGGTTGACGGCTTCTAATGAAATCTCTGCCATGTTAAATAAAGAAAAACGGTAACGTACCGATGATAAACAAAAATGACAAAAAATAAATTATCAATAAAGGATATTTTGCCCCGATAAACATCGTTTCCTCAGAGCAGCTGAATATAGTTTCTTAGCCATATCCTGTTATTTAATCCGATTTTTAATTAAGGCCACTTTTTCTGATTTGTTGTTCTTTTAAAATTTGGTCATCGATCAGTTTGTTTTGACTTTTTTCTGTTCACTTTGTCAAACAAAAGAAGCCCGAGAGAAAGCGAATCACTTCGATATCCTTTGAGCCAAATCAACTTCATGTAGTCTTTTATCATCATTTATCTATATTCAATAATAAAACGAAATTGTTAAAATTCATTAAAGTTTTAAAACCGAACTGTTTGCTTCTGTATTGTGAGTCTCCGTGTGACAGATTTTGTGAACCAGTCTGCGTTTCCACAAAGACCTGCATAGTATTACTGTAATACCTCGAATAGACCCTATGTATGATTGTTATTGGAGGAGGATTGGAGGGGGGGGGGGCTTGTATAAATTATCCGAATTTTGTGATGGTCGCAAGGCCAACGACCTTAGAGAAGGCACGAAAACGAAAGCGTTGCAGCTAACTCTGTTATCGTCGCTTTTCAGAAGATTGTTTTCAAGTTTTGGCTTGATTGTTTGATGGAAAATGAACACTTTTGGGGTTTTTCGGATCCATAATGATTCGGTACTGTGTAACTGGGGTTAACAGGGGGCTGTGTTTCTTTGCTTTACAGAGAATGGGTTTCAAATTTTGGCTTATCGGTTTGATGGTAAATGAACACTTTTTAAAGTTTTTTTGGATCCGGTACTGTGTAAATGGGTTTATAGAAGACCGCGTTGAGTTCGGATCGAAACTGGAGCATGTCAGTTCTGATCCGGATTCATTTGTATCCGCTCTTGCTTAAACGGAGCGTTCATTTTATGAAGCGGACTCATTTACGAATTCCTGGTAAGAAAAATGTGCGAGAACACAAATATATCTGAAATGCAAGCCTATTTTGACTGATTTTTGTATTTCTGATATTGTCTTGATTGCAGCAAGCGCTGTGTTTCTACTGCTGCAATCTGTGCCCTTGTCGGTTTCACTCACCTCTGTGAAGCGACAGCTTAAGGAACCTGAACCGGTCGCTTTTAGAGGTAATTTTTGGGCAGGCGCTAAGTTGCCCGTCTATAAAAAACTAATTAAAATATATTTTTAATTGTTGTTCTTAAGAAGTCTATTGAACAGCACGTCCAAGCAACTGAGACTTTCAGTTATCAAAATATTTTCTTTCCCTGAAATTATTGTACAAGTAACTTCAAGACAATGATTAATGTAATCATTTGGTTTATAATCAAGGGCGGCTTTAAACGAGGGCTTATAATCATTACATTGTTTTATTCAGGTCTGTTTTTCCTGCCAGTTTTTCCTGCTACCTTGATAATGTGGAAGATGTGGAAGTAATGTTTCTGGACTCTATCGATGGTCCCATTCTCGATGATTTTGTTGTTGGTTGAACTTCTAATGTCTATTTCTTGGCTTAAGTACACAATCAGGTTTTCATTAGTTTTTGTGTCCGTCATTTTAATTCAATTATTTCTGCATCATTTTGTTGGTGCGGCTTATAATCAAGGGCGGCTTTTATTTTTTGTAAACCCAGTTTGCTTCGGATTATAATCGAGGGTTGCTTATAAGCCAGGTCGGATTATGATCGAACAAATACGGTACGTCCTACAACAGAAAAATATTTCACTGTATTAGATACATGGCTGAAGTGATGGACAACTGGTCGCTTTATAAAGATAGATGTTAAGGTCGATTTCCATTTGACATTTTTTGTGCGCGCGGGCGTAGCGCCCAAACTTGAGCATGCGTAGTTAAGTGCTGCTGTCAAGTGGCCGAGCGCACAAAAATGTCGAGACCCTTTCAACTTTCTGGCGCTCACAGCGGACGCAAAATCGAGACCACTTGATTTTAACTACGCATGCTCATGCACGGTTTCAAGCGTCGAACTTGTCATGTACCGAACTCAATGCATAATTATATTCAATTCATTTTCCTTCACAGAATTCATTTCGTTCTTGGAGGGCGCATGCGTTTCAAACAAATATTTGAGATTGTGCGCCTTAACCAAGATACTTCATGTAACAATCCTAAAACCCATTTGGCGCGACATAATTAAGTTCAATGTTTGAAACGGGAGTCGCGCTAAACATGCTAAAGTGGCGCTCCAAACAGAGTTAGGTTCGGCACATGAGAAGTGCGACGTTTGAACCAGGTCTTAAGGTCCTGGGAAATTTGTTATAGTTTTAATTTCTTTCATTTAATTTCAAACAAATATTTATTACTCTCAATGTTTCTACAGCAAGGAAAGTCAGCTTTGTTATGATGATATGCTCGACAATTAAACTAATATGATTAACAATAATCTGTTTATACAGCTCAAGGACAGCTTTTTCGCCAGACAAAGGTCTTGAAAAAAAGGAATTCACTTTTAAAAGCACTGACGAACTTTGACAGTGATAGTTATATCAAAAGGAACATAACAATGATAAAAATAGTATAACATGCTTTGTTTATGATTTCGCTAGTTCGTTGAATGTCAATTTATTCAAATATCTTTATCTCTCCCATAAATGCTAGAAACGCTGTTTGTGCGTTCTCATTTTCTCACAGGATAGGAAGAGGCACCGAACCAGTCTGAAGTGGAGAGAAGTACAAGGTCAGATAAAGAGATAATCGTAATTTCTTTGATATTATAATTTTTCTTCCTTGTAGAACATATAGTTTTCTTCCTTCATTTGCTTCATTTGGAATTTATATCAAATGCTGACTGACCTTTTTCTGTTGTATTTTGTTATTTTCTTGCTTCATTACAATGGCACAAGGATTTACTCTTTCTTTAAGTTTCAACCAACACTTAATAGAACGTTGAACCCTTTTTAAACAGACACCAAGGTAATTTTTTCAAAGTTTCGTTTTTAGCATTGATTTGCCCCTAGTTGCTTGATGATCGCATTGACAACGAATCTCTGAGCGTTGAGTTCTGTTCCGGTCAGTTCTCCTCTCTTCTGTCCTGCTCCATTTCGTTCTGTCCTCTTCTCTTTTCTTCTGTTCTCTTTTCTTCTGCTCCGTTCTCTTCTCTTCTTATCTCTCCTCCCTTCTATTTTTGCTGTATTCCTTTTCTGTTCCCTCCTTATCTCTTCTCTCCTGTGCTCTTCTCACCTGTTCTCTTTATCTAGAATATGAATACACTTCTTTATACACAAGGCAACTCCAGGATTGCCTAGAAAGCGGTGGTTTGTGCTGCAATGATCTTGTGATGCTCTTTATCATCAAAGACATCTAAAGCGTAGATTTGAATTCGTAGAATGAAACAAATGCTTATTAGAGAACTTCTAGTTGTGAACCTTATATGAAGTTCTGTTTACTAATATTCTTTAGAAGTGTTTTTTTCAAAAAGGGATATATGTTTTATCAGATTAATTGTTAGAAATTTCACAGACAAGTAAACAAAATTTCAGAATCTGCGAGACAGAAGCAATTCGAAAGAGAACCAACCTGAGACAGAGTTTGACATGTTATTTCAAGCCATTTCAGTTTTTATGAATACTTTAAGAGCGTGGAATGGCAATATTTATCATAATACAAATCTCAGGATCATGCCTAATCGTTAACACCAAAAGCAGGACAAAGGGATGCAAAATCCAGTTTTTGGTTTTATGCTTCAAATTATTACCCCAAAACTTCGTACACTATGTAAATGAACAAATTAGCACTCGCTGAATCCCAGCTAAAATGGGGAATGAGAGTTTGTTAGCAAGTTTTCTAACCATTGGTGACCGCGCGATTCAGTGGAAAAGCATTACCGCAAATTTACATTGCTCAAGCTGAAAAGAATACGCAGTGATTTGTAGGATAAATCTTTTCCGAAAAAACTGGCACTGCATGTTTTCTGTAGGTTTTAGAATTATATTCTCAATAAAGCAGAGATTTTCTTCGATCTTCGATGACTGCCGAGATTTTCTAACAACTGTCACGCATTCTCAACACCCCTCCCTCTTCTATTGAAACGGGCTTTAGAATGCGTTTATTCATCTTTATATCTGAAGAAGTAACAGATAATCATTTGTTGCTCATAGGCCATATTGGTGTCGGCATTGATGTTTTTAGTATGTCATCCTCACTGTCAGTAGCGTATTATCTTTTATTTGTAAAGAGATTTTGCTCAATGTGCATCCAAATCCAACATTGTGTCGATTTGCGCTTGAACTGATTGCGTCAAAATCAAAATTCGTATATTTGAAAAGATGCCTGGAAAATCATGTCGATGCATCAGCTGGATGTTAATGCGTTTTGGGCTCCTTTCACGCAAAGAAAACTACGTTGAGTTATTGTTCCTTTCTTCTAAATTGCGTTATGGGTGGAATTACTGGCAATATATATTTGTAAAGCCTGACGCAGAATACAAATTTCCCAATAGGACAAAGGGCTCCTGGAAAACTGTGAAGATGAAAAGGTGCTTTTAAGTGTCTTTAAGGAGATATTTCTCAAGATTTTGCAGAATTTACGTTTCTGTATACGTAGAATCAAATTTGGGAGCTATTGTTCCTTTAATCGAAATTTTTTCAGTTAAATTTGAGCAAAAGGTCGATGCTCTAAAGGCCACACACTTATCGAGCGTCAAATTAATTCATCTGCAATTTCTTACGTAAGCAGGATACAAATCGTGAGGTGTGTATCTGTGACGAAAGATGGAGGTAAGCATGTTATGATTCAATGCTGCTAAGAATTTCTATTGAGAATGTGATGCTTGTACTCATTTTTTTGTTACAATTGGTTATAGAAGAAGCCGCTAAAGAACTTTAAATACTGGTTAAGGATTGTTTAAAGAAATTGTATAACAGTAGCTGATTTGTTTTTAACAAAAAAATGCCTGTAATGTTGACTCAGAGAGTATGTAATGCGGTTGTTTGTTTAAGCATGGCAAGGAGTTGGTCCGTTTGACTTGGTAGCACGGTTACCTCTCTTGTGGATATGACAGCTAGAAAATAGCGTTATCTATCTGCCTTTGTTATTTCCGCCCGGCTCTAAACGTGGATAATCTTGTCCGCCGTTTAAGAATGGTATGGTACAGTGTAAACGGGGTCTTATAAGAATAGCACACATTTCATTCGAAACTTGTTAGCTCGGATATTGTGAGCTTCTTAATTCGGTCGATATTGTTCAAGTTCAAAGGATTCTTAGCCTACTTGAGAGTGTTTTAAGTTTATTGATGAAAATCTGTCTTTTCAAGGTGCAAAAATTCTTTGGCTCAGTGCCCGCATATTAAAACTTAGAGATTCAATGCGCAACCCTTGCAAATACCTTTTACTGCATTCTGAGATTTTCATGAATTGCAATCTCAGGCGTTTAAATACCCCACCAATCTAACAGTTCAGTTTGCCTAAAAACCAAATTGATATAGCTATGGCAAAAACCATGGGCTTTTCTACCGTGGGTACCAGAGCCACATATAACATCTAAGCGGAGAGACGGAAAGGCGGAGAATGGAGGAGCGTTTGGGTTAAAGGATTGAATGAATATCACATAGATACTTTAATTTAACCATACGTAAGCACTCCGTCCTGGTGAAGTCGCTTACGTAAAAATCTTAGGTCCCTAGATGAATAATAAATGATAAAGTAAGTGAACTAAATGGAATAGTGAATAGCAAATCGTCCAATTGTCGACTGAATAGATAATTTGAAAACATGGCTTCTTCTTTGTCTTTCAAAGCGGGTATTGACTTTGTCTTTGCTTGTAAATCAAATTGTATTGTGCTTGTGACTGCAAGAAAGATTCGAATTTGTTTATGCTTGGTTGGAGGAAACAAATGCAGACGTTAAGAGGATGTGGCGACTTTTTTTAATGCTTAAATGGTTGATGCATGCTCAGCCGGCTCATACAATCCGCTGTTTTGATTTTAGGCCAAGATGATTCTTCGAATTATGAGCTTCATCATTCTTTGCTGTTGTGCAACTGCTTCAGGTTGGTGTCGTTTTAGTATGTCTGAAGAAAATATTCAAAACCTTAGTTGATTAAAATAGTCTGTTTTCACAAATCTAGTATAACAATATCCTTTACTCGTTATTGATTCAGAATTGTAATACAATTATGCGAATGTTTCTATACGTTTTCGAGTAGATACTTCTGATGTATGACTTCAAATGAAACTGCCTACAAAGTTATCTTAATCATAATTAGATTATTCAACCTATTTGCTTGGACACAGCTACGGCTCTTTGAATTACAAAGCTGATTCCGTTGAAATTACACATATAGCACTGAATAAAAATCCCCACTAGGTTTGTTCCTTTGCTCGTGCGAGTACTGGCCGTTTTACATACAGATTCAGAACATAGACAGTTTGGAAAATAGAATTTTCACCTATAATCAAAATGAGTAACACATCACCCTGTAACAGAACCACCGAGAAATACCAACTTTATGATCGTTAGAGTTGATTACAGATCGTTATTCAATCATCCTGAAGTGTATTCTAGAATCGAGAGTCTGGTTTTAAATACTTTCTATGCTTGGTCTGGTGTACCGTCACGCTGCATGAAAAAAGTTAATCCTGTGAAACTCATATAAACCAATGAACCTAATATATTTATTTTTACAAGCAACATTTTGTTGCAACGTTCTACACAATGTCGACTCTTTAAAGTTAAGGGAAGCGTGATAGAAATAGTTTGGGCAAATAATTAGGCAGTAAATTTGAAGTACATCCAAAAACGTGTATTATGGTTGTAACATCTTTTATATTCAAGAGACCTGCAATACCTAAACATTTTCTTTGATTTTTATGGATAGGGCTTTAAGCCTTCGCATAGTTAACAAGAAATCCGTTACCATGGACAGAGCATTCAGTCAGAATGGAATCGAAAACTTTCATAGTGAATTCTATTGCAACGAGACTCAACACCAACAGTGTTTTCGCATAAACAAGTTTCCGCGTGTGATTAACTTGTTCATTTAGAGGGCTGCGCACTGCCCATGTCAATGCTGATCCAAAATGCAAATACCAATTTAGTTTGTCATATGTTATATATTGTGTTCTGTTTACGTCGTAATTCACTACTCTGTCCTCGTATTGGACAGACAGCCTCGATTTCACAGAACACTATCCAACTAAAAACATAAATTCTTTGGCAAAATTTTTGCAGTCATTTTCAAGATTAAGGGTCTCCACACTGGCCAATGCCACAATGCCAAAATCCTCAGTTTTCTGCAGTTTTTCTCAACTTTCCCTTCGTCTTTTTTGAGACAATTTTACTCTGGATGTTTTGTAGAGCTTCAATTAGTTCAGTTGATTCCTGCTGGGGACATGTGGTTTGGGACCGCAGAAATAGGTTATCGGAGCAAGGTTGCTACATTCTTCGTAATGATTACCAAAATCTTAAAACCAGGCGATGAATCCTCATTTCTTTGGTCCTTAGCACACTAAAAATCCCCCTTAAACGATTTCACTACCCCCTCTCCTAATAGGTATCATGATCTGTGGCTGATGCATTTATAAGAGGTTTCCAACTATAATTTATACATAACTATAAATTATTCCCTTATAGTATGAAATGCAGGATCCTTTACGTGAGTGAGTGATGTCTCTTCATGGTGTTCGAAGGACTTGCTGCTATATTTGTGACAATATGCACTGACTACATGTGAATATTTTGTTATGCAGGAAGTGATGGCGAATATCAACTGCAACGATTACTGCTAAAAAGTCATGACCCAACTGTAATACCACGTAAAGATACATCGAAAGCTTTGGAAGTCAAAATGGACGTTGCTCTGAGAAGTATCCAATCATTGGTGCGTTGTTAACTTTCGTTAAAGATTAATTTTAGAGATCAAGCTCCCGTTGAATCCCGATAAGTCGCATACCTGATTATTCGGACTTTTACTATATCGGACTGATATTCAATCCCATCGGATTTTCTACCTTATTCAAGTTAATGGTCGTACCCTAAATAAGTCAGACTTTTAAATTCGCTTAGTCGGATCATTTTCTTGCTCTTCTTTAAGGTCCAAATAGATACGACCGAAATTAGACCGAAATAGAGACCGAAATTAGAATAGTGCTCTAGTGAATATTGGACACAAAGCACTGCATTTCTTATAAGCTCCATTGACATACACAAGCAAATCATTTTGTTTTGCGATAGCTTCTGAAACCTCGACAAGGCCGAAAAGGGACTAACTATTGGGTCACTGGGTGGGTTGGCATCTTGTATTGGAATGCATCTATTGGTTTTTTGCAAGTAATGGTGTAATAAACAGGAAACGGCTCAAAATAACAGATGTATACATTCTTTTCAACAGGATGGTAAGAACGAGAAGCTTCTCATATCAGTCTGGATGCGATTGGTGAGTGAGAAAATCTATTAGATTAATTTCAGCAATGGTTTTTTGTTCCTTTGGGACTGTGTTTATGGGTTTGACATCAAATCTTGCCTCTCGTGATTATGATGCATTATGGGTAGTGCGAATGTGAAGAGTGAAGGCTGCATTGAGCTATGTCATGAATAAATGTGAAGAGTGAAGGCTGCTTGTAGCTGAATCATGAATAAGCGTAGGTTAATTATAGCTTCAGTTTCAAAAGTTTCAACGAGAGTAGACTTTTGACACTTAACTTGGCCTTGAAAAAATGAGGCTTCATTTTTCTCCTTACCATTTTGTATTTGAAACTTCCCTCGCCGAATGTTTATTTGACCCAAGTTTTCCCTAATCCAGAACTGGAAAAATGATTTCCTTACTTGGGATCCACGCAACTATTCTGGCGTTGACATGTTACATTTTGAAAGCCGGAAAATTTGGACACCAGATGTTGTGCTTTATAACAGGTTTGTCCTTAGTTGACGTTCTCATTCACTTGTACACATTACTGATACACATGCACATTATCCACACTAATTGGTCCTTGCGGTAACACTGAAATTGAATACAGTGTTGGCATTTCATCTGTAAAACAGCTATGGCCCTAGACGCACTGATTTTTGACAAAAAACTCATTATCGTTTTCAAAGTGGAAAATCGAGAATACTTTTTCAAGTTTGACAAAGATAATCCTATTTCCGCTTGGAAATTCGAGCGCGCTACAGTTCGTGTGTGAAGTGGTTGTTTGCTGTTAGGCTAATGTAATGTGGTTTGAAACAAAGAGCGATTTGACTTTGGGTTTTGTGTGGCACCAGAAAATGCTTTGATTGCTAATCATTTCCGTTATCCAGAGCTCGCCCTGCTCTGGGGCAGGACGACAGAACCTTTGACGGATTAGCGAATTTGGTTCAGTGGCCATTTGGGTGGCCGCACTGGAAAATCAGCATTTGTTTACTAACAAGCTTAATCCATTTTCTCTATAAACAATAGAGATTAAGTGTGTCAGAAGTTCTTCCTGAAATCTTGTTCGGTGCGTCTAGGGCCTATGAGCACATTTGGCTTTGTGTGAGTATTTGACTGCAACGTTTTTCAGAATGTTAAATTTAAGTGCTAAGAACCGCTTCCGTCGGCCCTGTTCCATGCTCTCACTTTACGGCAATTCCATGGATGTAAATAATTTGTTTCCTAACAGTTTTTTATTATTTTATGTTTGTAAAGTTCTCCTAGTGTATTAGCTTTAGGCAAATTAATATAGGGAGCATAGATGAATTTATTTTAGAGCAATCAATTGGTGAAGATATAGAAGTATCTGAATCTCCCTGTTTGTTTTAGCGCCGAGAATTCAGATACCGGACCTATCTTTGACAAGATGAAAACAGCAGTGGTTGTGAAATATGATGGAACAAGCCAATGGTTCTGTCCTATGCTCCTTAAAAGTGAATGTTCCGTTGACCTTTTTAAATTCCCATTTGACAACCAGACTTGTCCTTTGATATTTGGTCTATGGGCTGTGCCAATGTCTGACATCCCAAGGGTCAACTTAACATTAGTAAGTCAATCTGGAGATTTAAATCATTACGGAGCAAATGGCGTCTTTGAACTCAATGGAATGCCGGGAAGGCAGAATATTATCTACTTTCCTTGCTGCCCTGGGGTACCATTCACCCGTGTGCAATATGACATTAAAGTCACAAGAAAAACAGTATTCTATTTGATAGACTTCTTTTTCCCTTCACTTATCCTTATCGTATTACTGTTTATGTCATTCACCCTACCCCCAGAATGCGGGGAACGTATGACACTTTCAATTTCTCTTCTTCTTGCCTTTGTTCTTCATCTTTTGCATGTTTCTGACCACATACCCCAAACCAGTGATGCTGTGCCGATGATAACAAAATTGCTGAATGTATCTGTAGCCTTGAGCGCTTTAACACTTGTGTCCTCGGCAGTGGCAATCAAGTGGTCCTGCTACGAAAACAACGGCAAATCTGTTCCATGGTTTATCCGTGTAGTGCTTAACCGATTTGTCGCTGTTGTTGTATGTGCAAAAAAGTCATGTTCCTCAAATAGTTCTGGAAACACAGTTAAATCCGTGCAAACCGTCAATGAAGTTGGCAACACTGACCATCCGAGTATTTTAAAGCCAGAACTTAAAGAAAGCAATCTCAGAAACCAGCTACGCGTAAACTCCGAAGAAGCTGACATAGCCTCTATTACGCTACGTGACAAAACTGAAGATGAGGCTGCTCCTGCTCAGCAAAGTGGAATCTCATCAAATGGTACGTCGAATTACAGTTACGAGCTTCTTCGTTCAGTTTGCGATGTCCTGCGCATTTTTACCAGAAAACTTGACGAGCAAAAGAGTGAAATATCTTACCTTAACGAATGGCGTTCGGCTATTGTCGTTTTGGACCGGGCTTTGTTCCTCTTTGCCCTCATTAGTATGTTTTTTATAGTCATTTATTTGTTGTTTTTTGTATCAAAATTTTACATTAAGTAAAGCAGAACTTGTAATATGCAAAATTATTTTTGTAGGTTCGAAAATATTTCTTGAATGAAATTATAGTTTCCTCACTTTCGTATGAATTGTGTGAGTTGAGATTATTAAGTAGTTGTAAAAAACGCCTGTGTATAGAAGGGGTGATTTTTGTATTGAGTGCAGGCATGTTGCCTTTCTTCATAAATTTTTTATTTTTGAAGAACTTATTAAATTTCAAGTTTATGTAGGTTTTTCAATATCTTTATTGCTATTAATCTACACAATAATTTGGGGTTTTTTTCATCGTTTCAATACATTTGTAAAACAATCGTTTAGTAATCTTAGTCTCATTGTAGAATTGTACTTGTTTTTAAATTTATTTGTTATCTAACAACAAGGGTGATGAATTGGTACACTTCCTTATTTCTACCTTGATGCTTCTTAATTTGTATCTTTAATTAACCAAAATTTGACTTTAATTTTCTTGTGCCTTTTCAACTTTGGGACTCTTTAAATTCTTTTAAGTTACTAGTCAGAAGGATATGGTCGAATATGGCTAGAAGAAAATTTTAATAGACAAATGGCAGGGTAAAAGATAATGAAATTTCGGAAAAAAGAGTTTATTTTCATTTGCTTGGTGGAATATGATTTTAAAAAGAACCTATGAGGCCCCTTAAGCTGCATAGAGATTGAGAGTTTGAAAAAACTTTTGAAGACAACATTTTTAAGAGACCTAAGAGGGAAAAAAACTATAAACAACGTCTTATTGTAATACACCATTCCCCATTTAATTTAAAACATTTCCCTCCGGAAATATTCTTCAGACCTGCAACTTCGCCCAAAAAAAATTTTGGTTTGTTTTCGATGGCCTTCTCGATAAAACCTCTCGTTAGTATAAGGAGCCACTATTTCTTGGAGAATGCTTGAATTTAGGTATGATGTTTTCTTTTGAAGCTATATGACCAGCGCTTGAATAACTCACGACTTGGTTTTGAATTGCCAAATTTCAATATCAGAGCACGTCTCCTGGCAAGCCCTTGGGATGAGGTTTCCCGTCCTAAAATATCTAGAGATAACATTTCGATAATTGGAATATTCTATAGGTTTTCCCTATTGGGCAATGCACCAAGCATTCCGTCGTGTCATTTTAATCAAGTACTACAAACATTTCTAACTAATTCCATTGTAGCCTCGCTCAATAAATACTGCTTTTCGGGACGCAAACTTTCAATGAGCTCTGTTGCCAGCAGTTCGTTAATTTTTAATGTATTGACCAAGAAATTAAAGTCGATTAAAGCATAAAACTGCTTAGACGTTAAAATATGGAACATGGAATGATACAGCGATGATTCGCCTATGTCTCAGGGCAAAATTGCACAAAGCTACATGTAGTGGCACGCTCGGTCAATGCTATCGGACCAAAGTTACCATGGAGGGCCTACAAATTGCCTCTGGAAGATATTTTGGTAAGAGAGAATAATCTTTTAGCTAACCACAACTGTTGGAATGAAACTCAAAATTAACAATGTTGGTAAGTCGGAATACAGCTAATAAAGTAAGGGTTTTCGCAAGTGGACGCGTAGGGAGTTCTCGGAGCATTTCCCCTCTAGAAAAGAACCTCGCTAAAGAAGACTAGTAACTGGACTTTGTTCAAAGCATGTTGCCTTGCTATCAACCTTGCTTTTTTCTTGAGACCTATTTTTCCATAGACTCTATCTTACACGTATTATACCAATCACTTTAATTAGCATATCTGCTAGAAGGGGCCATAGGCGTAGGAGACAAAGGGGCTTGGAGGGCTGCAGCGTTCCTAATCAGGCAAAATGTATTGCATTTAAGGCTGCATTTGGGCAGTACTATCTCAATGAAGCAGGGCTATTTGGGCGAGATCCATACCATACTATGCCTGCTTAAAGCGTTCAGCACCCTCTACGCCCATTGAAGAGGCTAGCATTTGAATATGGTTTGGAAATGCTATCAATGAAAAAACCTTTTAAAATTTTTTGTTTTGTAACGCCTTCCGTTTGAAATTTCTTGGAAAGGGAGGGAAAACTGTTGGGGTTCAGTGGAAAATTATAATTTTTTACATGACAGCAAGCTTCAAAGAAAAGTTTGATCAAAATTATAACAACAAACTCTATTAAATATTTCTAGTTACACAGAACAAATTACGGAATCGTTTATGGTCTTGTCCACTGGCGTAGAAGCCGGGTGGGCCCAAGATGCACGTGCACTTTTCTCCAGGACAGAACCCTTCTTCTTTTCAAATGCATTTTCGTCTAAAAAGTACTTTTTGCTGCAAAAGTCCCTTTTATTTTAAAATCCCCCTTTTAACGAAAAAACAGCCTTTTGCATACAAAACACCCTATTTTACTAAAAAATCGCTATTAAGCTAAAAAGATTTGTCAGACCGTTAAGTAAGTAGGTTATTAAACTCAGAAGGTTATACTCTTATCTCTGTGGTCCGTGTTTTAGCAACTCCAAGATTGATCAAATCTCTTATTGGTTTATTTGTATTTCAAAATAGTACAGGGGGTGACCTTACAGATCATGACTGGCTAGCAACAAGGTGATTAGCATCTGAAGAATCGTGAGAGAAACTTTGATTTGAGAAATGGTGGTTTGAGAAGCTTTTGGCAGTGCTCGTGGGAAACCTGTAATCAAAGACGTTTTTTAATCAAAGAGGTCTGTGGGAATATTTCATATCTTTGATATCCATTCTATCATATGAATCCTCTGTTGTTTCTTGTATTCTATAAACGTATGTCAAAGGTTGACTCGTTACATCAGAAAATTCAATTATGGATGGCTACATTTGACGTAAACACTAACGGCGACATTAAAGTACAGGATCGTCTTAAAGTATTGAGTAATTCAAAATTGCATTTTGTTGTTGCCACTTTTTGGAATTAAGACGTTAAATCTCCAACAAGTTTTCCAACAAACAATTAAACCCGTTTATACTTCTGTGGTATCTAATGATCGTATTTGGCGTGAAGTTTATAGGCGTATGAGATATAGGGGCTGGAGGATTGCAGCCCCCCTCTCCCCTAATCATGGAAAATTATTGCAATCAGGTTCCATTTGGCAGTTTTGACGCAATAAAGCAATTATTTTTGGGCAAGATCTAAACTACGCCCCCCAAACATATGATATCGCTCCCAGGCATACGCAAGACCTATTGTGTAACTTAAAGTAGTAAGTATGAACCATTTCATTGAACAGTGCCGTCGAACACACAAAGGCATGCAAATCACTTTCTACGCAACATCGTCAACTCTGCAGATTAGCATTAAAAAATATGTTGATGTACTCAATACATAATATAACACAGTTATGCAATATTTTCTTCTTTTTTGTGCCCATTGTTTAGGTTGCTAAGCGTTTTAAGTCTATTGTTTTCTATCTTTTCCCATGTAACAAACATTGCCACAATATAAGAAAACTCCTAATCAGGAGTATGTTGATAAAAAGAGGGTAATATGAATGGGTATAACATGTGGCAATGAAAAAGGGATAATGTCTCAAAGAAGTAAGATGATCACGAACTAGGAAAAAGGCAACTGCACTTGGAACCATTTAACTATAAGCTTTAATCCAAATAGCGGCTACTTCCGAACACAAACTTTCAAAGGTTCACAATCCTGATAAAGTAATGCCGATTTCCTTTAAAGATTTCGTTTTGAGCAATCCGGCTACTAAATATACTATCCCGGACGATATTGGTTGAGACTTTTCAAGAAAATGTGATGCTTCTTTTCTCCTTTATAAACATTTTCCCCACCCGTGATTCAATGTTGTATGCATGTTTCACAAAGTCCGGACATTTTGATGTAGGTTTCTATAGCAACAACACTTTGCAAAGATTGTTTTAGCTCGTAAATATCGTCGGTGGATTTCGAAAGATTATGCAACAGGCACTCACTTGACGTTCTGCAATGCTGTTGAACATTAAATTCAAGACCAACCTGCTATGCTGGGGTCTTTCATATGAATCTTCTTTTTGGGTAATCTGATCAGCTCAATTATGAATAACTAATGCATATGATAAAATAACCAGTCTCAATGCATATTGTTTTCTAAATTTAAAAAAAAAACCAATTTGGCTGATGCGTTACTAGCAAACAAAAAGAAACCAATGCTCGAAATAACTGATCATCTACAATATTTAACATATAATTAAGAAATGATGAAAAACGACGTACGACAAGGCTGAGTCTTGCTGCCTGTGATGATTGGTGACGTCATGTAGGTCTTTTTGCTGGTAATTTGATACGTAATGCTACAGGCATAGTAAATTAGCTGCTATGTTGATGATCCATTTATCTTGGCATTTGGCAATGATGAATATGAATCTTGCCAGTGGAAGCTGAAAGATCGTTGTACATGGTACTATCTAAAACTGCCTATAAAAGCAAAATCCTTTCCCTTTTGGGGTGCATGCAAGCATGGATTTCTCTATCAAAATCAGGCATTTTCTTTACAAATGATAGAAAAATAATCTCTGAATGTTCACATAAAATCAACTTGATAATGTAACATAGGATTATGGCCACTTACTTTTATTTAGTTTTTCAATTTTATATTTAATGAATTTCTTATGTTTTTAAACATTGCATTACAAATTAAGTGGTAGAGCCATTGCCGATCAACCATGCTGAAAGACAAATCTCTTAAGATTATTTGAAACAGAAATTGTTTGCAAGTTCTTGTCAACTGTGCAAAATAAGTGCAAATAAACCTGCTTTTGGGAAATCTAAAGACAGCCCCAAGATATCATTATTTCTCATTATATTATTACAAGGCTGTAGTTGAAATTGCCATGTTACGAATATTCAATAAAAAATTGGCTTGAAATGCAGCACCTTTCATCTGCTGCAAATTTTATGAAAAGGGAAGAACTTAGAACAGTAACAATTCTTCATCTGTGTCCAAGCTATAACTGTCAATTGCTAATCTAGATATTTTACGATAAGAAGTGTCTGGCCTAATAAATTCTACTCTTATAAATCAATTTTCTTTCTAAATTATTTCAACAACCTCTTCCATACTTTCAATATATGTGTTCATAAATGCCTATTTTGGTACATTGCTTCTGCCAGTGGACCAGCTAGAATAAATGATGATGCAAGATTGCGCTGGGGCTTAGGGAATGTATAGTCTCATTTTCATAGGCTCTATAGTTTGGTAGATTATCTCTCAAAATAGTCCTTTGATATTCTAGATTGTGGTATAGAAATTGACATAAATTACTCAAAATAGTTTGATTGATTTTTGAGGTCACCCTACTAGCAGATCCCGTCCACCTTGTTCATTTATTTGGCATGCTAGTTTGATAGCGGCATTATCAAACGCCTATGTTGTTAACCAATTGTCTGGAAGGGCCCTTAACGTTGTTCAAACGTAATACACGCACCTGAAATCAAATGGAATACCCTATTGTGGGAAACACAGCGAATTGCAATGAGCCTCGCAATACCTGTCAGAGGCATGTCGAGGTATGCCAATTTATGCCTATTGGTATTGTGAGAACAAGTAGGTCAACTTTGTTTACATTGTTGACATGACTGGAAGGTAGTTTCCTCGTATCAAACATCTATTTAATAGTTAGAGTGAAATAACATGACAAACATGACTTAGTTAATATGATTTGGGACAACACTGCTCTATCGCTTGTGATCAAGATAATGATGACGTCATATTCATGCGATGTATGGCTTAAAATACCATCACAGCCGATGGTGTAATTGGAAAGAAATCAAAAATAGCATCAGATATTTTCATTAAAGTAAGTCAATTCTTTTGAAATGTGTTTTGTCACATTGAAGGCCTCAACCCAAACATAAAAAATTTTTCTCGTGAGTTCTTAAGATAAGAATTATGTTATTTCATAAGGCTTTGTGAAGTTTCTTGGTAACCAAACAATGACAGGTTTTCACAGCTTCATGGGAACGTACTCCTTAGCAAAAATGTCGTAATCTTATTAGGCCTTTGTGCTGTCATGTGAAATTATTACAGACTTGGTTGTCATTGCTAGAAATGTATCGCTCGTTATATAAGTGAATGAATGACGAAACGTTAAGGTGTCCAATCGGAACCTTATCAACCAAATAGTATGAGTCATCTGTATGAATATATAGAATAGCTTCGATGTAAAAAGCTCTATAAAAAGATGTTTTCATTCTTCCATTCCTTCCGTTCTTCCAAAAAGGAAGCTTTATTTCAAATTTTGGCATTTAAGTCTTTCTCTGTTGCAAACAACGCTTTTGTGAAAATCCTTTTTGACATTGGGCACAATCGTTGCTTCCACAAGAGGTTTCAAGAAGATTCTTCTTAGGAACTCTTTACGCTGACTTCATCGCCAGTAATGGAAAACGCACGAATACGTTTTTATCACATTTGGTATTGAATCTTCGATCAAGGTATGTGAACATATCACGGCAAATATTTGACGAAGATGTGAAAAACTTTCTTGAAGAATAACAAACGTGCTCAGTCCTGTTGTCTTCTACAGCAATTTCCAATATATAATTATTGTTTTGCGAGATGAACACACAACATTGAAAACACCAATATATTCATATAAACATCAATATACAAAATATCTCATTACACACATCTCACCGCATATCTATATACACAGCAATATAAAACTTATCCCTTAGTAGCGTTTTGTTCTATACATCCAAGCGTGCACAGCTCTGCCTATACGGCGTGAAGCATTTCACAACAGGCCGATAAAATATTAGTGCTCGTCTACAGCTCTACAGATAGATGTGCACATAACCAAAAACAGACACGTTAGGACCTTCACAATACGCTGCCAATAAACAGTAGCAAAGTACCCAATTTGAATGCAAAAATTACATCTGATCAATGCAGAACCTTTAATAAAGATATCAAAACGTGGTTATGTTTCAGACAGTCTGTTACAAAAATCCTGGCGATCATCGTGAAAGGGCTAGAGCCACTTCATTCCACGACTGTGTTTTTCATTTGACGTTGACATTCCAGTATATTAATATTTCTCTTAATATTAGGAAAAGTTAAGCAATTTTTGAAACTTTATAACTTCATGACATTAAAACTTTTCAAAATCTGGTAAAGCGTTCTAAACAGGGCGATCAACATTTAATACTGATTTTCAATAAATGCCAGTTTCTCCAAGCTCAGTAATTTGCAGGGATATCTAAACAGGTTGTACCTTGATGATAAGATGAAAAAAAATCTAATAAAAAATCGCTGCCATTTGGCAATATTTGTTCAAATTTTATGTAATTTACGTTTAGATTTAATATTAGCCAAGAAATCAAAGTAACGAGTTGAAGATTGTGTTACAAAGACATAATAGAATAAATGCAATTGTCAATAAACCTTTTGATTCCATATCAGCAACTGTATTTTTTATTTGCCTGTACAAATGAAGTCTCGGAGAAAGATCTTTTTGTCTTCAACTTCTCTGATTAAATATTTTTGCTAGAAGATTTTGATATTGAAGATTATTAGAAAAAATTGATAGTCGGCAGTAGAAAAACTCTTTAGAATCTTACCATTTTGTACAAAATAAAGTCAATTTATTAATAAAAATATTGAGCTTTGCAAAAGAATCAGAGCTTTGGTGATTTTAAGGGTGGCATGATTGTTTTCAATCTATCAAAAGAATCATCTGCACATATTACTCTTGATTAAACAATCTTTTCAGGCCACATGTGTCAATTAAATGATTCTTTTCCTCCTTGCAACTGCAATCTGGAACGACAGAATGCAAATTTTTTTATATTAAAATAAGCAAACTCTCTGAGTCGTCGCTATCAAATAAACTCCGTCCTATAACGATCTTATTCGTAGATTTACCAATATCAATTGCCATTGAGATCAATGAAAAGTAGCATTTAAGTTATGTTATCATACATTGCCAGCAAAAATGCCAATAACAGTTGGATAAAGAATTCAAATCTTTCACATCGCGATTCTATTTCTTTTCACATTTGCAAGAAGTTGAGAAATATTTGAAAACTAGATTTGTGTTTAGTAGCTACTTTTCTGTTCTCTTTTCATGTGCTGGTTTAAACATCTTTAGGGCATGCTCATGATTTATAAATAACAAAACATTTTCGTCAATTTTCAATTCTATATGCCATTATAATACATTGTCTGAGGATATAAGCGAAAATTTATTCAAGTACAAACAGAGGCTTTATTTTACAATACAAGAGGACACAAACGAAAGCAAATCATGGAAAGATGCAGCATCAACGTTCGTAGAACATATTTCAGAAAAAGGAATCGTTTAAGACTGGGATAGTTTATGAAATGAAGTTCAGTGGCGGATTTAAGGGGGAACAATTAGGGGCAGTTGCCCCTCCCTCGATGAGTTCAAGCAAGTCTGGCGCCCCTTTTTGGAAGTTGTGCGCTCCTTTTGAAGAATGAGAATCAGGTGAAAAAGTTGCTGAGACCGATAGGTTAATTTGCCTCAAGGATTACTTGGAAGTTAGGTTGTTTATTCTGAAAATAAATCTGAAATTGTTGTATGCAGCGTACTCATGTCACCAATTTTTGAAAACTTTTCAGCGCCCTCACTACCAACTGCCCCTCCTTTAAATTTGCGCTGAATCCGCCCCTGATGAAGTTATCAACTGTTCGTCAGTGCAACATTTAATGCAAGCATATGATCGACTGAAAAAAATGACGGATTCCTCCACACTTATGTCGCTTGAAACAACGCAACAAGGCTTTTTAGGTCTTGCATGCTTTTTTACTTTAAACTGCTGGAGTTTTTATCGCTATTTTATAAGTTACTTTTTACAATGCTTAAATTCATGTCAAGCTCTACCTTTTTGCAGATAAACATCGCTAAACATTGAATTTTGAAAAGAGGGACAATGCATGGGCTCCGACAAAGGTTGAAAAGTGGGGGAAGACAAGAGAAAATTTAACACCCATAACAAAAGATTTTGAGAAAAACTCTATTGTATTGCAAAAAAGTGGTGGGGCCAAGGCCCCGCGGCCCCTCTTCGCCGGAGGCCCTGCAATGTCTTGACATTTTTTTACTGTATAAATTCTTTTTTGATGGAAGGAGTCTATCTATAGATGGCTTTTAAAAAGATTATGTCATGTTTTTTGTTCAATTGAGCAGTTGAGAAATATGTCAATTGCTTTTCACAACATTGCTTCTAGGCAAAGGCCTGTTGTGAAACTATTACGGATAGAATCCTGTGCCTAACTTTCAAACTCCATAGTCCTTTGTGGATTTGCATAAATGTTTCATATCAATTTTGTTTCGATTTAAATGCTTTCTAAAAACTTACTCATCCTTTTCAATATATGAACAATAATTCAAACTTTTTTCATAAAATAACCCGACTTGAATTTCAGAACAGAAATCTGATAACATTAATTGAATACATTTAATCTTTATTCCATTCTAAAAGTGTTTTAAACATATCATAGAGGGAACTCTTTGTGAAGAACTCTAAAGAAACATGACTTTAAATATAAACAAAGAACCTTGCCGCATATTTTCTCAGTTTACAATACTTTTTCAAACAAGCTGAGATAATTTTGTTCTCACGAGCGTTTTGTTCCTTCTAGACGTCAGTATTTGCTGATAAGAAAACTTCAGATAGTGTTTCTATCGAGGCATTGAGTCTTCCTCAGCAACTTAAAGAGTAGGATTTTATCTACGTTTTGGGATCAAGCAAAGGCCTATACCTTGGGTACGTTGGGTACCACACATAAAGAAAGTGCTTCTGTTCATCTTGTTTATAGGCATCTAATTTCTAGCTATGAAAATTTCCTCAGCAAATAAAGAAAACAAGGCAGGGTCTGGGTGGGAAACTTCGATTTTTTATTTTAATTAGTCTACTAAAATTATTTTGAACGTTTGATCGTCATGTTTCTGAGCTTTTTCTACCACTAAAGCTGATTTTGAGATTGGCATATGCATTGGTCATGCTATTTCACAAATTGCTTTAAATCTTATTTTTGTCTAAAGTGACACTTGAGTTTTTTGGGCCGTTCGGAACACTCATATCTAGTTTTTGCCAAGCATTATTTAGTTTATCTGCAACGCTTGCTAATGCAGCGATGTTTTTTAGGGAAACGTGATTGGAATGCTGTTACCGTGATTCATGCTTCACTGTTCCAACTGGTTCTTCTAACCTTTTTTTATTGTACTTCATCTTATAAATTCTAAATGTTGGTATAGAATTTGGACCGTTTGTGTTGACAACAGCCCAGTGACTGCTTTCTAACACTCTTTCCTGTGTGCTGTTTGGCTTTGAAATGGATTGCCTTCGTTTGTTCTCTATGTATTGTTGACATAAACACTGGTACCCAGTCCTCCTTTTGTGATGCAGACAAAACCCCGCTCTACTTCTACCATTACATCACTTTTGTTTTTTTTGGGCGCTATTATTAAATTCACGAATATTTTCATGTAGCACAGCAACTAAAAAATAATGTAAACGTGAATTTATTTAGATTTGTAGCTAGTTATCGAATCAGTAGACCAGATGAACAAGCAAAGAAAACATCATTCTTTCTGCAAGCAGGGGGTATCATAGGCAAGCTGTTTCTTTGATTCCGAATAAGAACAGACACTTAAAAGTGCCCGATACGATACTAAACAACAGGAATAATATTGTAACCTGGAGGTCTTTAAGTTTATTGTTTATCTTTAAATTCTAACTGCGGCGAACGCATAATTCACGCATCATTTAACGGCCTTTATAAATTTGTAGGTGTTTGTCACCAGTATCAAAGGAACCAAGATACGCTGTAAGGAAAGGATCTGTCAAATTCGGTGTTTTGAAGACGACAAGTAACGCTGTGATCTTCAGAAGATGGTTAGCAGAGATCGACTGGTATTACCCTGCTTTTTCGCCATAATCATCATCATTGAAGTCTTTGCATTTGTTGAAGGTGAGTTTTGATAATCATTAATAAAATTAATGCATTTTCACATTTTGTATTTGGATTTTTACAAGTCACTGAAAAATTTTGAAGATTCGTGAAAATTTTCTCTTCTATATTTAAGGGTTAAAGCTGAATCTTTAAATCTATACTAAATATGCGATCTATACACTTTATTTAACACGGTTTCCTATTGTCGCTAAAAGTGACAAAATGTTTTACTTATGTTAACTGCCAAGGATAAAACAAACAAATCGCTTGAGGTTTTTACAAACATTAGTGTCGTTTTCAAACATTGGATTAAACGCAAACAAGATAACGAAAAACAAACACAGTAAATCTCCAGAGATCAAAAGCAGACTCCACGGAATGACAGAGACAGAAGTTGGTATGTACAAAATACCTTCTGAAGAAAAGCTCTACATAGAATTATGAGGAATTTAGATGCATTACTAGTGCATGGGGTATATGACTTAAAGAAAACTGACTCTTCTCAAGATTGAGAAATTCCATGGGCATATCATGAATGCTTTACTACTGGAGGAGGGTTGGATATCTGGTGTTTACAGAGACTTTCTTGGCACTAAGAGTCCTAAAGGATCTTTGCAATATTAAACCGTAAAAATAATTCGATGCACCTGTTATTGCCGTTAGAACTTTGTGTGTATTTATGACTTAGGGCACAGTAAAATTATCATAGATTTCTGATAAATGAGTTTGGAAAAGATTGCTTTGAAAGATACTCACAACAACCCACGTTGTCAATGGTATGCTGAAGGGAAGGGTTTCCTCGCGTAATAGAGAAGAGCAATAGCCTCTAAGATTCAATATGATCCTATTTCACCTAAGCGAGCGAATCACATCGATTGTCGCTTAATAGAAAGTATGTGTTCTGCTTTTTCGGTGGGGATTTTGGTTGGACCCGTGAGCTTTCATCCCGTTTGGCAGTACCGTGCACTTCTATTGCCACATCACAGACAGTCATATGGTTGTTGCTATGCCAGCTAATTAATCAACCTGTACTGAAGATGCTTATATGCAGTGAAGCAAGTCTGCAGCCGACTGCTTGAAAGATCAGTGGAAAGAATTCCCTTTCAATCGATTCTCTAATACCATTTCAGATAACAAATACCTTATATCAGATTAAGAAGAACAGCACTTAAGCATCAATATACAAAGCTGCAAAGATTTTTGCTACAACTTAAGCAGACAAAATTAATTAAAGTTTCACACAATGTTTATTGAGTGCTATCCTTTTTAATTAATGTGTGCATATTCATCCAGATAAAATTCTATAGCAATTGCTATGCATTTTGCAAGGACTATTTTGACATCTTGTAAAGGATAAAAGATGACGTGTTTCAAAATATTTTTCGGTGTCTAAGACGCTATGGTAACACATTCAAATTCTGCAACATTTGTAAGCCTACACGTCCCACACAAATGCATTTAAATTAAAAACAGTAACATTTCAAAGGAGAGAGAAAAGGCTGAAATATTACATATTCTAGAAGATGCGATCAATTGAATTACTAGATGAAGAAAATATATAAACCAATTGCCTGCATGTTGAAGTAATCTAATTGTTATGAATTACAGCTCAAAAAGTGAACCTTTTCAACCATCGTACCCCATTTTGCTAAAACCATCATGCTAAACAAGCTCTCTGATTTTCTATTATGCAATTCGTTCTATATACTGTACAATAAAGACACCCGTTGTCTGAGAGGGTCTGGCTCCTTGCTTTCTTGTCTTTCTAGAGACTAATCAAAAGCACAATTTCGTCTCTCAAATCACTTTCAATTTGTCTTCATATCAATTTTATGTTTGAATTTTCTCTTCTTCGAGATTCTTTATCTGAGGATTGTCGAACAAAAAGTACAGAACACATTACCAAAGGTTTTCAGCGCTTTAATCAAAGATTGAAAATTTATGCTACTCAAAATATTTACTCAATACTCTAGTTTTTTATTGCATGCTTTACTAGATTTACAAATACTGCCATAAAATTCAAATGAAGAAAATAGAACTATCTTTCCAACATGCTATGTCTTTATTACTTCACCTTGATGTATCAAGTAACAACAACAAAATTGATGTGAATATGACCCGAGTTAAGAAGATAGCGATTTTAAATTAATTCTCTGTCTAATATGCTTTGAGTTAACAAAAACCGATTCGTTTCATTACAAATCTATACAACCAAAGTTGGTCACTAAACGAGGATGCAATTTCTATAGCTTTAGTTTCTTTCTTTCTTCACTTTTTCAATTTAAGATGAGTAGAGATTGACAAACTTTAAGTAATATAAAGTTTTAAGAAGCCTAATTGAATGGAAATGTTAGAGAAATGTATAAATTTTGGGAAACACAAAGTCACATTGGTGAATAGTATTGCTCTATCGCTATGTTTTATGAATATGTTGTTATGGGATGAATCACTTCCATCCATTTTGTTAACAAACATAGTTTATATTATCATCCCTTCGATATATTTCCAACGTTATTTGATTATTAGAAAGTTGAATATATCAAAACGATAAGCAGATGGGAAGAGATTTATTTAATGGAATTCCTGACCAAATCCTTGTGATAATATCTTAGTGGGTAAATTAAAAGGAGCCACATGATTCATTCTAGCTATGAGTTTCCGTACAATACATTTCAACAGCACCTCGTTGACATGAAAGAAATTTTTCAGCTATTAGCTTAGTTTCAAACTATTCTTTTCTGAATTCTCTTTCAAACACTTTAGATTGCTCAACCATCAGGTGGTCCTTGATTTCAACTTTAATCGCCAATTCTACAGACACTGTTTCTGCAAACTGAGTTAACTAATTCGCCAAAAAAATTATTAAGCTTGAAAGCGTTTAAGCAGCGCTGTGCACGATATTTGGTGCGTACAAAAGGATGGTTCTAAGTTGCTGCTCAGAGTTTAACGCTTAATGCGATCTTCAGGCAATTGTATATCAAAATATACTGATGTTTCTGCACTGCCCCTGCAATCCAAAATTGTCAGATCCACAAAGTTTTGACTTTACTTTCTGGCTTCCCTTCTCTCTGATGCATCTACACCTTCAGCCGTCTACCAATAAGACTACGTTACTCATTTAGAAGGGTGAGGTTCTCATATATGAATTCTAATTCCATAGGGTCTATTCTGTACCACCACCCATTCAAAGGCGGTGCCTCAGGGAGAATGTGGGAGGATGTTTCCTTTCTAGTATTTGCCAAGGTCGACATATAAATCCGACAAGAAAATTTAGGGGGTAAGGTGACAGATTGGGTGAGGAGAGAGTTATTTCGCCTAGTTTTGGAAGTCTCGGGTACTTTCCCTGTGTCTGTCGCTTCATCACACGAACACACACAGTTAGGTGAAAATTGCAAATATCTATTTAAAAGTTATACTACTATATCACCAGGAAGTCTGGAAGATCTCATTGCTTTGCGTCTTAAACCAAGGATTGCAGATTGATCACTTGCTGCGCATGGATATGCAGGGAGTTGCAGCCTTTTGGAAAGGAACAGTTTATGCAACAAAGAGCTAAGTTGCACAAAGTCAACTTCAAAACTGCATGAATAGCTCTGATTATCATAATCGTCAAGAGAATTATAATTTTTGTGTTCCAGGGACTGGATCCGAGTATGCCTTGAAGACGAAGCTGATGTCAAACTATCTAAAGACAGTTAGGCCAGTCAAGAACTACAGCAACCCAGTTGATGTTAAATTTGATATTGCCTTGAGAGCTATCGTTGATCTGGTAGGTTTGATAACAACAGTTCTTCTTGATCCGCCGAATTCTGTGTCGACATTAGGCAAAATCAAAAACTGTTGCTCAAAAGGAGTTGAATCTGTTTGTGACTAAACCTTTGTTTGTGTACACTTCTCTTTTCATAAAAGTTACAAAGACTAAGAACACACGTACAAGCGAAAAACAATTAAGTTTCTCTTTAGTTAAACAAAACTGCGTAAAGAAGGAGAAATTTACTTTGCGCATTCAAAATATAAATAGTGGATCTTTTTGTATGAAGTTTCTTTCAAAAGAGGCTTTACTGGAAAAAATATTTCTTGAATTTATTCAGATACCTCAATTCAATTCTCTCACAATTGTAACTTTGCTCCTTTCACACAATTCTTTACTTGCGGCGTTATGCAGCAATCAAAAATACATTATAAAACTTAACCAGCGCTTTGCAAAGTCATTACGATGGTGTTGGTGCTCTTTTTCTTTCTTCCATGCCTTTTACCCATTGGCCCCCATCCAATCACTCTTTACGTTTGCTTTATTCGCCTCTGCTATCATTTCTGCTTCTCTTTCTTTCCGCTTATGCTCCTGCATCCCCCTAGCCAAACCTTCCATTGTCTTTCCTTCCCCTTACTGCCCCTTCCCTCCCCTCTCTTACCCTCCCTTTCCTTTCCTTTCCCTCTCTTATTTTCTATTGCCCCTTCCCGCCCCTCCTTCCACTTCCCTTCTCTTACTTGCTCTTTCCCGCCCCTCCAGCCTCTTTCCCGCCCCTCCAGCTCCTTTCCCACCCCTCTAGCTCATTTCCCGCCCCTCCAGCTCATTTCCCACCCCTCCAGCCCCTTTCCCGCCCCTCCGGCCCCGTTTTTCTTCTTGCTGTCCCACCTGACTATTGTTGTTTGCATTCACGGTGCCCTACAATAGCATATAAACAGGTTATCTACATGTTTGCTACTTTCGGGTTATTGAAATTGTTTTTCCTTTCAATTTTCAGGAGGAAAAGAACCAAGTGCTCACATCCAGCGTATGGGTGCGGATAGTAAGTATCGATGAATCAAATTTGATAATTCGCTGAGTTTGCTATGAAATCAAAATGTCTATGCAGCTAGTGGCGGCACCAAGGGGTGGTATGGGGGGTAATTACCTCCCCACGTTTGTCGAAGCATGGTCTACATATTTCGTCTAAAAACGGATTAAAAAGCACTAGGTAGGGGTAGATCATATTTCCTAAGGAGATTTGACCTTACAAATCACTGAAACGAGGCCAATAGGGCGTGGTCTCACGGGTAACACCCATTACCCTCCCACTTTGCAGCAGCTGGCGCTGCCACTGTATGCAGCTCCAATCTCAAATTGATACCTATATATGTATGTATCATAATTCGAAAGTTGAAAGAAGAGGGTCCAGTTATGCATACAAAAAGCTAATATATATGCAAATACATGTTTTACCATTTTGTCCTCAATGCTCCATGCCGTATAGGCAGAGCTGTCTATGCTTTGGTTTATAGAATAGGTAAGGTTGAAATTGAACTTAGAGCAGCCCTGGCCTATAATCACATATATCAATGAAAGACTATACCTCTTTTGACACGAGCTGAACAGCATCCTTGCGGAAATTATTTTCTCCTGCAAGTAAAAATATATGTATTGATCCACACTTAAATATTTAATATTTATTTTGCTTGTTGATGTTTTACAAGACATCAAACATTGTTAGCTCTTTTCTTCTCAAGAAGGATCCTTCTCTATTTCTGCAGTATTGGAAAGATGAGAATCTCGTTTGGGATCCAAAGAACTACAGCGACATCAAATCAGCTAACTTTCTACCCAAAGAGATCTGGACACCAGACATTGTACTTTACAACAGGTAAACTATCACTAAGCAAAATGCTATCATATGTGTCTAGAAGCATCGTGACGATCGATCGCTAGGGAGGGGCAAAAAAACAGATTTCCCATCGACCTTAACAAAATTGTATAAAATTTATAGTGTGTCTACAGGAATATTGTTTCAGACGGAGCAAGTAACTTTTCAGAGTATACAGATTACAGGTAAGGTAAATCATCTGATTCCGCTATGGAAACCCGAAATAAGAGTCTTATGAAGCAATACCGAGATGCAAATTTACAGCCTCAGTGATTATTCTGTATTCATAGACGTAGGTAATCTGGGTACAAGAGCCACATAAATTCGTGCGCGGAAATCGAAGGTAGGAGTAGACATTCCTTTTCAGCTAGACTCTTCTCCGCTTTTCAGCTTGGATTTCTATTAAGGGGGAGCTATACATAAAATCGATCATTTTTGGTACATTTTTAAACCTTTGTTATTCAAATATCGTACAACATAAAGATAAAACCTATATCTCTTCTAACAAGGGAACCTTACAAGTCTTAGATGGAGGAAAATAATTTTAAAAGCTCCCCCTAAAATGAGGAAACGCTTGCTTGAAGTTGAGGACTTCATGGATCAGAAATTGAAATGGATGGTTGCCCCACCAGCTTAACGCAATCAGAATTTTGTTCCTCTGATACCCAGGGTAAATGGGGGCATGCAGGCGTGTTACCCGTGCATTTTTGTTCATCGTTTTGTATTTCCGTTCATCCTTTGTTCACAGTTTGTTGCAAAAATGCAAATAAGAAGACAGATTAGTCAAATGGTGATATCATTAAAGTATAGTTTTTGGTATTTGAAAATTGGGAAAAGCAATGTTCGAATCTCATCCAGTTTGTACAATAATTCATTACAATTGAAAATTCAAGGGATTCAAAATTTGGCCCAGATTGATGTTTTTTGAAACACTAACAGATTCGAAAACATAACTCTATATGAAGCTCTAAATCAAACTCTTTTTTCTAATATATAAGTGAAAATAAATATGGACAATTCTTCCATAGTGCTGACAATAGAGGACGAGGAATCCTTGAAACGTCGATGACAACAAACATTATTGTCAGTTCTGATGGCTCGTGTTCTTGGTTTTGTCCGCTTATCCTTGAAACGGAATGTGGTGTCGATATCAAATACTTTCCATTTGACAGACAGGTTTGTCCAATGCGATTCGGTCTGTGGACATATAGCGGACTGATGGTTAACTTCTCAATCGTAAGAGATTCAGGAGACACTAAAAATCTGGTTCCAAGTGGCGAGTGGAATCTTGAAGCCATGCCTGGATGGCGCAAAGTCTTCTTTTATGATTGTTGTCCAAATGTGCCATACCCTGTCATTGATTATGACGTCATAATCATCAGGCGGACAAGCTTTTATTTGCTGAATTTGATTTGGCCTGGAATATTGATTGCCGTACTGGCAGCCATCACCTTCCTTCTCCCGCCGGAAAGTGGCGAAAGAATTGGTTTAGGTATTACAAATCTACTGGCCATGATGGTGTTTCTCCTGCTTATTTCTGAAAGCATACCGCCAACAAGTGATGCTGTGCCACTTGCAAGCAACTTCTTCAGCGTTGTTCTTGTCCTCTCCGCTTTGGCGCTAATCGAGAGTTGCATCGTCATCAAATTTCTGCATTACAGCAACTCGGACGTCAGCGAAGTGCCACGATTTGTTCGTTATTTCGTAAACGATTTATTGGCAAGGTTAGTCTGTATCGATGGGTTTTGCAAGAAGCGGAATTCGGTGGACCTCCATGAACCAAAGGGAGTGGAAAACCCAGTTATGAATGGCAACTCTAATTCTGATATTGCACTCCAAAAAAGAAAGCATTCATTTGAGGAGGACAACGATCTGAAGATAATTCACCGAGCTCAGATGAGCGTTGCTGAAGTAGAGATCGCCGAAGGAGTAAAGAAGATTGTTTCAACCATAACAAAGCAAGAGAAGTCAGACGACGCGAAGGCTGAATGGCGCAGGGCTGTACAGGTTGTCGATAGGTTGTCCACAATTGTGTTTCTGATTGTCCTTATTGGCGGCTGTGCTGGAATATTTGCTTCTTCGCCGCGATTCTTCGTTGCATGATCTTTGGATGACCGGCCTACTTTTACCGAACACGTTCCTGTTGTAGGATCAGTGTATGAATTTGTAAATTCATTTGTATTCGTTAAACCAAAGTTTCAATGTATCCAGTAATTTAAAGTTGAGTTGAATTACTTCTGGCAAACTGTCGATATGAACCAATAGCGTTGAATAAAACGGCTCTCATGACACTCTACATACGGACAGTCTTCTTCAATTAGATCATTGTGTACACAGAACAGTTCATCAAGAAATAAAATTAATTTGTTAGATTACTTTTATATGGACATTAATTTGCATGTTTTTAACAAAAAAAGGACATTTGTTAGTAGGATTCTATCTAACCATTAATTCTCAACATTGTGATGTGAATACAGTTGTGACAACATGTATTCGCAACATCTTAAACTTGACAAGCTGGGCAGTTTGAATGATGCTTGCTTTACCATAATAATAATTATAATAATAATAATAATAACTGACAATTTTAAGTACTATAACAAAAATGGCATGTGATAATGGTGTTTTGTGATAAAACTGTTTATTTTATCGACCTTTTTTCTAAATTTGGTTTTGATCATCGCTATCCTTGCAAAAGGATATCAAGACATTTGAACCCAAGCTATGAAAACGAGTCAGAGGCACAAATTACCCCAGGGATGATATCTAGGGGGCTAAGATGGAGCAGCCCCTATCAATGAAGTAACGTGTTTAATCTATTAAAACCCTCCTTCTAATAAATGCCAATGTCAAATATACGTCCCTGTTTAGCCAAATCTCTGATAAACGCCCAGGGCCATTATTAAAATTATTATTACCGTAAGACACGAAATCTAACAGACACATCTAAAAAGCCTAACGATGAATGGATTATAAACGAACGCAAAACATGCGCGGTTGCCCTAAAAATACGAAGAAGTACCTACCTATAAAACCGATGTTTAGGTCCTATCCGAATCGATTTTCACACGGGGTCGGGGTCACAAATGATCACAAACTACAGAACAATATTAAAGGCAATTTTCATTGATACGGTTGTTTTAAAAAGTGCAAATTGTTATATTTGTACTGTAATTATTTTTCCAGTCAGTTGATATTCACTGATCTTCTAACCTATTCTAATCTTCTGGTGCTGCACTGATGAGCCCCGAAACAGGGCAAAACTGTCCACGGCTTTTAATTGATCAGAATACAAACCTTTGTTGGTATTTTCAAAGTAGGCAATAAACGTTTTGATTTGAAAATATGAACCACGATTCATTGATTTGCTGCTACATTTCTTGCTTGCAGCAACTTGTGATAGACGGTCGCCATCTCTCATCAAACCGCTGCAAGTCTGCACCGAAACGAGTTTATGCAGCAAACCTATACACCAATTCAACTCACAGCCTCGTTTTGAAAAGTTCTTCAAATTTTTTGTTTAAAATTTTTGACCTCAGATTCTGATTAAGAGCAAGAATTTTAGTCTACTTAGAAGTTTTCATTATGTTATTACTCGCGATATTGATTTTATGACGATAAAAAGATAAAAATTTTGTAACGGATTTGACCGTAACTGGCGACTAACAGGGCAAATTTTCACCCGGAATGATTTTGTAGTTAAATCCCTTGCAAGTTTTCAAATCTCAGTTCTCCATAAAATCTAAAATACAGGCACAAGCAAATAAAAAAATTGTATCCGGCTTAAACTTAACGTAATGCCTCGAATAAGGGCCCGGACGCTTAATTATTTTTTGAGGCTCCAGGGTGGGTGCTTATTCGAGGGAGGCGCTTAATCAAGGGAGTGCTTATTAAAAAAATTGATTTGGAAGTAACTAAAAAAGATGAATATGTTTTTAATTGAAACATGTTATTATGATGAAAAAGAAAAAAATTAGAATGAAAACTTAAACAAACTGTGTTGGTCATTCAATCTTTCTTGCTGAATTGCCTTCCAATTATGTTTTCGTTGAAAATTCGAATAAGCGCCCGTTTCTGAATTTTTAAGGATAGGCGCTTATTCGAGGGGTGGGCGCTTATTCGAGGGAGCGGTTATTCAATAATTTCACCTCTAGGGTGGGCGCTTAATCGAGGGGGCGCATATTTGAAGGGAGCGCTTGTTCGAGGCATTACTGTATGGTGATCAAACCAATTTTGAGCTGAAGAAAGTGTTTGGAGAAATTCTCAAAACGAGGCCGTTAGTTGAATTGGTGTATTGTTTCTTCCTCCTCTGACTGCTTGACGTTTGTGCACGCGCACTTCAAAGTTGCCGATCGAGATTTCCATTTGTGCGTATTTTTATGTACGAAGAATGAGTACATGAAGGGGGGATTTTGCTCAGCTCGATGGGCATCCATATATATATATATATGTAGAATTGTTGCCA